TAAATGAAGAGTCAGTTTATACCAAACATGTTCTGGTCATGGAACACACACTTTACTCCAATTAAACCTACCTTTGCAAAAATACAATTTATGTGGAGGGATTGTGTTTTAACCTGGAGCTTAATCTTGAATTTCATATTCAGTTGCCACATCAAAGCACCAAAACGGGTGGTTTCTGTCCGCCGGGTTCGTGGCGGATATCACCGAATACCAGGATACATTTCGGGCTAGCATCAGGTGGTATCCGCCAAGACTTTAGTAGCCATATCACAGTGCCAAAAGGAGTGGCTCTCTCCGCCGCATCCGTGGCGGAGACTATGAGATACTTACCCTTCCGGATACCAGTATGCATTTTGGGAATGTATCAGGTGGTATCTGCCAAGAATACGACAGACGCAAACCACATCTTTTAGACTAAGTGATTGTTTCTAAATCAACTGACATGCGACGATGTAAAGCACTGGTCCGTTATTAATTTCGTTTGTTTTAACCATTAGTTGGGTTGAAAGTGTACGTGGAGCACCAATGTCAAGTGATCAAAATAAGTAGGACTTTCTAACCGCTGTTAATTAGCATTTTTATGGGGGTAATGTACATAAGTTCTCAACCGATCTCAAGGAGTATATGGTGTGATGTACCCCGAACTGTCAGCGAGGGTTACACAGGCTCAAACACAAGGTACATCACACCATGTGTCCCGAGGATCGGTTGACAACGAAAGGATTTTTCCAATATTCATACTTAAAGGTCCGGAATCTTTGTAATGTCATCAATCAATGAACTGTAATTATAGGATTACTTTTGAGCCACCACTTATCTATTTGTTTGTTATTGTTAGGTTTCTATTTTCATATTTAGCAAGATATATATTGTATTCGGAAGGTTTTGTTTCATATTTTATTACATTAACACATCCAAAAACGCGTGAATACATCATTAACATATCCCACTGGAAACCTTCTGAATTTTGTAAGGATTGAAGTTGTATTTGTTGACGTTAATCAGCTGATGAAGACAGTGCCTCACGTGAGCAAATTCCATGATGCGCGAAGCATCGCTGTTTCAGTTCACTAAGATACTGTATGCTTTTAGAATGTATCATGATGTTCTTATTTTTCATCAATTCAAAACACCTGATTCAGGGGACTATCTTCATACGTTTTTTTAAGAAATATTTGGCTCAATCCTCACCTATGATTTGGTTAAATGTGAAGTGTTTAAATCACAACAAATTACAAATAAATGACAAAGATGTGTTTAGACTGGACTGTGATTTGAAAAAGAAGTTCCAGTCTTTGTGTATTGACAAATACGAAAATGGTTCAAACGACCAAAAATACGACAATTCCTGTTTTCTCGCGCACGACAGAGAGCAGAGAAGCTGCTTTGAAGGGTATTTCTCACAGGAAGCAAAAAGAGTAAGCTTTGAGGTTATGTTATGCCAGACCCATTCTCGTGCCAACTGCCTCTTCAGCACTTAAGGAGAGAATGTTAAACGACATAGTGGAAGACATCATGACTAGTCTATCTAGCCCTGAACATATGACAGCCCTTTCAAAGAAAAAAAAGTGGCGGAACTATGTTCGTTCTTGTGGTTTTGGCTAAAATATGATTACACTCCTTAAGAGCATCAAGAATATAGAAAGGACCATCTGATGCAAGGACTGAAGAAGAATTTGCGAGTTCCGAAAAACAAACATTCAAAGGTTTCACTTCAAGTGAGTGAGTTAAGATTTAACGTCACATCGGCAGTATTTCAGCCATATCGTGACGATTCACTTCAAAACATTTGTGTGATGAAGATAGCATTATCCAAAGACGCGGACAATGGAGCCTGTATTATAGAGATTGCTGTGGGACATGTCAATGGTTGTGTGTTTTATGACCCTCAAGGATCCGAATCTTATAAAATTAAAGGGGAGAGAATGGTTCGACTACCCTTTGAAACATGGGTTAACGAGGCCTTTGAGTGAACAACGATGATTCGACCATATATTCTGAGAAACCTAGGATATTTCTTTTAAGACAGATAATGTTTTTGATATTTTTCATTCAGTTCAAGTTCACAGAGATATCATTCTTTCTCTGAAAAGCCTAAACATATTTTTATCTGTCTGTCTTTCTGTCGTCTGATTGCCTCTTTGTATGTCTGTATGTCTGCAACTGTGATATAGTATCACGTGTGATGTTAACAGTGCCTGAATTAATGCGTGCATTCTTGGGCAAAACAGGTCCTCAGCACCCAATGTGTATTGTGAGAGCTGACTTTAGTGAGGATCGGGCGGTAAGAATGGTGTTACTTTGCTGATTATTGTCATCGTTCCATGGTGGCGTGAATCGCTGCTTGTATTTGTATCAACCACATTTGTATCTGTGCCAGGCTAGATATTTAAAGGTGGCTAATTTGGGAATTTTTACGAACATTTTGAGCAAAGACTTAGACATCGGCCTCTCACCAGTTCAATCACTGTACTTGTTACACACAATGCATTAGTGTACATATATCAAAGTTGAATGGAAAGTGAAAAGGAACAGTAATTAGGTGAACCGGTATTCGGCATGACATTTCGTATTTACACTGAAACAAAAGTCGGGATTGTTCCGCAGTTTCACTGACATTTTACTATGAGTTACGTTTTTCTGTGACGCATTATTACTGAAAATATGAGGAAATATAACCATGTGCTATATTTCACGTATTTCCGTCTTTGACCGATTATGGAAACTCTGTGGTTTCTTTCATTATGTAATCCATTAATGTCAAGGCAGGGGACAGCATAAATGGGATTCATACATCGCCCCTTGAGTAGATAAATAAAGAGGCAGCTTAGACCAACCATGTTAATATAATGGAATATCGCTTTACTCCCATGATTAAATACTTTTTTCAAACAGGGAATCATCTACACAGTTTGTGTTTAAAGTAAGAGCATAATCATGATATTTACTTGCAATAGCCATATCACAGTGGCGAAAGGCCTATGCGTGGTTTATGTCCGTCAGATTCGTGTCGAATATCACCGGATACTTACCTTTCCGCATACCAGGATGCATTTCGGATAAATTTTAGGTGGTATCTGCCAAGAATCAGATAGATGCAAATTACACGTTTTTGACAATGTCGAAACATATTTTAGAACGTTGCAAATCCAAGAGTCTAAGACAATTTGTGTTGTTTTTTAAGGCTTCAGTCAGCAATATTCAAGCTATATCACAGCGGCCTAAAATAATTAAGTCTGAACAAGTAAAACCAGTAAATTTCACTTCGATTAACGTCCCAGTTTGTGGGGGAACAGTGAAACGCAATCAACAATATCACCAAGCCTGACCACCCGATCCATTAAGTTGCCTCTTGTAACATCCAGGCATTTTACCTATAATTTCACAATTCCTTCAAGTTAATATTATCTATTGTATTACATGTGAGATTTATGTTTATATAATTTTTTAATTTGAAGTTTACACGATATGCGGCTTTTCCATTGGGCGAGAGATCGGTCACATGACCGCGAAATTGACGTTCATAACTGTATGAACGACACAATTTGACGTTCATACGTTTTTCACGAGACCATGTTCTTGAAATGACGTAAACACTGACGGACTACTTCCACATTCCTGGGGAAACCCCTGGGAATTCCCTAGCGCGCAAACCTGCATAAACGTTCTTTCTGATCATTTAGAACCATTATTCTCGGTCTCAGCGTTTCAGTATACATTGAGAAATGTCAGAGAGCGTGACTGCATGATTGTTCACGAATATCCTCGCTACCGCCCATCCTAATGAACAAACGAAGAAATCTAAACTATCGAAGTATCGATTCGATCCGTGTCTAGGCTGACATTGACCTTCTCCAGCAATTTATGAATTTACCTTTGTGTCTGTTTGACGCATCTTTTTTCACCTTTCAATGATCGACCAGTTGATCAATGATGACTTACACATGTAACCGCCACAGATTCATTAACAATTTTGGAAATCTCTCCCGTCACATTTATTGTGTCGGCCATTTTGACGTCTTGTACTTGATGTAAATGTATTACGACGCGCTGTCATTGTGACTGACTTACTGAGGTAGTTCTTTACCTACCTTTCTCATCTAATGAGGATATGATTTGAACACATGTGCCGCATAAGATGTTTCTAAAGAGCAAGTTGTGCATCCATACGCCCATGTCACCTCTCTTTTTGAGAAACTATTTTACTCCGCGATATAGCTGGTTGTTGTATGGCTGTCAGTGTAAACATGAAGTCACACGTACTAAATAAAATTGTGCTTAGATCTTTGCCTACATCCTTTGAGGTAAGAAATTGTGCTTAAAAATTTTTAAGAATTGAATTTCACTTTGTGTGAGTTCATTGGAGTATGAACCTTCATAGAGTGAAGGTTCATACTCCAATGAACTCACACAAAGTGAAGGTCAATTCTTAAGTATCTGGTACCACCGGTTTCTTGTGTCAATATACGCATAGATCAATCGAATCTGTGTATTCAGGTATGTATCAGGTGGTTTTTTGCGAAGGATACGACCGACGCAAACCACACACTTTTTGACAATTATGTCGATACATATTTTAGAACCTTGCCAATGTAAAGTTTAAGACAATTTGTAATCTTTGTAAAGCTGCAATCGGCAATGCTCAAGCCATATCACAGCGGTCCACAACTAATTCAGTGTGGATCAGACAAGGCAGAAACTGGCATTTCGAGCCACGTTCTAGGTTGTCGGGGTACAGTGACATGCAATCAACCAAATCACCAAGACTGCCCTCCCAATCCACTGAGTTGCATCTTATAACAACCATAGGCTAACCTACTTGAGACCACTCACTTTAAACATGAGATCCCTACAGACAGTTTAACACTTACCAAAGTCCATGTTATCTATTGGTTTAAATGTAAGCTTTTGTGTACCTGGTACACTAATTCCTTGCATCCATAAACGCATAGATCAATCGATTGTGTCATTATTAACAGTAGATACTTCTTTTCTTACAGGCCAAAGATTTAGGGCGCTTGAACGTCGTAAGTATGGAATGGCACAGTATCACAGGATACATGGAGACTGACTGTCTGACTGAGCAGCGTTTTACACCACGTTTAGCAAAATCCGAGAAATATAACGATGGGGGGCGTCAGAAACGGGGTTAATATAATGTACTCAAGTGGGGAATTGAACCTTCGACGTGACAAGCGAACACTACAAACACTTGGCCACGCTACCGGCTCTTGAATAGATAAGTGAAGGCTCAGTTTACACCAAAAGTGTTATTGTAATGGACATACACTTTACTCCCATTAAACATACCTTTACAAAAATAGAATTATGTGGACGGATTATGTTTTAACTAGGAGCTTAATCTTGAATTTTACATTCAGTAGCCACATCAAAGCACCAAAACGAGTGGTTTCCGTCCGCCGGGTTCGTGGCGGATATCACCGAATACCAGGATACATTTCGGGCTAGCATCAGGAGGTATCCGCCAAGACTTTAGTAGCGATATCACAGTGCCAAAAGGTTCTCTCCGCCGGATCCGTGGCGGAGACTATAGGATACTTACCCTTCCGGATACCAATATGCATTTCGGGAATGTATAAGGTGGTATCTGCCAAGAATACGACAGACGCAAACCATACTTTTTTGACAAAGTGATTGCTTCTAAATCAACTTACATGCGCCGATGTAAAGCACTGGTCTGTTATTAATTCCGGTTGTTTTAACCATGAGTTTGGTTGAAAGTTTACATGGAGCACCAATGTCATGTGTTCAAAATAACCGCTGTTACTTAGCTTTTTTATAGAGATTGTGTACATCATAAGTTCTCAACCGATCCCGTGGAGTACATGGTGTTATGTCCCCTGTGTACCCCCAACCGTCAGGCGAGGGTGACACAGGCTCACACACAAGGTACATCACACCATATGCCCCGAGGGTCGGTTGACAACAAATTTATGTTTACAATATTCATTCACACAGGTCCGGAATCTAAGTAATAAATCTGGACTTTATGCTATCAATGAACTGTAATTATAAGACTACTTTTGAGCCACCACTGAGCCATCTGCTTCTGTTTGTTATTGTTTGTTGTTCTATTACCATATTGATTGAGATATATATTAAAACTTCCCATCTTGGATTCGGAAGTTTGGGGATTACATTTTATTGAATTAACATATCACAAAACGTCTGAAGACATCATCAATTTATTCCACTGGCAACTTTCTGGAATTTTAGTCACCGAGTCAAGTGTTTATCGATCGTTACCAAAAACACTTTCCTCGACAGTTGACGAAAACTCGTATCATCTACACTTCAGTTTTGATCACACATGGATGAAAAATTATGAAATCTTATCCGAACATTTATTGTGAACTAAACTTTAAATGGATATTGAATGAGAAACACATTTGGAAAGAACAATCTGTCGCAAAGCAGTTTCTCTTCAGTGTGGTAGAAATAAAAAGACAATATAATATCTACTATGTAAATAGTAACAGCTTGCTTGTTTACCTTGTAAAAATATTTAGCAAGTTATATTATCACACCTGAGCAGTTTATTCACTGTAAGTAATTGATGAAAACTCACTTTGTATTATCTTCAACTCGGTTGTTATGGCTGAATCCATCTTAAGTATGGACAGGCACAGTGTCACAGGATGCATGGAGTGAGATAGAAATATCAAGGCGGGGGACAGAGATAATCGGCTTCATAAATGATACCTATGTGGAGATTTAACCTTCGACGTGACCGCAAACGCTACAACCACTGGGCTACCCAACCGTTCCTTGACTAGAAAAATAAAGGGTCTGTTTAGACAACCGTGTTATTGTAATGGAGCATCCACTTTTCTCCCTTTAAATAAACTTTACATACTTAGAATCATGTGCACGGCTTGTGTTTTAAGTAGGAGCTTCATCTTGAAATTCACATCCAGTAGCCATATCACAGTGGCAAAATGGGTGCTTTCTGTCCGCCGGATTCTTCACTGATACCACCTGATACCAGGGTGTATTTTGAGAAAGTATGAAGCGGTATCCGCCAAGAATACGAGAGACGCAAACCACGCCCATTTGATAATTGTGTCAAAACATCTTTCAGAACTTTGCAAATGTAAGAGCGTAAGACAAATTGTTTTGGTGTTCAAGGCTTCAGTCAGCAATATTCCAACTATATCACAGCGGCCTTAAATATTAAGTCTGAACCAAGTAAACCAGTAACATGCGCTTCGACGTCCTAGGTTGTCCAGGGACAGTGATACGCAATCAACCATCTCACCGAGACTGACCACGCGATCCATTGAGTTTATTCTTAATTGATTTCATAGATTAATGGTATCCTACCCATAACTTCACACTTTCCTCAAATTTATATTATCTATTGTATTAAATGTGATATTTTGTATCTTGTACACGGGTTTCATGTGTCAATCTGCGCATGGATCAATCGAATTTTTGTTTATTTACAGTAATATAATTCGTGGAATGACAAAGCGTAACAGGATACATGGAGACTGACTGACTAAGTAGGGATTTATTCCGCCTTAGAAATATCTCAGAAATATCATGGCCGGGGACAGCAGAAACGGGCTTCATATATTGTACCCATCTGGGGAATTGAACCTACGACGTGTCAAGCGATCGCTACAACCACTGGGCTACCCAAAGGTGCCTTAAATAAATGAAGAGTCAGTTTAGACCACCCGTTTTATTGTAATGGAACATACACTTTACACCCAATAGATGTTCTTTTTCAAACACAGAATCATGTCCACAGAATATGTTTCAAGTAAGAGTTAAATCGTGATATTCACATTCACCAGCCATATCAAAGTGCCGAAAGGCATAGGCGTGGTTTATGTCGCTCAGATTCGTGGCTGATATCACCGGATACTAACCAGGATGCATAGCGTGTTAGCATCACGTTTTATCCGCCATTTGATACATTTGGCCACTTTGTAAATGGCGTTGCGTGCTCATAGATTTCTGACGTGGGAGTCTAGCCAATTTACACTTGTCAGAGGGGTACACAAAGTGTGTGATCTGGACTACCAGTTGTCGGACTTTCTTTTTTTCGTGGAAGCTTCGTTGGCTGAGTGTGTCAGATTGCTGACTTTGAGTGCTGGTGATTAGGTGCCTCACTATGGAAGTGTCGGTTGGAATCCCGGACTGGACTCAACCCATAAAAGTACGAGAATCTGTACTTTACTAAAAAAGTACTATCCCAAATATAACATTTGTTACGTTTGACCACTTTCTAAACGGCATTGTGTGTTCACATCAATTATAGTAATTATGAACCACGCACCATTGCGCAATAAAATAAAGCAGTATAGGATTCTAGGGGTGATATTGTTATTAGTTACTTCAGAGTTACCAGTCATGTAATTTCTGTGGTACGGTAAACTTGGACACAAGACTTATATCAATGAAACATCGTTTCCCTCAAAATAATCAATATATGACTAAAACGTTGTTTTTACCGACCTTTCAGATATTGCATTGAGACCCTTTATGTGTAAGTATTGTAGTTAGGACAACCACAACATGAAAAGACACGTTTCTATTTTCCGTAACCTTCTCTGGTTCTACCCACATTATAGATATCTTCAGCAGCCTTCAAATGTCTTTGTAATTTTCAGGTGTTTTACATGTGTTAATTTAATTAAATGTCAAAAAAAAAGTTTGACAATTTTAGAGAGTATCCAGAAGCTATCCGTCTCGGATACAAAATGAAACGGAACCTGGAACGTTAAGGGAGCGCTTTTGGAAAACAGAAACCTGTCTTTTCATTCTCTTATTGGTATTAATGCATGGTTACATGTATGCTAGTCCGATGTAAATGGGGGTGTTATATCATATCAAATACAGCGTCTTGAATACCTTGGGAATTCTTTTGAGACAATGTTTATTCATGTCATGTGGTAGTTTACGCATGGATCAATCGCAATTGTGTTTATTAACTGTGTTTCTTCGAGACGGAAGTAAAGGAGGTAAGTATAGAATGACAAAACGTCACAGGATACATGGAGATTGGCTGAGTATGATTTTGTTCCGCTTCAGCAATATCCCAGAAATATCATAGCTGGGGGCAGCAGAAATGAGCTTCAAATATTGTACCCATCTGGTATATTGAACCTACGACGTGTCCAGCGATCGCTACAAACACTGGGCTACCCAAAAGTCAGTTTAGACCACCCGTTTTATTGTAATGGAACATACACTTTACTCCCAATAGATGTTCTTTTTCAAACATAGAATCATGTCCACAGTATATGTTTCAAGTAAGAGTTAAATCATGATATTCACATTCAGTAGCCATGTACATATCATAGTACCGAAAGACATAGGCGTGGTTTATGTCGCTCAGATTCGTGGCTGATATCACTGGATACTAGGATGCATATCGCGTTAGAATCATGTGGTATCCGCAATTTGTTAGATTTGACCTCTATCTAAACTGTTGTCGGAAAGTGGTAAAGGTACTTCCATAGAATAATGTACACCGTTTGCGTTTCAAGGAGGAGTTTAATCTTGAAATTCACATTCAGTAGCCATTTCACAGCACCAATAGGGGTGGTTTCTGTCTGCCGGATTCAGGGCAGATACCACCGGATAGCAGGATGCATATCGGCTAATATAAGTAGCAAGCAGTATCCGCCAAGAATACGACAGACGCAAGCCACCATTTGTTAGGATTATTTCGAAAAACATAGTTGCAAATGTAAGAGTGTAAGACAAATTGCTTTGTTTTTTAATGTTTTAGTCGGCAATATTGCAGCTATATCACAGCGGCCTAAACAAACATTAGGTCTAAACCAGAAAAAGCAGTAACTTGCACTTCGAGCAACGTAATAGGTTGTCGGGGAACAGATATACGTATTCAACGAAATCACCGAGCCTGACACAGGCTTCGTGGAAACTGACTGTCTGACTGAGTAGGGTTTTAATCCGCTTTAGCAATATCCCAGAAATATCAAGCCGAGGGACAGCAGAAATGGGCTTCATATATTGTACCCATGTGGGGATCGAGTGCCACAGTGTCACAGGATACATGGTGACTGACTGACTGACTGACTGAGTAGGGTTTTACACCAATTTTAGCAATATCCCAGAAATATCACGATGGGAGGCCTCAGAATCGGGGTTGATATAATGTACTCAAATGGGGAATTGAACCTTCGACGTGACCAGCGAACACTACAAACACTTGCCCAAGCTACCGGCTCTTGAATAGATAAATGAAGACCCAGTTTATACCAAACATGTTCTTTTCATGGAACACACACTTTACTCCAATTAAATATACCTTTGCAAAAATACAATTTATGTGGACGGATTGTGTTTTAACCAGGAGCTTAATCTTGAATTTCATATTCAGTAGCCAAATCAAAGCACCAAAACGGGTGGTTTCCGTCCGCCGGGTTCGTGGCGGATATCACCGAATACCAGGATACATTTCGGGCTAGCATCAGGTGGTATCCGCCAAGACTTTAGTAGCGATATCACAGTGCCAAAAGGAGTGGTTCTCTCCGCCGCATCCGTGGCGGAGACTATGGGATACTTACACATCCGGATACCAGGATGCATTTCGGGAATGTATAACGTGGTATCTGCCAAGAATACGACAGACGCAAACCACACCTTTTTGACAAAGTGATTGCTTCTAAATCAACTGACATGCGACGATGTAAAGCACTGGTCTGTTATTAATTTCGATTATTTTAACCATTAGTTGGGTTGAAAGTGTACGTTGAGCACCAATGTCAAGTGATCAAAATAAGTAGGCCTTTTTAACCTCTTTTAATAAGCATTTTTATGGGGGTAATGTACATAGGTTCTCAACCGATCTCAAGGAGTATATGGTGTGATGTACCCCGAACTGTCAGCTGGGGTTACACAGGCTCAAACACAAGGTACATCACACCATGTGCCCCGAGGGTCGGTTGACAACGAATGATTTTTTCCGAGATTCATTCTTAAAGGTCCGGAATCTTTTTAATGTCATCAATCAATAAACTGTTATTATAGGATTACTTTTGAGCCACCACTTATCTGTTTGTTTGGTATTGTTAGGTTTCTATTTTCATATTGAGCGAGATATATATTGTATTCGGAAGGTTTTTGTTTGATATTTTATTAAATTAACACATCCAAAAACGCGTGAATACATCATTAACATATCCCACTGGAAACCCTTCTGAATTTTGTAAGGATTGAAGATGTATTTGTTGACGTTAATCAGCTGATGAAGACAGTGCCTCACGTGAGAAAATTCCATGATGCGCGAAGCATAGCTGTTTCAGTTCACTAAGATACTGTCTGCTTTTAGAATGTATCATGATGTTCTTATTGTTCATCAGTTCAAAACACCTGATTCCGGGGACTATCCTCATACGTTTTTTACGAAATATTTGGCTCAATCCTCGCCTATGATTTGGTTACATGAGAAGTGTTTTAATCACAACAAATCAGAAATTACAAAGATGTGTTAAGAGTGGACTGTGATTTGAACAAGAAGTACCAGTCTTTTTGTATTGACAAATTCGAAAATGGCTCAAACGAAAGAATAAGACAATTCCTGTTTTCTTCGCGCACGACAGAGCGCAGAGACGCTGCTTTGATGGGTATTTCTCCCAGGAAGCAAAATGTGGAAGCTTTGAGGTTGTGTTATGCCAGACCCATTTATCGTGCCAACTGCCTCCTCAGCACTTAAGGAGAGAATGTTAAAAAAGTGGCGGAACTATGTTCGCTGTCGTGGTTTTGGTTAAATTATGAAGACACTCCTTAAGATCAACAAGAATATAGAAAGGACCATCTGATGCACGGAATGAAGAAGAATTTGCGTGTTCCGAAAAACAAACATTCCAAGGTTTCACTTCAAGACATTTGTGTGATGAAGATAGCATTATCCAAAGACGCAGACAATGGAGGCTGTATTACAGAGATTGCAGTGGGACATGTCAATGGTTGTGTGTTTTATGATCCTCAAGGACCCGAATCTTATAAAATTGAAGTGAAGAGAATGGTTCGACTCCCTTTAAAACATGGGTTAACGAGGCCTTTGAGTGAACAACGAGGATTCCACCATTTATTCTGAGAAACCTAGGATATTTCTTTTAAGACAGATAATGTTTTCGATATTTTTCATTCATTTCAAGTTCATTTAGAGAGATCATTCTTTCTCTGAAAAGCCTAAACATATTTTATCTTTCTGTCTGTCGTCTGATTGCCTCTTTGTATGTCTGTCTGTCTGCAACTGTGATAGATATCACGTGTGATGTTAACAGTGCTTGAATTAATGTGTGAATTCTTGGGCAAAATAGGTCCTCAGCACCCAATGTGTTTTGTGAGAGCTGACTTTAGTGAGGATCGGGTGGTAAGAATATATAACTTTGTTGATTGTTGTCATCGTTCCATGGTGGCGTGAATCGCTGCTTGTATTTGTATAATCACTTTTGTATCAGGCTAGATATTTTAAGGCGGCTAATTTTCGGAATTTTTACGAACATTTTCAGCAAAGACTTAGGGACTTAACATCGTTTCGTATTTACACTGAAACAAAAGTCGGGATTGTTCGACAGTTTCACTGGTATTTTACTGTGAGTTACTTTTTTCTGTGATGTTTTAATACTGACAACATGAGTAAATATTACCATGTGCTATATTTTACGTATTTCCATCTTTGCCCGGTTATGTAAACGCTGTGGTTTCTTTCATTATGAATCCATAGTCAAGGCGTTGGACAGCAGAAATGGGCTTCATATATTGCACCAATGTGAACGGATTGAGTAGATAAATGAAGAGGTAGCTTAGACCAACCATATTAATGTAATGGAATATCGCTTTACTGCCATTAAATACTTTTTCAAACAGGGAATCATGTACACAGTTTGTGTTTCAAGTAAGAGCTTAATCATGATATTAACATTCAGTAGCTATAGCACTGTGCCGAAAGGCCTATGCCTGGTTTATGTCCGTCAGATTCGTAGCGAATATCACCGGATACTTACCTTTCCGGATACCAGGACGCATTTCGAGTAAGTTTCAGGTGGTAGACTGCCGGGCTACAGTAACATGCAATCAACCAAATCACCGTGAGTGACCATCCGACCCACTGAATTGCATCAAATAACAATCTTAGTTTACTGGGGACCAATTTAAACTTGGGACCCCTACCGATAGTTTAACACTCACCTTGGTTCAAGATATCTATTTATTAAATGTGAGCTTTTGCATATTTCTTTAACTGATTCAATGTGTCTATATACGCATAGATTTATCAATGGAATAGTGTGTTTATTAACAGTAACTTATTTCGTTTGTTCCAGCCGACGAAGAAGAGACAAGTTCTTCATTCAAAGGTAAGTATGGAATAGCACAGTGTCACAGGATATATGGAGACTTACTGACTGTCTGATCATGGTGTTACTGCACTTTTAGCAATATTCCAGTTATATGACAGCAGTCGAAAAATAATTGAGTGTGTACCAGACAATGCAGCAACTGGCCTTTCGAGGAACGTCCCAGGTTGTTGGGGTACAGCGACATGCAATCAACCAAATCACCGAGTGTGACCACTCGATCCATTGAGTTGCCGCTATTACTCTGAGACCCATAGCTCACTGTGAACAAATTTGAGCCGGAGATCCCTACCATTAAATTAACACTAACCACAAGTTTATGTTATCTACTGTATTAATTGTGAGCCGTTGTATATCTGGTACACTGGTTCCCTGTATCTGTGTACGCATAGATCAATCAATTATGTGTTTATTAACAGTAAAACAGTTCGTTTCTTTTTCTATCCCTAGGAACGTTAAGTATTGAATGACACAGTGGCACATGATACATGGAGACTGACAGACTCAATAGGGTTTTAATCCGCTTTTAGCAATATTCCATCAATATCAAGCCGAGGGAAAGTAGAAATGGCATTCATATGTGTTATTCATGTGGGGAATTGAACCTCCCACGTAATAAGAAAACGCTACAACCACTGGGCTACCACATCGACCCTTGACTAGATTTATGAAGAGGCAGCTTAGACGACCATGTTATTGTAATGGAACATCCACATCAACATCCACATCCCTTTATATATACTTGTATATACTTAGAATCATGTGCACGGCTTGTGTTTTAAGTAGGAGCTTCATCTTGAAATTCACATCCAGTAGCCGTATCACAGTGGCAAAAGGGGTGGTTTGAGTCCGCCGGATTCGTCACTGATACCACCTGATACCAGTATGTATTCTGAGAAAGTATGAGGCGGTATCCGCCAAGAATACGAGCGACGCAAACTACGCCCATGTCGAAACATCTTTCAGAACTTTGCAAATGAAAGAGCGTAAGACAAATTGTTTTGTTGTTCAAGGCTTCAGTCAGCAATATTCCAACTATATCACAGCAGCCTTAAAAATTTAGTCTGAACCAAATAAACCAGTAATTTGCACTTCGAGCAACGTCCTAGGTTGTCGAGGGACAGTGATACGCAATCAACTATCTCACCGAGACTGACCACCCGATCCATTGAGTTTATTCTTAATTCACAGGTTACTGGCATCCTACCCATACGCATGGATCAATCGAATTTGTGTTTATTAACAGTAATATAATTCGTTTCTTCCAGTCACAAGATCCAAATATGGAATGACAAAGCATCGCAGTATACATGGAGACTGATTGACTAAGTAGGATTTTATTCCGCTTCAGCAATATCCCAGAAAAACCAAGGCGGAGACGGCAGAAATGAGCTTCATATATTGTACCCATTTGGGGAATTTTATCTACCTAGTGACCAGCGCTCGCTACAACCACAGGGTTACCCAAACGTGCCTTAGATAGATAAATGAAGACTCAGTTTAGACCACCCGTTTTATTGTAATGGAACATACACTTTACGACCAATAAATGTACCTTTTCACACAAAGAATCAGTATCGGTTTCAAGTAAGAGTTAACATAGTCAACAGGATCTGTTTCAAGTAAGAGTTAAATCATCATATTCACATTCAGCAGCCATATCAAAGTGCCGAAAGGCCTAGACGTGGTTTATATCCGTCAGATTCGTGGCTGATATCACCGGATACCAGGATGCATATTGTGTTAGTATCACGTGGTGTCCGCCATTTGTTACATTTGACCACTTTCTAAATGGTGTTGTGTGCTCAAAGATTTCGGCCGCGGGAGCTTAGCCAATTTACACTTGTCAGAGGGGTACACAAAGTATGTGATCTAGACTACCAGTTGAAAATAGTTGAATGTGGACCAGACAAAGCAGTTACTGGTATTTCGATTAACGTTCTAGGTTGTCGGGGTACACTGACAAGCAATCAACCAAATCATCATGACTGACCATCAGACCCATTGAGATGCATCTTATAACAACCATAGGTTACAAGGGACCCCTTTAAATCTGGGATCCCTGAGAAAACGCACTTTGCATTATCTACCACTCGGTTGTTATGCTACATGCCTGAATCCTTCTTAAATCTGCAAAATTCTCTTGAACTCACTTTTATATTAATATCTATTTCTCTGATTATCTTCAATTAAATTGCATCATATATGTCTATCACCGTTTAGATCAAATTGAATTACACGCAATATTTATTCGCTAACATTAATTATGTTCATTCATTTTTGTTGACAAATATACAACGCATGCGAATCGATGGCATATGATTGGCTAACCAAGCAATTATCTTGCTTTGGGGCATTCCCTGATTGACAAATGTATTAATGTTAAGGCTCTGTACATCACGTACATCTCAAGTAAATGTTTTGATACACATTCAGCGACGCATTTAATGTTTTACAATAAGAGAAATATCCATGAGGTGTATTAAGGTTAAACACATAATTGTTGCGGTAGTGTACAAATGTCATATTTATATTTACACGGTTTTGAAACAATTGTAGACGTGTTACAAGATATGTTTTACTTATGTTATTCTTTCTATTTAAAAATATATCACAGCTGCAGGTATTTTATGAAACCATTGTAACAAATAACATTGTTATCACATTTGTTCTTTGATGATGAGCTCAAAGTCTTCATACTGGTTATGAAGAAAAAAACACATCAATTATAGTAATCGCCATTCACGAACCAGGCACCATTACGCAATAAAGCAGCATAGGATAGTGGGGGTGATGCTATTATTCGATACGACAGAGTGACCAGTCGTGTCATTTCTGTGGAACAGAATACTTGTATGAATGAATATGAATGAAACATTATTTCCCTTGAAATAACCAATATATGACTAATACGTTGTTTTACCGACCTTTCAGATCCATCCAGAAGATCCCATTTTAGTAAGTATTGTGGTTACGACTTGTGGTATTTGTGACATGCTTTAAAACATCCACAGCATGAAGAGTTACGTTTGTAGTTTCCGTAAACCTCTAAGTTACCACTTCAGTTTAGACTCCTTAAGTCAGCCATCAAATTTCTTTGTAATTTTCAAGTGTTTTACATTGTTAATTTAACGAAATGTCCATCCAAATGTATGATATTTTTTAGGGTATCCAGAAGGTATCCGTCCCGCTAACGTTTCGGATCCAAAATGATTTGGTACCTGCAACGTTTCCGGAGATTTTCTGGAAAACGGAAACCTGAAATGTTATTGGTATTATTGCATGGTTATGGTAGTTAATGGGAATGCTTTATCATGTTTATTATCATGTTTTATTATCAAGTAAATAATTTTGCTAGAATAAAACATCACACGAACATCATATAAATACAGTGTCTTGATTACCTTGGGAATTCTTTCGAGACAAAAAGTATTCATGTCATCCCCAATGTCGAAACCTGAAACAATGTATGTTTACCACAGACGCATCTGTATGTCAATGAAACTTAGAACATGTCATCCTTTGGCCGGGTCAGAAAAGGCCGTGTCAGGTCAAACGCGCTATGACGCTGTCCGCTGTAGTTTTCACAAGCATGCCATTTACTGCAGATAGTAATGTTATAAGTCTTATACAGGTAATACTTTATATGATCACGTGGTCACAATCTGACAATAAAAGGATCAGGTCACGGTGACCTACTTTTAGCCTATTTTTGTTGTATTAAAATCCATCTCTATATCATATTGTGTTTTGCCCTTGGAAAAGTTCCTAAAATGCTTGTAAACTATAATGATTCGTCCTGAAAGTCACTTAAGTCAACGTGGTTGACTCCCTGTTCTGCAGTCACATATTTTAGGAAAGCGGAAGTGGTGATAACACACTGAAAGCATATCGTGATGTGTACTGCTTCAGAAGCCCTTACATATAAAATGTTAATGCAAGGATATAACCAGTCTTGAATATCCACTGAAACAGATTCCATTTGGCGTAAAGGGCAAAAAAGCTGTAAACATTATATGAATGGCCCTTTGAAAATCATGGTAATGGGATTGATGACGTTGCTCTTGTTTAGCAAATGATTAAAATGAAATTCTAGTTTCTTTTATTTCTATTATTTTTTTACATTTTTGTTTAATACTGCTTATCATCACTATTATAAATGTGTCACTTTATTAAGGAGTGTGAACACGACTGCATCTCTTTGGAATCCAATTTTATATCCTGAAGTTTATCAGTATGATGTATGTTCTTACAAAAATGGAACAACTATCTACTCATGGCGAGGCAAAAGTAGTAAACACACAGACGAAACAAATCCTTAAAACTCAATAAAGCAACATGATGAAAGCTAAAACTGCTTCCCCCCAAAACATTTCTATTTCTTATTTTCTTTAATACTTGCTTCCGAGTAGTTTGGTATAGGTCACGTTACTGTCTAAGCCGGGTTGAAGATTTTATGTTCTGTATATATTGTTTGCATATTCTCCAGATAAGTGTGGAAGATGCTCAGAGGTGCTTCAGAATTGTGAAGATGAGTTGTCAACACTCAAAAACCTATTCTTCATTCATATCTATCCTTATTAGGGCGCATCGCCGTTTCAGTTCACTAAGATACTGTCTCATTTTAGAAATTATCATGGTGGCGTTCTTATAGTACATTAGCGCAAAACAACCGATTCAGGGGACTGACTGTCTTTATAACTTTTTAACCAAATATTTGGCTCAATCCTCACCCATGATTTGGTTACATGTGATGTGTTTAAATCATAACAAATCAGAAATTACATAGATGTGTTCAGAGTAGATGTCGAGCCATCAGATATGTTTCTTACGTGTGATTGTAAACGAAGTTCACTTCTTTGTCTATTGACAAATTCGAAAATGGCTCAAACGAAAAATAAGACAATTCCTGTTTTCTTTGTGACAATTCTCGTGCCAACTGCCTCCTAAGCACTTAAGGAGAGAATGTTAAACGACATAGTGGAAGACATCATGACTAGTCTATCTAGCCCTGAACATATGACAGCCCTTTCAAAGAAAAAAAGTGGCCGAACTATGTTCGTTGTTGTGGTTTTGGCTAAAATATGATGACACTCCTTAAGAGCATCAAGGATATAGAAAGGACCATCTGATGCAAGGTCTGAAGAAGAATTTGCGAGTTCCTAAAAACAAACATTCAAAGGTTTGACTTCAAGACATTTTTTGTGATGAAGATAGCATTATCCAAAGACGCGGACAATGGAGCCTGTCAAGGAACCGAATCTTGTAAAATTGGAGAGGAGAGAATGGTTCGACTACCCTTTGAAACATGGGTTAACGAGGCCTTTGAGTGAACAACGAGGATTCAACCATATATTCTGAGAACCCTGGGATATTTCTTTTAAGACAGATAATGTTTTTGATATTTTTCATTCAGTTCAAGTTCACAGAGAGATCATACTTTCTCTGAAAAGCCTAAACATATTTTATCTGTCTGTCTGTCTATCGTCTGACTGCCTCTTTGTATGTCTGTCTGTCTGCAACTGTGATATCGATATCACGTGTGATGTCAACAGTGCTTGAATTACTGTGTGAATTCTTGGGCAAAATAGGTCCTCAGCACCCAATGTGTATTGTGAGAGCTGACTTTAGTCAGGATCGGGTGGTAAGAATGAGTTACTTGCTGGTTGTTGTCATCGTTCCATGGTGGCGTTAATCGCTGCTTGTATTTGTATCAACCACATTTGTATCTGTGCCAGGCTAGATATTTAAAGGCGGCTAATTCGGGATTTTTTACGAACATTTTCAGCAAAGACTTAGGGACTGAACATCGGCCTCTCACCAGTTCAATCACTGTACTTGTTACACACAATGGATTAGTGTACATATTTCAAAGGTGGATGGAAAGAAAAAAGTAACAGTAATTAGGTGAACCGGTATTCAGCATGACATTTCGTATTGACACTGAAACAACAGTCGGGATTGTTCCGCAATTTCACTGACATTTTACACGTTTTTGACAATGTCGAAACATATTTTAGAACGTTGCAAATCCAAGAGTGTAAGACAATTGTTTTGTTGTTTAAGGCTTCAGTCAGCCATATTCCAGCTATATCACATATCGCCTAAAATAATTAAGTCTGAACCAGTAAAACCAGTAAATTTCACTTCGAGTAACGTCCCAGTTTGTTTTGGAACAGTGAAACGCAATCAACAATATATACCAAGCCTGACCAACCGATCCATTAATTTGCCTCTTGTAACATCCATAGGTTACTTGGACCATACCAGGCATTTTACCCATAATTTCACAATTATTTCATAATTATATTATCCATTATATTACATTTGAGATTTATGTATCTGGTACCACCGGCTTCTTGTGTCAATATACGCAAATATCAATCGAATCTGTGTATTCAGGTATGTATCATGTGGCATCTGCGAAGAATACGACCGACGCAAACCACACACTATTTGACAATTATGCCGAAACATATTTTAGAACCTTGCCAATGAAAAGTTTAAAACAATTTGTAATCTTCGTAACGCTGCAGTCGGCAATACTCAAGCCATATCACAGTGGTCCACAACTAATTGAGTGTGGACCAGACAAAGCAGCAACTGGCATTTCGAGCAATGTTCTAGGTTGTCGGGGTACAGTGACATGCAGTCAACCAAATCACCAAGACTGACCTCCCGATCCACTGAATTGCATCTTATAACAACCATAGGTGACAACCACTCACTTTAAACATGAGATCCCTACAGACAGTTTAACACTTACCAAAGTCCATGTTATCTTTTGGTTTAAATGTGAGCTGTGTATCTGGTACACTAATTCCATGCATCCATAAACGCAAAGATCAATCGATTGTGTCATTATTAACAGTTGAAACTTCTTTTTTTACAGGAGCAAGACCTTTGGCGAGTGAACGTCGTAAGTATGGAATGGCACAGTATTACAGGCTACATGGAGACTGACTGTCTGACTGTGTAGGGTTTTAATCTGCTTAGCAATATCCCGGAAAAATCAAGCCAAGGGACAGTAGAAATTGGCTTCATATATTGTACCAATGTGGGGATGGAGCGGCAGTTTCACAGGACATATGGTGTCACAGCACCAAAAGGGGTGGTTTCTGTCCGCGGATTCGTCATTGATACCGCCTGACACTGAGCTTTTGTGTATCGGGTATACTGATTCAATGCACCTTCGTATGTACGCAATCGATGGCGTGTTTATTAACAGTAGATACTTCTTTTCTTCCAGTCGCAAAGATGATTGATGAATTTCGTTAGTATGGAGTGGCAGAGTGTCACAGGGTAAATGGAGACTGATTGACTGAGTAGGGTTTTACTCCGCTTTTAGCAATATATTAGAAATGTCACACTAGGGGACATCAAAAACGGGCTTGATATAATATACTATGTGCTACAACCACTGGGCAACCCCACGACCCATGAATAGATAAATGAAGAATAGGTTCAGACAGATCACGTTAATGAAATGGAACATACACTTTACTGCCATGAAATATATAGAGATATTTAATAACCTCTTAAATTTTCCATAAATATACTTTTGACAAAGCATAAGTAATCAAATCAAAGTGATTGCTTCTAAATCAACTCACATGTGATGATGTAAAGCAGTGGTCTGATATTAAGGGGTATCTTAATTTTGTTCGTGTTAACCATGAGTAGGATTCAAAGTGTTCGTGGAGCACCAATGTCAAGTAATCAAAATAAGTAGACCCTTTCTAATCGCAGTTAATCAGCTTTTTTATAGGGGTAATGTACATTATAAGTTCTCAACCGACATCGAGGAGTATATATATGGTGTGATGTATCCTGTGTACCCCGGGGTTACACAGGCTCACACACAAGGTACATCACATCATATGCCCCGAGGGTCGGTTGACAACGAACTTATTTTACCGATATTCATTCACACAGGTCAGGAATCTATGTAATGTGTCTGGACTTTATGCTATCAATGAACTGTAATTATAAGACTACTTTTGAGCCACCACTGAGCCATCTGCTTCTGTTTGTTATTGTTAGTTGTTCTATTACCATATTGATTGAGATATATATCAAACATTCCAATCTTGGATTCGGAAGGTTTGGGATTACATTTTATAGAATTAACACATCAAAAAACGTCAGAATGCATCATCAATATATTTTCACTGGCAACTTTCTGGAATTTTAGTCACTGTGTCAACTGTTTATCCATCGTTACCAAAAACACTTCCCTCGACAGTTGACGAAAACTCGTATCATCTGCACTTCAGTTGTGATCACACATGGATGAAAGATTCTAAAATCTAATCCGAACTCACCACTTTTAGCAATATCCCAGAAATATCACAAACGGGGCGTCAGAAACGGGGTTGGTATAACGTATTAGGCCCTTTCTAATCGCAGTTAATTAACTTTTTATAGGGGTAATGGACATTATAAACCGACCTCGAGGAGTATGTCTAAAACCTGAACATTTCTCGTAAACTGAACTTTAAATGGATATTGAATGAGGAAAACATTTGGAAAGAACAATCTGTCCCATAGCGGTTTCTCTTCAGTATGATAGAAATGAAAAGACAATACAATATGTACTTTGTATATAGTAACAGCTTGCTTGTTCACCTTGTAATAATAATGGCAAGTTATATTATCACACCTGAGCGGTTTATTCACTGTAACTAATAACTTTAAACTCGATAATTGACGAAAACTCATTTTGCATTATCTTCAACTTGGTTGTGATGCTACATTGCTGAATCCGTCTTAAATCTGCACAATTCAATATAGCGTCTTGATTACCTTGGTAATTCTTTCGAGACAATGTTTATTCATGTCATCCACAATGTCTTTACCTGAAACAATGTCTGTTTACCAGAAACGCATCGACTGTATGTCAATGAAACTTAGAACATGTCATCCTCGGGGCAGGTCTGAAAAGGTCGTGAATCACTGCCGTGTCAGGTCAAACGCACTATGAAGCTGTACGCTGTAGGTTTCACAAGCACTTTGTATTATCTACAACTTGGTTGTGATGCAACATTGCTTAATCCGTCTTAAATCTGCACAATTCTCGTAAACTTACTTTTATATTAATATAAATTTCTCTGATTATCTTCAATTAAATTGTATCGTATATATCTATCACCGGATGGATAAAATTGAATTTCATGCAATATATATTCGCTAACATTAATTATATTCATTCCAGTGTTGATAAATAAACAATGCAAGCGATTCCATGGCATTTGATTGGCTAACCAAGGTATTATCTTGCTTTAGGGCAACTTTTCCCTGATTGGCTGACAACAGAGTGGCCTGGCTTGCGTTGCATTAATACGTCGATCAATGACACTGATTTCGTATTGTTGCCTTCAGTTGTACAACACAAAGGATACATCAAATAATCTTCTCTGATGGATTATCCTGAAACGAATTTTGCTTGTCGGGGTTTTATATTGTTTAGGTAAATCTTAAAGGAAACGGATGCGAAGGGGTTGTTTGTCGCCATATTGCCAAGTGAGCTCGAAACGACAATGTATTAATGTTAAGGCTCTGTAAATCACGTACATCTCAGGTAAATGTTTTAATACAAATTCAGCCACACATCCAATGTTTTAACATTTATAGAAATATCCATGAGGTGCATTAACACATAACAGCTGCGGTAGTGTACATATGTCACATTTATATTGACATATGTACATATTGATTATATGTCATATCTATATTTACAAGGTTTTGAAACAATTGTAGATATGTTAAAAAATATTTGTTACTTATATTACTCTTGCCATTTGAAAATATACCACAGCTGCATGACTAATACGTTTTTTTACGGACCTTTCAGACACTTCAAGATTGGTGCTAGCGCTAGCTAGTAAGTATTGTGGTTACAGCCTGTGGCACTTGTGACATGCTTTAAAACATCCACAACGTCACGTTTCTATTTTCCGTAAACTTCTCAGATACTACTTCATTCTAGATATCTTCCGCAACTTTCAAATTTCTTGCAATTTTTTAGGTGTTTTAAATGTCTCAATTTAATGAAATGTCTAACTAAATGTTTGACATTTTTAGAGGGTATCCGCAAGGTATCCATCTCGCACACTTTTTCAGATCCAAAATGAAACGCTACCTGGAACGTTACTGGAGCGTTTTTTTAAAAAAACGGAAACAAGTCTTTTCAGTCTGTTATTTGTATTAATGTGTAATGTTAACAGTGCCTGAATTACTGTTTGAATTCTCGGGCAGAATAGGTCCCCAGCACCCAATGTTTATTGTTAGAGCTGACTTAAGTCAGGATCAGGTGGTGAGAATGTGTTACTTGCTGTTTGTTGTCATCGTTCCATGATGGCGTGAATCGTTGCTCGTATTTGTATGAACCACATTTTTGTCTGTTCCAGGCTAAGTATTTTAAGGCGGCTTTTATATAGTAGTGTTGCTGACATTCACTGATTGGTTGCTGTGTTTGGGAAATCGAAAAAAATTATGATAAACATTCTACTACTAACCGACCCATTTTTTATTCTAAAAAGGGATGAGAAACCAGAATCTTTTATGGCCTGAAATACGAATGCTTGTTATGTTCCTCTATTTAGTGATTATGGCTTGTTTAAGGAAACACGCTAGTATAATTACTGCTAAAGAATACAAATTATTGTCCTGTAGTAGGTGATAATGACATTCATAGAAGTATGCATACCTGAGGTAACCTGAACTACGTTGGAAACACATCGTTTCCTCCCTCCAGGTCTATCCCTGTAATTGTTACACACAATGCATTAGTGTAGATATATCCAAGGTGGATGGAAAGAGACAATGAACAGTAATTAGATGAACCTGTATTCGGCATGACATTTCGAATTTACGCTGAAACAAAAGTCGGGATTGTTCGACCAATTTCACTGACATTTTACTATGAGAGACCTTTTTATGTGATGTTTTATTAAAAACAACAGGAAATATTACCATTTACTATGTTTTACGTATTTCCCTCTTTACCCGATTATGTTAACTCTGCGGTTCTTTCATGATGTAATCCATCAATGTCAAGGCAGGGGCCTGCAGAAATGGCATTCATATGTTGCACCCATGCGAACAGTACGGCTACCCCCTTGAGTAGATAAATGAAGAGACAGTTTAGACCAAACATGTTAATGTAATGGAATATCGCTTTACCCCCATTAAATACTTTTTCTAACTGGGAATTATGAACACAGTTTGTGTTTGAAGTAAGAGCTTAATCATGACATTCACACTCAATAGCAATTTCACAATGCCGAAAGGCCTATGCGTGGTTTATGTCCGTCAGATTCGTGTCGAATATCACCAGATACTTACCTTTCCGGAAGCATTTCGGGTAAGTTTCATTTGGTATCCGCTGAGAATCAGATAGATGCAAGACCCGTGAAGATCCGGGGTAGAATAGGTCTTCAACAATCCATGCTTGCCTTAAAAGGCGACTATGCTTGTCGTAAAAGGCAGCTAACGGGATCGGGGAGTCAGGCTCGCTGACTTGGCTGATTCATATCATCGATTCCAATTTGGTGGATCGATGCTCATTTTGTCAATCACTGGATTGTCTGGTGCAGACTCGATTATTTGCAGACCGCCGTCATATAGCTGGAATGTTGCTGAGTGCGGCGTAAAACAACAACAACAACAAAAAAAGATGCGAACTTCACCTTTTTTGACAATGTCGAAACATATTTCAGAACGTTGCAAATCCAAGAGTGTAAAACAATTTGTTTTGTTGTTTATGGCTTCACTAAGCAACATTCCAGCTATATTACAGCGGCCTAAAATAATTAAGTCTAAACCAGTAAAACCAGTAAATTGCACTTCGAGTAACGCCTCAGTTTGTAAGGGAACAGTGTAACGCAATCAACAATATCACCAAGCCTGACCACCCGATCCATTAAGTTGCCTCTTTTAACATCCATTGGTTACTTGGACCATACCAGGCATTTTACCCATAATTTCACAATTCCTTCAAGTTTATATTATCTATTGTATTACATGTGAGATTTATGTTTATGTATCTGGTACCACCGGTTTCTTGTGTCAATATACGCATAGATCATAGAATACAATTGTGTATTCAGGCATGTATCAGGTGGTATTTGCGAAGAATACTACCGACGCAAACCACACACTTTTTGACAATTATGTCGAATTATATCTTAGAACCTTGCCAATGTAAAGTGAAGACAATTTGTAATCTTTGTGACGCTGCAATCGGCAATACTCAAGCCATATCACAGCGGTTCACAACTAACTGAGTAAGGACCAGACAAGGCAGCAACTGGCATTTCGAGCAACGTTCTAGGTTGTCGGGGTACAGTGACATGCAATCAATCAAATCACCAAGACTTACCTCCCGATTCATTGAGTTGCATCTTATAACAACCATAGGCTAACCTACTTGAGACAACTCACTTTAAACATGAGATCCCTACAGACAGTTTAACACTTACCAAAGTCCATGTTATCTATTGGTTTAAATGTAAGCTTTTGTGTACCTGGTACACTAATGCCATGCATCCATAAACGCAAAGATCAATCGAGTGTGTCATTATTTACAGTATATACTTCTTTTCTTACAGAACAAAGCATTTGGGTGCCTGAACATCGTAAGTATGGAATGGCACAGTATCACAGGATACATGGAGACTGACTGTCTGACTGAGCAGCGTTTTACACCACTTTTAGCAAAATTCCAGAAATATAACGATGGGGGGCATCAGAAACGGGGTTAATATAATGTACTCAAGTGGGGAATTGAACCTCCGCCAAAAATACGAACCACGCAAACCACGCCCATTTGATAATTTTGTCGAAACATCTTTCAGAACGTTGCAAATGTAAGAGCGTAAGACAAATTGTTTTGTTGTTCAAGGCTTCAGTCAGCAATATTCCAACTATATCACAGCGGTCTTAAAAATTAAGTTTGAACCAAATAAACCAGTAACTTGCACTTCGAGCAACGTCCCAGGTTGTGGAGGGACAGCCATACGCAATCAACATTCTCACCGAGCCTGATCACCCGATCCATTGAGTTAATTCTTAATTCATAGGTTACTGGCATCCTACCCATAATTTTACACTTTTCTTAAGTTTATATTATCTATTGTATTTAATGTGAGATATTTATCCGGTACACTGGTTTCATGTGTCAAATTACGCATAAATTAATCGAATTTGTGTTTATTAACAGTAATATATTTCGTTTCTTCCAGCCACAAGATCCAGAGGTAAGTATGGAATGACAAAGCGTAACAGGATACATGGAGACTGACTGACTAAGTAGGCATTTATTCCACCTTAGCAATATCCCAGAAGTATCAAGGCGGGGGACAGCAGAAATGAGCTTCATGTATAATATCCATGTGGGGAATTAACCTTCGACGTGACCAGCGAACGGTACAACCACTGGGCTACCCAACTGTTCCTTGACTAGATACATGAAGAGTCAGATTGGACAACCATGTTATTGTAATGGAACATTCACTTCACTTCCATTAAATATACTTTTACTAACATAGTATCATGTACACGGTTTGTGTTTAAAGTAATCTCAATCTGGAAATTCACAATCAGTAGCCATATCACAGCACCAAAAGGGGTGGTTTCTGTCTGCCGGATCTGGGGCGGATATCACCGGATGCCAGGGTGCATTTAGGTTAGGTATCCAGAGGTATCTGCGAAAAATCTGACAGACGCAGACATGGAGACTGACTGACTGAGTAGGGTACTACTCCGCTTATAGCATTATCCCAAAAATATCCCTTTGGGTGGCATCAGAAACGGGCATGACATAGTGTACTCACTTGGGGAATTGAACCTTCCACGAAACTGGTGAACGCTAGAAGCGTCGGCTACCCAACCGCCCCTTGAATAGAGAAAAGAAGACTCAGTTTAGACCAACCTTGTTATTGTAATCGAACATGTACTTCACTCCCATTAATTATGCTTTTACAAACATAGAATCATGTGCACAGTGAGTGTTTTAAGCAGGGGCTTAATCTTGAAATTCACATTAAGTAGCCACATCACAGTACTCAAAGGGATGGTGTCTGTCCGCCGCTTTCGTGGCAGATATCACCGGATACCAGGAGGCATTTCGGGCAAGTATCAGGTGGTATCTGTCAAGAATACGACAGACGCAAACCACGACTTTTTGACAATTATGTTGAAGCATATTTTCGAATGTTGCAAATCTAAGAGTGAAAGACTAATTGTTGTTGTTTTTTAAGACTTTAGTCGGCAATATTGCAGCTGTATCACAGCGGCCATAAAACAAATAGGTCTGAAACAAATAAACCAGTAACTTGCACTTCGAGCAACGCCCTAGGGTGTTGGGGAACAGTGATACGCAATCAACCGAATCACCGATCCTGACACAGGAAACATGGAAACTGACTGTCTGACTGAGTAGGGTTTTGATCCGCTTTAGCAATATCCCGGGAAAATCAAGCCAAGGGACAGCAGAAATGGGCTTCATATATTGTACCAATGTGGGGATGGAGTGCTACAGTGTCACAGGATACATGGTGACTGACTGACTGACTGAGTAGGGTTTTACACCAATTTTAGCAAATAATACAGAAATATAACGGTGGGTGGGTCAGAAACGAGGTTGATATAATCTACTCAAGTGGGGAATTGAACCTACGACGTGACCAGCGAACACTACAAACACTTGGCCACGCCACCGGCTCTTGAATAGATAAATGAAGACTCAGTTTATACCAAACATGTTCTTGTAATGGAAGATACACTTTACGGCCTAAAAACAAATAGGTCTGAACCAGATAAACCAGTAACTTGCACTTCGAGCAACGCCCTAGGGTGTTGGGGAACAGTGATACATAATCAACCAAATCACCGAGCCTGACACAGGATACATGGAAAATGACTGTCTGAGTAGGGATTTAATCCGCTTTAGCAATACATTCAGCCGAGGGACAGCAGCAATGGGCTTCATATATTGTACCTATGCGGGGATGGAGTAGAACAGTGTCACAGGATACATGGTGACTGACTGACAGACTGAGTTGGGTTTTACACCACTTTTAGCAATTTCCAAGAAATATCACGATGTGGGCGTATTGTATTAGGCCCTTTCTAATCGCAGTTAATTAACTTTTTTATAGGGGTAATGTTCATTATAAACCGGTCTCGAGGAGTATGTATATAATCTAAACATTTCTCGTCAACTCAACTTTAAATCAATATTGAATGAGGAAAACATTTGGAAAGAACAATCTGTCCCATAGCGGTTTCTCTTCAGTATGGTAGAAATTAAAAGACAATACAATATGTTCTTTGTATACAGCAACAGATTGATTGTTCACCTTGTAATAATAATTGGCAAGTTATAGTATCACACTTGAGCAGTTTATTCACTGTAACTAATAACTTTAAAATCGATATTTGACGAAAAGTCACTGTGTATTATCTACAACTTGGTTGTAATGCTACATTGCTGAATCCGTCTTTAATCTGCACAATTCTCGTAAACTCACTTCTATATTAATATACATTTCTCTGATTATCTTCAATTAAATTGTATCGTATATATCTATCACCGTATTGATAAAATTGAATTTCACGCAATAGATATTCGCTAACATTAATTATATTCATTACAGTGTTGATAATTAAACAATGCAAGCAATTCCATGGCATTTGATTGGCTAACCAAGGTATTATCTTGCTTTGGGGCAACTTTTCCCTGAATGGCTGATAACAGATTGGCCTGGCTTGCGTTGCATTAATACGTCGATCGATGACACTGATTTCGTATTGCTGTCTTCAGCTGTACAACACAAAGGATACATCAAATAATCTTCTCTGATGGATTATCCTGAAACGTATTTAGTTTGTCGGGGTTTTATATTGTTTAGGTAAATCTTAAAGGAAACGGATGCGAAGGGGTTGTTTGTCGCCATATTGCCAAGTGAGCTCAAAACGACAATGTATTAATATTAAGGCTCTGTAAATCACGTACATCTCAGGTAAATGTTTTAATACAAATTCAGCCACACATCCAATGTTTTACATTTAGAGAAATATTCATAAGGTGCATTAACACATAACAGCTGCGGTAGTGTACATATGTTATATCTATATTTACAAGGTTTTGAAGCAATTGTAGATATGTTAAAAGATATTTGTTACTTATATTATTCTTGCCATTTGACAATATACCACAGCTGCATGACTAATACGTTGTTTTTCCAGGCCTTTCAGACACTTCAAGTCTGGTGGTATCGCCAGCTAGTTAGTATTGTGGTTACAGCCTGTGACACTTGTGACATGCTTTAAAACATCCACAACGTCACGTTTCTATTTCCGTAAACTTCTCAGATACTACTTCATTCTAGATATCTTCCGCAACTTTCAAATTTCTTGCAATTTTCAGGTGTTTTAATTGTCTCAATTTAATGAAATGTCTAACTAAATGTTTGACATTTTTAGAAGGTATCCGGAAGGTATTCATCTCGCAAACGTTTTTTTTCATTCTGTTATTTGTATTAAAGTGTAATGTTAACAGTGCCTGAATTACTGTTTGAATTCTTGGGCAGAATAGGTCCCCAGTACCCAGTGTTTATTGTTAGAGCTGACTTAAGTCAGGATCAGGTGGTAAGAATGTGTTACTTGCTGTTTGTTGTCATCTTTCCATGATGGCGTGAATCGTTGCTCATATTTGTATGAACCACAGTTTTGTCTGTGCCAGGCTAAGTATTTTAAGGCGGCTTTTATATAGTAGTCTTGCTGACATTTACTGATTGGTTGCTGTGTTTGGGAAATCGAAAAGAATTATGATAAACATTCTACTACTAACCGACCCATTTTTTTATTCTAAAAAGGGATGAGAAACCAGAATATTTTATGGCCTGAAATACGAATGCTTGTTATGTTCCTCTATTTACTTATTATGGCTTGTTTTTAGGAAACACGCTAGTGTAATTACTGCTAAAGAATACACATTATTGCCCTGTGGTAGGTGATAAAGACATTCATCACCTTAACTACGTTGGAAACACATCGTTTCCTCCCTCCAGGTCTATCCCTGTAATTGTTACACACAATGCATTAGCCTGACATTTCGAATTTACGCTGAAACAAAGGTCTGGATTGTTCGACCAATTTCACTGACATTTTACAATGAGTGACTTTTTTATGTCATGTTTTACTAAAAATAACAGGAGATATTACCATGTACTATGTTTTACGTATTACCATCTTTACCCGATTATGTTACCTCTGCGGTTCTGTCATGATGTAATCCATCAATGTCAAGGCAGGGGACTGCAGAAATGGCATTCAAACGTTGCACCCATGCGAACGGTACGGCTACCCAATCGCCCCTTGAGTAGATAAATGAAGAGACAGTTTAGACCAACCATGTTAATGTAATGGAATATCGCTTTAGCCCCATTAAATACTTTTTTTTTAACTAGGAATTATGAACACAGTTTGTGTTTGAAGTAAGAGCTTAATCATGACATTCACACTCAATAGCCATTCCACAATGCCGAAAGGCCTATGCGTGGTTTATGTCCGTCAGATTCGTGTCGAATATCACCGGATACTTACCTTTCCGGAAGCATTTCGGTTAAGTTTCATTTGGTATCCGCTGAGAATCAGATAGATGCAAGACCCATGAAGATCCGGGGTAGAATAGGTCTTCACCAATACATTCTTGCCTTATAAGGCGAATATGCTTGTCGTGAAAGGCAACTAACGGGATCGGGTGGTCAGGTTCGCTGACTTGGCTGATTCATATCATCGATTCCAATTTGGTGGATCGATGCTCATTTCGTCAATCACTGGATTGTCTAGTGCAGACTCGATTATTTGCAGACCGCCGTCATATAGCTGGAATGTTGCTGAGTGGGGCGTAAAACAACAAACAACCAAACAAAAGATGCGAACTACACCTTTTTTGACAATGTCGAAACATATTTCAGAACGTTGTAAATCCAAGAGTGTAAGACAATTTGTGTTGATGTTTCAGAACGTTGCGTTGTTTAAGGCTTTAGTCAGCAATATTCCAGCTATATCACAGCGGCCTAAAATAATTAAGTCTAAACCAGTAAAACAGGCTAATTGCACTTCGAGAAACGCCACAGTTTGTCAGGGAACAGTGTAACAGAATCAACAATATCACCAAGTCTGACCACCCGATCCATTAAGTTGCCTCTTTTAACATCCATAGGTTACTGGGACCATACCAGGCATTTTACCCATAATTTCACAATTCCTTCAAGTTTATATTATCTTTTGTATTATATATTAGATTTATGTTTATGTATCTGGTACCACCGGTTTCTTGTGTCAATATACGCATAGATCATAGAATACAATTGTGTATTCAGGTTTGTATCAGGTGGTATTTGCGAAGAATACGACCGACGCAAACCACACACTTTTTGACAATTATGTCGAAACGTATCTTAAAACCTTGCCAATGTAAAGTTAAGAGAATTTGTAATCTTTGTGACGCTGCAATCGGCAATACTCAAGCAATATCACAGTGGTTCACAACTAATTGAGTATGGACCAGACAAAGCAGCAACTGGCATTTCGAGCAACGTTCTAGGTTGTCGGGGTACAGTGACATGCAAATCAATCAAATCACCAAGACTGACCTCCCGATCCACTGAGTTGCATCTTATAACAACCATAGGTGACAACCACTCACTTTAAACATGAGATCCCTACAGAAAGTTTAACACTTACCAAAGTCCATGTTATCTATTGGTTTAAATGTAAGCCTTTGTGTACCTGGTGCACTAATTCCATGCATCCATAAACCCATAGATCAATCGATTGTGTCATTATTAACAGTAGATACTTCTTTTCTTACAGGACAAAGAATTAGGGCGCCTGAACTTCGTAAGTATGGAATGGCACAGTATCACAGGATACATGGAGACTGACTGTCTGACTGAGTAGGGTTTTACACCACTTTTAGCAAAATCCCAGAAATATAACGATGGGGGGGGGGCATCAGAAACGGGGTTGATATAATGTACTCAAGTGGGGAATTGAACCTTCGACGTGACCAGCGAACACTACAAACACTTGGCCACGCTACCGGCTCTTGAATAGATAAGTGGAGACTCAGTTTAGACCAAAGGTTTTATGGTAATGGACATACACTTTACTCCCATTAAACATACCTTTGCAAAATAGAATTATGTGGACGGATTGTGTTTTAACTAGGAGCTTAATCTTGAATTTCACATTCAGTAGCCACATCAAAGCACCAAAACGGGTGGTTTCTGTCCGCCGGGTTCGTGGTGGATATCACTGAATACTAGGATACATTTCGGGCTGGCATCAGGTGGTATCCGCCAAGACTTTAGTAGCCATATCATAGTGCCAAAAGGAGTGGTTCCCTTCGCCGCATCCTTGGCGGAGACTATAGGATACTTACCCTTCCTTCTATCAATATGCATTTCGGGAATGTATAAGGTGGTATCTGCCAAGAACACGACAGACGCAAACCACACCTTTTTGACAAAATGATTGCTTCTAAATCAACTGAAATTCCACGATGTAAAGCACTGGTCTGTTATTAATTTCGTTTGTTTAACCATGAGTTTGGTTGAAAGTGTACATGGAGCACCAATGTCAAGTGATCAAAATAAGTAGGCCCTTTCTAACCGCTGTTAATTAGCTTTTTTTATAGAGATAGTGTACATCATAAGTTCTCAACCGATCCCGAGGAGTATATGGTGCGATGTCCACTGTGTACCACCAACCGTCAGGCGAGGGTTACACAGGCTCACATACAAGGTACATCACACCACACGCCCCGAGGGTCGGTTGACAACGAATTTATGTTACCGATATTCATTCACACAGGTTCGGAATGCTTGTAATTTTATGAGTCTGGACTTAATGCTATCAATAAACTGTAAATATAGGATTACTTTAATGCCAACATTATTTGTTATTGTTAGTTGTTCTATTATCATATTGAGTGAGATATATATTAAACCTTCCCATCTTGGATTTTGAAGGTTTGAGATTACATTTTATTGAATTCTGTAGAATTAACACATCCGAATATCTGTGAATGCATAATCAACATATTCCACTGGTTACTCTCTGAAATTTTAGTCAGCTGTTTATACAACGTAGCCAAAAACATTAAACTTGGCAATTGACGATAATTCGTATTATATACACTTCATTTGTAGGCATACATGGCTAAATAAATCTACAAATCTGAACTTTTCTCGTAAACTAAACTTTAAACGGATATTGAATATGAAAGCATTTGGAAAAAAACAATCTATCCCATAGCAGTGTCTCTTCAGTATGGTAGAAATGGAAAGACAATAAAATATCTACTTAGTATATAGTAACAGCTTGTTTGTTGACCTTGTAATGATATTCAGCAAACTGTAGTATCACCACTGAGCAGTTTATTCACTTTAACTAATTACTTTAAACTCGATAATTGATGAAAAGTCATTTTGTATAATGTACAACTCGGTTGTGATGACACATGGCTGAAGCCATCTTAAATCTGCACAGTTCTCGTAAACTAAATTTTATATAAATATATATTTCTCTGATTATTTCTCTGATTATTTAAATTGTATCATATTGTTGATAAAATTGAATTACACTCAATATTAATTCGCTAACATTAATGATCTTCTGTACAGTGTTGATAAATAAACAATGCAAGCGATTCCATGGCATTTGATTGGCTAACCAAGGTATTATCTTCCTTTGGGGCTACTTTTCCCTGATTGGCTGATAACAGCGAGGCCTGGTATGTGACACTGATTTCGTATGGTTGTCTACATCTGTACCACACAAAGGATACATCAAATAATTTCTCCGAGTGATTATCCTAAAACGAATTTCGCTTTCTGGTGTTTTATTTTATTTTGGCAAAGTTTAAAACAAACGGATGCGAAGGGGTTGTTTGTCGCAATATTGCTATAGACGACAATGTATGTATGTTTAGGCTTTGTACATCAAGGACATCTCAGGTCAATTTTATTGCCAATATACCTGTTTTGTTTCAGTTTTATACCGCTGTGGCGGGCAAATTTATGAAAACCATTAACCCCAAAAATTAAGTATTTTAGATGTTAGGCAAGATAAAAAGGTAAGTCACATTTAATGTTTTACAATAAGAGAAATATCCATGGGGAGCATTAAGGTTCAATACATAATAGGTGTGGAGGTGTACATTTGTCATTTTTTTATATTTACAAGGTTTAGAAACAATTGTAGATGTGTTACTATTACTATTTGTTTACTTTCAGACGACAAGCTTCAACCAATTCCGGTATCGGAAGTCCGTCTGTGTAAGTATTGTGGTCACGACCTGTGGTATTTGTGACATGCTTTAAAGCATCCACAGCATGATATATCAGATATATCACTCCATTTGCGAGCCCTTCAGCAGTCTTCAAATATGCTTTTAATTTACGGATGTTTTAAGCTTCAGGTATATCGATGATCTGATATCGTTCAATAACAATCACATGGCCAATTCTCTTCCACTGATTTACAAACCAGAACAAGAAATCAAAGGATACCAGAGTAACAAAACACTCTTCACAAGACAAGGGATGACTTCAACTTTCCAATAGTCAACTTTCCCTTCATGTCGAGCAATAAATCCAGCAGCGCCAGTCTTTGGTTTTTACATTTCACAACTTTTGAGATATAATCGAGCATGCTCTTTCTGCAAAGATTTCAACGAGCATAATGCGACTATTGAAGTTGTTTGATCAAGGTTACAATATTCCATCCCTCTGTAAAGCTTTCAAAATGTTTTATGGAAGCCTTGTGGAGGACATTTCCAAATTTGACGCATCAGTGACAAAAATGATGCCAAATGCAATTCTCTGTTTTGACGTCCGCCATATGTTCCCATGTCTTTTTCAGGTGAACAATTTACTTGCCTTTACATGTGTTTATGATGGTTACCACCGGTGAGGCAGGATACGATCACCTGCTCGCGAACACCTGGCATCATTACTCGTTGATAGTGATTCATAAACACATGCTCATGATATGGTCGGAATTGTACAATCGATTCTGCTTTATGCAGAGATTTCTATTGGGCATGGACAGGGTTTTGTCGCTTTATTTACAAGGTATCCGTCCCTCAAATATTTCGAATCCAAAATGGGAAGGTACCTGGAGCGGTACCGGAACGCTCTGGTAAACGTAAACCTGACTTTTCATTCTGTTATTGGTATAAATGCTTTATCATGTTAATGGTCATGTTTTTTAATTAAGTTCATAATTTTGCCAGAATTAAACATCACATAAATATAGCGTCTTGATTACCTTTGGAATTCTTTCGAGAGAAAGATTATTCATGTCATCCCCAATGTCTAAACCTGAAACAATGTCTGTTTACCAGACAACATGTCATCCTCGAGGTGGGTCTGACATGGTCGTGAATGACTTTGATTAAAGGTCAAAGACACCGTGAGTGTGTCCCTGGCTTTTACTGCAGCTTGTTATGTAACAAGTCTTATAGAATAATGAGTTATATAATCATGTGATCACAATCTGATAATGAAAGTAGTAGGTCGCGGTGACCTACTTTTGGCCAATTCATGTTGTATTAAAATCCATACATCACATTGTGTTGCCCTTTGAAATTTTCTCAGATGCATGTAAACTATAATGAAAGTCAAGTTCTTCCTCAAAGTCATACAAGTCAAGGGCGGTCGGGGAGCGTAGTGATTAAAGCGTTCGCTCGTCACGGCGAAGACCCGGGTTCGATTCCCCACATGGGTACAATGTGTGAAGCCCATTTCTGGTGTCCCCCGTCGTGATATTACTGGAATATTGCAAAATATGGCGTAAAACCATACTCACTCACTGAAGTCAACACTGGGTGTGGCTCTGAAGATTTTTAATGATATTTATTGAAGGTCGCGGCACTCTTATTGCCATGATACATGAGTATTGAGTACGTAAACCCCGGCCACTCTGGTTTATCGTGTGATTAGTTGCAATTCCCAAACCGCGGGGCACGGGTGGCCTATAAGTCCTCTAAGATGCCGGAATTTGCTGTACAGAGTTACGTCCCTTGGGCACACCACATATCTTTGATTGTGGGTTCGAGTCCCGGTTCGCCCTGATTATGTTTCCAGGTCTGTCAACACAATACCCGTGCCCGTGGGTGTCACTGAAGTGGAAAACGTCAGAGACTTTATCAACTTTCTTCCAGTAAGCTTGCACGCCGCGATATACACCAATGTTTTACAGTCACATATTTTCGGAAAGCGAAAGTGGTGATATCAAACTAAAAGCCCATCGTGATTTGTACTGGTTCAGAAGACCTTAAATATACAATGTCAGTGCAAGAGAATAACCAGTCTTGATTATCCTCCAAAACAGATTCCATTTGTCTTTACGCTAAACATTATATGAATTGACCATTGAAAATCATGGTAATGGGAATGATGGAGTTCCCCCTGTTTTGAAAGTGATTAAAATGCAATTCTAGTTATTAATGTGTCATTTTTTAATGAGCATGTACACGACTGCGTTTCTTTGGAAAATTGTAGATCCTGAAGTTATGATGATGCTAATGAGTATAATATGTCAACCTCATGACTTGAAAAAAACTAGCTACTCATGGCGCGGCATCATTAGATAAACAGACAAACGAAACAAATCCTTAAAAATCAATATTGACATATGATGAAAGCGAAAAACTGATTCCCCAAAACTAATATTGATTTAAGATTTAGTATAATTGCTTCCAAGTAGATTAGCATAGGTCTGGCGATGTAGGTGTTTCAAAAAATTAGTTTGGTGTTTGTACATGTAGATTTGATGTATTCTCCAGGTGACTGTAGAAGATGCTCCGAGATGCTTCAGAATTGTGAAAAGGAGCTGTCAACACTCAAAGACATATTCTTTATTCATTTTGACCCTACTTTGGAAAACGTGCGTTTGAGCGAATCGCAGCTTCAGTTCACTAAGATACTGTCTGCTTTTAGAAATTCCCAAGGTGGCGGTCTTATAGTTCATCAGCACAACACACCTGATTCCGGGAACTCTCTTCATACGTTTCTCAACCAAATATTTGGCTCAATCCTCACCCATGATTTGGTTACATGTGATGTGTTTAAATCACAACGAATCGGATTTTACGCAGATATGTTCAGAGTAGACGTCAAGCCATCAGAGATGTTTATTACGTGTGATTTGAAAACGAAGTTCCCGTCGTTGTCTATTGACAAATTCGAAAATGGCTCAAACGAAAAAATAAGACACCTCCTGTTTTCTTCGCGCACGACAGAAAGTACAGAAGCTTCTTTGGAAGGTATTTCTTCCAGGAAGCAAGTTATGGAAGCTCGGAGGATGCGCTACCCCAGATCCATTCACATGCATAGTTATTCTTCAACACCATTGAGGCACATGTTAAACGTCCTAGTAGATGATATCAATGTGGATAATATCATGACTAGTCATTCTGTGCCTGAACATATAACATCGCTTTCAAAGAAAAAAAGCGGCGGGTCTAAGTTCGTTGCTATGGCAGGACACAAATTTGAAGACACTCCTCTGCATCAACAAGAACGTATAAAAGTTCGTCTGATGGAAGCACTGAAGAAGAATTTGCGAGTTCAGAAAAACAAACATTCAAAGGTTTCACTTCAAGACATTGATGTGTTTAAGATAGGATTATCCAAAGACGCGGACAGTGGAGGCTGCATTATAGAGATTGCAGTGGGACATGTCAATGGTTGTGTGTTTTATGACCCTCAAGGACCCGAATCATATAAAATTGAAGGTGGGAGAATGGTTCGACTACCCTTTGAAAGATGGGTTGAGGAGGCCTTTGAGTGAACAGCGATGGATCGACCATATATTCTGGGAAACCCAGAATTTTTGTTGCAGACAATGTTTTTGATATATTTCGTTCAGTTCAAGTTCACAGAGAGATCATTCTTTCTCTGAAAGGAGAAGCCTAAACATGTTTCTTAGATCTGCCTGTCTGTCCAGTGAGTGAGTATGGTTTTACGCCGCTTTTAGCAATATTCCAGCAATATCACGGCGGGGTACACCAGAAATGGGCTTCACACATTGTACCCATGTCGGGAATCGAACCCGGGTCTTCGGCGTGACGAGCCAACGCTTTAACCACTAGGCTACCCGACCGCCCCGTATTCTGCATGACATTTCATAGGTACACTTAAACAAACGTTGGGATTGTTCAGCAATTTCACTGACATTTTACTATGAGTTACTTTTTTATGTGACGCATCTTTACTGAAAACAACAGGAAATATAAACTTGTGCTGTATTTTACGTATTTCCATATATAAACATGTGGCTTCTTTCATTATATTTGTGATAAGTACAATTTTTTGTGTGTTCCGTTGTGTAGATGTATATATGATAGCAGAGATTATTTTGAAGAATGTACAGTATTTGAAGATAGAAACGACTTTTTCTATTTTGTATTTACACTTATATTGAATCTGGGTATCATGTCTGTCTGGAATGTCTTTTTTATAACATTTTAAGAAAAAAAATTATTTCCAAATAATTTTGCACATCTCCCAACCATGCACTGCTGCAAATGTTATTTTGTAGAAACCTTGTTGTGTTGCAAAAACTAGCTGAATGTCATCCCTTAAGAAACGCCGTACTTATTTGATGGAAATACCAATGCTGTGATTACATTGTTGCATTATTTATGTTTCATTGAATCAATATCAACAGTGTAATGTGTGTTGCATGTTATAGAGTAATACAGTATTCCGTCAAAAACATATTTCGGATTACATAGAACGACACAATACACTCTTTATGTGTTGCATATTATACTACTTGATACTCTGCGCTCAGTCCAGATAAGCTAAACACTGTCCTTTATAGTTATACTAACGGGCAAAAGAAAATATACACTTGAATATTGGATTGGACCAAAACATTACAAATGTTATGAAAACGTCACTCAGCTAAAAAAAAAGGCGCCAAACCATTACAAACTCAAATACATCACTATCGAATAACCATGTCATGTTTGTTTCAGGTTTAGCAGCTATCGAACAGGGGTGTGTACTTTCTTTTGCCCAAAAGTCTATGTGTTATGGGCCTGTGACCTCTTTACGTCAATAAACCATCAACTTTTTGGGTACCCTGAAACAGAATTCGGGATTTCTTTGCTGTGACTTACATGTTTATGTTACGATTTTTTACTTAAAACAACAGCAAATATTACCATGTGCTATATGTTTCGTATTTTCAATTTTGCCCGCTTACTTAAACACTGTGGTTTCTTTCATTATGCCTGTAAGTATATTTTTGGGTTGTGGCATAGATTTAGTTGTGCACAGCAGAGATTATTCGTGAATAAATGCTTCTGCCTCATTTCCAGTGCCGTTACTCTTATTCGTCCTGTAACTCGCTGATTGTTGGAGTGAGTATCGTTTTACGACGTTTGGTACAGCCATACCACAGACCAAGAATGTTCTTCATACATTGAGAATCGAACCAGACCTTCGACGTAACGAGCGAACGTTTTAACGCCCTACCCAACGCAAACAGTGGTCGTTTGAAGTTGTACTCAAGGGAAACCATTGCACAAGCTTTTCACCAGGTTCTGTGCGTGCATCGTGTATGCTTCCCTTTTTATGTGTTGTGTATTCTATGGTTGTTCATGTTCTCGCCTCCAAACCAGTTACAACAGTTCATCAGCTCGCTTACCTGCATGTTTAAGATGCAGCTGGACATTTGTGCCTTGCTATACAAAATGTAAAAATGTCAGGGATAATCGTTGATGATACATAGCTGACGTTTCAAATGGTGCCCCATCTGTTCAGAAAGTTAAACTCCAGTTATTGAATAATCGTTCTTGGTAAAGCAAATCTGACGTTTCAAATGGTGACACATCTCTTCAGAAAGTTTAACTCGAGTCAGGGATAATCGTTCTTGATAAAACATATCTGAGGTTTCAAATGATGACGCATCTCTACAGAACGTTTAACTCGAGTCATGGATAATCGTTCTTGATAGAGCATATCTGACATCTCAAATGGTGACACATCTCTACAGAAAGTAAAATTCCAGTCAGGGATAATCGTTTTCGATAAAGCATGTCAGGCGTTTTGTAATACAAACACAAGGTGAGGTGAGGTGAAATTGGGTTTAACGTCCCGTCCAAGATTGTTGCACTTATATAGCGACGTGGATGCACATGTGTGTGGCTGCTTGTACTAGTCCGGACTGATGCCGATGCCCACTGAGATACCATGCCGCAGTTTAACATAACTACCCCACTCAGACGCCGCAGTATACTGACTCCGAGCCGACCAGTCCTTGTTTTAACCCCTTAATGCCGAGCGCCAGACAGGGGAACAATAAGTACCATCTTTTAACGTCTTTTGGTATGACGCGGCCTGGGATCGAACCCCGGTCCTTCTGCTCTCCGGGCGGACGCTCTACTACTAGACCACGAAGGCGGTCAATAAAAACACAAAAGAACGACAGCGGAAATGTCATAAAAGCCTTAGAACAAGAGCAATTCTCACTCGATGTAAATGCTGGTATTGAAAGTCATCATTCAGCATTCTGACAGCACTAGTGTCTATTTGACTTTACATATCGTTTTGCATATCCACCTGTACATACACATTCTCTTCACGTGAATTTAGCAAAAATATAAAAAGAAATCAGACAATGAATATCCGGAAGTACCTCAGGAGCGTCGACAATCCCATAAAGCTCAGTCAACCCACTCCTCCTCTCTTCGACTAAGTAACCTACCGCACAACTTCACATATGTACATAGAATTAGCCGCCTGGGGGAAGTCAAACATACGGAGAACGTAAAGTAGGTTACCATGGCTACAGACATCACCAGGGGCTGTCACCAAGAGGATCTGGGTGTCGGAGGGCAATGCTATTGCTAACATCAGACCGGATTTTCCACTATATGATTGACAGCCACGTAACCCGGGGCAGTGGCCTGATTTGTCGTGACAACTCAACTCTACATATGCTTCTTAATGAATTCATCATAGGAGTTTTGTATGCACGTAAATCCAAATATATCACGACATGCGATGTTGCTCTTTATTGACGTATCTCACCTTGGAATCTCTTTCTCGAACAAATATGCTCAGCAATTACGTTATGTTATACTATACTTATTGTTAATTTCCAATGATATCCCGATCAATATTTCAGTTCTAGACTCGGACCAATTTAATATTTTCATTGCAGATTCAATTTAAGTTACTGGTATTCAAAACCAACTTGAGTTAGTTTACATATTTACTAAAATATTTTGAACACGTACATCAGAAGTTTTAGTTGTTCTGTGTATTTAGGACTGAGACAATCAACGCAAAAATGTCATTGCACCTCATAGTCATCATTCTCTGTGACGTAACTGTTTACTGCTTAAAAATGTCTTATCCTTCGAGTTAAAAGTTTATCTTGCGTTTTCATTGTGTGTCAGTATATTTAATTCGAGAAAAGTATCGTGCACAAGGTATCACGACTCAGAAAAACCCTCCCCAAAACATATTTACAAACAATATAAATACAACAACAAATAAGAAAGTAAAATGAAAATGAGTGGCAAAGAATGAGAACGGTTATTACTTAATACTTAATCCCATTATCTGCTCAGTCGAATCTTATCATATATTTCAATATACATATGTACTGCTTATTCAAGACCCGTGAAGATCCGGGATAGAATAGGTCCTCAGCAACCCATGCTTGCCGTAAAAGGCGACTGTGCTTGTCGGGATCGGGTGACTAACGGGATCTGGTGGCCAGGCTCGCTGACTTGGTTGATGCATGTCATCGTATCCCAATTGCTTGGATCGATGCTCATGATGTCATTCACTCGATTTTCTGGTCCAGCCTCGATTATTTACAGACCGCCGTCATACAGCTGGAATATTGCTGCGGCGTAAAACAACAAACCAACAGACAAATACTGCTCATTTCCCTTATCATATGGAGACAATACTTAAAGAGTAGAGGGATCGCATACCATAAAAAAATATATTTTACAATAATGGCATAATCACATTATCAGCTTTGTCAAATCGCATCATATATGAACGTTTCCGATAATGCGCATTATTCCAATTATAGACAATACCTAAAGAGCCAAGTGCCAACATAGAAGAGTTAGAAATAATGACAATTATAACTGAATCACATTATCTGATCATATATTCCAACCTACACTGCGCAATACCCTAATTATATTGAGACAATACTTAATGAGCAAGGATGTGGCATAGTGGTTAAAGCGTCACACTCGTCACACTCGTCACACCGAAGGCCCGGGTTCGATTCCCGACATGGGTACAGTGTGTGAAGCCCATTTCTGGTGTCCCCCGCCGTGACATTGCTGGATTATTGCTAAAAGCGGTGTAAAACCAAACTCACTCACTCACTCACTTAATGAGAAAAGGGGTAGCATAGAAGAAGAAGAAGAAGAAGAAGAAGAAGAAAAAGAGGATGATCAGGAGGAGAAGAAGACTTATTTGCAATAAGAACTTAATCACTTTATTATCTTTGTTAAATCTTGTCATATTTATGATATTTCCAATACGGAACATTACCCTATTAATATTGAGACAATAGTTCAGTTTCATCTACGATAGTCACAAATCTGGACAAAACTCTTTAATCACAGATACAAACGAGCAGTTTTGATAATGCGGAATACTGTTGATCATGATCTTGAGCAAGTAAAGCCAAGTTATTGACATGCTGCCTGTGCTTGATGTCATGTCGTACCTGTCAATAACAAGGTCGTCACGCCAAATATGTATTTGCATGAAAAAATGCAGACAAACATTTCTTGTTTTTGCTGTGTCTTTAGCGCCATCAATCAATTGACATTCAGATCACAATGCCCAGAAAGACATGACGCCTTATGCACCAACGCGTGTCCCGGATGTAGTTAAGCCATTGCTTTAATTTGATGGATAGTACGCAGATGTAAACACGGATGTCACTGGTGACGTACATATAACAAACCAATCAATAAATCCCTGACGCGCTCAGGACTCATTCCGGACCAGGTTCTAGCCAATCAGTGTTCAGTTTACGGACGTAGGACATGATATAAAGGTCATTGAGGGTACCTATTTCTTAACATTTACCACAGAGCAGAAGTAGATAACGGGCATACAGAGCTGAAGCAGAGCTAAAGAACAAGACACAGGCTAGGGAAATACAACCTTGCCTAACACCATAATGAAACTAACAGTTTCTATTATAATCCCAGCTGCGGTTGTCTTCTGCCTCGCGGTGCAGAAAGTCCAGGGTATGTATATAAATCTTTTCCTTTGCATTTATACAATTTCCGATAATTCAGAATATAGAGATTACTAGCCGATCGTGTTTTCATATGGTAAATATCATGTGTCGGAGTTTTTTATAAAAGGTTGCATCGATAACACTTTCTATTATAGGGTAAAACCTCTAGTTTGGTGTTTGATGAAGACAGAGATAATCACACAGGCGATTGTCCATGAAAGAGAATAATATCCGCATCTTTTTATTAATACATTACGTGTGCATGTTTCTAACAGAAAACGTCAACGCCACAGAATAAAAATTCTCGATTCAAATATGGGCGTAAAGAGCAAAATAGCGCTGAAATCATACGAATGAATCACTGACCATATCTTTTTAGCTCTTTTAAGACAATTTGGCACGAGTTTTGCAGGTTCTTCATTTCAAGAATCATCTGTGTTTCAAAGCTTGAAGTAAAAACCTATACTGTAAATGGTTCTCCGAAATAGTAAAAAGAATTGGATTGGGATATGGACAGTGTTTTCCGTACGGTTATCAATAAGAGATTAATGTATATTATAAACTGGAACGGTAACATATCAACAAAGAGGATATAGAAGAATTTTCAGCGCACAGATTTTCCCTTGTCGGGTCAATGGTGTTGTCAATAAAAACAGATGAATGTTAGACTTCTGCAATAACATTTGATTTATGTGGTTTTCACGTGCATATTTACATATCAGGTAGTCAGAGTGAGTGAGTTGGGTTTAACGCCGGTTTTAACAGTATTCAAGTTATATCACGGCGTGTCAGCTTAAGGATTTTATTCATTACTTGCCGTTTATAGCTTTTTAAAATTTCAATGCCGAGGGTAAATAGGTAGACATCAACAGCATAAACCCGTTGAGGTTTACAGACTCATAATTCAGTCATGCTAATAGGTGACACGTATTTATTTATTTATTTATTTATTTATTTATTTAATACCACACACCGGCCTACGCATGTAATTCTGGGGTCCGTTCCACAAAGCGATCGTCTCGTTAAGGTGATCGTACCTTCTAATACTTTAACATTGACTGTCGTTTCGCTTCTGTCGCTTTGATACGGGCCCTGGCCTGCACCACAAAGTTTACAAACACGTCACAATACCCTGTGACGTAAGTTTTGAATTTCCTCTACACCAGCGAAACAGTGCCATGTGACTTTAGCCTAGCAACAAGGTTGCTGGGGTCATCGAGTGCGCACTAGCTTCTCTCAGAAATCTATCATCTCCATGTGCAATGTCATTGAATAAGCCCAGCGATATTGCGAGTTTTCAATATTTGTTTGTGAAAACACTATGTGTAATACCAGCTTCTTGTTAGCAAACATTGGTGTCTTCAACGGGCGAGTAATAAAATAAGCATACGTTCCTGAGGACACATTCTAACCAGGAATTCCCACTTATTGACTGGATTTGTTCACATCTTTATATAAATAGGTGTTGGTGAGTGAGTTGGGTTTAACGCCGCTTTGATCAGTATTCCAGTTATATCACGGCGTGTCAGCTTAATGTGGGAGGAAAGCCCGAAGTGATGCTGGTTTCAGACGCTTATCACTTTGGTGAAACCCGTAAGCACGGATATGGTGCTGACAAACCTAGAAACATAATCGTGGCTGGCCAGGATTCGAACCCACAATCATAGCTTTCTCTTGTGACCAAGGGACGCATCTCGTGCCGCAAGAGCATGTGTACAATGCGATAATTTAATGACCAGCTTGATATTCATGTCAGGTTTACAGTTTACAGTTTACATTTAGACACTGGTTATGTGTTGTCGTTTTATTTCAATGACTTATGCATCCATTTAATACGAATCAAATCAGCATGTGTCGTTTTATACACTTGGTCCAATCGACCGAGGCACCGTAATTCGCTTTGCAGTGTTGCGTCCATTACCCGTGCTCGTGGGTTTCACTCACTCACTCACTCACTCAATCACTCACTCAATCACTCACTCACCCAATCACTCACTCACTCACTCACTCACTCACTCACTCACTCAATCACTCACTCACTCACTCACTCACTCAATCACTCAATCACTCAATCACTCACTCACTCACTCAATCAGTGTTGCGTCCATTACCCGTGCTCGTGGGTTACACTCACTCACTCACTCACTCACTCACTCACTCACTCAATCACTCACTCAATCTCTCATTCAGTGTTGCGTGCATTACCCGTGCTCATGGGTAATACCAAAGTGGTAAACGTCTAAGACATGCATCACTTCAGGCTTTCCTCCTGTTCAAAGTGGCGTCAAACCAATCTCACTCACTCACTCATCCATTGCATTCTAGGCGCAGCTAACGTCCCTGCTGTGTCTCTGCCTCATCCCCGGCCAGTATGTGGTCCCGTGTGCGCCATCTTCTGTGAATGTGGAAATATCCCTGATGAGAGAGGATGTCCAACATGTCGATGTCGACCTTGTGGTAAGCTTCCATCACTGTAAAATCACACACACCCAACCCACGCTCCCCCAACTAACGTAAATACGTATATGTGACGAGAAACTGTTTCCCACGGGATGAAGAGACTTGTAGTGAGATACCAAAACCGTATGTCACACGTGTGTCGTGCAAGGTTGACCTCGTTTTATTCTGTGACCTTGCTAAGGTTACCTTAGGTCATGATAGAAAAAGGTTTTGTTCCATTCATTAATAATCAGAAGAATTCTTCAGGATTTGCATTTTATCATACCCTTGTGTGTACGTCACATTCTTCAATATGTGTTGCTGTTAACATAGATCTACTAAATGCGATATACAATGATGGAATAATATAAATAAAATAAATAACACACTCGTATTCGTCCGGACAGACACCAAAGTACCCGTGAAGATCCGGGTATATAGGTCTTCAGCAACCCATGCTTGCCGTAATAGGTGACTAACGGGATCGGATGGTCAAGCTCGCTGACTTGGTTGATGCATGTCATCGTATCCAAATTGCGTAGATCGATGCTTATGCTCAAACACTTGATTGTCTGGTCCAGACTCGATTATTTACAGACCGCCGTCATATAGCTGGAATATTGCTTAGTGCAGCGTTAAACAACAAACCAACAAAGATGCAACAGAAAGTCATGATTTCTTCAGAAATTATATCTAACGAGAACGATCAACACTTTGTGATGAAAAACTTCGGTTGTCTCACTTTCAAACTCGCCTTGTTGGGATGTTTCAATTGCCGCCGTATTGAGGCGCCCCGCGCACTGATAATGTTAGTCTAGAGGGTAGAGCGGCTGCTTGAGAGCGCTATGTCGGTGGTTCGAACCCCGGCCACGTCATACCAAAGATAGTACTAGCTGTTTCCCTGCCTGTCGCTCGGCATTTAAGGGGCTAGAACAAGGACTGGTCGGCTAGGAGTCGGTATACTGTCTGAGTTGGATGTCCGTATTACACAGCGACATGGTGGTCATTAGTCCGGACTAATAGAAGCAGTCACACACACACCACCACTTCACCAGCCACACCCTCACTTATGCACACACACACGTCGCTATCATAAACGCACTGTAAAAATATATCTCATCTCACCTCATACTGTTAAGTTATTACTTAAGGGTCAGTTGTAAAATATGTCATTTCAGGTGAGAAATATAATTTGTGTGTGACGCTTGTACTGTTTTTCGTTTTATTGATGATGCACCTGTCAACTATTACAGGACCGCCCATCTGCCCCTTACGTCGCTGTGCTCGCCCAGTCAAATGTCTTTATGGGTTAAAGAAAGTGAATGGTTGCCCCACGTGCGAGTGCAATCCTGGTAAGTGTTTGTTTTCTGACAATCTGAAATGAGCAGGTGTGCCTTTTACAAACACTCCTTAAAGTTGATACTTGTAGTCAATATGATGGCCAATGTTGATCAACTGGGCACGGCGCCTTACTAGTGTAGGTGTTCTTTGATTGCTCCCCCATCCCCTCCCCCCTCAGCCTCAGAGGGGGTCCACGTTGTTGATTCCACTTCCAACCCCGATCATCAGATTTTAAAAAAAGGGATGCAACTCCGAACAGCGAATTGCAGTAATTTAGCCCATGCTCCAACCCCGGATGTTAAGCGTCACCTATCAAGACGGTGAGACAAGGTAAAGTTGGGATTAACGTCGCGTTTAATATTATTGCTCTATGTTTTACATAGACACCCAACTCAGACACCGTATACTGACTCCGAGCCGCCCATTTCTTATTTAGCCCCTTAATGCCGAGCGTCAGGAAGGGTAATGACAAGGACCATCATTCAACGTTTTTTGGTATGAAGCGGCCAGGGATCGAACCCCCGACCTTCCGCTCTCCCGGCAGACGCTCCATCCACTAGACCACGGAATCAAGATCAAGATTGTGTTTCATTGTACTGCAGTATATCTTTCTTCTCCAGGCCCTGTCCTTTGTTCAAAGAGTGCATGTCCTCCCACACTTGCAATCAAGTGTCAATATGGTGTCAAGATAGTTGATGGCTGTCCAACATGTTCCTGCAACCCTCGTAAGTTAAACATTCGGAAGATCCTGAGCGATAAGAAATATCTCACTGCCGAAACTTAACCGCCTAGGTTTTGGTTACTTGCCAGGTTAAAAAGCAAATGACACTTATCGCTGACTTCTTCGGTATCTGTAGCCTGTAGATGAGGGGAGGTTAATGGGGTTTAACGTCGCGTTCAAGATGATTGCACTTACATCGCGACGGGTGTATGTGCGTGCCTGCATGCGAGCGATGCGTGCGTGCGTGCGTGCGTGCGTGCGTGCGTGCGTGCGTGCGTGCGTGCGTGCGTGCGTGCGTGTCTGCTTGTATTTGTCCGTACTAATGCCGGTTTTATAGTGTTAGCCCCGTGGGATAGCATGCCGCAGTTTAACATGGATACTCCACACAAACCTAGACTCCAAAACGACGAGTTTTATCCCTTTCATGCAGAACAACAGGCAGGGTAGAAGTCGAACCTCGTTATTTATAATCACTGATATGTCGATATTCTGATGTATCGATGGTACTGTTTGTGACAATATTTGTATCAATATGAATTTATATTCGAGTTCGAAATTAATTAAATGTATTTTTTGAATCTATAGCTTTGTTTCGAAGTTTAGTTTTTAAATGTTACAAATGTTATTAGACCAGGGATTGGGGTAGCCTAGAGGAGTATGTGTTCGCTCGTCGCGGCGAAAGTCCCGGTTCAATTCCTCACATGGGCACTGTGCGTGACTCCATTTCTGTTGTCCACTGATTGTTGGAATATTGATAAAAGCGACGTAAACTATCCTCACTATTAGGTGTGGTTAACCTTTCATTTACCAAAATCCACTTTAAATATCTATTGCTGACGTATATCCATCGACAATTTAGGTCCCGTGTGTCCGAGGCGTCAGTGTTTAAGAGAGTGCAAAAACGGCTACAAAAAGATCAATGGTTGTCCATCTTGTCAGTGCAATCCAGGTATGTATTACGTCACTCACTCAATCACTCACTCACTCACTCGCCCATGCCAAGACTCATTCATCCCGACCACTCACCACTCGCCCACTCACTCACGCACTCAATCATTCACTCAGCCACTCATTCACTCAAACCAACTCATTCACTCACTCATACCCATCCACTCACTCAGTCATCAGCTGAGCAAGGCACCTTACCAGTGATCTTTGATTGCTCCCCCATCCCGCTCAGTCCCAGAGGGGGTCCACGTTGCTGATTCCACTTACAGCCCCGATCATCGAATTTTGAAATGTCTAAGGAATGAACAGCGAATTGCAGCTTCACCAATCAAGATGATGAGATAAGGTGAAGTGGGGATTAACGCCGCGTTCAAGATAATTGCTCTATGTTTAACATAGATACCCCACTCAGACACAGTATACTGACTCCGAGTCGACCATTCCCTGTTTAGCCCCTTACTGCCGAGCGCCAGGAAGGGTAACAATAAGGACCATCATTTAACGTCTTTTGGTTTGAGGCGGCCAGGGATCGACCCCCGACCTTCCGCTCTCCGGGCAGACGCTCCTACCACTAGTCTACGGAATCAAGATCAAGATTGTGTTTCATTGTACTACAGTATATCTTTCTTCTCCAGGCCCTGTCCTTTGCTCAAAGAGTGCATGTCCTCCCACACTTGCAATCAAGTGTCAATATGGTGTCAAGATAGTTGATGGCTGTCCAACATGTTCCTGCAACCCTCGTAAGTTAAACATTCGGAAGATCCTGAGCGATAAGAAATATCTCACTGCCGAAACGTAACCGCCTAGGATTTGGCTACTTGCCAGATTAAAAAAGAAAATGACACTTATCGCTGACTTCTTCGGTATTTGTAGCATATAGGTGAGGGGATGTGAATGGGGTTTAACGTCGTTTTTACGTGAGTAAACTGACTCCGAGTCGACCATTCCCTGTTTAGCACCTTAATGCCGAGCGCCAGGAAGGGTAACAACAAGTACCATATTTTAACGTCTTTTGGAACCCCCGACCTTCCACTCTCCGGGCAGACGCTCCATCCACCAGACCACGGAATCAAGATCAAGATTTTGATAAATTGTCCTGCAGTATATCTTTCTTCTCCAGGCCCTGTCCTTTGCTCAAAGATTGGATGTCTTCACCCAATCAAGTGTCAATATGGTGTCAAGAAAGTTAATGGCTGTCCAACATGTTCCTGCAACCCTCGTAAGTTAAACATTCGGAAGATCCTGAGCGATAACAAATATCTCACTGCCGAAACTTAACTACTTGCCAGATTAAGAAAGAAAATGACACTTATCACTGACATCGTCGGTATCTGTAGCATGTAAGTGAGGGGATGTGAATGGGGTTCAAAGTCGCGATCAAGATTGTACTTACATAGCGACGTGCCTGCACGTGTGTGTATGTGTGTGTGTCGGCTTGTACTAGTCCGGACTAATGCCGGTTTTATAGTGTTAGCCCTGTGGGATAGCATGCCGCAGTTTAACATGGATACCCCACTCGCACACAGTATACTGACTCCAGACCGACCATTTGTATCCCTTTAATGCCGAACAACAGGCAGGGTGGAAGTCGAACGTCATTATTTCGAATTACTGATATGTCGATGGTTTCGTACTGTGACAATAATTGTATCCACATAAATTTACATAAGAATTCGAAATTTATAAAACTTATTTATTGAATATATAGCTTTTTCTCGAGCTATGGTTTAGTTTTTAAATGTTAAAAATGCTATTAGACTTGGGTCTGGGGTATGTGTTCGCTCGTCACGCCCCACATGGTATAATGCGTTAAACCAGTTTCTGTTGGCCACCGCCGTGCTATTGTTTGAATATTGATAACAGCGACGTAAAACTATCTTCACTCACTCACTCACTCACTATCAGGTGTGGTTAACCTTTCATTTACCAAAATCCACGTTAAATATCCATTGACGATGCCCTTTTATCTCGAATGCCCGACTGTACTCACTCTGTGTATATCCATCGACAATGTAGGTCCCGTGTGTCCTATGCTACGGTGTTCAAGGGAGTGCAAAAACGGCTACAAAAAGATCAATGGTTGTCCATCTTGTCAGTGCAATCCAGGTATGTATTACGTCACCAAGACCTACTCATCCATTAACTCACCACTCGCCCACTCACTCACTCAGTCACCCATACCATTCTCACCACTTACTCACCCGAACACCCAAACACCCACTCACTCACTCACTCATACCCATCCACTCACACACTCACTCACTCAACAACCCACTCACTAAGTCACTCACTCACTCACTCAGCAACCTACTCACGAAGTCACCCATAGCCACTCTCACACACTCACTCACTCAGCAACCCACTCACACACTCACTCACTCAGCAACTCACTCACTAAGTCACCCATAGCCACTCACTCACTCACTCACCCATACCCATCTACAAAAACCCACTCACACACTCATATCCGTCCATCCAACCACCCACTCACTCACTCACCTACCCTTTCACTCACTCACTCACTCACGCATACCCATCCAATCACTCACTCACTCACCAATACCCATCTACCAAAATCCACTCACTCACTCATATCCGTCCATCCAACCACTCACTCACTCACCTTCCCATCCACCTACCCACCCAATATCGTGCCGTGCCATAACTGGATTAATGTTCAAAGCGGCAATAGATACAACTCACTCACTTACTATAACAGCTCTGGCAGGGAATATGAAGAAGCAGGGGAAGACGAGAATGATTTCTGTTGTAATTTACCTTGGTTTAAGGTTAACCAATTTCTTGCCTTTGCATGTGTTTGTGATAGGTGCCACCGATGGGGCAGGATACGCTCACCTTGATATAACCGAAATCCTATTCAAAGCGGCGTTGCACCCAACTCACTCACTCGTTTTTGTTGAAATTAAAGGACCACCCACCTGTCCCAAACTACGCTGTTCTCGGCCACTGAGGTGTCCTAACGGCGTGAAGGAAGTGAATGGTTGCCCCACGTGTTCCTGCAAGCCACGGCTCTGTCCCAGAGTGTCCAGCAACCAATGCAGAAGGCGCTGTCTATTCGGGTATGCCACCCAAAGACGAAGGGGATGTCGCACATGTGTGTGCAGGCGAAGGTCGCGGTTTGGTAAGTATTACACGTCGTTCGATGTGCATGACGTTGGAGTGAGCGAGTGAGTGAGTGAGTGAGTGAGTTTAACGGCGATTTGAATAGTGTTTCCGTTATATCGCGGCGGGTTAGCTTGGGCGACACTTTCGTTAGATATTTGTCTTCAAAACAGATAATTAAAAGAGAAGCCCAAAATGGTTGTTTTTCAGAACATACAGCAACAGTGAGCGATCTAGTTAATTTGCTAACACCTGATGCCAACTTATTTTCGGTATTTTCAAAAATGTTTCAAGAAAGTCCAAGCTAATATATATCAATCATAATAATTATCAGTCATTGGTTTCTCTGGTCCAGATTCGATCATTTCCATACTTCTGTCGTACAGCTGAAAGATTGCGGAGTGCGGAGTTAAAACAACAATTATATTAAACAAAACAAAATAAAGACACAAATGCTTTCAGGTAGCTCCCAACAGGAGCGAGTGTGCTATGACCATCCAAATTTACATTGTTTTATTTTTGGAGATTGCATATCACAAGCAACAATGATTATAACTACCACTGGTAATTTTATCTCTGTTTGTATCAATTTTCAGCTGACATTGAATAGAAATCCACCCACGTACCATCACCGTGAAGAGGCAGTGTTACAGATATAACCACCAAACCAGTTGGGGAAGAAAAGACTGAGCAACCCTTCACTTGTCATATTTTTTATATTTTTGCCATGAACCTTTTATATGTTGAATTTTGTACTCATTTTACAATCTTAATTGCCTACTGACCCTTTCCCTGTTAATTATTTTCATGAAAAATTCCAAATAAAGCCTAAGGGAAATAATATTTCTTTGTTTTTACATAATATTATTCTTAAAACGGACCATGACCACACGATGGATAACAAAGGACACCAGGGGCGGTCGGGTAGCCAAGTGGTTAAAGCGTTCGCTCAGCACGCTGTAGTCCCGGGTCCGATTCGTAACATGGGTATAATGTGTTAAGCCAATTTTTGGTGTCCCCCGCTCGACTCACTCATTCACTGTGGAGCATACAGAAACATATTGACAACAAACTGGAATAGCATTTACAAGACTGGAGGTTGAAATAGGAGATGCAAATATTATGTTTTCAATGTAAAGTTGCATTTGAATTTGCAACCGATGTTAAATCTGCCAGAATAGTACTTGTTGCCAACGTAAGTGGCCTTATAATAACTATAAGTATTTTCATGAGTAAATAGTCTTCCAATGTGGCACAATCATGATATATGGTAGTCCTTGAATTAGTTACTTTGAGTTCAACCTTTGGATTGACAAAACAATGTGATGCAGGTCTTGGCTGAAGGGTTTGCGTATCCTGCCCCGCCATAAACACATATACCGTCTCGACGTAATATGCGCCCCGCTCTAAAAAGCGCCCACGGCGATATTTGCTAATATATTGGCTAGTGAACAATCCCAATTAGCACCCCTTCTGATTGATCAATGTACACAAGACTTATTTATTCGCGTATAATACATACTCGTGTGTTATGTGTACCCTTAATTATGGGCAATTAAATTCTGGAAAAATATATCTGTCGTTTATAAACATTTCAGGCTGTCAGCATAAACAACGAAATTTACGATCTTTATTCACGATTATTCACCAAAATAATATTCTAATAAGAGCCCCCTATCTCTAATTTTTAGAGCGCCCCGGGCGCCTATTATGTCGATTACGGTATGTCGAACTCCATTTTACCGTGACCAGGTTGTTCTCAATTAAGTAAACATTTAACATTTAACACATTTTAAATCAGTGTACTGTACTCGTATGAAGAAAGGCATTAAAAGTATGTACCACAGCCAAATCAGAAGCAAACATAAATTAGACACCCCAGAAAAAAAATTAAGACAAGCCTCGCAAGGTTTAGTGATATATCGCACGTCAATATTATGACGTCACAACGCTCATTATGACGAAGAACATATGACGTCACGGGTGGCTATATAAAAAGGACAAATTTCAAGTTCTCTGTGATCCCAAACACTGGAAAAACAATTTCTTACCCGCTTACTAAAGTATTCCCTGCTCATAGTTCATTGCTAAACATACTTTGTATATTGTACTTAAAGCAAGAACGCATTGTTTTACCTCTAATTGTGCATGTATTTATTTGAAACTAAGTACCGATAATGACTAAGGAAGAAGTACTTTTCAATAAAGTTTTCACGGTAATGAGGTCGTAAATCGACCGTTTCAATCAGAGGTGGTTAATGTGATTTGATACCTCTGATTGACCAATCGGAAATTGTAATATCCGAATTCATGATGTAATGAATAATTTGCTGCTGTGTTTGGTAATATGAACACCAATGCACGCTATGAATACAGTCTGACAGTTTCAAAGGTTAGCCTCGTGGTTAAAGTGTTTACTTAAGGCCAGGGTTCGAATCCCAATCCTGATGACCGTTTCTGTTACATTGCAGGAAGATTGTTTAAAGAAGGATACCATGGTCCACGCTCAAACATTGCACAATCACACTATACCAATATACAGTGTTCTGTATGTGACCAGGAGACAAGGGTGTCCCAGTCGTCCAAGGCGCCGCGATTCGCTGTGCAGAGTTGCGTCCCTTGGGCACGCCAGAAACCTGTTACTGTGGGTTCGAATACTGGTTCGCCCCGATTATGTTTCTTGGTTTGTCAGCACCATACCCGTGCTCGTGGGTTTCACCGAAGTGGTAAACGTTTTCGACCTGCATCACTTCTGGCTTTCCTCCCACATTAAGCTGACACGCCGCGATATAACTGGAATACTAATTTTGCAGCTATTAGCTATATTACAGTAATATCACGGCGAGGCCCAGTCGGTAGTCGGCGTGAAGAAAGAACGCTTTAACCGCAAGGTTACACCTAGCCTGCAATCCACGTTGACCTCGGTGGTGTCGTGGATAGAGTTGATGCCCGGAAGGTCCGTGGTTCGATCCCCTGGCCGCGTCCTATACCGAAATACTTCAAAAGATGGTACTTGCTGTGACCCTGTCTGGCGCTCGGCATTAAACAACTGGCCGACTGTGAGTTAGGGTACTGTGTTTGAGCGAAGTATCCTGTGCGCCATGGTATTTTAGTTGGCTAGCGCTATACAACCGACCGGATTAGCACAAGCTACCACGCACACACGTACATGCACGTCACCAAATAAGGAAAACTCCATGTCACCTGTTGTCATGAAGCAAGCGTTCGTAAAATATCCAACATAGTCAGTTTTTGCTGCTTGTCTGCCGTCATGTATTCATCGTAATCGGCCGTCATCGGTAATATGAAGTTAAATTAAGATTTGACCTCCACATGTTTGTGCGTTTATGGAGGTTTAAATGTTAATACGTCACCCATAATACGTCATCAATTTTACGTGACCAATGATACTTCACCAATAATACGTCGCCAACGTTGTCACCATTAATACGTCCATAATAATACGTCACCAATTATTCGTCACCAATAATACATTACCAATATCACGTCACCAATGATACGTCATGATAATGCGTCACCAATGATACGCCAATAATAAGAGGTCACCAATGATACGTCACCGATAACACGTCACCAATGATACGCCACCAATAAGAAGTCACCAATAAGAAGTCACCAATGATACGTCTCCAATAAGAAGTCACCAATGATACGTCACGAAAGAGACGTCACCAATGATACGTCACCGACAACACGTCACCAATGATACGTCTACAATAATACATTACCAATATCACGTCACCCATGATACGTCATGATAATGCGTCACCAATGATACGCTACCAATAAGAAGTCACCAATGATACGTCACCGATAACACGTCACCAATAATACGTCACCAATAAGAAGTCACCAATAATACGTCACCGATAACACGTCACCCATGATACGTCATGATAATGCGTCACCAATGATACGCCACCAATAAGAAGTCACCAATGATGCGTCACCGATAACACGGCACCAATAAGAAGTCACCAATAATACGTCACCGATAACACGTCACCAATGATACGTCACCAAAAAGACGTCACCAAAGACACCAGCACGACATCAGTGACATGGTTCGGCGCAATTCAACACAAGCCAATCAGGAAACAATAGTTTGATGGCGGGCGTTGCTTAATTTGTTTCTGTGTATGGCAAAGAAAATTGTTTGGCTAGCCTATCACATGCCGCGGGGTCTGCAGAGTGTAACTTGTGAAAGAAGCACGTCATATTAAATGGTCTTGTGTGTCTCAATTGCCTGATAACCTCATGTACCCTAGGTTCCCTATGGAAATGTACCTTATATTTTGTGCAACGTCATTGCTTCCATAAAAAAACGTGCCTTGTGTTGTTTATGTCTGCGTTACCAAGATACAAGACCGCCTACGTGGTCTAGTGGTGGAGCATCCGCCCTGAGAGCTGAAGGTCCGGGGTTCGATCCCCGGTCGCGTCATACCAAAAAATGTTTTAAAATGGTACTCGTTGTTACCCTGCCTGTCTCTCGGTATTAAGGGGCTAAAACAAGAACCGGTATCCTATATATTTGGATTCCAAGATACAAATGTACCTATATATTTGGATTCCAAGATACAAATGTATCTATATATTTGGATTCCAAGATACAAATGTACCTATATATTTGGATTCCAAGATACAAATGTACCTATATATTTGGATTCCAAGATACAAATGTATCTATATATTTGGATTCCAAGATACAAATGTACCTATATATTTGGATTCCAAGATACAAATGTATCTATATATTTGGATTCCAAGATACAAATGTACATATAAACTTGGATTCCAAGATACAAATGTACCTATATATTTGGATTCCAAGATACAAATGTATCTATATATTTGGATTCCAAGATACAAATGTACCTATTTACTTGGATTCCAAGATACAAATGTACCTATATATTTGGATTCCAAGATACAAATGTACCTATATACTTGGATTCCAAGATACAAATGTACCTTATGTACTTGGATTCCTAGATACAAATGTACCTTATGTACTTTAATTCCTAGATACCAATGTACCTTATGTACTTGGTGAGGTGAGGTGAAATTGGGTTTAACGTCGCGGCCAAAATTATTGCACTTATATAGCGACGTGCATGCACGTGTGTGTGTGTGTGTGTGTGGCTGCTTGTACAAGTCCGGACTGATGCCGATTTATAGTGCTAGCCCACTAAGATACCATGCCGCATTTTTAACATGAATACCCCATTCAGACACAGTATACTGACTCCGAGCCGACCAGTTTTTGTTTTAGCCCCTTAATGCCGAGCGCCAGACATGGTAACAACAAGTACCATCTTTTAACGTCTTTTGGTATGACGCGGCCGGAAATCGAACCCCGGACCTTCCGCTCTCTGGGCGGACGATTTATGTACTTTGATTCCTAGATACAAATGTTTCTTATCTACTTGGATTCCTAGGTGCAAATGTACCTTATGTACTTGGTTTGCTAGATAAAAATGTACCTTATGTACTTGGATTCCTAGATAAAAATGTACCTTATGTATTTGGATTCCTAAATACAAATGTACATTATGTACTTGGATTCCAAGAACAAAATGTACCTATTGTATTTGGATTCCAAAATACAAATGTACCTTATGTACTTGGATTCCTAAATACAAATGAACCTTATGTCCTTGGATTCCTAGATAAAAATGTACCTTATGTATTTGGATTCCTGGATACAAATGTACCTTATGAACTTGGATTCCTAGATAAAAATGTACCTAAGGTAGTTGGTTTGCTAGATACAAATGTACCTATATACCTGTATTCCCTTGATACATAGTACCTAATGTACTTGGATTCCTAGATACAAATTTACCTTATGTATTTGCATTCCTAGATAAAAATGTACCTTATGTATTTGGATTCAAGGATACAATGTACCTTATGTATTTTGATTCCTAGGTGCAAATGTACCTTATGTACTTGGTTTGCTAGATACAAATGTAGCTTTATACCTGTATTCCCTTGATACATACGTACCTAATGTCCTTGGATTCCTAGGTGCAAATGTACCTTAGGTACTTTGATTCCTAGATACAAATGTACCTTATGTATTTGGATTCCTAGATAAAAATGTACCGTATGTATTTAGATTACAAGATACAAATGTACCTTATGTACTTGGATTCCTAGATACAAATGTACCTTATGTCCTTGGATTCCTAGGTGCAAATGTACCTTAGGTACTTGGTTTGCTAGATACAAATGTACCTTATGTACTTGGATTCCTAGATACAAATGTACCTTATGTCCTTGGATTCCTAGATACAAATGTACCTTATGTCCTTGGATTCCTAGATACAAATGTACCTTATGTCCTTGGATTCCTAGGTGCAAATGTACCTTAGGTACTTGGTTTGCTAGATACAAATGAATCTATATACCTGTATTCCCTTGATACATACGTACCTAATGTACTTGGATTCCTAGATACAAATGAACCTTATGTCCTTGGATTCCAAGAACAAAATGTGCCTTATGTATTTGGATTCCAAGAACAAAATGTACCTTATGTACTTGGATTCCTAGATAGAAATGTACCTTTTGTCCTTGGATTCCTAGGTGCAAATGTACCTTATATACTTGGTTTGCTAGATACAAATGTACCTTAGGTTCTTTGATTCCTGGATAAAAAATGTACCTTATGTATTTGGATTCCAAGATACAAATGTACCTTATCTACTTGGATTCCTAGGTGCAAATGTACCTTATCTACTTGGATTCCTAGGTGCAAATGTACCTTAGATACTTGGTTTGCTAGATACAAATGAACCTATATACCTGTATTCCCTTGATACATACGTACCTAATGTACTTGGATTCCTAGATACAAATGTACCTTATGTACTTGGATTCCTGGATAAAAATGTACCTTATGTATTTGGATTCCAAGATACAAATGTACCTTATCTACACGGATTCCTAGGTGCAAATGTACCTTATGTTATTTATAATCCTCCACTGTTAGTCCCCCACCTACTAAATATATTCTGTACTATGTCCCTCATTCTGTCTTGCTTGACAACGGTATAAGGATCTGTACCGAAACGTCGCCTTCACACTATTTAAGAAGTGTTTATCCATAAATTGTGTCTACTTTGACTTTTCCTATCCTGTTCGCAATGTACATATTTGGATGTACACACATTAGAGCTACATTAATGTGGACTGATTTATGTACTAGATTCCAAGAACATGTTAAGAAACATAATCATTTTCTAGCGGAAAACAATTCCTGCGCATCACCGACAGAACCACTTTATTTTCATAAACGTTTACGAGGTTTGGCTGACAAACTTTCGTTTCACAGTTAAAACACTTCAGCGATTAACTCTGTGTTTGAATTAAGGCGGTTCCACTTGTACTGTGAAATTTGTCACGAATGTCTTATTCATAAAAATTAATGCACGTGTAATTTAAGGGTCATCGTGGGTAATCGTGACAAGGTGATTGCAAAAAAGCCATAGCAATTATATGTCTTGTGGGTTTTTTTGTGGTGCACGTGCACTTTCCTGTTGTATATTTTGTTTGTTCATGTCCGGGTCGTATATCATGTTTCTCTAAAACTGTCATTTACTTTTAAATAGTTCACTTAGTGCACAATGACAAGTTCAACAGGTTCAATTATATCGATGATCAGATGTCGTTCAAGAATGGTCAAATAGCCAGCCATCTGTTTCATATTTATATATATGCAAAATGATGTGATGTGCAAAGTGAGAAAGAGTTATCTATAAGATTTATGGGAAGAGGGATGAAAATACTCATCTCTCTCTTTATGTCGAGCAATATTCCAACAGCTTCAGGCTTTGGTGTCTACATTCCACAACTTGCGGCGTACAATTGAGCATGCTCTTTCTACGAAGATTTAAAAGAGCGTCATACGTGCTTTGTTCAAAATTTGATCAGCGCATCGGTGACAAACATGATGTCTGATGCAAATGAGATAAGATAAGATTTTTTAAAATATTACCGTATTCGACGTAATAAGCGCCCAGGGCGCTCTAAAAATTAGAAATAGTGGGCTCTTATAAGAATATTATTTTGGTGAAAAAAACAGAGTTGAAAGATAAATTTCGTGGTTTATGCTGACAGCCTGAAATGTTTATGTACGACAGATATATTTTTCCAGAATTTAATTGCCCATAATTAACGGTTCATATACCACATGAGTGCGTATTATACGCGAAAAAATAAGTCTTGTGTACATTGATATATCGGACGTGGTGCCAATTGGGATTGTTCACTAGCCAATATTATTAGCAAATATCGCCGTGGGCGCTTATTAGAGCGGGGCGCTTATTACATCGAATACGGTTTGTTGTGTTTATGGCGGGGCAGAATACGCAAACCCTTCATCCAAGACCTGCATCTCCATTAGATTCATAAACATATTCTTATCATATTTTTTTTATAATCGGAATATGATGATCGAAATTGTTTTGTCGATTTTATTTACGAATATTCTAGAAAATCAAAACAGAACAGAACAAAACAATGACTGACATGAATACACAATGCCATTTAGAAAGTGGTCAAATGTAACAAATGAGAAATTGTTATCCCAAATATAACCTTTGTTACGATGATTGAAATATAATGAATAGAAATGAACAAAGACGATATTGGATTCTCTACTTTGTCCGCCATCTGACCACGAAGTCTTAACCAATTGGCTTTGCAGGTTTGCATCCTTTAGTCATACCAGAAATCATTGGCATGATCATTGGGTTAATCCCAGTGCAGCCATGATTATGTTTCTATTCTTGTCCGCACCATACGTGTGGGTTTCAACAGGGGGGTAAACGTCTGAGACCTGCATCATGGGCTTTCCTCCCACAGTAAGCTGACACGCCGTGATAAAGGTGACACACTAAAGCATACGTTTCGCTAATGTCAAGTAACAACTGTCAATGTACATGTTGCATGCTACGAACCTAAAAACTTCAAACTATGTAAGATGATGGTCTGATAGCCCAGTGGTTAAAGGGTTCGCTCGTCACGCCGAAGACCTGGGTTCGATTCCCGACATGGGTACAATGTGCGAAGCCCATTTCTGGTGTCCCCCGCCGTGATATTGCGGGAATAATGCTAAAAGCGGCGTAAAACCATACTCACTCACTCCAAATATGTTACCTTATCATTGCACATACACATATACACACATAGCTATATAGAAGAAGAAGAAGAAGAAGAAGAAGAAGAACTTTTATTTGCATGAAGGCCTCGGGCCCATATACAATTTCAGTTCACAATATACCAATTGTTCACAGATGCAACGGTAAAGTAACGTGACACATGACTTATGTCATAATTGAATTGTACTACTTGTTCTTTTTGCATAAGCGTAATATAGGAAACGTGATAAACTGTTTAAGACTGCTTCATTGTTATTACACATAATAGATTTGAAATGGTTCAAGCTAGGATATCGGCAAGTTTGGCCGGTAAGTATTCTTTTCTGAGATCATTATAACATGAACAAATGAGTAAAAAATGAAATTCATCCTCTATACCATTATTACAGACTGGACATATTCAAAAAGACTTTTCTATCGACAGATATCTGCCTTCATTATTCTTCAATTTTACAAGACCTGCTCTAAATCTTACAATTATGTTTCTAAATTTTCTTTCATAAAAAACTGAAAGATATTTTTCAGGCTCTAAAAGTCTTTTAAACTCTGCATATAAATGAAATCTTGAACTAGAGTTTAAGACTGATCTCCAGTTTCGGTAAAACATGTTTATACAAGTATCCTTAAAAAGTCGTAGAAATGAAAGCTGGTTCCCAACTGTTTGCGATATCCATACAAAACCAAAGCCATGAGAAAAAAGAAGTAAACAAATGTTAGAAGCCCATGTATGGCGTCCACAGTTATCTAAATACAATAACATATTATAAGCCTTTTTTGGCAATTTGTCTTCATTCATATGAATTAATTTAAGCCAAAACTTAAGTGTTCTAACATAGGAGTTGATGTACATTGGAAAGCGACCCGTTTCCCCGTAGATTATAGCATTTGGGGTTTGTTGTCCTACTTGCAGGAATTTCTTACAGGCTAATAGATGAACTTTTTCCAATTTGTCATATTGCTGAAATCCCCACACTTCAGAGCCATATAAAAGCATGGGTTGTATTTGCGAATCGAATATCTTACAGAACACTGACTTTGAAATAAGACCAGTTTTACTTAAAGTTGCAATCAATTCGACCAAAGCTCTTTTTGCTCTTAGTGCTAGGTCAGATATACTTTTACTGAATTTTACTGATGAATTAAAAGGTAAACCAAGATATTTGTAGCTTGACACTACCTCAACCTTTTTCCCAAATAATAATACCAAATATCCTTTTTTGAAAGCACCCCACCTCGTCTGAATAAAACAACTTTTGTTTTTTTCCAGATTTACCATTAAAGTCCATTTTTCTGTGTGGGTTTCTAGAATATTCAACTGAGTCTGTAGCCCCGTGTTAAAATAACATCGTCGGCAAACAACAATAACAGTATCTCTATTAAATCAGGGAATAACTGTACACCATGCATTCCATTAGAGATAGCTTCATTTGATAGTTCGCTTATGAAAAGTGAAAACACTAATGGACTCAAAATACATCCTTGACGTAGACCAGTAGGGCAGTCAAAATAATCTGTGAAACCTAGATCACATTTTACACACGATTTAACACTTTTATATAAATTTCTTAAAGCTTTTAACATTTTACTACTTATACCATAAGACATTAAGAGATTCCACAACTTATCACGGTTAACAAAATCAAAAGCCTTTTTAAAATCTACAAATGCCGCATAAAGTTTTTATTTCTTTTTACATAAACATTTCTGAATAATAGCATACAGAGTAAATATGTGGTCAGTGGTTGCATAACCCTTTCTGAAACCGGCCTGTGTTTCTGGTATTCTGTTCTTGATGTTTGCCCTTATAGTTAGTCGTTTGCTTAAAACATACATGTAAACTTTACCTATAACACAGAGAAGTGAAATACCACGATAGTTATCAGGATTGCTTTTTTCTCCTTTTTTATGAACAGGAATGATAATAGCTTTTGACCAAACATCAGGAAAAACACCAGACTCAAATATTCTATTAAATAACACGTTCAGAAAGGGCATGACAACATTTTCAGAGACTTTTAACACTTCAATTACCACATCATCTATACCTGAAGCTTTGCCATCTTTCAAATGAGATATAGCATTATGTATCTCTTCATCTGTTATAGTGGAGTCCAGTATATACTCTTCCACACTGTTTACTACATTAGCACAGTTGGGTTCTAAATTTGCTTCGTTGTCTACGTTCGATGAGGAGACATTCTGGTCACAGAAGATATCAGCATTGAACACATTGCTAAAATGGTTAAACCAAGCATCACTGCTTATATAATTTTGCTTACTACACGGCTTAGATTATACCTCGGAGAAGTTTCCAAAACTGTTTTTGATTGGATATAACTGCTGTCAACGCCTTCGCAGTCTTTGTCTTAAATTCAAATTTAGACTTTCGGCAGACAAATTTATATCTATTCCCCAAAGTACAGTATTGTCTTCTGAATAAGTTTGATTTATATCTCCGAAATAGTCTAAGATATTTCTTAGCTTTACGCTTAGCTATCCTACACTCATAACTGTAAAATCCATTTCTAACATTTTTAGGGTAAACTGTTTTTTTCATACAACTTGCAGCATCTAGCAAAGTGGAAACAAACATATCAAGAGCTGAATTGATGTTGACATTAACGCTGGCCATGAGATTAGCAGAAGTTGCAAAATAGATCGATTTAAGGTTTTCAACAAATGTATTGACATTATCCACATTCCACTGGTATTTGGATGATCTACATTCTGTTGAATCATCTACTTCTACAGTACTAATGGGTGGCCTGTTAAAATATAGCAACAAGGGCATATGTTTTGAATCTAGCCTCTGTTCGACTGTGAAGCGAGTGAAGTATTCAAAAAGAGCAGGAGAGGCAATAAAATAATCAACAACACTACCACCTTGCACAGATACATAAGTAAATTCACCCTGCTCATCCCCCTTGAACCTCCCATTTAAGACATACATGTTGAATGCGAAGCAAAATCTAACAACATTTTACCAAATCTATTCATAAATGTATCCTTTGAAGATCTCTCCCCGACATGCACAAGTTCCTCCTCGGGGAATACACTTGTTTCCTCATCATTACACGGCTCAGGGGGATTACTGTTATTACCAGTACGTGCATTTAAATCACCACATATCAGTACGTGAAAATCTAACAGTTCAGATGCATGTTCAATCAACCACTGTTCCAGTTGTTCAAAACTAGTTCTTTTTCCTGAGGTATCATAGTAGTTTGATCCATATGGCGGTATGTACATTCCAAATAAAAGAACATCTTTATCACAACCGAATAGGCATTTAGATAATTTTATGCAAATGGCATTATCAAAAGACAAGGGGTATTGAACGCAATAAGAAGTTTAAGATTTCTTCACATACATACATACCCCACCTGACAGTCTACCGTAATTTGCAATTTTATGAGCTTTGGTAAAGTAAATATCATAATCATTTAGTTCAGGAGCATCAACAGTTTTATCAAGGAAAGTTTCTAGTAAAATAACAATATCAAAGCTTCTAATATATTCAATGAAATCATTGTCCTCTAATTTCTTACGAAGACTTTCAATGTTCCATGACAAAATTGTGCAACACTTATCACCATTGTTAGCAGATCCAGGCTTATTATAATCATCAGTGTTATCAGTTGAGACTGGAGATGGGCCCTGGCCACACCCTCAACTTCTCTTAGTGCTCGATTTTGAAGCACTCTTAGAATCTCTATGGCTAAACTGAGCCCTGTCACTGTTGTCCCCTTCCTGTGAAGCTGTTTTAGCTATATAACATGTGCTATAGGCCTATGGTTTCTCAATATAATGAATATACACTATATTAACTTAACCAAACTCACTCACTCACTTGTCTTAACGAATCACACACCCTGGACACCTGAGGATATATCAATATTCTCCGACTCGTTCATTGTATATATTACTCAAAATATCTCACGTAGAACAAATCATGGGGTGTATATCATTCAGAACAATTCATAACATAAAATATCGCCCAGAACGAGTCATAGGGTATATATAGTGTCAGTGTTCTGCCCGTTGGCTCGTGGCAGGTAGATCTTGTCCTGGGCTCGTGGTTTCAAATTTGTATGGCTTGATTTATTTGTCACAATGAGCTGTAGTATTGATATAGGGCCTAAGGAGCTTAGTTAGGGCCTGCAGCTTCTCAAGTATGTGGGTCCTGATGGTAGCCTGGCACTTTATTTACTTAAAACACTGGTATATATCAATCAGAATAAGTCATGTGGTATATTAAATTCAGACCAAGTCATGTGGTATGTCCCATTCAAAATATCCAATAGTGTATAAACTTAATATATAACCTTTAGGAATAAGCCATAGAATATGTATATTGTAGAACAAGGTATTTAGTAGATTTCTTTTAGAAATAACATGAGATACATATCAATAAGATACATTCAAGATATATACTAGTATTTATATGATTCACAACATGTGTTTGAATGCATATCACTCTGAACATCTATTTGAATATATATATCACATTTATAGCAAGAATATAAAATACAACATTCAGGACAAACCACTGAAATATAAATCATGACAATGATTTAAATATATTTTCCAGAACAAGCCATTGAATATATATTTTTGAGAACAAAGCCATTGTATACTACAATTTGTGACATGACACTGAACAAGCCGTAGAAGATATGATACAGAATTTGCCATTGAAATGTCATTCAGAATAAACCATTACATATATGAATCATGCCGAACAAAGCATAGGGTGTAAATCGTACAGCACAAACCACATCAGTGTACATCATTCAGAAGGTCCATTGAGCCTGAGGCATATTTTGCCACCGTCATTGTCGTCGTCGCTAGTGGCAAAGGCACGTTGGACAGCCGTTGGCGTATCTGATACCACGGGGACACATGTCTGGGGTAGGAGGAGCACACGAGGGAAGAGAGCAACAGGTACACGTCAGACAGCCGTTCACTTCCACGTACCCAAATATACACAATTGACTGCACATGAACGGTAAACAGCCTGAAAGACAAGAAGTCATACATCATCATGCTGCCCGTTTGGTATTTAATCCCGCACTCAGACAAGGCAAAAATCATACATCGGCATGTTGTTTATTTGTTTGTTTGTTTGTTGTTTAACGCCATACTCAGGAATATTCCAGCTATATGACGACGGTCTGTAAATTATCGAGTATTGACATCATGAGCATCGATCCACGCTATTGGGATACGAAAACATGCTTCAACCGCCTCTTACGTCAAGCATACATACAGGACAAAAAAGTATACTCCAATGCTCGATTGTGGTTAAAAATATAACAAATATAACAAATAAGAAATGGTTATTCAAAGGTGGTGTAATTGATTTCGGCGACTGCTTTCAGTCAGTTTTAATAACGTTTGTACTTGTTTGGTCGAATCTAATTTTCTTGTGTTTCTTTCTTTTGCTTGGGAGGCACAGAACCTATCCAAGAATATCTTGGACGTACTAACTCAAGTCCACACTTCGTGGGTGTGCGAAAATGACAGTATGGCCAGACATACCTCGAACAAATGGCAAATTATTGAAACAGCATTGGAACAAAGTCACACCAATGTATGCATACCTGACAGAGCAGCATATTCGCGACCAGCTCCGGCGACTGAATGTGTATATGCGCCATGAGTCTTGTGAGCCAAATGCCAACACGCGTCAGGGCCTTTGCATTAACCTTCAGTTCCAACAGTAGTAGACCCGAAACTGCAAACGGACGTTCGCATTGTTCTCCCTAAATTACCTGAAGCCGTCACTGATGACCCAGACATGGGCTCACAAAACAAAATCCCTCATGTAGGCCTCGAAGATTTTGATCCTTCTTCTATCGATAAACTTTCTCATGATCACTTGTATATTTTGTTCATGTCATTTTAGAATCAAATCTTTTATTTACCGATTGAGAAACAGAGGCCAGTAAAATGATTTAACCAATCATTTTCACAGAATCAACTTGACAAATAAGATGACATTATTTCTGTCACTCTCAATGTGGACATTAACTGTTGCGTGTATGCTGCTGCTCGAACACAGGAGAAACTCAATACAGTTTCCAAAGACACTGAACTACAAAAGGGTAATAAATCAAAAGAAAAACCGATTCCAAATAAAACTAACTGAAACAAAGAAAGATATATCCTGGATAGATTTTGCTAGAAATTACGTTCCTCGGGGCAATCAATGTTAAAACGACAAACAAACAAAATTTGGAAAACAATAAAAAAAAAAAATTCAAGACAACAAAAGAGAAAATACTAAATCCAATTATTGATTCTCTAAAATCAAAGTTAAAGGTTTGGACAGAAAGAAAAAAAGTAGAACAGGAAAAATAAGTTCATAAAACAAAACAAGCTGTTCAAATCTAATGGAGAGAAAAAAATACATGCAAAGATGAGAGAGAGAAAAACACGATGGATTCCAGTGAAAGGTTTTGAAGACAGTTATGGTCTGTACCCGGCAACTGTAACTTCGAGAACAAAATATAGCCAGCATTGTTGTGTTTCATTACACTCGATTGCCTGAAAAAAGGTAATTAAAGAGTCCAAATCTAATACGGAGAAAGGGCCTGGTGATATTCGAGATCGGTTTTGGAAACTGTTCCCATGTGTCCAAACACCATTACGTCACTGTTTAAATTCTCTTCTCGAAACAGGCGATGTTCCGCCTTGGTTGTCTTTTCCTAAAGAAATGTGATCTGACTGACCCTAAACACTTCCGCCCAATTACTAGTAGTTTTTTTAACATACAGTACAACATATTTACAGGGTGTCTAACAGATCTCGTGCCATCGTACTGCCATCGAATGACATTATCTACATAGAGCATAGGGAGCCAGAAAGGGATACCTCGCTATGTGTTGGATAGACTACAGAAAAGCTTGTGATTCTGTACCTCAAGAATGGATTTTGAAGTCCCTAGAATGTATTGAACACCCCGAGCGACTACTTGTTTTACTCAAGTCTTTAATAAATTGCTGGTCAACTCAACTTGAGATGTATTCGCAGAGGCAGGTGGTGACTTCGGAACACATTTCTATCAGAAGAGGAATATTTCAGGGCGATTCTTTTAGGCCTTTGCTTTTCTGTTTGTCACAAAATCCTTTAAGCTTTCTGATTAGCAAAGAGGAAGGTTATCATTCTAGAACTCCTCAACACAGCTCCCCAACACCCCTTACTCACCTCCTTTACATGGATGACCTTGAACGTATTACCAATGGAGGATCCACACTAAGAAAACAGATTTTCCTTGTCGAGTCTTTTTCTAATGACATCGACATGTCCTTTGGACGTGGCAGGGTAGAAGATCAGTCAGTTTACTTGGAGAAGGAGTTATTCACTATCTCGTGGAAGGGTAGGCCTATACGTACTTAGGGATACAGGTTAGGGACAAACTCCAGAATGCCCATATCAAGGGAAGTACAAATGTAGGCTTAAGAAAATCTGGATTCAGAGTTGAATGCTCGCAATAAAGTTAAAGCCACAAATACTTATACTGTACCCGTCCTTTCATAATTTTCGGGTGGGTCGTCTAAGGCGTTGAGATTCGCTTTGCAGAGTTGCGTCACTTGGCCACGCCAGTACCCTATGATTGTTGGTTCGAATCCCGGTTCGCCCCAATTATGTTTCTAGGTTTGTAAGCACCATACCCGTGCTCGTGGGTTTCACCGAAGTGGTAAACGTCTGAGACCTGCATCACTTCGGGCTTTCCTACCACATTAAGCTGACTCGCCATGTGCAAAACCAAATTCACTCACTCATATTCTTTTGGTGTTGTTGATTGGACGAAACAAGAAATTCAGGGTATTGACACCATGTCAGACAATAGGTCCCACCACCCTCGCTCTTAATTGCTTATATTTACCAATAAAAGTGGGAGGGTATGGTTTGATTAACGTTGGGGCTCTTCATGATGGGACTGTATTGTGCACTTTTGCACACATTTATTTGTCTGATGATCCTCTTGTGAAGCATGTCAAGACTCGTGATGAAAAGAAGGCATTACACAGTTTACATAAACGAGCTAAGGATGTGGAACATAATTTCAATGTCAGTGTTGAGTTTGTTGATGGTTCTGTACTGCTGAGTGTCAACCATGCGAAATGCCATATCAAATCGGCCCTGACTCAGATTTTCAAGGAGAGGCTTTCTGAACGACCACTGCATCGAGTTTATGTGCAGTGTGTTGAGAAGGTCAGCAACCCTGCAGAGTCCTTCGCTGGGATGAAGTCGGCTGGCCTGAAAAGTGAAACAGAAAGTTTTCCGTTTACTGCTCAGGACCAGTCACTTCCTTATCGAAACCGTCAATGTGTGATTTTGCATCAAAATGTAAATAAGAAATGTAGATTATGCAATGAATGTAATGAGACTGTCCAACACATTGTCAGTGGATGCCCAGCTTTGGCACAAACACAGTATTTTAAGCCCATCCATGGTACGACACAGAATATGTAGATGGCGTCATGGAAAATGATAAATACAAAATCCTTTGGAATAGGCCCCTATACAGCCTCAAACCTATCCAGGCGAGCAAACCGGATCTTGTCCTTTTTGATAAACTCAATGAAACCATTTATATCATTGAATTTTCTGTCCCTTTTGACACTAATTCGATTGACAAGATTCAGGAAAAACATGTCAAATATGCAGACAGTGACTTCGAAATATCACGCTTGCATCACAAGTACCAAGCTGTCCGACGCCAATTGTTCTTGGTGCCTTAGGTTTGGTACCTCCAAATCTGTTGACTGACATGGGGAGAGTACCCGTGTTTGCTGCCAGGAATACAGCCCTTCTGACAATCTGGGTAATGCAGAAGGCTGCAGTGTTGGGGAGTCTTCACATTCTCCGAAACGTTCTGGGTAGGTTTGACCAGGCAGCGCTTCCTGGGAGAAGTCCCATTCGCTGTCTGGACTGCGTGAAGAGGGAGGGGGGGGGGGGGGGCAAGGGCCCTGAGCTGATGATGAGCCTAACCAGCCTGACTGTGCCAGGATCACCCAAACCCTCCTTGCTGCATTTTCTATTTTAATCTGTAAATAATAATAATACGTACCCAGGCCAACCAACCTGACCTTGTCCTTTTTTTAATCCAATGAAATCATCTATATCATTGAATATTCTGTCCCTTTGACACTATGTTGACTGACAAGATTCGGGAAAAACAAGGCAAATATGCGACGTCCCATTACGAAATGCCGCGCTTGCATCTCAAGTCCGACTCCCCATTGTTCTCGGAACCTCACAATCTCCGCACTCCGCTTGTCAACTTATGTCAATTCGACTTACCATCTTGGTGAAGACTCCCAGCTGACAAGTAGACCGCCATAGCCAGCATGTACACCACACGGAAACCCATAGTAAATTAATACAGTTGTTGAAAGAAGCTAATCCCTTTTATAGGCCAAAATGAGCAAATCATTTATCATGCTTGTCAGAACACGTGTTTCATCAAACCTGGCCAGAATATGAAACAAAATAACTGTTCCTTTTATTTTGTCACGCAGCGAAAGACACGCACGATTTACGACATGTCAAAGTGACCAGGGAAAATATGAGACGAGGAATATTTCATTCTCGTAGTCATTTATTTCCTCTGGTTAGTCTAAAGTTGGCCATTGTTCAAAACAATAAACCGCAGTGATGTATACATTCATTTCGTAAAATCTAAAAGATAGTTATGCAAAAATGCCAGGACTCTTTTAAAGTTGTTGCTTTTTTTGTTTTCGAGTAGTTCTTACATACAGTTAAACACCGTTGTGTTGAAGTTGAAGAGACCTACTGAAATACTTCGTGTTATCCGAGGTTCGACACAACTGATAAAAGACATGGAATACATCCACCGATTGGCATGAAACATATGCGAGAAATAAACAACGAGAAAATAAAATAAATATCCAACATAACTTTTCTTATTGATTATTTATTGATAATAAAGAAGGAATACGCAGGGACCAAGCTTTTACTTCGAGACAACTGTAAGTTCGACACAACGGTGTTTGACTGATTTTATGAAGACTTTCAACTGTTGAGCGACCGCCTCCGTGGCGAATTAGGGAGAGTCTGTCTAGAGAGGGGAATGTCGGTGGTTCGTTCCCCTGGCCGCGCCATTCCAAAATACGTTTAAAGGTGGTACTTGTTGTCACCTTGCCTGACGCTCGGCGCTTGGGGGATAAAACAAAAACTTGCCGGCATCATATCTCAGTGGACTAGCACTACAAAACCAGCACAAGTCCGTGCTGGTGTCAGCAAGCACATGCACGTACATGCACGTCTTGAACGCCCCATTAGATCTCATTACAAATAACTTTAAGTGATCTCGTTACGAAAGCTATAAAATTAACTGCGGTCTTTTGGCGGTGGGTAGGCTGGTGGTTAAAGCGCCCGCTCATCACGCCGAAGGCCTGGGTTCGATTCCCCTAATGACTTTATTGCTGGCTGTTTGTTAAAACGGCGTAAAACCCAAATGACTCACTCACTCAAGGATTCGGTGTTATGCTTCCCAAGACACCGCTTACTTCAAGAATACCGCAGATTTAAATGTGAGCCGCTGTTGATGTGTGAGAGAGCAATAACATTGAGCACATCGAGATGTAATATATACTGTTATGGCTTGGTCAACAATATTCCAGGTATCACTGCAGATCATCGAGTCCGAGCAAGGCAACCTTCTGGTTGATGAATCGGTGTACGATAATACACAGTCAGCCAGGTCACTTACCATGACCACCGAATTGACGATGTCAATCACTGGATTGTCTGGTTCCGGCTCTTTTATTTACAGGCCGACGTCACATAGCTGGAATATTGCTGGTTGCGGCGTTAAACAACAAACAATCAAGGATATATCATGCCAACAAATCCACACAAGGGATATTGGGGATAGTTGACCTTCGTGTTGTGTTTCTGGCATGCGTTTGTGCCACAACTCTGCCCAAAGATGGCGCACGTGGGTCCACTCGGTTTATTCCACAAACTACATAATGCCACGGAAAACATGTGTATGTGTGTTGTTGTTGTTGTTTTTTTGTGTGTGTGCGTGTTTGTGTGTGTGTTGTTTGTGTATGTGTGTTGTTTGTGTGTATATGTGTTGTTTGTATGTGTGTGTACGTGTGTGTATGTCTGTGTGTGTATGTGTGTTGTTTGTGAGTGTATGCGTGTTTGTGTGTTGTGTCCATGTGATTTTGTCTGTCTGTCTGTCTGTCTATATCTGTGTGTGCTGTGTGTGTTGCATGTCTCTCTGTCTGTATGTGTGTCTTTGCGTGTGTTTCTGTCGGTCCGTTCTTTCTGTGTGGTGTGTGTGTGTCTTTGTTTGGCGTTTTGGAAAACGTCAAGTACATGAAACTAAAGAAAGAGTAGTGCTTTCGTCTTTTCCAGATGTTTGTACTTATAACACAACACTATGAATGCCTGAATTGAAGAACACTTTTACATGTGCATCGATGACTGCAAATTGTCGGGCACAAAATCTATACACTTGAAAATTGGATTTGGCCAAAAAGTTTTAAACGTTATCAAACGTTACTATGGTGAGAACAGTCTTCGAAACACTGCAAACTTAAGGTCGAAAACGCATCTGTGATTACCATATCAAATACATCACCATCGTGTAACCATTTTTTGTTTGTTTCATTTTTAGCCACCATCAAACAGGGGTGTATACTTTATTATGCCCGACAGTTTATAACACATACCTTTGACATTGTATCATAACCCTGTGGACATAATATTTGTGAAAAGTGAAAAGATGTTATGACCTGTAAAACGGAGCAGCATAATTAAAATATGTATCACGTTCTCAGTGACAATTATCTGCTTCAAGAATATTAACATCACAATTATTTTATGTTTATCATTTAGGTCAGTAAACGCAAACATTTCTCGCCCTCAAGCTATATCATCAGTCAAAAGGCGATGTATATGATGTTTTTCTTTGACAACAACTTGAAACTAATGTTTTAAGCCAATTAATGACTCGGCCATAGAACGACCGACAGGATGGTGGTAAGGTGAGCAAGGGTTTCTGGGACATCAGTTTTATTGAAGTAATTTGGTCTAGTTATTAGCAATATTTCGAGCATGACACGCGTGTGTGTGTTTGTGTGTGTGTGTGCGTGCGTGCGTGCGTGTGCGGCTGTTTGTACTAGTCCTGACTAGTGCCGATTTTATAGTGCTAGACCGCTGAGATACCATGACACAGTTTAACATGACTACCCCACTCAGACACAGTGGACTGACTCTGAGACGACCAGTCCTTGTTTTAGCCCACTGAGATACCATGACGCAGTTTAACATGAATACCCCACTCAGCCACAGTATACTGACTCCGAGCTGACTAGTCCTTGTTTTAGCCCACTGTATACCATGACACAGTTAAACATGACTACCCCACTCAGACACAGTACACTTACTCCGGGCCGATCAGTCCTTGTATTTGCCCCTTAATGCAGTAATGCCGAGCGACATCGGTGCGACGTCGTGTTCAGGCGAGCATTAATGCACAAGGTGGACATACTTGGTATTACGTTGGTGTGGAATGTGCTTTCATGTTTTACCAGTGTTTTGACGCTGATATTGCGAAACTTGTCATTTTTTTAACCCCCATCATTGTGTCTCAGTCAGTCGTAAAGGTTTTCTTTGGATAACATGAGCAGTTTTACACGTTATGTTAAAACTCTAACTCTGAGCTTTAATCAAATATTTAATCAAACTCATCGTATACTTTCTTTGGGACATTTGTTGATGAACCTCAATATTTCTTTCAATAAAACATCTTTTCTTAGAGACTAACAATTTATTTTTTTAATCTGAAGCATACATTTATTTTGGAATAATTTCTCTTTTCTCGATAAAATCCTGGCAAACCCGAAACTCTACAGTGAGAAAATAATCAAAGATGTCCCTCCCTCAATGTTTTGTTTTCAATAAACAAAAAAGTCACTCCTCCCTTTTGAGAAAAATGTTCCCGAGAAACATTTTTTTATTTCGCAGTTTAATCTATACATTATACAATGTCTTAAATACGACATAACCATTTGATTATAAAACAACAAACACATATATTTCCCCATATAATAAAAATATACCTATTCCTTACACAACGGCAAACGCTGAGGTTAATCTATGCATTTTACAGTGTTATAAATACATGTTGACTTATTCATTATACAACATAGTAAATACGTGTGAACCTTTACACTACTATACATACATTTTGATCCTTTCATATACAATGTTATAAATACATGTTGACCTATTCATAATACAGCATAGTAAATACATGTTGACCTTTTCGGTGCTATACATACATGTTGATCCTTTCACATACAATGTTATAAATACATGTTGACCTATTCATTATACAATGTTATGAATACATGTTGACCTATTCATTATACAGCGTTATAAATACATGTTGACCTTTACAGTGCTGTACATACATGTTGATCCTTTCGTATACAATGTTATCAATACATGTTGACCTATTTATTATACAGCGTTATAAATACATGTTGACCTTTACAGTGCTATACATACATGTTGATCCTTTCATATACAATGTTATCAATACATGTTGACCTATTCATTATACAATTTTATCAATACATGTTAACCTATTCATTATACAATGTTATAAATACATGTTGACCTATTCATTATACAGCGTTATAAATACATGTTGACATTTACAGTGCTATACATACATGTTGATCCTTTCGTATACAATGTTATAAATACATGTTGACCTATTCATTATACAATAATATAAGAACAAGAACAATGAAGAAAAAAACGTTGTTTATTTCAGGTTTAAACAGTTTTATCGTGAAGTAATTTCTGAAGATTCGAACATGCGCTCACAACTTGATGACGTCGTAAATTGGATGACGTTATTTTTTAGAACGAAGTGTCACGTGAGATGTTCTCCATAGATTAGCTGGGCACCGCGGATGAACGCAATGGCCGAACGATCGCATTCAAATGTGAGAGAGATATTACAATCTGTTTTGGGAGAAAAGGTACAGAGAATGGACGTGAAAATTGTGAGAATATCCAGGAAACACGAAACGTAACCCCTCTGTTCATAAAATGGACTTGTCCGATACGGCCGAGGTCGCATTGTATTCAAGGAGTCATCAGTATTTAAATACTGGAAAATGTTTTTGAAGAGTGTACATTCTTTAAAATCGTTTAAGAGGCAGTACAAAATGTTGATATCTCATATGAGAAATAGATGCCTTTGCGCCCCTCATGGGTTATTCTCCCTACAGTGTTTTATTGTACGCTAAACAACGACCACGAGTCGTTTATTTCTTAATGATATATACATGTTAACATCTTCAATATACAGTGTTATAAATACATGTTGACCAACAGTTATTCATTTTATGGGACTCCCTCCCTCACCCCCACCCCACCATCCACACCCACACACAACACGACACACACCACCCCCAATTGTGCGAGAACTGGGTTTAATACCGCTTTGAATGTGGAAAGAAAGCCAATGTGGTGCAGTTCAAAGACGTCAACCACTTTGGTGTCACTCGACCGCCTCCGTGGTCTAGTGGTAGAGCGTCCGCCCGGAAAGCGGTCCCCGATCCCCGGCCGCATCATACCAAAAGACGTCAAAAGATGGTACTTATTGTTACCCTGGCGCTCAGCATTAAAGGGCCCTAAACAGGAACTGGTCGGCTCGGAGTCAGTATACTGTGAGGGGTGTTCATGTTAAACTGCGGCATGGTATCTCAGTGGGTTAGCACTATAAATCGGCATCAGTCCGGACAAGTACAAGCAGACACACACACACACACACACACACACACACACACACACACACACACACACACACACACACACAGACCGCTATATAAGTGCAATAATCTTGGACGCGACGTTAAACCTCATTTCACCTCACCTCACCTTTTGTGTAACTCACGAGCATGGGTACTGTGCTTACAAATCACAAACCCTAAACCATCAGATTTGGGCAGTTATGCAGCTCCACATAGCGAATTATTCCACGCTACACTGATGTGCGCCCCGTGTCCCTGTCATCAGGTGTGGGAAATAGGTAAAATGATGCATTATGTAATTAAAACCATGTTTTCATTGGTTTAAAAATCTAAACTTCTTTGCCGTAGGGTGAATACATTATTTAGCATATGTGTCGCATTCAACACGGCAACACAAGGACGGATGTGACAAAATACCAGGCCGGCCAATCGAAAGTAATTATGTCAGTAATGACACTCAGCGTTGGATAAATTTGTTAGAAGTCTTCCTCGCAGGAGGAATGTGACATCAAACTAGCCTTACTGTGTACTTGTACAATGGTGAAACCTGTAGAGTAAACGATAGATGTCATCTTTGGACTATTGAACCTATCTATCTATCCATCTATTCATCTATCCATCCATCCATCAATTATACAGTGTGTGTGTGTGTGTGTGTGTGTGTGTGTGTGTGTGTGTGTGTGTGTGTGTGTGTGTGTGTGTGTGTGTGTGTGTGTGTAGCAGACCTCGTTTGACAAGGATACCCATTTGTTACAAACTGTTCCTCATCCTCAGTGTCCCAGGGTATTATATATCCTATCATAACTACCCTGGGCCCATTAGTTTCGGTACATCATCATTAATATGCTTTTTAAAACATTTTTTCGGATTTGAAAAAAAATATGTGAAATCGGCCATTCTCAAGCTACTACTGAATGGTTAATTTGAGGTGACGTAGAATTTCATCTTACATACATGTCTCTTTGGGTTATTTTATTTCCAAGGGCTCTTATAATTACAATACTACTACCAACAATAATATTTCATTTTGCAATACGACTACAAAAGTCAGAATCCAAAGCGTAGCCATCGGTTATCAGAATACACGTACAGTTATAGATGCGACAAGTCAAAAGATGCACAGTATCAAATCATATGAGCATTCCGGAGAAAATACACCCCTTCAACAAGTTAAGGGCCCAGGGTCCACACTCAATCATACAGCACGCCCCACGTGAACTTAGATGCAGCCTTCTGGCCACGGAGTGTGCCATAAAACTTACAATTAAACTGATCTTCAGCTCTCTTCTAGATACGAAATATGCATCGAAAGTAAAAGAAGAGTATAACTGGAGAATTGCTGTATGCAATGAAATGAGTAAACGACCATATATTCTCCTCAATCACCGGATGTAATGAAATGACTGAACGACCATACATGTTCCACAATCACCGAATGTATTGGAATGGCTGAACGACATATATTCTCCTAAATCACCGGAGGTAATAGAATGACTTAACGACCTCATATTCTCCATAATCATTGAATGTTACAGAATGACGGAACGACCACAAATGCTCCTCAAATACCGAATGTAATTGATTGACTGAACGGCTTTATATAAGCCCCAGATGCAATGGAGGTATTGAACGATTTCATCGGAGACTTATCATTAAGGAAATCCCTTCGTCGCTAATATCTGTATTCTCTTAAATACCGGATGTGATGAAATGATTGAACGACCTTATATATAGTCCTCAGATACCGGATGCAATAGAAGGATTAAGCCATCTTATACGCCCGTCATACGACGGGAATCGGAGAAAAATATTGTATAAAGCAGTAAAGATACTCTGCTTCTAACAAAAATCCCGGTCCTCAGCATATGAAATGGTCAGCTTGAAGCATGGGGTACTGGAGACTCCAACCCTAACCCTAACTGAAAAGAAGACGAAGAAGTCTCCGTGGTCATTCAAGAAAATTTAATGGCAGTTAGTTATTTCGTCATCATAGGAAAGGCATGGCAGTTTGTCAACACACGCACACGGACAGCACGTGGTTACATTAAAAATTATGAATCGGGTGCATATAATTGTTGGACTGGTAACGGAATGGCAGACAAACGAAATTACACCCCACGACAAGTACACAGCATCGGCAATAGGCTATTCTTATCCTTATTGAACAGCATTCATTCATTACTTTATGACACTAACCCTAACCCTACCCTAACGAGAATATGAAATAGTCGGATACAAGTGTGGGATACTGGGGACATGTTTCCTTCTTTACCACCAGTGTGCATGCCTTCAAGCCAGGGTTATTCTCGATATGAAGGAATATTTGGAACAAAAATATTTTTTGTTTGATATTTGTTTAACGCCGCACTCAGCAATATTCCACTTGTATGACGGCTGGAACACAGGTTGGAACACACACCTGTTACACCTGCCATAAAGGGTTATTCTCAACGTTTAGACCACACTATGAAAACCATACCAACCAATGTGCGACAATAGAAACGAGCTGTTAGAAATAGACATTGAGCTCTCATTTCAATTTTCAAAATGAGCCTTACACAATCATGCTAGTATTAGCGTCCCTTGGTTTTCTACACATATGTGGTAGTCATAAGAGGTGTTGTGTGCAGAAAGGGAATTCCATTTGACGTAAATAGGTCACGAGTTACTATAGGACGTCCGGCCTTTGAGTATCGATCGATGGCTTCCTTTAATCCCAAGCTACTTTGGTAATGAAGGGACTATTTGCAACGTTCTGGTCACACCACTTAACTGTGATGACATAATAGCCCGGATGTGTGACCTCATACATGACCTCATACAAGTTATCACCCGTGTATGTTGTCGATGTCTCTGTAATGTAGCGGGGATCTGGGCCGTGGACGCTGATGTTGACGATGCCGTTGCAGGGATAGCGGACCCACACCTATAAGAAAACAACATCACCATGAAAGCATGTACTCAACAGCAAAAGTAACTTAACATTTCTCCATAACGGAACAGCCTAAATAAGCACCAGTACACCATGAATAATATACGAAAATTAGTTTGGGAGCCCGGGACGTCTGTGCTATTAAACATCTATAGGTATTGGACCGCCTCCATGGTCTAGTTGATACAGAGTCTGCATGGAGAGCGGAGAGTCTGTGGTGCGATCCCCAGCTGTGTCATATCAATAAAGACGACAAAACCCTTTCCATAGTCAAAAGATTTTAAAAGATGGTACTTGTTACCCTCCCTGACGCTTGGCATTAAGGAGATAAAACAAGGACTGGTCGGCTCGGACTATGAGTCGGGTATCCATGTTAAACTGTTGCATGGTATCTAAGTATTAGCCCGGACTAATACAAGCAACTTTGCGTGTGCACACACACACACACACACACACACACACACACACACACACATGTGCATGCACGTTGCTATGTGAGTGCAATAATCTTGAATACGACGTTGAATCCCATTTCACCTCACCTAAATATGTTGCTTGAAAAAGGTACCGATTGCAAAAGGTACCGACTTCATTTTAACTAAATCAATCACAGAAAACCTATGGGGTCAATCTGAAATCATATTAGGCAAACAAAAACACCTGGACCTCGTTCATCCTAACATTGCTTTAATAATCAATTTCCTGACGTACCTGGAAGTTGTTCTTCATCCCGACCTGTCCATAAGACAAACCAGCTCCAAACGCCAGACACTCTTCCTCTTCACTAAGGTCTCCGGGGAGTCTCTCGTCACCCCCGGTGGTCTCAGAGAAAGGGTTATTTTCTAGTAGTTGCAACACAGATTTGGGAAAGAACTTTGAGAACCATGCTTCATCAACTACATCAGAACCTGGTCGCCTAGAGTCTGAGAGGGAATATTCCTGAATATTCACATCTGGAGTATTGGGACTCGGAGGAACAACAGGCGAGTCATTAAGACATGAAGAAGTTTCAATATGTTCTGTCGGAGGGCGAACTACTTTTACAGTCTTAAAGTTAGCTTGTTCTTTCAACTGATTGCCATCCTGTTTTCCACTTTGGACATTGAGTGAATCATTTCCTTGTGTCGGTGTACCAACAGGTCCAGAGGTAAACACCTTCCTAAAGGGTTGTTTGTTATTGTCCAGTTTGTTTCCATCCAGTCTGTCACTTCCAGTTCCACACGTCCTTGATTTTTGTGTCATATTTTTCAAATGATCCTCAACATTTCTCAACATGTTTGTTTCACCAACAAAATGTGATCTCTGTAAGGTTGAAAGTCCGAGTCCATCATCGGCACTCTTACCAGATGATCTAACTCTTTCAGGTTCTTTACTGCTTATCCTAACAGTGTCTGACACAGTAACAGTTCCAATGTTACCCGTATTACTTTGATCACCGCACCAACCGAAGAATGCTTGACCTTTACGTGATGCAGCTTCTACATGAAACTGGTCCTGTCCACTTACTGAACGGTTTCTCTTCAGATGTTGCATGTTCGCACCATCTGTATCCCTTCCAATAGCTATCATTGATCGACGCAAAGTATCACCATGACAACTGTTCTGGCTTCTAAACTGAGCCCTGTTGTGCATCCGATTTCGTCTCGAGCTGTATTCAAGTTCCGAGTCGGAAAAGTTTAACTCTTCATTCGAACATTCAACCAGCTTGGACCCAATCTCTGATAATGAAGAATGGAGTACCCTTCGTTGAGACCCTCTCTGAAACTGCAACCTCCTTCTTCGTTGATGGTAGTTCCTAGTACTTGGATCTAACTGAATCTCATGAGGACGTTGCCTTCTGGATATCCTCCGGTGCCCATTTGTGCCTCCATGGTTCCAAAGGGAGATATTCTCATCAGCTATGCCACTATCTATCGTATCAAAGGTTGACTGTCTGTCTGAAGGAGCGCGAAATATATCATTGCCGTTACTGTGCAGCCATTCTTCCACATTAAAGACATTTCTCTGTCTCTCTTGGGCATTAATGTTTCCATTGAGAGAGCCCTCTATGTCATCGCCATTCAAGGGTATATCAGATTCAGCTGCTTGAGATTGCTGTTGGATGTTGCCAGTGTTAATATATATTTTACGTTTCTTGATCTTAAATGCACCAGAATGCCAACCCGTAGCATTCTTGATCTCCTCATTTGTTACTTGGGTCGTCTTGTCAACCTTCGCTCTAGGTACCACGATAACCACCTGGGAGTTGGTCCATGATCGATATGGGGACTGTTGGTCAACAATGCTCTTAAACCCAGTTGGTGTTATGGTGCTGCTTGAACTGCCGGAAGGGTGTGAGTGACCCTGGTCTTCTTTTCCTTCCTTGGATTGAAGTTGGCTGGAAGTCTTTGTAGACCTACCCAAGAGCGTTTCTGTACGTCCAGAATGCTCTGACAGGATTGATTCGTCCGCTGCAGTTGCTTTAACTGCCACCTGTTCATCATCATTGTCCTTTGAGGCATCCCCGTTCTGACAGGATGAATCCCTCGTTGTCTTTGCCTTTGGACACGTGTTGTTGACATATTCTATCCGTGGAGAGTCTTTGGGAAGTTGGTCAACATCGAAAGACTGCCATTGTCGCGACATCTGCAACATGTTTGGTCTGGGATGTGCTGCAATAGGTGGCTCACAGTTAGAGGAATCATCTATGATAGTCGTATCCTTCATGTAGTAACAAGATTTCTTATGGCTGTCTGATTGCAGAAGCTTCAGATGAACGCCTGCCATACAGTTTTCATTTATTTCATCACTGGAATATCTCACAGGTTCAACTGCCCTGCCCATTTTGTCCGAAACGCTGCAATGGACAGAAGACTTGTGTGAAGAATTCTGCTTTGAATTACTGCAAAAACTACGCCCGTTGCTTTCTGGAACACATTCGTGAACAGCTTTCCCTTTGTTAATGTCCTTTGATAGGGGTTTCTTCTTTATACTATCTGAATCAATTGATATCACTGACAGAGAGTCAGATGTGTCATTGTACGTCTCGTCCTCGGGGATATATATGTCTTCTTTGACAGCCTGAAACTTTCCTTTGCCTGCGTTGTTAGCATGCTTAACTCCAGACTGCCACGTCAGTCTCTTTCCGATACAGTCTTTCCTGTTCTGTTCTTCTTCAGACAGATCAGAGAATTCGGCACTACTCTGCCTAGACAAAGTTGGCGAAGGAGAAAAATCCGAAAGAGCAATCTCCTCTCCATTTCGAGTTATCACCCTTTTAACAACTCTCCGTTTTCCTATTGTGAGTTGTTTGGAGTGGCCTCTGTGGCGTCTGGATCTGACTCCAGCATCCAGGAACCTGTTGGATACTTCCTCCTGGAGTTGTTTCATCTTGGCTGGGCCCTTGCTGATTGATGGCAGCATGCCTAAAGTCATAGGCTTGCTCTTCCCTAAAACGTTCCACGAGCTTGACCAGTCCGACACAGAGACTTGATAGGGGCTTCCCTGAATATGGTGGTCGTGGGATTTGATGACAATGTCATGAACACCCGTGTTTCTTGGAACATACGTCACAAGGAATCGTCCTTCCCCTATGCTTTGATAGTCAAATGGTATGACTTGGTTACTGTCTTCGTCAAACCTTTTCTGACGGATGAACTTGTTTCCCTCACTATCTTCAATTACCTTTGACCGCGGTTCGGATGGAGGCTTCAGGGTGTTTATAGTAGTTTCATGTTGGTGTTTGGAGGATATTTCTGGATGGAGAGAAGATATCCTTTCACTGTTCATCTCTCCAAGTGGACCAATGATTTCTACCAGAAGGTCAAGTGTACCTGGTGTGGAGAAGTCGCATGTTTGATAATGTCGAATTAACAAAAAAGAAACGCCAACAAATATAAAAGTTCAAATCCCGAAAGGTTAAGCGCCTTTTAAAGGGGCACTGATCTAACGCAATTCCCCGGACTGGTTGTTGCCTTTGTTATTGTTTTTTCCCCGTGAGTACCCGGATGATACGCAACGCAACTGAGCGTGACCAGAGACTGGGCTACCGTCTGCAAGGACAGCTAAATAAACTTGGAGGCTGGAGGCAATATTTGTTTTACGCATTTTTGAACACTGATTACTTTAACCGTGATCTATAAAGATTTTGACAAAAGGCGCACGTTAATTAATTTCTTCAGCCAAAACAAACAGACAAAAAGAACGGCGGAGCTCATCGTATGTCGTCATTTGGAAATACCCCAGATGGTTATAGTTTAATAATAAAAAAAAGTATCCATGCAGTGAAAGCATTTTCGGATTTCGGATTGCGTCGATAATACGATTACTACTCACTTGTTGTCATCCACGTTTTCTGGTATAACCCTACACTTGTGTATTTGTCGTCATTCACTTGATGCTCAGTTAATGAATTTATTACAGGTACAATTAGTGGTAGCACGACTTAGATTACCTGACAAAGGTTCCCATTTGGCATTTATTGTGTCTGGGGTATTTATTCAATCTCAATCCAGGTTTGAAGTGAGGTGAAATATGTGTTATGTAATATGCACGTGGAAGCCCAGCAAGAGGTGAATGATCAGTGCATTTACTTTTTTTTGTAAATCAACGGATCGTTCCTAGTCATCAAGGGATTAACAGAAAATACGTTGATTGATTAATCACTGTTATCTTGCACAGTGGATATGTCAAAAGGGAGTGTTTACATGTCTAGGTTTACTAAAACAAAGGGAATACACTCATATCATGGCGTGAAGTGTCGATGTAAAAACAACATACTTTGTTCAAAGGGTTAACTAATAATACGTTGATTGATTGCTCATTGTTATCTATCACTCAATGGATTTTTTAGGAACCGCGGACGTTATGAAATAGTCGTCACGTGGGCTTTCTCGTCCGACCCTTGAGACTTGACACCTATGTGAAACACCTGAAACAATCTAAGTGATCAGTTGAGAAACGAACACGGGTTATAATATCCCGAAACGATAAATATCTTTTAAAATATTTGATTGTTACAGAGACACGTGACATCGAATAAGTTTCTTTGTACAGCTGCAGACGATTGGGATATTGTTCCTTTGTGTGGATATTCACGGATACATTCCTCGAACAAGGAAGCTGCCTAAAATTTATACACATAAATTTGGTAGGTTGTAATTATGGTATTTGCATTTTGATTTCCTTCATTCGCTGTAGCATTGAACCGATTCGTTCTTGTTCCTCTACGTCTTGGTTGGGAAATTCTTCAGATTGACTAAAATTGATTAAGACGATAAAAAGGGCCTAAAAACATCACAACAGATTATTATGTTGGATTAGAAGCCAAACAACATAGAAATGTACTTTTCAACGTAATATTTCCAGTCTATTTGTGATGACATAAAACATCAAAATGTTTGGAATTCGTTATCATAATAATACAGATGGAAATGTTTTTCAGTCACTTTGTAAAATAACTGAATATTTAGGCGTTTAATAAATTTGAAAATGTTACACATTTTGACAGTAAAAAAATATACACACTATAAAAAAAGCAGTGCTCAGGTGAAATATTTACTTTGTTTTGCAAGTCAAAATAGTGTAAACGAAAATCGCAAAATTACCAAGCAAGTGACTTATCAAAATTTCGTCACCATTACCGATGCTACCCGCAAAGATACCTACATTTCCTTATTATCTCGAAAACTGTATTTCATTTTGTTGATCAATGTGACCATATGCCCTTATTACTACCCATAAAAGTGACTAATGCGCTTACGAATGGCGCAGCAGAGGTCGCGAACTAGTCTAGATTTCTGCTATACATCCGGGTACTCACTGGGAAAAAACAATAACAAAGGCAACAACCAGTCCCGGGGAATTGCGTTAGATCAGTGCCCCTTTAAGTTTGAACTTTAAAGTTATAGGAAATTGAATAGAAACAAATACACTTTTCACGGATACTGAAGTGAAAAAGACATAAAATATGCTACGGTATTACGTTTTGATAGATTGAAAAAGAAGTAGTAGTAGTAGTAGTAGAAGTAGTAGTAGTAGTAGTAGTAGTAGTAGAAGTAGTAGTAGTAGTAGTAGTAGTAGTTTCTTTGTTTTGTTTTGTTTGTTGTTTAACGCCGCACTCAGCAATATTCCAGCTATATGATAATAATCGAGTCTGGACCAGACAATCCAGTGATTGACATCATGAGCATCGATCCACACAATTGGGATACGATGACATGCATCAACCAAGTCAGCGAGCCTGACCACCACCAGTAGTAGTAGTAGTAGTGGTAGTAGTAGTAGTAGTAGTAGTAGTAGTAGTAGTAGTAGTGTTATTATAAATGTTGGTTTTTTTATTTCCTTTCATTCATAACTTCATAGGAAGATGATATTATCCCTTATCATACAAAAGACTTGCCTTCATCGTCTGTGATGATGTTGAACTTGGCCCTGCGTCCAACCATCGCTGTTTTCAAACCGGTTCCACGTGCAAAGCACCTGCTCAAGACCCTCCTCACTGGAAGTGCTACAGCGTGTGCGGGAGTAGATGACTTGGGCATACGCTGATGTTTCCACCGGATCATGTGGACAAGATGGACGATCTTCAGCTCTGTGTCTTCCGCTGCTATGGCCATCTCTTCCGGGGTGATGACAACCTGAGATAGTTTCAATTTTCACATTTAATGTGATACAGCTTTAGGAACCGACCATTTGTGGCTGGAGATGTTTTGAAAAACATAATTTGCTCCGGGAAATACTTGAAAAAAAGATAACTTTGCCTCAGGTATGACTTGTTCGTAAACAATCATGTTCAGTTCCTCTCTCTAGAGAAATCTGGGGCGGTCGGGTAGCCTAGTGGTTAAAGCGTTCGCTCGTCCCGCCGAAGACCCGGGTTCGATTCCCGACATGGGTACAATGTGTGAAGCCCATTTCTGGAGTCCCCCGCCGTGATATTGCTGGAATATAGCTAAAAGCAGCGTAAAACCATACTCACTCACTCTAGAGAAATCAATTGAACCTTTACACCTTGAAGCAGTGGTCGAAACAAAATCACAGGTCCCAGCCCCATTATATTACATTATAATTAACTTTTGTCGGCCTAATTAGGATATATTAATATACTATGTCAAATAATAGCTGTAATTTTTTTCTAGCTCCCACATGAAGTATCGCTAGTGTGAGATCACCCGTATTACTTTAAAGGGCAAGTAAAGTGAGAAAAAAATGATTGCGATTTTGTTGCGAATTTCAATTGTCCCAGATATATTGAGTCAAAAGTGATGAAATCACATGGGCGTAATCGGATTCCAAAATAAAACTATTTGGGGCGTGGACCAAAGCTACCGGCGCAACGGTGCAGCGATGCGTGACTAATGTTTTCCCTGACTGATATGTTGTGACGTTCTGGCGCCAATAAGCCAGGATGCGATCAATCTAAAAGTTTTGCTATTTCTGTTAATCCTACAAAAGTAACATTGCATACATTGCTGACTGTGTAAAAACGACCTATGATCTTGACATTGTGAATCAGACTTTCTACCCGCCCAGCAGCAAGCTAAGGGATAATCCCCATCGTGTTTGATGAAGAAAAAAACATGTGTACATACAGCAGTCGTTTACTTTTAAATATAAAATAAACAATTGATAAAAAGAACGAGCACGGCATAAATAGCGTCCTATTTGTCCAATTTCGAATTTAACATTTCCATTTACACAATTACCACCCCAACTAAACTAGTGTCCAAAAGAAACGATACCACCTGTTTGCAACGACATAAAAGAAAAACTAAACAATGCAGAAGTTTAGGATTGGTGTTATGCTTTTGATAAATCCTTTCACAACATCTGTACAAAAATTTCATTTCAATAAAATCTGTACAACCAATATGACAAGCCTTTAAAGATGGGTGGGGTCGAAAAATGAACATTTCGTTAGAGCACTGATCACAGAAACAACGGGAAATGTCACACCACACGTCTCAAAGTCAAGTCAGTAGCGGGTATGTCCACCGTGAGCATCAATACATGCCAGAACACGCCTACGGACTGATGACGTCAAACGTCTGATGACGTTGGGAGTGATGCGTTGCCATTCCTCCAGGAGACATCGTTCCAAGTCCTGGACGTTGACTGGAGGCACACGGCGACGTCGGATTTGCCGATCGAGGTGGTCCCATAAGTGCTCGATGGGATTCATGTCCGGTGAATATGCGGGCCATGGCAAAACCTGTACTTTGGCGTTGGCAAGGAAGTTCTGTGTCAATCTTGCTGTGTGTGGCCTTGCATTGTCATGTTGGAAAAGGAGTCCACGAGGCTGTTGCTGAATAAAGGGCACCACAACAGGCAGTAGGATGTCATCAAGATAACGCTGTGCATTCAGGTTTCCACGAATTACGACAAGCATCGTTTTGACGTCACCACATATGCCATCCCAAACCATTAACCCTCCACCTCCAAACGGCCGGACCTGTTGGATACAGTTAGGCGCCAAACGTTCACCAAATCGTCGGTATACAAGCTGCCGTCCATCGTTTCTGAAGATGAGGAATCTGCTCACATCAGAGAACATAACACGTGCCCAGTCCCGCCGTTGCCAACGTCGAACTCGCCTGGCCCAGATCAGTCTGTTGTTCCGGTGTCGAGGCGTCAGGAGCGGTCCGCGGTAGGGATGACGTGGCCGGATACCATACTGCCGTAGTCTCCTGTAGACGGTCTGTCGACTGATCCTGTGTCCCAGTGCTGTAGCCGCCGTGGACGTCGCTGTTACGGTGCGGTTCCTCAGGTGTAATACCCGGATGTAACGATCTTCACGGGGCGTGGTTACTCGTGGTCTTCCACTCCTGGGCCTGTCTGACATCTGACCTGTCTGACGTAACCGCTGCATCAACCTGGTGATAGTGATGCGTGCGAAGCCCAACCTTCTGGCGACGTCGACGTGTGACGCTCCTTGTTGGACCATTCCAACGGCTCTCTCTCTCTCGATGGCTGTCAAACGTGGCATATCTTGTGTTCTTTTTGTTGCTGTGATATCAACGTGTCTGATCAGCCGTTTTATACAGTTTTTCTGCACGTGCAGAACATGCTAGAGAGGGAAATGTCACTTTCACGAAATTTACGTTTTTTCCCGGAAGTGATCACGTGTTCCCGGTATTTTTTATCGACTATGCTGTGTTTGGGATGTGCAATACGAATTGGCATGTTTTCATACTTGACAATTCACTTAGTAAAAAACAATTTTGAAAATAAGTTGGTATCGTTTCTTTTGGACACTAGTTTAGATGTGAAACAGCATTGTGATAATCGTTCACTGGTTTCTGGTTGGAAAGAAGTTTCTTTTCCCTCTCACAGGCATAGTCTAGGTTTCGACAAAGTAGATACAATTTATGAATTTTAACAACTTCTTTAATACTGTAAAGGCGACGTTTCGGTATAGATCCTTAAACCGTTGTCAAGCAAGGACTTGCTTACAGTATTAAAAAAGTTGTTATCAATACATTGTGTCTACTTTGTCATCCGTCAACTTCTAAGTACTGCCTATCAAAGAATAGGTTTCGATACTTCTACCTATTGAGGGGCATCAAACAACCAGGGTCGTGATCACAGTATTATTGCTCAACCTGCAGTATCTGAATGAATTTGTACATATGTTGGTGCCACCCCTCGCCATGATTTGTTGCGTCGTCCCTCTGCTTATTCTGGGTAAGCATTCGTGATTAGGAATTCTCTAAAGTATCAAATTCTGCAAAGTTGCTATGTTGATTGTACTTGCCCTTTAAACTGACTCCGTTCGTGTATCTGCAACATTGTACATTAATTCACTCTTTAAGATGCGGGGCGGTGGAATATCCCAGTGGGTAATGCGTTCGCTCGTCACGCAGGAGGACCGCGTTCGATGCCCAAATTGTGTACAATGTGTGAAGACAATTTCTGGTGTCCCCCGACGTGATATTGCTGGAATGTTGCCACACCCACTAAGAATTGTCTTTTACGTTTTACCATTCTGGAAATCTCTCGGAATCGCACGGAGGAGGGATGCAACTCTTATATTCATGTGTGCCAATTCTTACACTAAACAGTGAACACCAGGGGGGGGTGGGATCTGCCCTAATAAAAGCGTGCGTTTGTCACGTCGAAGGCGTGGGATCTATTAACATTGGTATTCTGTCTCTAGTCACAACCGTGATTTTGCTTGAATATTGCTAACTGCGGCGTAAAACTATATTCTCTCAGTGAAGTTCAGCATAGAACACCCCCGGTGGGGTTTTGCGGGTATACGTGTTAGAATTTGTTACCAGCAACTTATGCTGGTCGCATAGAGGCATATAAATGGATCTGGAGGTCCGGGTCGGTGACTTGGTTGATGCATGTCATTGTACCACGATGGCGTGGATCGTTGCTCACGATATCGATAACTGGATTGTCTGGTCCAGACTCGATTATTGACAGGCCACCGTCATTTAGCTGGAATATTTTCAGAGTGCGGCGTTAAACAACAAGCAAACAAACGAAGCAAAGAATACGTGCTTACCCGCTGTATATCCAGGAATTTGTTTGCGATTTGCAGCCCAAATTTGCAGTTGTTGACCCTGAGCACAGATTTGAGGAGATAGTATCTGGGACACAAGCCAGGGCTGAGGGACTCGAGGAGGGCGCACAGTGCTATACCGTCTTGCCAGGAGTAGATGAAGTCGTCGATTTGGATGTGGGTCACTCGTGACTTGACCCACTGAAGTAGACGGATCTTTCTTTGGACATCTGAAATGAATGAGTGAGTGAGTTTGGTTTACCGCCACTTTTCACAACAACATTCCAGTTATATCATGGCATGTGCGCTTAATGTGGTAGGAAAGCCCCAGGTGATGCAGGTCCTTGACGTTTACAACTTTGGTAAAACCCACGAGCACGGGTATACTAGAAACATAATCGGGGCTAACCGGGATTCGATCCCACAATCATAGGATTCTGGCGTGCCCAAGGGACGCAACTCTGCACAGAGAATTACGACGGCTTAAACGTAGGTAATGCACATGTATAATTTATACGGTTAAGATGCATATATCCGTCTTTTATAAAAGGTGCCAGAGAATTTTTAACACAGACTGAACAATGAAACCTCTCCAGTCCGGACGCCGTTAATTCGGAAACCCCTCTTTCTGGGCAGAAGGTTTCCGTATGAACAATGGGACATCACTGCGTACACATCGTTGACTGTAACTTATGATGTCAACCACAGGTTTGTCTGGCCAAGACTCGTGTATATACCGGGCGCCGCGATATAGCGGGGATAGTGTTCACTTTAACCATCCACGTGTTGGATGGGACACTATGAGACGTTAATGGCCTTGAATATGTGAATACTGTGCTTCAGGTAATGACAGGCTTACAAATCGTATGCCGTTTGTGCTTACACCATGATGTCTTTGATATCGTGTACGATGGAATCAAACAAATAAAAGCCACAAAACTCCCTCTAATTTCAAAACAAATCTCCGCTAAAAGCAGAGCCGATTGTATTATTCCGAGTATATCATGAGCATGTGTTTATGAATCACTATCTAATAGTGATGATATCGGGTGTACGCGAAAAGTTGAGCTTATCCTGTCCCACCGGGGGCACCCGTCACAAATACATGCAAAGACGAGTCAATTTTTCACCTGAAAACTTTTTGAAAGCTTTACTAAGGCATTGAATGCACAGACAGGCTTGAGCGATGTCTAAATCAACCCTTGGGGTCTTTCTGTCGTGGATATGTTTATAAACATCTTCCTTAAATTCCAATATCTGAATTAACTGCAATAAGAGGGACGGGTGGTCAGTCGCAAACGGTGTGCAGATAATGAGCATTGGTCTATCCGCACAAATACTGACCTCGTGGTTATCACTAAGTATTAAACGTCTCACATCACTTTGAATTTTAACCCATGCTTGCCATAAAAGGCGACTATCGGGATCGGGTGGTCAGGCTCGCTGACTTGGTTGATATCAATCACTGGATTGTCTGGTCCAGACTCGATTATTTACAGACCGCCGTCATATAGCTGAGTGCGGCGTTAAACAACAAACCAACCAACCACTTTGAATTTTCCTTCCACATGAAACTGGTAAGACGTGATAACTGAAATTCTGTTCTACCCGGCATAAGTGAGTGAGTATGGTTTTACGCCGCTTTTAGCAATATTCCAGCAATATCACGGCGGGGGACTCCAGAAATGGGCTTCACACATTGTACCCATGTCGGAAATCGAACCCGGGTCTTCGGCGTGACGAGCGAACGCTTTAACCACTAGGCTACCCGACCACCCCTACCAGGCATAAAGACTCAACTGACTTTTAAAGGAAGCTATCGAGCGATACCCATCGGCTAGATGACATAAATAACACGTGGCCTAAACACGACATGATGGATTTCCTTTTTGTTCCTTTAGGATACCAGTTAAGACTTACCGTATTCGACGTAATAAGCACCCAAGGTGCTCTTAAAATTAGAAATACGGGGCTATTTTTAGAATATAATTTTGGCGGAAGACAAACAGAGGTGAAAGATCGTAAATTTCGTTGTTTATGTTGACAGCCTGAAATGATACAAAAGAAACGTCTGTGCGTACTATACACGACAAACAATTTTTCCAGAACCGTAATTAAGGGTGCATATAACACACGAGTTTGTATTATACATGAATAAATAAGTCTTGATTACATTTATCAATCGGAAGGGGTGCCAATTGGGATTGTTCACCAGCCAATATATTAGCAAATATTGCCGTGGGCGCTTATTAGAGCGGAGCGCTTATTACGTCGAATACGGTAGCACGTTTATGAAGTCTCTTTCTGGGATTGAGCGGTGCCTGGTGACGGCGCTCTTTAACAACAACTTACCACGACATAACGGCATAGCGTATGCAGCTCTTTTTATCCAACCCGTCTCATTCTGCCTCGTCAGCATTTTTAACATTGATTTACCGTACTCAGTCATCATCATGTTATCCCCGGGGTGTGAATTAACACTGGTGCAGTCAGGCCTTGACTGAGGTCTGAGACTGCCTTTGGTATTTACAGATTTATTCCAGGACAGCACATAGTCCTATGTTCAAATATAGCGCGGAGATGCATTTGATGGGTTTACCAGCTGATCGAAATGCTGGCTCCCCGCATGGATTCAGAGCAAGCATAGATTCGAGGGTTACAGTTGTTCCCCAGTAACCTATAGTGAATCGGTTGGTCAGGCTCGGTGAATTGGTTGGCTGCATGTTTTTGTACCCCGGCGGCGTGGATTGTTGTTCATAACATCAATCACGGAATTGGCTGGTCCAGACGCGATTATTTACAGGTCGCGGTCATATTGGTGGGGAATTGCTTGGAGCAAACACCAGGTGTCTGGAAACGTGTCACACGCTGGAACTAACAGGAAGCAGTTACGTCCTTGTTCGATATACTGTTCTATATCAAACTATATCCACCTCGTTGACATCTGACAACGACCAATGATTCATGATCAAAACAAAATTAGGGCATGAATCATGGTAAACAATGTTTCTTTGTTTATGGATTCCATTCACAGGCATCCTGGTATTTCTCATCCTGTCCATCCGCGACTATATTCAAAACATCCCCGTAGTGCCGTGGATAATACTTGCTCAAAACGCAGTTGTAAGGAAGCTAGTTTTCGTTCGAAGACTGATCGACGTGTCTTCCCAAACGTTACAATATTTCAGTTGCTTGGGATCAAGGGCGGACACTTCATTCGCGGTCGGCTGTAATACCGTGATTTATCACATTAATGCATGATTACATACTGCTGTCTTGAAGCCGATGACAGCCACAAGCAGGCAGCAGTTGATAAATCAATGAGCGTCTGGCATGCACAATTCTAACCGCACCGTTCCCGGTAGGCCCTTCGTGCCTGTCGTAAGATGTGAGGTGAAGTGAAATTGGTTTTAACGGCTGGTTGTGGAACGTTGCTTGTGATATCAATCACTGTATTATCTGGTCTGTACTGGATTTTTTTATAGCCCGCAGTCATATAAGTGGAATATTGCTATATATAGACGTCAAGCATCGCTAATTGGATCACCCTGGATTGGACCAAAAACAATTAAAGACGTTATCAAAACTTTACTAGGCTGTGTACATTTGCCGAAACACTGCAGACTTAAGGTCCAAAACATCACTATCAAGTACAGTAGACTACGGTTATAACGAACTCAAAGGAACTTCTACTTTTAGTTCGTTATAACCGTAGTTCGTTATATGCACATATACAACATAACTACAGCAAGTAGTCGGGACCAAAAAGTAAGTTCGTTATATCCGTCATTCCGTTATAAGCGTGTTCGTTATAACCGTAGTTTACTGTATATCAAAATCAAACATGGGTGTATACTTTCATAGGGTCAGCAGTTTATAACGACACTTTGTTTGTCCCAAAATACTGGCATTTATTCCAAAGTTCCCCATTATGCAACGATTTTATTATTATATTGTTAAGTAGATGCTAAATTACGGAGGAAGTGCTGGCGCACGGAAACACCTGCGACATTGGCCTCTATGCGGAACTGTTGCTATAAATGCCACCTATGAAAACGTGAAGATCCCTGGAGCGCCAGATACACCGCCTTGCATAATCACGTCACTCATTGTCAAAACAACCGCCACACCTTCGTCATCACGAGCCGAGCACGTGTCACGGTTGCCAGGTTACCGTAACCTGCCCTGCGCAGATGTCTGTGTCAGCGTGCCTCTAATTGTTCAACACAGTTATGTCAACGTTGTGTCGAAGTGTCTGTCTTACGGGTTGTGTTGTGTCTGTACATATATAAAGAACACTACACTCATTCTCGTTAGATACCATTTTTACGAAACGGGTGGACGTTCACGGGTTTCGTAAAAATGGTATCTAACGAGATTGAGTGTGGTATTTTATTTATTACCCACGTTAAATATATATTTAAGTGTAAATAAATAACACCCTTCGTTCGTTGACAGACCAAACTGTAACCGGTTGCAAATTCTGGTTGCGCATGAATATTGATATATGCCTAAATATGGGCATTGTTGACATTTGTATGCACACGCATTAACAACATACGCCTGCAGTTATGTTTGCAAACAAAACAGCACCGGCGCTCAAGGTCCATTTGGAAGAATGTCTTCAACTTATGGTAACGCCATGTTGTTAGTACGCAGGACACCTATACGAAAATTTGAAAAGTCACATTAGCGCCGCGCTTTGAATATCGGACCAACAGTCGGTCACTCGTACTGCCGGGGTCCCGTCAGTGCAATCAAAATCGTTCGGTATCATTGATCTATCAGCTGAATTTTTATCATGTCAGTACCATTTTGGAAAAGGGAAATCAGAGCGTTCGCCAAAGACATTCATGTTAACTGTACCACCCTGAAGACGTGAAAATCAACAAACTCAAGTCTGCTTGCATGTCAGTGACAGCTTCGAACGATCGAAGGGCAAGGTCTCCACCGGTATAAGAAAAAACACCCAGCGTTTTAGGGGGCACGGGTGGACAGTCGTCTAAGGCGCCGCGATTCGCTGTGCAGAGTCGCGTCCCTTGCGCACGCCAGAAACCTATGATTGTGGGTTCGAATCCCGGTTCGCCCCAATTATGTTTCTAGGTTTGTCAGCCCCATACCCGTGCTCATGTGTTTCACCGAAGTGGTAAATGTCTGAGACCTGCATCACTTCGGTCTTATCTCCCACATTAAGCTGACACGCCGCGATATGACTCGAATACTGTTAAAAGCGGCGTTAAACCCAACTCACTCACACAGCGTTTTACGCTAGAGCTAGGGAATGTTATTGTTCACATTTTGGATCTTTGGGCCACATAATCAGAAGTCAGGCACACATCTACAGAGTTTTCGAATGATTTGTATCGGAAATGTTCACTTTGAGTGATCTGGTCGTGCAGTCGTGAACAAACAACCCCCGAAACAGTGCCACAAAATACGCTTCGAAGGGGACACTGATGGCAAAACCGGATCTTCACAAGCAAGTCCAGATAGATATCTGTCCAGGTAGTTTAAACTGACGCCACGCTTATCCATTAAATCAGATTGATGAGCATCACGCTCATGGGAACCCTCGATCTATTGATCGGTAGTCGTATATCGTAAATTGATATAGCTCGATTATATAATGTCTGTAGCAGCTCTATGCATAACTTACATAGAATGCAAACCGAATTTAGTGCTTGTGACTATCTTTTTGGTTTGATAAAGTGTTTGTAAATATCTCTCGTTCTCATGAGATTGCTTCTGTTCTGCCTTGTAGTTACAAATGAATGACGTCTCGCGATTTTTAATGAATGAAAAAAAATAGTCCCGGTGTGACAGAGGTCACGGTTATCCAATCAAAACGAATAAAACAAGGTCAACTTTGTACGACACACGTGTGACGTACCGATGGATGGTGGTTGATGGATGGATGGTGGTTGGATAGATGGATTGATGGATGGTGGTTGAATGGGTTGGTGTTGGTTGGATAGATTGATGGTGGTTGGTTGGATGTATGGATGGTGGTTGGTTGGATGGATGGTGGTTGGTTGGATGGATGGGTGGTGGTTGGATCAATGGATGGTGGTTGATGGATGGTGGTTGATGGATGGTGGTTAATGGATGATGGATGGATGGTGGTTGGATGGTGGTTGGATGGGTGGTGGTTGGATCAATGGATGGTGGTTGATGGATGATGGATGGATGGTGGTTGGATGGATGGTGGTTGGTTGGATGGATGGGTGGTGGTTGGATCAATGGATGGTGGTTGATGGATGATGGATGGATGGTGGTTGGATGGGTGGTGGTTGGATCAATGGATGGTGGTTGATGGATGATTGATGGATAGTGGTTGGATGGATGGTGGTTGGATGGGTGGTTGTTGATCAATGGATGGTGGTTGATGGATGATGGATGGATGGTGGTTGGATGGATGGTGGTTGGATGGGTGGTGGTTGGATCAATGGATGGTGGTTGATGGATGATGGATGGATGGATGATTGGTGGTTTGATGATTAATGGATGGACGGATGGTGGTTGATGGATGATGGATAGATGATGGATGGTGGTTTGATGATTAATGGATGGACGGATGGTGGTTGATGGATAGATGAATGGATGGTGGTTGGATGAATGGATGGTGGTTGATGAGATGGATGGATGGTGGTTGGATGGATGATTGGTGGTTGGATGATTAATGGATGGACGGATGATGGTTGATGGATGGATGTTGGATGAATGGATGGTGGATGGATGGATGGTGGTTGGGTGAATGGATGGATGGATGGTGGTTGATGGATGGATGGCGGTTGGATAGATGGGTGGATGGATGGTGGTTGGATGGATGGATGGTGGTTGATGAGATGGATGGATGGTGGTTGGATTGATGGTTGGTGGTTTGATGATTAATGGATGGATGGATGGTGGTTGATGGATGATGGATGGATGAATGGATGCTGGTTGGATGGTGGTTGGATGGGTGGTTGGATGAATGGATGATTGATGGATGGTGGTTGGATAGATGGATGGATGAGGGATGGATGGATGGATAATAAATGGATGGATGGAGGAATTAATGGACAGACAGACAGATAAACCTCAAACGCCGATACATCAATGCATGGAAAGCCGGTATATCGATACATGCACCGGTAATCTCAAACTCTGATATATCGCATGAGGAAACTAGAAATCTGAAACGTAGACATAACAATACATTTGCGTGATCACCCGCAGCTTTGATGGATCAGCACAATGACGCCTACACGTGGTTTAAGTAACAGTATCGTGCGTTCATTAGGAGACAGATCGATGTAATCCCCATATTATACAGCGACGCATCCGAGGCTTTAGTCACGATAAGCCAATAATCTGTCAGTTTGTATTACTCATTGTGTGATTGCTTTGTACTGTTGCCCGAGTAAATACCTCGTTAACTCCAAATATATTAATGGTCAGAGACCATATACTGATATATAATCTATGTAATGGTCGATTCAAATAGAAGGTTGGGATGGGTGACTGGAGTTACATATGGGAACTGATGAAATGATAGTGGAGGCGTAATGACGATAAATTTCTGTAAAATTAATTTCGGATATGAAGATCAATAAATTCGGCAAGCGTCCAGACAATGATGAAGCAGCCACACAAAAACACGCGCATGTACGTCGCTATGTAAGTGCAATATTCTTGAACGCGACGTTAAACCCCATTTCACCTCATCTCGCATCTAATCAACTATAGCAACACTATGACCTTCATCATCATCTCCAGTACCAACATCATCATCATCATCATCATCATTATCATCATCACGAAATATGTTTCTAGGTCTGTCAGCACCATACCTGTGCTCGTGGATTTCACCGAAGTGGTAAATGTCTGAAACCTGCATCACTTCGGGCTTTCCTCCCGCATTAATCTGACACGCCGCGATATAACTGTAATACTGTTAAAAGCGGCGTTAAACCCGACTCACTATCAATACCACAAACAATCTTCATCAAGAAAACAGTTGCCAGGTGATAACTATAACTTAATGAGCTGCCAATACGTGTGCCTCATCCTGTCTCCCTGATCAATACTGGACTGGAGCCCCATCACCGGGTAGCGTCACTTCGTGACAGAAACAGCTTGAGAGATATATATTTAAAGGACATATTCTGGGCGCGGTGGCGTAAATATTGATTGTTGCATAGCTAAATGTATCCGGAGTGGAAATAGTGTTCGGTCAAGATCGAAATTCACGTATGTTGTCTACTGAGATAGTATGGATGCATGTACACAGATACATACGCACGCACAATCACAAGACTGCACACACACTGAGGCATGCAAATATACATACACACATACAGGCACACACGCATACATACATGCACAAAGATATACACACCGTGGCATGGGTACAGAGATAAAAATGCCTTTGTCACATTGTCTGTTACAGAGGCAGAGGTTCAGAGATAACAATGCCTTTGTCACATTGCCTGTTCACGTGGACAGAGGTTCAGGAGATAACAATGCCTTTGTCACATTGTCTGTTCACGTGGACAGAGGTTCAGGAGATAGCAATGCCTTTGTCACATTGCCTGTTCACGTGGACAGAGGTTCAGGAGATAACAATGCCTTTGTCATATTGTTTGTTTACAGAGGCAGAGGTACAGAGATAACAATGCCTTTGTCACATTGTCTGTTTACAGAGGCAGAGGTACAGAGATGAGAATGCCTTTGTCACATTGTTTGTTTACAGAGGCAGAGGTACAGAGATAACAATGCCTTTGTCACATTGTCTGTTTACAGAGGCAGAGGTACAGAGATAACAATGCCTTTGTCACATTGCTTGTTCACGTGGACAGAGGTTCAGAGATAACAATGCCTTTGTCACATTGCCTGTTCACGTGGACAGAGGTTCAGGAGATAACAATGCCTTTGTCACATTGTTTGTTTACAGAGGCAGAGGTTCAGAGATAACAATGCCTTTGTCACATTGTCTGTTTACAGAGGCAGAGGTACAGAGATAACAATGCCTTTGTCATATTGTTTGTTTACAGAGGCAGAGGTACAGAGATAGCAATACCTTTGTCACATTGTCTGTTTACAGAGGCAGAGGTACAGAGATAACAATGCCTTTGTCACATTGTCTGTTTACAGAGGCAGAGGTACAGAGATAACAATGCCTTTGTCACATTGTCTGTTTACAGAGGCAGAGGTACAGAGATAACAATGCCTTTGTCACATTGTCTGTTTACAGAGGCAGAGGTACAGAGATAACAATGCCTTTGTCATATTGTCTGTTTACAGAGGCAGAGGTACAGAGATAGCAATGCCTTTGTCACATTGTCTGTTTACAGAGGCAGAGGTACAGAGATAACAATGCCTTTGTCACATTGTCTGTTTACAGAAGCAGAGGTACAGAGATAACAATGCCTTTGTCACATTGTCTGTTTACAGAGGCAGAGGTACAGAGCTGGTAATGCTGTTCAGAGTCTGACCTCTTTGAACACACAGTAGAACATATCGCGAACAGATATTTATCACATCTCCAGTTCTCAATGGGCCATGAATACAGAGCGTATAGACATATGCCTTTCATACTTAAATATTGTGCATAACGTCGCCCCGGTCTGTAAACAAATCTATGGAATCCTAGAAGAGATATTGTCGCGTTGCCTCCCGACGACGTTTTGAAAAGTCATATTGTCGCCCTTTGAATAATATTTGGTACTGTTACCAATCGGCGACAATACAATAATAATGCAAATCCAGCCACAATGAAAATGAATAATCTTATCTATGGAGGAACATAGGTCTGAATCATGGGAGATAACTCTCGTCCTACCTGAAATAAACAGATCCCTGATGCGGTCCGTCCACCTGGGTTGTATGGGGAGATCACTCTTGCCGTCTAACATGTACATGGTCTTCATCCGGTGGTAGAGGAAGCTGACTGGGTTCAGACTCCAGGCGCGGAATACAACCGTCAACAGCCACCAGATGACACCAAGAAGGTACAACCATATCTCCACCAATCGGATGTCTAGGAAATAATTCAAATAGTAGTTAGAAACATAGGTATTCAAAACATCAGCATACGTGTCACAAATTTAGTTACATTTAAGATAAAAATAAATTGTAATATTATTTTTTATCTGTAACAAATGTTATATTTGGGATAACACAGGACCTATTCTCGTACTTTTTTTGGTTGAGTCCAAGTGAGACAAGTGGTGGTCAAGGTCACGTACTTTGTGTACCCCTCAGACAAGTGTAAATTCGTACTTTTGGGGGGTTGAGTCCCGCCCGGTATTCGAACCCACATTGCCATAGTGAGGCACCTAATCGCCAGCACACAAAGTCAGCGGTCTTATTTTTTATCAAATTGATATTGATAACTTTGTCGAACTGCTAGCTCAATTTGTATTACGGATAAAATGCACCCTAATATTTGTTTGTTTGTTGTTGTTTAACGTCTCACTTAGCAATATTCCAGCTATATGACGACGGACTGTAGAAAATCATGTCCAGTGATTGATATCATGAGCATCGTTCTACGCAACTTGGATACGATGACATGCATCAACCAAGTCAGCGAGTTTGACTACCGGATCCCGTTAGTCGCCTTTTAAGGCAAACATGGGTTGCTGAAGACACAGGCACACTGTTTGAGCACGATATACAACGTCTGGTTTGGAAATGGGCTCCAGTCTATGGAAAGTAGCATCCCTTTAACAAATGTATTGCGTGTTTATTGCATATTATTTGTCATATGAGAAAATTACACGGGGCCAAGGTGATGATGAGTAATCGTTGGAAAGATGTAAACGAGCCTTTTAAAGTAACTTTATCTTTGTCTCACATATGTATAGTGACATGCGTACATACAAACTATTTGAATAATTATGAATATATTTTTTAACATTCCTCACTGTAAATTATTACACTAAACATGTTTGTGCTATTCAGTAAATCATAAGAGGGAGTCAGGCTCTATCCTAGACTGGCGTCTAGCTCTATCCCAGCTATTTCCCCATACTACATTTCGCTGCAGGTGAAACGTTGATCCATTTCCGTGTAGCGAGGTCTGCCTGTCGAGAGGGTCGGGTACAGGTCTATAGCATATCGCTATGCGGAAAACGTTGATCAGGTTTCCATGCAGCGGGATATTAGCACTTTTGGACAGTGTGAATAATTGAGGTGTCAGGAATAAACATATAACCATTATGGCGGTTACTTTCATAGAGAAGTATGGTTCGTGGTTAAAACAACCCACACTCACAATGTTGATCTACTTCATTTTTAAAAAACATTACAAAAACGTAACTATTACTTTTAATTAAAACATATTAATAACTTTACCACTGTACAAATGTCAGTGTCAACAGTATTATGCATACCACTATGATGGGGTCAAATTATGCCCCTTGTTCCCTTGAAATCAAAAACAAAAGTTTCAGGAAGTTTTGTTTTCAGAATGTTTGTTTTCTACTTTTATATTAGATAAATATTTAAACTGAAATGTTCCATATTCACATTCCTGATTCTGAAGGTACCACGTGCCAAATACAATTTGTTTTATCTTCTGAGTTACACATGTGTGTTTTATGACAGTATGGGTACTTGCATCAATTGGTAGGTACACTACAAAATTTCTTTTCTTACCCTCTATCCACCAGACCACGGAGGCGGTGAGTAAAGAAGAGGTTAAGAGAATAATTACCTGAGATACTTTCATTGGCGAGGATGACGCGTCTGCTTGTACCACGTGACTTGGCCATTTTGACGTACTGTCAGTTTAACACCATCCTGAAAGTGAATGGAATAGATAGAAACCAACACCCCGTCGAAATCGATCGGGCGCAAAAATATGATCGCGATCGTGGAGACAATTGCTTGTTGCGACGAGGTTCCAGGTTGATTGTTTGTTTGACGCCACACTCAGCAATATTGAAGCTATATGACGGAGGTCTGTAAATAATCGAGTCTGGGCTAGACAATCCACTGATTGACATCATGCGCTTCGATCCACGCAATTGGGAAACGATGACATACATGAAACAAATCAGCGAGCCTGACCACCCGATCCCGTTAGTCGCCTCTTACGACAACCATAGTCACCTTTTACGGCAAGCATGTGTTGCTGAAGACCTGTTCTAACCCGGATCTCCACGGGTGGTTCCAGGTTGAGGGCCCGCCTCCTTTTAAGTTGTAATGCTTATGTATATTACATTTTAATGTCCCTCGAGTTTTAGTTAGCTGTAGGGTGACAACTAATAAACCACGTGGGCGTTTGTTGCATATAAAACACCTTCTTAAAGTGCAAACACTGCACCTTATCATGATTCTTACTACTCACGTTAGTTAATGCTAATACGTGAAACCGGAATAAATATTGTTTGTTGCCATGGCACTGACAATCGTAACCACAATATAATTTTCCGACCAAACTAAACGTATCTCCAATTACAGTAGCAGTTGTCGGGACCCTGATTTTGCAATAGCGTAATTGATATGGGCTAAGATGCTTGCCAAACTTCAATCAATAAGCATCAATAAGCAAGATTGTGCATGCGAACACCCATGTATACTCTCTTTCCAGGTGGACATCATACGCGGGAAACGATAATGAATTAGGCCCATCTGTCAAGCGTTGACGCAAACAGACCACCCTCAACACATTTGCTAATTAACGTAATACATTTGCCTGGTTTGTTTGAGCGACAATGTATGTAAGCATGGAAACGAAAAGCGAGTCTGTTCACGTATTCTTCATAGGAACGTGTGAAAAATGAGTTGAAATTGTATTTGTAAATTTAAGCTAGTTACACATGATGTGAAATCATAAGTGATTCCGAACTAATATTTATATTATTATTATTGAAAAACTATATCTGTAAAGCACGAAAATGTCATTGTAGTAAAGCAAGACAATGTCATTGTAGTAAAGAAAGACAATGTCATTGTAGTAAAGCAAGACAATGTCATTGTGGTAAAGAAAGACAATGTCATTGTCGTTCAGAAAGACAATGTCATTGTGGTAAAGAAAGACAATGTCATTGTAGTAAAGCAAGACAATGTCATTGTGGTAAAGAAAGACAATGTCATTGTCGTAAAGAAAGACAATGTCATTGTAGTAAAGAAAGACAATGTCTTTGTAGTAAAGTAAGAAAATTCCATTGAAGTAAAGAAAGAAAATGTCATTGTAGTAAAGCAAGACAATGTCATCGTAGTAAAGCAAGACAATGTCATTGTAGTAAAGCAATAAAATGTCATTGTAGTAAAGCAATAAAATGTCATTGTAGTAAAGCAAGACAATGTCATCGTAGTAAAGTAAGAAAATGTCATTGTAGTAAAGTAAGAAAATGGCATTGTAGCAAAGCAAGAAAATATCATTGTAGTAAAGCAAGACAATGACATCGTAGTAAAGCAAGACAGTGTCATTGTAGTAAAGCAAGAAAATATCATTGTAGTAAAGCAAGAAAATGTCATTGTAGTAAAGCAAGAAAATGTCATTGTAGTAAAGCAAGAAAATGTCATTGTAGTAAAGCAAGAAAATGTCATTGTAGTAAAGCATGAAAATGCCTTTGTAGTAAAGCTAGACAATGTCATCGTAGTAAAGCAAGAAAATGCCTTTGTACTAAAGCAAGAAAATGTCATTGTTTTCAAGCAAGAAGATTCGTTGTTTTAAAGCAAGAAAATGTCATTAGAGTACAGTAATGCACTGCAGAAAAAATACAAGCACCTACCTACCCGCCAGCAATCTAGATGTGTTTTAACATAATCACTGTGTAGCTATATACGTGGAAGATTAGATAATCATCAAAACAAAAGGATGGACACGGCCCTAATTGCTAACACATGTATACCATGCGGTGATGGGTCAAACACCTGGGTCATTAACACACCCACCCACCCAACAATGTAATATGATCAACATTATTAACCCCGCGTGAAGGTACTAAGGTGTTAACGTCGCCATGTGGCCGCCCCCGCCTCATAATACGTGTGACGTACATTGGGGACGTGTCATAAAACGTTACGTCATTAATTGCCGCGATGCCCTCTGTTGTTTTTATTCTTTGTTATCGTTAAACTCTATTTGCACTTTGTACGTGCAGTGTCTATCACACTATTGTCTGATCGTAATTGCATTTACACGGATTACACTACTGATGTGGGTTAATTATGATGACAAAGTATTGATTGAGCTAGGTGAGATAGTTAACCGAGGTTTTGATTATCCAAATGAAGACACCACAGCTTCTGCGGACAACATTGCCATTGACAATGATGCACAAAGATCTTATTTCGAATGAAACTCTAGACAGTTCACCCAACCTTTCTCAAAACATATAAAACAGTGTTACATTAATAAACTTTGGAAGCGTATTAGTGCAACATTCTTAAAACTAGTATTATCTACGTAGATGATACTTTCATTTACGTAGATGATACTTACATTTACGTAGATGTTACTAACATTTACGTAGATGATACTAACATTTACGTAGACTATACTAACATTGACGTAGATGATACTAACATTTACGTAGATGATACTAACATTTACGTAGATGATACTTACATTTACGTAGATGATACTAATATTTACGTAGATGATACTTACATTTACGTAGATGATACTTACATTTGCGTAGATGATACTAACATTTACGTAGATGATACTAACATTTACGTAGATGATACTTACATTTACGTAGATGATACTAACATTTACGTAGATGATACTTACATTTACGTAGATGATACTAACATTTACGTAGATGATACTTACATTAACGTAGATGATACTTACATTTACGTAGATGATACTTACTTTTACGTAGATGACACTAACATTTACGTAGATGATACCTACATTTACGTAGATGACACTAACATTTACGTAGATGATACTTACATTAACGTAGATGATACTTACATTTACGTAGATGATACTTACATTTACGTAGATGATACTTTCATGATACTGCTCACATCTACGTACAAGGTACTTTCATCCAGGTAACAATATTTTCTCGAGTAATCGACACTAGTTCCGGGTCAGTTATATTTAACCACTGACTTAATTAAAATTGACCGACTGGCTTGACTTTCCACCTTGACATGTCGTTATTGGGGTATTATCTAATCATTGCATAAAGTAAATCTTCATTCTAGTGTGTCGAAGTAACTGGAGAATGACACATAACCTCTAACAACCCTAATAAAGAGAGAAGAGCACAAACTATTCTCCAAACTACAAACAAATAAACAGCTATAGGTCATTATTCCAAATTTTAGCGAAATTATGTATCAACCATGAAATTGTTAAAGCCTGGGAAATATGTTTCTCCTCATGATTTCTCCATAACGGAGATAAGGTTTGAGAGGTAAAACGTGAATATGAAGGGTTTAGATTCATTCAAACTATAAACCTATATCAAACCAATACCCGTCATCATCCTATAAAGCAATGAAGGTACACTTATGCAATTTGTGTTTTTCTTTAAGCGCTGATAGTTTGACACGTTGAAATGATCTCAGTATGTTGTGAAAATACAGAAAAGGCCAAATGAAAATACACAACCAACATGCTCACAAACATTTAATTAAATTAACAGTAATTAAGTAACCACCTTTATTAAAGATATAAATGGTTGTATCCTACTAGGATCGCAACTGCACAAGACAATATCACTGCCTAAGTAACGATGATATCGTAGATGAAAGTATCTTTTACGTAGATCAAAGTATCATCTACGTAGATAATGATCTCAGTATGTTGTGAAAATACAGAAAAGGGCCAAATGAAAATACACAACCAACATGCTCCCAAACATTTAATTAAATTAACAGTAATTAAGTAATCACCTTTATTTAAGATATAAATGGTTGTATCCTACTAGGATCGCAACTGCACAAGACAATATCACTGCCTAAGTAACGATGATATCGTAGATGAAAGTATCTTTTACGTAGATCAAAGTATCATCTACGTAGATAATGATCTCAGTATGTTGTGAAAATACAGAAAAGGGCCAAATGAAAATACACAACCAACATGCTCCCAAACATTTAATTAAATTGACAGTAATTAAGTAATCACCTTTATTAAAAATATAAATGGTTGTATCCTACTAGGATCGCAACTGCACAAGACAATATCACTGCCTAAGTAACGATGATATCGGAGATGAAAGTATCTTTTACGTAGATCAAAGTATCATCTACGTAGATATCATCTGCGTAGATAATAAAAAGAATGGACTATGGCATTAATATGCTTCCATTACAAACTGCCGATCAAATGAGTGAGTGAGTGAGTTTTGATTTTACGCCGCTTGTAGCAATATTCACAGCGGGGGGCACCAGAAATGGGCTTCACACATTGTACCCATGTCGGGAAGCCAACCCGGGTCTTCGGCGTGACGAGCGAACGCTTTAACCACTAGGCTACCCGACAGCCCACTGCCAATCAAAAGAAAGTAAATTTGAATTTGACTCAAACTTTGCAAATGTTATCAGAACATTACTAGGCTGACCTGTTGTGAGATACTTATTCATATGATGCGTGTAATATCACTAATGATACCTGTATCAAACCATCGAATAACCATTTCTCATTTGTTTCATTTTTAACCACAATCAAAAATGGGAGTATACTTTCTTTTGCCGGGCAGTTTACGTACTTCGTGACACCCTGTCTGGAATCTTGCCAATTTGACGTAAAATAGATTAAAACCATTCCGTTCACTCGTTTAAAGATACAATGGTGAGGTGAGGTGAAATTGGGTTTAACGTCGCGTCCAAGATTATTGTACTTATATAGCGACGTGCATGCACGTGTGTGTTTGGCTGCTTGTACTAGTCGGACTTATGCCGATTTATAGTGCTACCTCACTGAGATACCATGACGCAGTTTAACATGAATATCCCACTCAGACACAGTATACTGACTCCGAGCCGACCAGTCCTTGTTTTAGCCCCTTAATGCCGAGCACCAGACAGGGTAACAACAAGTACCATATTTTAACGTCTTTTGGTATGACGCGGCCGGGGATCGAACCCCGGACCTTCCTCCCTCCGGGCGGACGCTCTACCACAAGACCACGGAGGCGGTCAAAGATACAATGGACCCTGATAGAATAACATGGGGGTATAATAATACCATTTATTACCCTTGGGGTTAGAAAAAAACGCGCTAATATAATTCGTATGTGAACTGGTGCAAATACCACTTTAGGCGCACGAGTGTATTTTTTACGTCATCCTTGCATTGTTAACGTTATTCGAATCTTCTTGTGTCATAAGGGTGAAATAACGTCACACAAGAAACGACGTCATAGCTGAAATTGTTGACGTCACTCGAAAACTGTTTTTTTAAGACGGCGGTCGTGATTAGTGCATTTTACAAAAGGGGGGATCAAAGGAATTGAGAAAAAATGGGTATTAAAGAAAGTATTACACTCGCATGTGTGTCATACTGATTTTACAACCTCGTGTAAGATTTCATGTATTTCCCTTGCAAATATTTCGGGAAAGACTTCTGACTCGCGCTTCGTAAAATCATTATGACACACATGCTTGTATAATAATCTCTACATAGGATCTGCATGGGCTAAAGTGTTACAAGAAATGTTTGGGAAGAGAAGTGAGGTAAATATATTCTATGCAAGTTTTGAAATTAGTAAAAATACACACATGTTGAAATTTAGTCTAAAAAGTGCCATAATGTTTATAGTTATTACCACAGCACTATTTCCAGCTGTCGTGGGGGCGGTCGGGTAGCCTGGTGGATAAAGCGTTCGCTCGTCACGCCGAAGACCCGGGTTCGATTCCCGACATGGGTACAATGTGTGAAGCCCATTTCTGGTGTCCCCCGCCGTGATATTGCAGGAATATTGCTAAAAGCGGCGTAAAACCATACTCACTCACTCACTCCAGCTGTCGTGAAAAATACACATTCATAACTGCGATACAAAAATAATATTGTGATTGGTCTTAGTAAATGCAATTAGATAAATATGTTGTTATTGTGCTGGATTAGATTGTGCAAAATCTGCATGGCATATTAAATGATAAACGGATTGTTTACAATTTCTGAGTGTGTGCCTTGAGCCAATATTGGCGAAATTGTTAAATTTCTTTATGTAATTAAAAAAGTTAATTCTACTATAGTTATAGAAAACTTCAGCCGATTTGAAAATCTACCACGAAATCACTTAGGGGTATATTTATACTTGTTTGTCTACTTGCTTTATATTGTAAATATTATATAGTATATACTGATTGACCTTATACTTTTTATCTTGTTTCCAAATGTCTTTTTATATGTTTTGATTTTGGTAGTTTGGGTGACTTAAAGAAAGTAGGTTTTATTCTATCTACCAATTCCATTCCATTCCATTGATATCTCCAGCTGCCAAAACCTGCAATATTTTCTTACCCAAGATGAATCACCTTTGTGAAAAACGTTTTACAACCATTCATATTTTGTATATATATATTTATATTTTGTATGTGTGTGAAAGGGTAAACATGCTTTTACAATTGATTTATAGTCTCTCATAACTCACGTATGAAGTGGTTCGTTACTCTATATCCTATACTAAGATATTCTGAAAGAGTTTATTCACCATATATTATATTAGTTACGAGGTGGGGCTCAAATAAATTATATGTCTCTCTTCGTTCGCTCGTCACGCCGATGACCCCACATGGGTACAATGTGTGAAGCCCTTTTCTTGTGTCCCTGAATGTGAAATTGCTGGGATATTGCTAAAAGCAATACTCACTCACTAACTCAAGCTGCCTGCCTCTGTGTGTGTGTGTGTGTGTGTGTGTGTGTGTGTGTGTGTGTGTGTGTGTGTACGTGAGCGTAGGTGTGTGGCTGCTCTTACTAGTCCAGATTTAGAGTGCTAGTCCACTGAGATCAAATGCCACAGTTTAACATGAATACCCTTAACACAGTATACTGACTCCGAGCCGATCAGGAAGGGTAACAACAAGTACCATCTTTTAACGTCTTTAGGTATGACGCGGCCGGGGATCGAACCCTCGACTTTCCGCTTTCCAGGCAGACGCTCTACCACTAGACCACGGAGGCGAGAGAGACAGATAGACTCGCAGACAGACAGACAGACAGACAGAGAAAATACGAAATGACACGGAATCTATACAAGTATATTATGCGATCATATTCATGTTGGATTTATTTCACCACCATACATAGGATTGACTGAAAGTGAATCAAAGGAAGTGAATCAAAGGGACGTTAAACTCAAATAACTTACCCACCTTAAACGTCGGCGTGTTCTGTCATATCATAAAACAAAGTAATATCCACTGACATTTCCAGATTATCGTCATATGAATTCACTTGACAACGTTCAACCGCCGACTCTGTCCCCGATTGTCAAATCACGTCGCCCAGTCAGCGCACCTTGATGTCGAGGGGTGTATGAACACTGCCATTGTGTCTTTTATCATGTAGACCCGCATTGTCAAATCATCAGGCACAGAGTTGTGTTGGCTTCAGTTTACAATCGACCCATCAATACCCATCAAGCATAGCATCGCTATAACGATGAGGCTGTGTTCGATTAGATGAACTGGTCATGTAGATCAGGCAACATCACGGCCTTCTGTAAGTTGTAGTCTATTGAATTGCGAGCTGTATTTTATATCGATGTATGACTGAACCACATTATGGTTATTGCAATATGCTAATGATTACAAGGTACTGATTTGGTTGAGGCGAACAGATTGTTAACCGAGGTCAGAATCATCTAAATGAAGACAGCGCACTACCACGCCCGATGTGTTTTGATTCGTTGCCATGGAAATGAGAAAGTATCTGTGGTATCACCTGAGATACAACACTTGTGTGATGGGAACAGTGACAGCTGTTCGGTGCCGTGACACATATGCGACATTGTTGTTGTTATTACAGCTGAATGACATATTTGACAAATAGACAGCATGGGAGGGTGCCACCCCCTTTTGGTATGGGGGATGCCTAACCACGAGTAGTATTCCGGATGCCACAGTGCAGTACCTTTGTTGCCACGTTTAATGGAACGCTGAGGCCAATATTTTAATGTTGAAATTTATTTTTCATCTTTTTAACTTGCAAATAGTGACAAAGCAATACAATATTTAGCCCTGGGATTATTAGCATGCATGGTTATGCGTTCTATGTAGTAGTAGTAGTAGTAGTAGTAGTGGTAGTGGTGGTGGTTGTGGTGGTGGTGGTGGTAATGGTAGTAGTAGCAGCAGCAGCAGCAGCAGTAGTAGTAGTAGTAGTAGTAGTAGTAGTAGTAGTAGTAGTGGTAGTGGTAGTGGTGGTGGTGGTGGTAATGGTAGTAGTAGTAGCAGCAGCAGCAGCAGCAGTAGTAGTAGTAGTAGTAGTAGTGGTAGTGGTAGTGGTAGTGGTAGTGGTGGTGGTGTTGGTAATGGTAGTAGTAGCAGCAGCAGCAGCAGCAGTAGTAGTAATAGTAGTAGTATTAGTAGTTACAGATTAAAACATGCAGCAAAGAGGGTTTTGGTGATCCTAGCACAGTCAGGCTGGTTAGGCTATCATCAGCTCGGGGCCCCTGCCCCCTCTACACGCAGCCCAGACAGCGAATGGGACCCATCCAAGGACGCGCTGCCTAGTCAAACCCACAAATAAATTATTTTATTGGAGTTAAGAAAAAGGACAAGATCAAGTTTGTTGGCGCGGATATGTCGGAGGTTGAATATAGACCTATTCCAAAGAATTACATATTTGAGCATTTTCCATTACGCCCTCTATATATTCTGGGTCGTACCTTGGATGTGCCTCTGTGTCAAAACCACAAGCATGGCGAAGACGGTTATTAAATGATCGAGCCACTCCATCATGTCGCTTCAGATTCAAAATCACACGTTGACGGTTTCAAGTGGGAAGTGACTGGTCCTGAGCAGCAAACAGAAAGCCTTCTGTTTCACTTTTCACGCCAGCCAATGTCACCCAAGCGACGCATCTTTGTTCAAGCAGGACTATTCATAGTTATGTAACAATTCTCTAACTATTACACTGTCTGAATGCTAACAATTGAGCGTTCTGATGTGAATTATGTAAATATCTACCACATATATACACAGTCAGACAGACAGACGGACACATACACACATATCCATCCATCCATGCATGCATTCACACAATTCGTTACTGTTGTTTTACGTATATACTTTTTATGGTATAGAAACAGATAACACATGCGACCCCTATAGTGGCTATGAGGGGTTATTGCTATACCGCGTAAAAACGATAACACGAGCCGAGAAAGCGAGATACGTGTTATGTTGTATTACCGCTTTCTCGTCTCGCTTTATCGCTTTCTCGTCTCGCTTTATCGCTTTCTCGCCTCGTGTTATCGCTTTCTCGTCTCGCTTTATCGCTTTCTCGTCTCGTCTTATCGCTTTCTCGTCTCGTGTTATCGCTTTCTCGCCTCGAGTTATCGCTTTCTCGCCTCGAGGTATCGCTTTCTCGCCTCGTGTTATCGCTTTCTCGTCTCGCTTTATCGCTTTCTCGTCTCGTGTCATCGCTTTCTCGCCTCGTGTCATCGCTTTCTCGCCTCGTGTTATCGCTTTCTCGTCTCGCTTTATCGTCTCGTGTCATCGCTTTCTCGTCTCGCTTTATCGCTTTCTCGTCTCGTTTTATCGCTTTCTCATTTCGCGTTATCGCTTTATCGTGTCGTGTTATCGATTTATTGCTTCCCCGCAGCCGTAACTGAAGGCGAGCATACGATGTGCCCTCTCGGCCATCATACCCCCGTCCACAATAGAAACCACATGTCGCATGTGTTTCAGTGTCGGGCAGGACCGGAGCTCCAGAAACTCCAGAAACTCAAGCTCCCGAACACGGTCACCCATCCACCTACTCTCCGTTGATCTGCGCCTGATTATTTACCCGTGTGCAGTACACATGACCACGTGCCTCCACAGTCTTCTACTCACAAGGTATTTCTAATCCCATACCTTATCTGCCCCGTGTAAACATGCCAGATGTCCAGCGCTCATGGTGGACAAGTCTGTGTCTAACACTGGTAGTGACTTGCTCCAGTCAAATCGGTAAGGACTTCATTCTGCTCACTTAGAGGATAGAACAGACTTGTGCAAATTCTAGTAATCTGGAGAAAATACCGATTTCACGGAAACACTGGACTTTGAGAAAAATCAGGAAATGACGGTTTTGACCGAGAATTTCTTGAAATCACGCGAAATAATAGCATACATAATTCCGCTTGTGTCGCGACTGGCATTCATTATGGGATCTGCCATTGCTGTAGCGACGGCAAAGTACCCACTGTAATGCATAAAGTTCACTGGCCGAGGACAGCGCCGCTTTGAACAGTATTTCAGTTGCATCGCGGCGTAGACTTGATGTGAGAAGTGAGTTAGGGTGAGTGAGTGAGTCTGGTTTAACGTCGTTTTGAACTGTATTTCAGTTGCATCACGGGTGTAAGATTGATGTGAAAAATGAGTGGGTGAGTGAGTGAGTGAGTATGGTTCAATAAGGCTTTGATCAGTTTATCAGTTATATCTCATCGTGTCAGCTTGATGTGGAGGGAAAGCCCTTGAGCATGAACACAAAAAAATAAATATAAAAAAAATAATAATAAATCATAAATATGGAGAATATGGAGTAATAAACGGATTCTAGCACGCCTAAGGGACGCAATTCTGCATAGCGTATCGCGCCGCCTTAGACGACTGGGTCAACCGTGCTCCCTCTTAAAAATATACTCACAGACAAAACAAACGCGATCACCATACAAATTGGTTATTATATGAATAATTACTCATGTTCAGTGCATATTAGATTGGTTCGATGCACAAACGAACAAACTGTTATCCTCGTGCAGGATTAGCGTGTAAGGTTTGGAAATCACGTGCAGCATATCGTGATAAGAATAAAGACACTCTGTGGTAACACTTGACTTATTGTTAGTTTTGTCATTAAGTGGTACACCTTGGAAACACATCTTCTTAGCGTACACACTTCTCTATATGTTTCTATGGTTCCCTTTATTTTGGTGTTGAGTATATATGAAACTACGTCATATCCAGTGACGATACTGAAAATACTTACATCGAAATACGCTGGTATCGTTAGCCAGGTCACATTTGAACGTTCCATCCCTTGGTTGGATCTGGTCCTGGTCAATTGGTCAATTGGTTTCTTCCAACCAATCAGAGACAGTTACCGGCTGTTGGACTGAATGCATCAAAATCATCTCTCGCTTCAATGGGATATAAATTGACTTTGCATAGACGAGGGAAGTTGGTTGGTTGGTTGGTTGTTTTACGCCGCACTCAGCAATATTAGAGCTATATGACGGCGGTCTGTAAATAATCGAGTCTTGACGAGAAAATCCAGTGATTGACATCATGAACATCGATCCACGCAATTGGGATCGATGACATGCATCAACCAAGTCAGCGAGTCTGACCACCCGATCCCGTTAGTCGCCTTTAAGGACAAGCATAGTCGCCTTTTACGGCAAGCATGGGTTGCTAAAGACCTATTCTACCCCGGATCTTCACGGGTCCGGTGGGAAGTACTGCCATACAGTCTAAACCATCTATTAGACATTCCAGAATTTTCTTTTGTTCAGGTTTCAAATTTTAAATCGAGAACTTTGTCAAAATATTTTTCGAAGTGTAGCCTGGAATGGAAGTCGCCAGTTTGAAAAAAATGTCGTAAAGCTCGAGAACACTGCTTTCTGATTGGCTAATATCGACTTTTTGTTAGTCATTTCATTGGTCCGACCGCCTCTGTAGTGTGCTTTATAGAGCATCAGCCCATAGAGCGGAAGGCCGGTGTTTCGATGCCCGGCCGTGTCAGACCAAAATACGTTCTTAAGATGGTAATCTGCCTATCCTGCGCTCGGCATTATGGGACCTGCTGGGAGTTGGGTATCCATGTTAAACGACGAAAACACTCATACCTATAATCACGTCGCTGTAGAAGTGCAATGATCTTTAACGCAAAGTTATACCCTATTTCACCTCACCTTACCAGCTCCGACATATGACTGCCGTGATTGTACTGAAATACTATCTAACTCCGCAATCGCCTTGTATACTTGCGTCTTGCTCTAGCCAGAAACCTATGAGGGTAGGTTCGAATCCCAGATTCGGACTATGACATTTATTGGTCTCTCAGCGCCAAACCCGTGGGTTTAAGGTGGTAAATTTCTGAGACCTGCATCACATTGGCTTTCCTTCCACAACAAGCCGACGTGCCGTGATATCTCTGAAATGCTGTTCAAAGCGGCGTAAACTCACTCACTCACTTACTCACTCACTCACTCACTCACTCACTCATTTTCAAGTGCCGTGTGGAAGAGTCCAAGACGTACCTCCGCCAGTAGGACGGCGTATTGTCGGAGGCACTACGGCCAAACAAGGGGAATTCCCATGGCAGGTATGACGTCATTGGTTTATTGATCATAGCGCGATGCGCATATTTCTAGCTAAGGGTAAAACTGTAAAAAGTATATGTAAACCAATTACGATAAACCTCACTAATCTGGACCGTGCCCTTTAAAAGGAATCTTGCTCGGATTGTTCGGGTTTCTTTGTCAAACAATGCGTCGATCTCACACGACCAAATTTTGAAAAATCTTCCATCGGAGTCAAGATAGGTGAAGTCAATCGGCGCTGAATTCCATTTCTCCGTACAAGCGAGCGAGACGTTCTGAACAGCATATCTGTCTGCAGTATTTCTAAATCGAAACGGTCAGTTCTGGATGGAGAATAATAAAGACCGCGTTATACATGATGTAGATGATATATACACCCTGTCGTTTCTGTGGACCATGGCATTTAAACCCAAAAGATTTACCTTTTTCTGTTCAATTTTTGTGTATCAAGGTGGAAAGTATAGGAACCCTAGTCGTTTCAGAAAGCTGACATTTGATTGGCTGAAGAAACCACACATCCTCAATTTAGATTGGGTCAAAGTCCACTTAGGATTCTCCTGACTCGACGTCCTGTGGGGTTTCGTCAGATCATAACGGAGACAGCTTTCGAATATCAGAGTAAACGATCTGAATTCAATAAGAATGATTGTCTTATTGTGTGTACGTTCACGAAAATGAAAGATTAAATACAATAAACTACGGTTACAACGAACTCAAAGGGACCACTTATTTTAGTTCGTTAAAACCGTAGTTCGTTATAATCATATATACAGCATCTATACAGAAAGTGGCCGGGACAAAAAAAAACAGTTCGTTATAAGCGTGTTCGTTATACACGTCTTTACTGTATAGTAATTTGAGTGAGTGTGTCATCTTCCAGCAATACCATGGCAGGGGACACTTAACTTATGTTAAAGTTTAGGTACATTACGATTGAGACAAGGAGGTGTTGTTTTTTATATTGCCTGCCTGTCTATGAAATATGACATATAGTGACCTTTGACATTCCAGGTTGGTCTGAGATCATTTGGGCCTACTTTCTGTAGCGGAGTGTTAATTGCCAAAGACTGGGTGCTCACAGCCGGAAGGTGTTTTGACGGGTAAGAAAAACGGTAAAACACATTTTTATATTTAGTAATATGAAAGAATCGGATGACCCTTACACAGTCTGATTTGTATACATAGTGTATGAACCTGACCAAATCATATCAAATAAATTATGGATGTAAAGAAACGCAGAACATACGCTTGGATTGTATTTTCCCCTGTGAGCTGAAAAAGACATTCTGGAGCACAATGGTCAAATATTACTAATGGCTTGCCAAACTGACGCCGCGATTTGACTAGAAGAAGCTAATATATTGGCAATTGTACCAGAGGAAATAATTGTGCCTCTGTTAAGAAGTGTAACATGCTACGACTGATGTTTCTCTGCTGCAGGCACTATGATCCGACCGGCTGGATAGTTGCACCGACGTGCATATGTTTCTCTGCTGCAGGCACTATGATCCGACCAGCTGGATAGTTGCGCCGACGTGCATATGTTTCTCTGCTGCAGGCACTATGATCCGACCGACTGGATAGTTGCACCGACGTGCATATGTTTCTCTGCTGCAGGCACTATATTCCGACCGAATGGACAGTTGCACCGACGTGCATATGTTTCTCTGCTGCAGGCACTATGATCCGACCGGCTGGATAGTTGCACCCACGTGCATGTTTCTCTGCTGCAGGCACTATGATCCGAACGAATGGACAGTTGCTCCGACGTACATGTGTTTCTCTGCTGCAGGCACTATGATCCGACCGGCTGGATAGTTGTGTTGGGGGACTATGACAGAGAGCACCAGGAGGGCACGGAGATGCGCGTGAACGTCAGGAACATCGTTATACATGGAGGATTCACTATGGGTAAAACATATCTTCTGTAGTGAGAGGCTTTGGGGAAGTCAAGTGGTTGAGGCATCCGTTTTGTCACTCCCAAAGCCCTGGTTCGTTTCCCCACGTACAATGTGCGAAGTCAATTCCTGGGGTCTCCCGTCGTGATGTTCCTGAAATATTGCTAAAAGGGGCGTAAACACCACTCACTCACTCTTTTAAAGGCGACTATGCTTGTCGTAAGAGACGACTAACGGGATCGGGTGGTCAGGCTTGCTGACTTGGTTGATGCATGGCATCGTATCCCAATTGCGTGGATCGATGCCCATGATGTCAATCACTGGCTTGTCTGATCAAGACTCGATTATTTACAGTCCGCCGTCATAAAGCTTGAATATTGCTGAGTGCGGAGTTAAACAACAAACAAACCAACATGAATCTTTAAATAAATACTAGTATACTAGTATCTGAAATAAACTAGAAATAGGTATTCCTTTAAAAATACAGGGAGGGAAGGTGGTTGGTCGTGGGTTGACACTATGAATGCGCATCGAGTTTAATGCACATAAGGGGAATAGAACGTATGTCATTGAAAGCAGTCTGCACAGACCGTTTCACATGAGGTTATGTACCCGTGATGATCCGGGGTAGAATAGGTCTCCAGCAACCAATGCTTGCCGTAAAAGGCGACTATGCTTGGCGTAAGAGGCGACTAACGGCATCGAGTGGTCAAGATCGCTGACTTGGTTGAAGCATGTCAACGTATCCCAATTGATTAGATCGATGCTCATGATGTCAATCACTGGATTGTCTGGTCCAGACCGCCGTTAAACAACAAACAAACAACATAAATTTATGTGAGGGGATCGGATACATTATTAAATATGTTTATCATTTTTAAATATTTAGGTTATATACAGAGGCAAAAACTACCGGTAATATATTGCCTTGTGGCCTTCCTTGGTGCATAGCCTTCAGCTTCTTAATAATTTAAACGATATCCGTGAATTACTGTGAGGACGAGAAACGTCTCGACGACAATTGCAACAGCTGGAAAGCGCCAACTAGAACCACACTGTTTGAGAAGAACTTCATTGCAAAGCATAACACATTCGGTAGAGACGGAGACGTCCGTATAAAAGCTGACGAGAGGCTCGCGTCAATGAAGAGTTTGCAGTCTGTAGACCTAGAGCAGAACGTATGTCATATGCATTATTATTTTATTTCGTAGACCCCTACAGTAACGACGTTGCTCTGGTACAGTTGGTGGGGCACGACATCGACTACCCGTCAGTGTGTCTACCAGATTCGAACACGGACTTGCTAGGATCAAGCTGTGTGATCACAGGCTGGGGGGCCACCCAGAGAGGTATAGTAATGAGCAATAGAGGTGATCAGAGAGAAAGTGATCGAGCGATGCCAAAGGCTGGAAGACCTAAAATAGCAAGTGATCTAACATTCGTCAAAACGGAATTCATTTTCTACACACGACACTAGTGTCATAATTACCTGTTAAGACACATAGCACAATAATATAGGCCTCGTTCTGGGGTTAAGCAGCGCTTGAAAGGAGCGTTCGATGAATACCTTCAAACTATAGTAACATGTCAATCAAGTCACATGATTGACCAACAGGAAAGCACGAGGTGATACAGAATCCGGCAACTTCAACATTTTAAGTGATAGATTTACTTCAAGGCCACATGAAAGTCGTTCTTTTTTAATAGTGAGTGAGTGAGTGAGTTTGGTTTAACGCCGCTTTTAACAGTATTCCAGTTATACCACGGCGTGTCAGCTTAATATGGGAGGAAAGCCCGAAGTGAGGTAGGTCTAAGACGTTTACCACTTCGGTGAAACCCACGAGCACGGGCACGGTGCTGACAAACCTCGAAACATAATCGGGGCGAACCGGGATTCGAACCCACCATCTTCTTGGGTTTCTGGCGTGCCCAAGGGACGCAACTCTGCACAGAGAATCTCGGCGCCTCAGACGACTGGTTCCGATTCCTGTTCGCCCTGATTGTGTTTCTTCAGTGTTCAACACCATACCCTCGCTCGTGTGTTTCACCAAAATGGTAAAACGTCTTAAACCTGCATCACTTCGGGCTTTCCTATCACATTAAGCTGACACGCCGCGATATACCTAAAATATTGTTCAAAGCGGCGTAAAACCAAACTCACTCACTCAATATCAATAACAAGGTTTATGTGGAAGACTATTTCTCACCTGATTGTATGATCGATTATCCAGAATAGTTTATACTCATTTAAGAATTGACTTTCACTGTGTGTGAGTTCATTGGAGTACTGTATGAACGTCGGAGCTTTTTAACATAATTTCTTACCTCAAAGGATGTAGGCCAAGATCTAAACACAATTATATTTAGTACGTGTGACTTCATGTTTACACTGACGGCCATACAACAACCAGCTATATCGCGGAGTAAAATAGTTCCTAAAAAGGAGAGGTGACATGGGCGTATGGATGCACAACTTGCTCTTCAGAAACATCTTACGCAACACATGACTGTGTTCAAATAATAACACCATTAGATGGGAAAGGTCTGTAAAGAACTACCCAGTAAGTCAGTCACAAAGACAGCGCGTCGTAATACACTTAATTACATCAAGTACAAGACGTCAAAATGGCCGACACGATAAACGTGACGGGAGGATTTCCGAAGTTGTTAATGAATCTGTGGCGGTTACATGTGTTAATCATCATTGCTCAACTGACCGATTATTGAAAGGTGATTAAAGATGCGTCAAACAGACACCAAGGTAAATTCGTAGATTACTGGAGACGGTCTCTGTCAGCCTAGACACAGATCGAGTCGATACTGACGATAGTTTGGATGTGCATTTTTTCGTTTGTTCATTAGGATGGGCCGTAGCGAGGAAATTCGTAAACAATCATGCAGTCAAGCTCTCTTACGTTTCTCAATGTATACTGAAAGGCTGAGACCAAGATAAAAGTTCTAAATGATCATAAAGAACGCTAATGTATGTTTTCGTGCTAGGGAAATCCCAGGGGTTTCCCAAGGAATGTGGAAGTAGTCCGTCAGTGTTTTACGTCATTTCAAGAACACGGTCTCGTGAAAAACGTATGAACGTCAAATTGTGTCGTTCATACACTTATGAACGTCAATTTCGCGGGCATGTGACCGATCTCTCGTCCAATGGAAAAGCCGTATATCATGTAAACTTCAAATTAAAAAAATATTCTGTTATGATCAATATCCTGGACACATTCGCCATCAACTTCGTTTTGGGCCCCGCCCATGCATCTGGCAGGCTATGAAATAACTTAAATACAGTTCAAAGCAGCTGCACCGTGGTGACAAGAGAGTTAACTGACTTTAAGTGTCCAGTGTCCACCCTTGCCGAACTAGGCTGGAAATCCTGGGCTCGATCGTAGCACCACCAGTGGCTGTTACGAGTTATGTCCCTTCTATGCCTCTCCTATGGACCAATCAGATTCCACCTCACGTATCACTTACTTTGCTTCAAACAAAATGGCGGCGCCCAGTCAAGATGATCTGATCGACGATCAAGATCTATATTGTGATAAAACTGGTCTTACATCGCGAAGTGCATCAAATCAGGTGAGCACCTTGATTAAAAAATTTAAAAGATTTGGAAAATATCTCTTGACAACGAGTTGGCGGTGCACATGCTTTGGAAATCCTGCAATCGACCGAACTCTGTATGACAGTTTACGAACCGGATTTCGATTTCGCTGCGCAATTTTGATTGGACTATGCATAGACTCGTTAGACCAGCAAAATGTAACTCCATAATACCAGCCTAGTTCGGCAAGGGTGGAAACTGGACTTTTATAGTCAGTTAACTCACTTGGCTTGGGAAGATGCCTATGTTGGTCGTAAAAGACGACTTCATGGATCGGGTTGTCAGGCTCAGTGACTTGGTCGATGGCGTGTCGACGCATCCTGACGTCGCGGGTCTTTGCCCATGAATGGACCGCCTCCGTGGTCTAGTGGTAGGGCGTCCGCCCGGAGAGCGGTTCGATCCCCGGCCGCGTCATACCAAAAGACGTAAAAAGATGGTACTTGTTGTTACCCTGTCTGGCGCTCGGCAGTAAGGGGCTAAAATAAGAGCTGGTCGGCTCGGAGTCAGTATACTGTGTCTGAGTGTGGCATGATATCTCAGTGGGCTAGCACTATAAATCGGCATCAGTCCGGACTAGTACAAGCAGACACACACACACACACACACACACACACACACACACACACACACGTGCATGCACGTCGCTACATAAGTGCAATAATCTTGGACGCGACGTTAAACCCCATTTCACCTCACCTTTGCTCATAACATCAAACACTGGATTGCCTGGTACAGACTCGATTACTGTCATATAGATGGAATACTACTGAGTGCGGCGTTAAAAAAAACAAAAAACCTTCAACTCAACCATTTCACTTAATTTCATGTTCACAACCTGGTTTTCAGTTAAAAAACGCACGGGGTGAGGTTTCGTGATAACCAACCTTTTTTATCGATCAATCTCACACGTGCAGTTAACACTTCATCCGACATCAGTTCAGTCAGTCACTGCACAGGTGCTATGATGTGCAAAGACAAGCCAAAGTATATAAGGTCGTAGGCCCCCATCCACCACGCGTTCGTAGCGCTACGGTAGTTTGTTTGTTTGTTGTTTAACGCCGCGCTCAGCAATATTCCAGCTATATGAAGGCGGGATGTAAATAATCTAGTCTGGACCAGACAATCCAGAGATTGATATCATGAGCATCGATCCACGCAATTGGGATACGACAGTCGTAAGTCTATGTTATGTATGGGAGATACGACAGGCACAGCGCTAAGATCGCTTTGTGGATGAACCCGTGGTTCCCTGTCCACTTTGTTCTCCTAGCACAACGACACTCGTCAGTCTATGATGAACTGTAGTGACGAAAGTCAGAGCGCTACGAACGCTATCAAGGGGCCGTTCAACAAAGCGAGCTCAACGATGCGACTGTCCTATGATATATGCTACAACAATCGCAGCGCTGCGAACGCTTTGTGAATACTCGAAGCTAAGTGATCTTAGAGCTACGATAATCGTTATTCTACGATAAAATGATAAAATTACGATAGTTGTAGGGATACGAAACCATATAATTGGGTCCCGTTTAACTTAGCGATCTTAGCGCTACGACAGTCGCAAGTCTATATCAAACTACGCATTTACGATAGTCGTGGCTACGAACGCTTTGTGAAGCAGGGAGTTGAAACGACTTTGACCATTGGAACATCCAGATTGAATGATTTCATTTGTGTCGACTCTTTAGACAAACGTGTGTTTTAGGAGACGCCCACTCGACGTGAAAGTTACTACAGTACTTCCCCCATCACTACAATGTCAGCCAATTTAAGGCAACTAGCGCTCCATCTGCTGAAATTGACTGAATGTTCGTTCACCTTTCCAGGGACTGACCTGGCACATAAACTACAGAAGTTGGCGATGAAACTTGTCAACACCTCCCACTGCCGGTTGCCTAGCAACATCCACAGTGACAGTTACCTGTGTGCTGTCAGTGATGTCCAAGATGGAGGTCCTTGCACTGTAAGTGTCGTACGTGCTGATCAGCTGGATTGTATGTGTGTGTGTTTGTGTGTGTGTGTGTGTGTGTGTGTGTGTGTGTGTGTGTGTGTGTGTGCGTGCGTGCGTGCGTGCGTGCGTGCGTGCGTGCGTGCGTGCGTGTGTGTGTGTGTTTGTGTGTGCAAGGAACCAATAGATTATTTTACCCTTTATTTTTGTTCTTCAAATCAAGAGGATGTTAGGTTGGGAGACGTTTAAAGCCTTAGCTCAAAATAAACAGTCGTCCTCACGCGCATCTTTCCGTAACCTACAAGATTCAGCTTGTTCCGGAAAGACACGAGTTGTTCACGAATGATACGCCAGCGTGAAATCTTTTTTATAAGGGCACGAGTCGCCATTCGGCTTGTCTCGGAAAGACACGAGTTGGTCACGAATGAAACGCCATTATGAAATCCTTAAAGAAGGACACGAGTCGCCATTCGCCTTGTCCCGGAACGACACGAATTGGTCACGAATGATACGCCAATGTGAAATCTTTCTAGAAAGACACGAGTCGCAATACGGCTTGTCCCGGAAAGACACGAGATAGTCACGAATGATTCGCCAATGTGAAATCCTTCTAGGAAAGGCACGAGTCGCGATACGGCTAGTCCCGGAAAGACACGAGTTGGTCACGAATGATACGCCAATGTCAAATCCTTCTAGAAAGGCACAAGTCGCCATTTGGCTTGTCCCGAAATAACCAGAGTTGGTCGCGAATGGACGAAGGCACGACAAACCCATGGTGTCCCGGTCGTGATCATGCCGATGGAGACTCGTGCCTTTCCGGAAGGATTCCATACGGGCGTTTGGACGCAAGAACTTCTTTAAATTATTAAACAAGAACGATAACTCAACACGAGTTTACAGTGATGAGAAGGCGTTCACTTACTCCTATTCCTAAAAGTATTGAACCTCTCTGATATAAAAATAACCTTTCGTTCACAGTTTAAAAGGGGGAATGTGTGTGCACATATTACCAATGTCACCAAGCGTCTTGGCCATGGGTGCAGTGATTTACACCTGTGTAGATCCATGCCCACTCTAGTCAGGTGAGGTGAGGTGAAATTGGGTTTAACGTCGCGTCCAAGATTATTGCACTTATATAGCGACGTGCATGCACGTGTATGTGTGTGTGTGGCTGCTTGTACTAGTCCGGACTGATGCCGATTTATAGTGCTAGCTCACTGAGATACCATGCCGCAGTTTAACATGAATACCCCACTCAGACACAGTATACTGACTCCGAGCCGACCAGTCCTTGTTTTAGCCCCTTAATGCCGAGCGCCAGACAGGGTAACAACAAGTACAATCTTTTAACGTCTTTTTGTATGACGCGGCCCGGGATCGAACCCTGGACCTTCCGCTCTCCGGGCGGACGCTCTACCACAAGACCACGGAGGCGGTCTCCACTCTAGTCAGGAGAGGGGGCGGTCGGGTAGCCTAGTGGTTAAAGCGTTCGCTCGTCACGCTGAAGACCCGGGTTCGATTCCCGACATGGGTACAATGTGTGAAGCCCATTTCTGGTGTCCCCCGCCGGGATATTGCTGGAATATTGCTAAAAGCAGCGTAAAAACCATACTGACTCACTCACTATTGTTTGCGGTCATATTCAGCTGAATGAATTATGTGGGCAGACGTGGCCACTCTGTAACTCTGTTGACCTTAATCCTATAAAATCAAACTCACTCACTCACTCTAATCAGGAGAGCATGTGCCACAGCACATTTTCGGAACTGAATGGATGTCGATCAGTGAGTGGGTGAATATCGTTTTACGCCGCTTTTAACAATTATCAGCAATATCAACGCGAGACACACGAGAAACTGGTACCATACATAGTATCCATGAACTCGGAACAGTCCATGAACTCATGCATAGGTCCAATCTCATTAAAATCAGACCCTAAGTTCTCGCTACCGCTAAACAAAGATTTAAAGACATCCCATTAGGGGTCACGTCAGAACGACCTTTCATCCGACCAATCAGAGCGTCGCTTACCAGATCATGAAAGTGACAGTCGGAATGTGATTTCTGATCATACAACCTCGAAAACTTTAACACGGGGTATTCCGAACGATAGTTACGGGTTTAACGACTGAATCCATACAATCTAGACTACCTATTAGCCATTCCAGAATGTTCTTTTGTTTAGGTTTCAAATTTGTAATCGAGAATTTATCAAAATATGTTTCGAAGCGTAGTCGCCAATTTGAAATTATGAAATGAATTATGAAATTCTGATTAGTCATTCCATTGATCGGTCAAAGTTCGCGCAAGGTCGGTCTGACGTGACCCGTAATGGGATGTCGTCAGATCTTTGTTTAGCGGTAGCGAGAACTAAGATCTGATTTTAGTGGGATTGGCATAGGTCATCCGTGTGAATCAATATCCACTAAACAGTACCATGCCACAAAGACAGCTCGCCTACTAGATTCTCATAATCTCGGTAGCAGTAAACGACGGATTCAAACCATCATCTCCACGCCTCCTGGGATAACATTTCGGTCCCATTGATTATGATCGAGTTGCGAGAAAATCCACATTGAATAACTGAATGACACGCAAAAGAACACACTCAAAAATCTTTTTGATGAAAAGTATGTCTTACTGTCCGATAAAACTGGCGTGGGACCGCCTCCGTGGTCTAGTGGTAGAGCGTCTGCCCGGAGAGCGGAATGTCGTGGGTTCGATCCCCGGGCGCGTCATACCAAAAGACGTTAAAAGATGGTACTTGTTGTTACCCTGTCTAACGCTCGGCATTATGGGACTAAAACAAGGACTGATCGGCCCAGAGCCAGTATACTGTGTCTGAGTTCAAAGCTACCTCCCTTCCGCGGATATGTCGCGATTCGTCATGATATATTGTTTTGTAGTAACTAAATTTTAATTATGGTATTTTAATGAATTTATTTATTCATATTGATAGCGTCCGAAAACATTTTTGCTTATTTTGCCAACTTATTTCTGATCACGGGATAAACAAAAACCCACCGCTTTCCATTTATTATATTCTTTCCACATTGCACTTTTTTAAAGACGGTGGATTCATAAACCAATTCATAAAAAAGAGTTTGGCCTAAGCCTCCACACAAATAAATACTTGAAATCAGGTTAAAAGCAGCGATAAATCCCAACTCACTCACTCACTCACTCACTCACTCATCCTTCTTTTCGCCCAGGGAGATGCGGGCGGTGCACTACAGTGTCGGATGGGAACAAGCTGGGTGGCTGCTGGGATAGTACTTGATACATACGCGTGTGACAACACGACCGGGCTGTACACGAACATACAGAGTTACCTCCCCTGGATACGGAAAACCATCACGCTACTGAAAGCTGCAGGGACAATACAACAATAAATAATGTCAAATCAGCAGATTTATTGTGCAGAGTCACAATTTTTTCACACTTTAGCAATTTCAAGATGGTCTCAAACATTAACTTGATCACTAATTTTCAAGATGCGGACCCACCATTAAATATCAGTGGCATCTGGGATTTTGGTCACAGGGGATATCTTTTCGGCCACTGCTTAAACACACACAATCATATTTTGGAAAGCAGGTCTTTTTTCCTCAACACATTTATTTCCAGGATTACACAGCATGTCCAGCTGACTTTTTATTTATTAAAACCTGAGGATATATTTTTTTCCAGAATAAACTATAATTTCAAAATTTGACCCCCAGAATATCAAATTGTCGCTCCCTTAAAAAGTACTGGATGACACATCTCTCATTGAAAACTTTTGATATGAAAGATATCAAAACGCAGCAAAGCAGCAAAGTTTTTGCTACAATAATGGACAATGGAAATGGAAGACACACTGTTCTGTGTTCAAAGTGAATGGATCTTATCCCCAGTCATTAATTACCGAGTATCACATCGAATGCTGAAAGGAGACGTGGGGCGAGCGAGATGGGTTTAATGCCACTTTGAACATTTTTGTTTGTGTGTTGTTTAACAGAGCAATACTTCAGCAATATGACGGCGGTCTGTAAATAATCGAGTCTGGACCAGACAATACATTGATTGACATCATGAGCATCGATCTAAGCAATTGGGATACGATGACATGCATCAACCAAGTCAGCAAGCCTGACCACCCGCTCCCATTAGTCGCCTCTTACGACAAGGTTGTTACGGCAAGCATGGGTTCCTGAAGACCTATTCTAACCCGGATCTTCACGGGTTGCTATGAACAGTATTCCAGTTATATCACGGTGTGTCAGCTTAATGTGGGAGGAAAGGAGGAAAGCAGGTCTCAAACGTTTACCACTTCGGTGAAACCCATGAGCGCGGGTATGGTGCTGACAAACCTAGAAACATAATTGGGGCAAACCTGGGTCCGAACCGACGGTCATAGGTTTATGGCATGCCCAAGGGACGCAACTCTGCACAGTGAATTGTGGAGACTTGGACAACTGGGCCACCGTGCCCCTGACATGCAATCAACCAAGTCAGCGAGCCTGACCCCTCGATCTATTACGTCGCCTCTTACGACCAGCATAGGTTGCTGGGACGTGTTCTAACCCGGAATCCCCACCTGTTGATGATTGTTATGAGTTACGATTAATTCCAATATGGATTAAGGTCAACAGAGTTACAGAGTGGCCACGTCTGCCCACATAATTCATTCAGCTGAATATGACCACAAACAATAGTGAGTGAGTGAGTATGGTTTTTACGCTGCTTTTAGCAATATTCCAGCAATATCACGGCAGGGGACACCAGAAATGGGCTTCACACATTGTTCCCATGTCGGGAATCAAACCCGGGTCTTCGGCGTGACGAGCGAACGCTAGGCTATCCGACCGCCCCACAAACAATAGAGAGATTTTGTGATCATAATGATATGTGACTGAAAATTGGTAATTTTACATAAAACATAATAGTTAATATATCCTGTCTCACAACTTGCATTTGCTTTCATTTTCCCAACAAAACACGCTTCAGAAGAAAAGACTGAATGTTTTGGCCATGAATATCGGTGTTTATACTGTTTATTTCATCATATCATGAATGTGTAACAACTTGTAATGTGTGTGAAAAGTCGTACTAAAATACGCTATATGAAGGGGGCGTGGCCTAAATGCAAATTTTCCGGACCCCTGGTTTTGGGGCAGGCCACGTGTGGAACGGACGGACTGCGTTTGAGAGAGGTGTTTCAAGTGTCTGCAAACGGATTGCGAACAGTGATTCCACTTTTTCAGCCACTGTGAGTGAGTGAGTGAGTGAGTATGGTTTTACGCCGCTTTTAGCAATATTCCAGCAATATCACGGCGGGGGACACCAGAAATGGGCTTCACACATTGTACCCATGTCGGGAATTGAACCTGGGTCTTCGGCGTGACGAGCGAACGCTTTAACCACTAGGCTACCCGACCGCCGCTGTGAATGATAAGGTTTCCCTGAAACCTGGGATGTGTACTGACTATTTATATTTCCATATAAAACAAGGACACAAATATTCGTGAATCTCTTTTACTGGAAGACTGAGTTGACAGTGTATTTGCAATATATAAACTCTTAATCACACACATATACAGTGTGCTCTCCTACATGCTTCATAATTATGTACAAAATTATCATAAATGTCAAAGAAAACAAATTCCATCAGTATATTTGTTTCATCATTCCATTCATATCTCACCACAACTCCATCCTCGATCAACCAGTGTATACTCCCCATTCAATCCTAAACACAAGTGTCACAACGTGTGGTGTCACCCTGGGCAAGAGACTTTGTTCAAATGTGCCTCTGTACCCCCAGCAGGGAATGGGTTACTATAATGTGAAAACCCTCCAGCACCCGTTGGCAGCTTGGCTTGTATACTCCCCCGGGAGTTGAGAATGATAACTTGAATGAAAACGGATACACTGGTAGAACAAATAAAACCACATTTGAGCAGATACTAGTACCTGCATTCCTGCATGTTGATATCTGCAATAATAACAACAATCATAATAATAATAATACCTTCGAAACCAGTTTGCTTCATTTTTAACCATATTCAAAAGACACGCCACCAAATAGAGCCATCCAATCAAATTGCACTCATGCAACAGATCTTGTGTCAAGTGATGAGAAAGAGTTGGTTATATCATTTTTGAAACGATGCCTTGGTGGCGACATCTTCTCCAGGCAAGGGAATTAACTGACTTTAAAAGTCCAGTTTCCATCCTTGCCTAACTAGGCTGGAATTATGGAGTCATATTTTAGCTGAACTAACAAGTATATGCATAGTCCAATCAACATCGCTTTACGAAATCGACATCCGGTTCAATGTGATGGTTTGGATTCATATACCGGATATTTGAATCATCACATTTCAACATCTTCCTGAGACAAGAGTGTTAACGGACTGTAAAAGTCCAGTTGAAACTGGACTTTTATTAACAGGTAACACCCATTCCTTGGGAAGAAGCATTTCATTAACACAACTTAACAATCTCTGTGACACTAGTCATTTGGGTTGTAATTTCTATTGTATTAAGGGAACAAAACAGAACAAATTCAATGTATTTTATCATTAACATTATTAAATAAAATAAATAAAATGCATAGAAAATAGACACTGGATCAGCAAGCACATCCTTTACATCATCATCATCATCATCATCATCATCATCATCATCATCATTAAAATAACAAGTACCATCATCATCATCATCATCATCATCATCATCATCATCATCATCATTAAAATAACAAGTACCATCATCATCATCATCATCATCATCATCATCATCGCCATTGTTATCATCATAAACATAACCATCAATTTTGGACAGACTGATGACAGAGATGTAAACATAAATCCAACTATGAACCAATGACAGTTCAGTGTTGACAGATGTAACAAAATTTATAAATATTCTTTCCCTTTACAATTCATTCTGATCCGAAACGCACCTTGATGAGATATGGGTATTTCATATCAGGCTATAACAAGAGTTACCTCCCTTAAGTCCTCAGCAATGTACCGCACCTGGGAAATGGCAGCCATGTTAGGTTTGACATCATGCTCATACAGGCACAACTACTGAAATAGTTCCAGCATTGCGATAGCACCATAACTCTTAGAATACTGTTGGCCCAATGTGTCCCTATCATTTCAGCAATAACGAGTACTGTACCTATCTCGCATCGTCTGACTCCCACACCCTAGAGATTAAATGATGAATGTGAAGTCTATGATTTGGCAAGTCTGGATTACCTCAGCTCTAGCTGAAACTAAGCATTGTGCTGGGCTCCATTTGGATTTAATGTTAGATTTTAGAGATATATTTTGTAATTAAGATAACTTTATTTATGTCTAACATACCTACCTCCCTTCAAAACAAGCCATACCACCCAATACCACCCTTCCCCAAAACACCGAACACCCACGCCACACATACACACACAAATCTTCCACCCCCTACCTCCTTTAAAACCCATCTGAACCACACCCTCCCACCACACCCATCCCTCTCAACAGTGGTTATAACAAACTAAGGGTATTGACTGATTTATGGTTAATACTTATTGCTCGAGAAATTATTTGGTATGGTTATTAATGAAGATAATTAAAGACAGGGGCAGCAAAATACATTTTACAGGGTGCAGCTTCTACAGCGTTAACTATCTCAGGCTGTGGCTCTAGCTTCACAGATCTTGCGTGCCTCTTTGATCCTTAGGGTTAGAATGATCCTGCCACTAAACAATTGGACAATCTTGTAACATGAACATTATATGTACAGACACATATCAAGACGACAATACTGAATCCACCAATTACTGATAGAAGCATATTTGTGTTTACTTTGAGCCTCGTGGCTTCAAGTGAGAGGCTTTCACTCGGTTGTACACAGCCATGGGGACTGTCCACACAAACCAATCTTAGCACTAGTATGGGCGTAAGTGAATGATAGAGTATGGGGTATATGATCGTCTTAGACCTAAAATAGCTTTCAGGTCTACAAACCAGTCATAGGGGTGTGGCTAACGTTAATCCCACTCTTTAGTCTTTAACATAGACTTACGACAGTCGTAGCACTAAGACAATCGTTGCTCACATTCTTTAACATAGACTTGCCTCAGTCGTAGCGCTAAGACAATCCTAGCTCACATACTTTAAAATTGAATTACGACAGAAGTAGCGCGAAGACAAAGGTAGCTTGCATTCTTTAACATAGACTTACTGCAGTCGTTGCGCTAAGACAATCGTAGCTCACATTCTTTAACATAGACTTACTACAGTCGTAGCGCTAAGACGATCGTAGATTGATTTGTGGAATGGACCTGATATTTTCTTATGAAGCAACATTAATGCTTTACATTTGTTGAAAGCCAGCCAGCAGGTCATGTGCCTGTATCAGCTGTCTGTGTGTCTGGCAACCCGCGCTGCCAGCATCCTCTCCTTCTCGTGCTCCTTCTCCCGCTGCTGAGCCTTCTGTAGCTCCTCCTTCTGCCGCTGCTGCTGCAGTTTTACTGCCCGCTTCTGTAACACAATAACAGAATGTACCCTCACCGCCTGCTTCTGTAACACAATAACACAATATAGCTCCACTGCCTGCTCCTGTAACACAATATAGCTTCACTGCCTGCTCCTGTAACACAATAACACAATGTAGCTTCACCTCTTGCTTCTATAACACAATAACAAAATATAGCTACACTGCCTACTTCTGTAACACAATAACACAATGTAGCTTCACTGCCTGCTTCTGTAACACAATAACACAACGTAGCTTCACTGCCTGCTTCTGTAACACAATAACACATTGAAGCTTTACAGCCCGCTTCTTTTACAAAATAACACAAGATAGCCACACCTCTTGCTTCTGTAACACAATAACACAATGTAGCTACAATACCCACTTCTGCTACACAATAACACAATGTAGCTACATCGCCCACTTCTGCTACACAATAACACAATGTAGCTACATCGCCCACTTCTGCTACACAATAACACAATGTAGCTCCTCCTGCTACTTCTTTACAAAAAACACTTCTTGTTTAAAATCCATTACCAAATTTACCATGACAACACATACCTTGAGCTTGGCGGACTTGTCATGGACATTGGTCATCTCTTTCTTGATGGTGATCAGTTTATTGTAATACCTCCTTGCCTTCAACATCTGGAACATCATCATCATCATCATCATCATCATCATCATCAGTTTCATCATCATCATCATCATCAGGAAAGACTGCTACAATGCTCAGCTGAACTGTCATGACATAACTGTGAATACTGCTCAATAAATTAGCATCAACAAAAGCCATTTCTATAATCATAAGAAATCTCTACGAAAAGCAGACAATATCATCATCATGTGTTTGTGAATCACAATCAAATAATGATACAAGGTCTTCATGAAAAGGTGAGCGTATCTTGCCCATCCCGTGGCACCCATCACAACCACATGTAAAGCAGCATTAAGCCCAACAGGCTCACGTACAGGTACAGAACACAAGTTTGGGATCTTACTGTCTGGGTGAGTTCCTCCATAGACTGGCATTCCTGGAACTTGGCGTTCTCCTGCTCCAATGTCTCTATAAGGATCTTCTGGTTAGATCTGGAACACATTGTCACCACTGTACACCTTCAAACACCACCAACACAAACATACTTTCACGTACCACCTTCACACACCACAAACACAAACATACTTTCACGTACCACCTTTCACACACCACCAACACAAACACACTTTCACATACCACCTTCACAAACAAACTTTCACGTACCACCTTCACACACCACCAACACAAACATACTTTCACGTACAACCTTCACACACCACCAACACAAACACACTTTCACGTACCACCTTCACACACCACCAACACAAACACACTTTCACATACCACCTTCACACACCACCAACACAAACACACTTTCACGTACCACCTTCACACATCACCAACACAAACACACTTTCACATACCACCTTCACAAACAAACTTTCACCTACCACCTTCACACACCACCAACACAAACACACTTTCACATACCACCTTCACACATCACCAACACAAACACACTTTCACGTACCACCTTCACACACCACCAACACAAACACACTTTCACGTACCACCTTCACACACCACAAACACACTTCCATGTACCACCTTCACACACCACCAACGAAAACACACTTTCATGTACCACCTTCACACACCACAAACACACTTTCATGTACCACCTTCACACACCACCAACACAAATACACTTTCACACACCAGCTTCACACACCACCAACACAAACACACTTTCACGTACCACCTTCACACACCACCAACACAAACATACTTTCACGTACCACCTTCACACACCACCAACACAAACACACTTTCACATACCACCTTCACACACCACCAACACATACACACTTTCACATACCACCTTCACACACCACCAACACAAACACACTTTCACGTACCACCTTCACACACCACCAACACATACACACTTTCACATACCACCTTCACACACCACCAACACAAACACACTTTCACATACCCCCTTCACACATCACCAACACAAACACACTTTCACATACCACCTTCACACACCACCAACACAAACACACTTTCACGTACCACCTTCACACACCACCAACACAAACACACTTTCACGCACCACCTTAACACACCACCAACACAAACACACTTTCACATATCATCTTCACATACCAATTTCACATACACACATTCTCATATATCGCCTTCACATACCACTTTCACATATAATCTTCACATACCACCTTCACATACCAATTTCACATACACACTTTCGCATGTATAGCCTTCACATACCACTTTCATATATTATCTTCACATGCCACCTTCACATATCGACCCGTGAAGATCCGGTTTAGAATTGGTCTTCAGCAACCCATGCTTGTCGTAAGAGGCAACTAACGGGATCTATAGTCTGCTCCAGACATGATTATTTACAGCTGGAATATCGCTGAGTGCAGCGTTAAACAACAAACAAACAAACCTTCACATCCACACCTTCACATAAAACCTTTACATGCCACCACATACCACTCTCATACACCAGTTCAAATACACCTTCACATAACACCTTCAAATTAAAATCTTCACATTATACCTTTAAATTAACACCGTCACATAACATCTCCACAGCCTTCAAATACATCTTTGCATACTACATTCCCATACCAAATCAAATTAACACATTCATATAACACCTTCAGATTAACACCTTCACATAACCTGCACACATTCGCTCTGTGGAGCAGGCCCCAACTCACAGAGACTCGTATTGATGAGACCCATCAGAAACCTATGTTGGGCGTCGTTGGTTGTTGGTTGGTTAATTGTTTAACGCCGCACTCAGCAATATTCCAGCTATATGACGGCGGTCTGTAAATAATCGAGTCTGGACCAGACAATCCAGTGACTGATATCATGAGCATCGATCCACGCAATTGGGATGACATGGATCAAACGAGTCAGCGAGCCTGACCACCCGATCCCGTTAGTCGCCTTTTACGACAAGCATAGTCGCCTTTTACGGCATGAATGGGTTGCTGAAGACCTATTCTACCCCGGAATCTTCACGGGTTGGATGTCACCATCAACACAAACACACACCCCTCCCCCTCTGAACTTGGCAGTCTTTTAACGTATCACTCTCACTTACAACACTTCGTCTAGTGATGACTTTGATTTATCCAAGTTGGGCAGAAAGGTCTGAAGAAATCCTGAACTTAGGTTTTCAACAATGGCAGGATCAACTGTTATTTCTGAAACAAAAAACATCATCGGTAAAGCACTGCTTCCATAGAAACATTAAAATTAGACGTGACCAACCCTCCATAGTTACCATCAGGTGAACTTCCTCATCAGACAATCAACATTAAGGCTTATTAATTCTTCGTACAGGTGAGCAAAGCATTCAGATCAGCATATCTAATTTCTGTAGCTCAACAACGAATATGAACAACCAGTTCCAAATGGAAATGATAATGGCAGTACTTTAATATTATTGTGGATAATTCATATACCCTGTTCTTTTAAGGCATCATGGCCTCCAAACCCAAAAGGGAGTTAGTTCCATCTAAAAGAAATATCTGTGATCTGTTCCAGTTATCTTTCGTTCACCCAGACATTTCAGAATCGAGGTGGTAAAAAAATTCAGCCACATCATTTTAAAAAGCTGACATCTGATGGGCTCTAGAACCTGCACTTCCTTCACAGGTCAAGGGAGGTCAATGTCTGCTCAGAGTTCACCTGATGCCACCTCAACATGCCATGACAGCCCTCAAAATAGCAACCATTTTGGTGGCCAAATGTGGCTTGAATCTATGATTGGCGACCTAAATTTATCTACTGCTCACCACTTGGCAACCTAAAAGTATCTGTTAAAGATATATGTTGGCTCCTAAAAATTAAGTCTTGGCTCCAAAAATTTTCATGTTAGGAGTCGCTTGGCTCCCTAACGAAAAAACGAACTTAGAGGGCTGCTTAACTTTAATTGTAACAACATCAGGGAATTGGGAAATGTAGGAATTTGTACTGATATTTGCTCAGACTTAGCGCTACGACTGCTGTAAGTCTATGTTAAAGTATGGTAGTAATGATGATCTTAGCGCTAAGATCACTTTGTGGAACTGGGAACTGGGCTCTGTTCCACAACGCGATCTTAGCGCTAAGATAATCATAACTCCCATACCTTAACATAGGCTTACGACAGTCGTAGCATTACGATCGCTTTGTGGAACGAGGCACAGGTCTACATGGATCTCTTTAGAACTATATAAGCCATACCACGATTGGGGAACACTATCAAAGGGCTTCACACACTGAATTAAGTTCCAGCTCACCCAAGTCGGCATCTAGCTGGTCTTTCTCCAATCTCTTGTCTTGTTCTTCTTCAGCAGTCTCTACAACTTCTGAAGCTTCTTTTTCTTGTGGTTGGTCATCAGACTGCTTTGGAGTAATCTCCCTTTCTGTCTCTTCTGAAATCAGAACATAAGCATGAACCATTAACATTAGGTCAAACTTAACAGGGGTATCTAACTTGAAGGGTGCGTGAGTGAGTGGGTGAGTGAGTAGGTGAGTGGGTGAGTGAGTAGGTGAGTGAGTAGGTGGGTGGGTGAGTGAGTAGGTGAGTGGGTGAGTGTGTAGGTGAGTGGGTGAGTGAGTAGGTGGGTGGGTGAGTGAGTGGGTGAGTGAGTAGGTGAGTGGGTGAGTGAGTAGGTGAGTGAGTAGGTGAGTGAGTAGGTGGGTGGGTGAGTGAGTAGGTGGGTGGGTGAGTGAGTGGGTGAGTGAGTAGGTGGGTGAGTGAGTGGGTGAGTGAGTAGGTGGGTGGGTGAGTGAGTGGGTGAATGAGTAGGTTGGTGGGTGAGTGAGTGGGTGAGTGAGTAGGTGAGTGGGTGAGTGAGTAGGTGAGTGAGTAGGTGAGTGGGTGAGTGAGTAGGTGGGTGGGTGAGTGAGTGGGTGAGTGAGTAGGTGGGTGGGTGAGTGAGTGGGTGAGTGAGTAGGTGAGTGGGTGAGTGAGTGAGTGGGTGGGTGAGTGAGTGGGTGGGTTAGTGGGTGAGTGGGTGAGTGAGTAGGTGAGTGGGTGGGTGAGTGAGTGGGTGGGTGAGTGAGTGGGTGAGTGAGTGGGTGGGTGGGTGAGTGAGTGGGTGGATGAGTGAGTAGGTGAGTGGGTGGGTGAGTGAGTGGGTGGGTGAGTGGGTGAGTGAGTGAGTGGGTGAGTGGGTGGGTGAGTGAGTGGGTGGGTGAGTGGGTGAGTGAGTGAGTGGGTGAGTGGGTGGATGAGTGAGTAGGTGAGTGGGTGGGTGAGTGAGTGGGTGGGTGAGTGAGTGGGTGAGTGAGTGGGTGAGTGAGTGGGTGGGTGAGTGGGTGAGTGAGTAGATGGGTGGGTGAGTGAGTGGGTGAGTGAGTAGATGGGTGGGTGAGTGAGTGGGTGAGTGAGTAGGTGAGTGGGTGAGTGAGCAGGTGGGTGGTAGGATGGCTGGGAAGGATGGTTGACTTAAATGCCAAAGTGACTGAGTACAGTATAATGCTGCTTTAAGTGAGTGAGTATGGTTTTGCATCGCTTTTAGCAATATTCCAGCAATATCACGGCAGGGGACACCAGAAACGGGCTTCACACATTGTACCCACGGTGAATTGAACCCAGGTCTTCGGCATGACGAGCACATGCTTTAACCACTAGGCTACCCGACCGCCAAAATGCTGCTTTGCTCAGTATTTTCAGCATGTCAGCTTGATGTTGGAGGAAAACCAGAAGTGAAGCAGGACGTTGACCAATTTGGTGAAACACACAAGCAGGAGTATGGTGCTGACAAACTTAGAAACATAATCAGGGCAAGTATAGGATTAGAACCCCGTAGGCTTCTGGCATACAAAAAGCTACTTAACAAAAACATGATTTTACGAACAAATTCTTTGAAAAGGTAAAAATAACACTGATATAGGGTTGTACATGTTACATCCACCACGTTTCAGTATTTCTGTAGATTGTATATTTCCACAATTACCCGAACTTGGTGGTGTTTCCCCCTCATCCTGTGCTTCACTCTCCTGCTTTGCTTCAGGGGTCTGAACCTCACTCATTCTGAGGTGTGTAGCGCAACTGAAACACAAATGTTTAGGAGAGTGTCAGGCAGAGCATACAGGGTTTTACTTGATGCACAAATGTAGTGAGTAGACAAAGTAAAAAATAAACTGTGTCCTGAGGTAAATACCGCATTCGACGTAATAAGCGCCCAGGGCACTCTCAAAATTAGAAATAGGGGGCTCTTATTAGAATATTATTTTGGTGAAAAAAACAGAGTTGAAAGATAAATTTCTTGGTTTATGCTGACATGCTGCAGACCGTGGCTCTCGCTTCACAGATCTCTCATGCCTCTTAGATCCTTTGGGTTGGATCTATTTGTGCTGGGGTAAGGGTAGGTCACCTCAACTCTATCCTTAGCCCTTTGATCCCCTCTCAAATCAAGCACACTTTACAATCATTAGGGTTAGGTACCCCTTTCCAATCAAACGCCCCTTCACGATCCTCAGGGTTAGGTACCACTTGCCAATCAAACACCTCTTTATGATCCATAGGGTTAGGCACCCCTTTACCATCCTCAGGGTTAGTTGTGAGGTAAGGTATAGGTTAGCTATCTCTTTTATCAACTTAATCCAATGTAATTTGAAGAAAGCCTGTAAATTTTTATCAAGTTTAGAGTTTTGCTGAGAAAATGGCTACTGCACATGAGCATAAATGTTAACAATTGGGTGCTGATGAGCAGGTAAACAAGCACTTATTATTTTTGATAGCGTCCCTGGTCCCGTTGGATTGAGTTGAGATCATTAGCTTCAAGCTGTCAACGTGAGTTTGAGGCACCATGCAGCACTAATTAAAATCTGAAAAAGTGCACCCAGTAGAGTGCACTACACCCTTGATTTGCAATATCTGTCTCAATTGCTACTTATGCTTCTAAAATGTAACTTAAAGATATTATATTTTCTCTGGTTTTACAATATATATCGAATAATTTTAATAATCTTCGATTGTATTTTTTTTTGGCATCGCACAGTTAGTTCTGAGCAGACATCAAGCTTGCAAGACACTACTTGCAAGAAGTTTGGACACAATTTAATATCTTTATTTCCGTAATGTCATTTACCAATATATCACCACATAACTGCATTATGCCTTATTTGCTGCTTATCTTTACATAACAGTTGCAAATGTAATACGTCCAATGAGAGAATGTGCGTTTAGACATGGTTTATTCACATAAAAGCACGCATAGATGAGCAAAAACGTCTTACCGATGACGATAAGACAGTTGATCGACAGAAACAGTGAATAAAGTTTACATTTCTCGTGACTTAGAGTTACTTGCCCTTGTTTATTCACAATGCTACTATTTATCAACTTATCACAAATGAATAGAATATTTGTGCAAATAAATGCATGAATGCGTTTGATTTTGTGTATTTCACAATGCAAAGCTATATTATTACTCTCTCTTTTCATTTACAAATAATAAAATGTGTTTTATGGATTGGTTTTGCTTGTGTGACATAGAAAGTGATCTCTACAGCTAATACTAGTCGCAGGAGTATGTAATATATGTCCAGAAGTTGAAACATGGCGACTCATTTCGGAACACCGTCTCCATTGTGGGGAAATGGTCCTCAGCCCGGCGGTATACATCAATTCAATCAGAGCAATTCGTCATGCAGCAATTTTGGAACACAGAGAACCATGTAAGTATCTAACAGTACCCTGTACAGTAGATATTGATACGTTTTCCTCATATCTGAACAAGTGGCACTCCAATGCAAAGCTCTATTTTGATTTGTCATGCCGTTCTGCAAAACGTAATTTTCATTACCCCGATAACTTACCATACGACATCATCGTTGTCACAGTTAAACTGCTAAACCATAACAACAAACACTAAAGTCTGGGAAGAAATTTTACTGTTTTTATTACGTTTTCTTTAATTATTATGATAGTGCGTGCGGGATTGTTTTATTGTCCATAATTCGATCATCTTTGTTTTACATGTTCCCGTAAAATTCTGAGATAAATCTGTGTTCTATCAAGTTTTACATGTTCTAGTTTTATTGAAAAAAAGTGACTACCATGCCTGCACACATAATTGGTTACATTTGTGCTCAAAGCATTATTAGAACAGACCATGCAGACTAGTGTGTGGCAGAGTGCAGGCCTAAAACGGCACCTCAGCAAAACGTCACCGATTTCTCTGGCGAAAACAGCACCGCATTTGGCGAAAACAGCTCCTATGAGTCGGGCGAAAACGGCACCTCTATTTTTAATAATGATAAGAACGATTTTTGTAGTAGTATATATGGTTTATTTACATGGTCACAGTTATCACATGATACAGCATGTTGTTTTCTGACATTCTTCTCGCATGCAACACATCGAAATGCCATTGTGAATAATTGTGATCGGACAGCACCATGTTAGGCCCCTAAATACAGTTTCAGCTTAAATTGAGTAAAGGTACTTAAAACTTCAAAGCGTATAGTGTTTTCACAATAAGTTAACTGCGCCTCCCAATCAGTCGGCAAATAAATTGGACTAGGGGTCTAATTTCTTACTTGTTTTATTTCACAATTTCACAATTATTTGTGTTTGTTAGAGACAATGTGAGTTTAATTTCTATTATTTTCCTCAAAGCATTTCATGTTTTCACAATAGGTTGTGTTGCATATAAGCTAAGTTGGATTATAGTTGGAGTAGAGGCTAATTTCTAATGTAAACTTGTTATAACATCTCACAATTATTGGTGTTTGCAAGTTACCATATAAGTTAAATATCACTTATTTGACCAAGGTAAAAAAAAAATAAGGTGCGGTTTTCGCCAGGCAAACGCTTGAGTCGAGCTTGAGTCAAGGTGCCGTTTTCGCCCGGTGACATTTTGCTGAGGTGCCGTTTTCGCTATGACCCTGTGTGGCAGTAGCATTAGATTGATGGCCAGAGTTTTTTGTCATTTGAGAGAGTTGTGTATGATCTATTATCATTGTCATATTTTTTGCTGTCACAACAAATCTACAACACCCTTTTCCCATGTTTATCTTGTTTATTACCACAATTCACCTTCAATGTTCATGACACAAATTGGACATGTTGGAACTAATGCCAATGGATATTTTATGTTGTCCAGATGAAACATGATGAAATATTTCAAGATTTGCACACACATACTGTAAATCAATAATGCAACATACATACTCTAATGCCACCTGAAACTCCGAGTCGCGCTAATGAAGCAAGGCAAGTCAATCAAAACCACACTAGTGGAACAGGTAGAAAGATAGTTGAGCAGCGCAGTTCACCGGGTGCAGCCCGAGCTCTGCCATCCACTCAATTACCGTGCCATAGTGCCACTGCTGTCTCACTATGGCGTTACCGTGCCTCACGCTCCGGTGACTCTCGCTTCACAATCCAACACCCGTTTTCAGTCTTAGGGAAACTTACACATCGTTACGATCCAACACCCCTTTTCTGTCTCAGGGAAACTTACACGTCTTTACGATCCAACACCCCTTTTCAGTCCTTAGGGTTAACTTGCTTTGGGCAAGGGTTAGCCATAATTTCTTACCTTTTCAAGTGTTAATCTGGTTAATCCGATTAGTCGGTCATGTTGACATAAACAATGGCGGGTGTTGTTTCAAGAAAAGATGAATGGGAGAGCGGACTGTGACGTCACACGCATGCGCAATTGATTCTTCACTGAATTACGCATGCATGTTAATGGGGATTCTAATGACCCATTAAACGAGCACTGATTACATTTGATAGTGCCCGGGGTGCAATGGTAGAGCGTTGGCTAATTAACGCATTAATTAGCAGAGCTGGTGAGCCGGCAAAGCGCGTTTGAGCCCCCACAGCGCTAATTGGATCCGAAAAAGTGTGCTTGGTACAGTGCACTACTCCTGATAGTTGTTGGCTGTTCACTGACTGATGAAATACAGCACATTCACACAATATCTCGCCGAATGTAGAGTAACAACCAATATTATTATTATTTTATTTCAGGTATCCAATTGTAACCGGCACATCAGTTCTAGGCATAAAGTTCAATGGTGGCATAGCCATTGCAGCTGACATGCTTGGGTCATATGGGTCAATGGCTCGTTTCCGTGACATCTCCCGTGTATTGAAGGTGAACGAGACAACAGTGTTGGGCGGTGGTGGAGACTATGCTGACTTCCAGTTTATCCGATCCATCATCAACCAGAGAGTGTAAGTAGTAACTGTTGCGTGGATGCCACTAATGGTATGTTGTACCTGTGAAATATTGGGAGTTATCTCCCTTGGATAAATGCGCTGTAAGTCGGTAGCCATTAAAGTGAGTTGTCTGAAAGACACACGTCTCTGTCTCATGACTATATTACGTGGCATGGAGCACGTAACAGGAACTGTAGCAGGAGTCGAAGCCCCAGTCTAGTATAAATCACGTCAGTCACGTCAGACTGTAATATGGCTATGGGGAGAGACATAAAAATGGGCTTCCCCGAACTGTAGAAAGTGCAGTGATTTTCATAACATTACTCAGGCAAGGGTTGAAAATTAACATTAGTCTGCTGGTCCTGAGACAAGTAAACTTCAGGAAGGACTTGTGACATTTCCTTGTGGACTACCAAACTTAGCTTATAAGTAGATGGCAGCCCTGTGGGAGATTAAGATTCAAGTCTATGTCAGATCTACAGAAAATTATAATGAAATAAGTTTGGAAAAGTAGGCCTAAATATTGAAAAGTTTTTGCCCCAGTTGGAATACTAGTACCCGTATCCATTGTAGTTGGATTTACCGCAAAAAAAGTTGGAAAATATTGAGTACCAAAAGAATATGCATATGATTCCAATGTTTGTAATTTCAATGTGGAAGTTTTACTTATGATATGAATATAATTAAGTGGGATGCTTGTTTCAGTATTGACGAGGAGTGTCTAAACGACGGCTTCAGCTACACCCCCCGGAGTCTCTTCTCCTGGCTCACTCGAGTCCTCTACAACAGGAGAAGCAACTTCAACCCCCTTTGGAACGTGTTTGTTGTTGGGGGAATGGACAAGGATGAACCGTGAGTCTGTTTCCTGTTGCACTGGGCCAGCTGTCTTTAAACACATTCAACTGCTTTTGTCTTTCTCTTCTGAGCACATCCTTCACTAATCCAATGTATTAAATCTCTATTCTATTAGGATAAATATATTATTCATATCCTGTTATTCACCAACATGTGTATTTCATTTGAGTCCAATACAAAGGAAACAAAAAGCTTGATATTACCAGTACTCGCCTCGAATTTTGATAGCACTGGAATTTCTTGTTGCAAAAGGACTTTTCTGTCAATACTAAGGTCTTCGGCAACCCATGCTTGTTGTAAGAAGCAACTATGCTTGTAGTTAGAGGTGACTAATGGGATTGGGTGGTCAGGCTCACTGACTTGGCTGATGCATGTCATCGTGTCCCAATTGCGTGGATCGATGCTCATGTCAATCACTGGATTGTGTGGTCCAGACTCGATTGTTTACAGACCACCGTCATATAGCTGCAATATTGCTGAGTGTGACATTAAAAAACAAACAAACAAACATCCCCTACAAAATCATGCATGTCATCTTATACCAATTGCGTAGATTGATGCTCTTGACATCAGTCACTGGGTTGTCTGTCCAGACTTGATTACTCGCTGAAGGCCATCATTGTGCTCGAATATTGCTGAGTGTGGCATCAAACAACAACAAAAAACAACATGATATTGCTGGAATATAGAGCTATAAGTATCATAAATTCAAACTCACTCTGGGGCGGTCGGGTAACCCAGTGGTTAAAGCGTTAGCTCTTCACGCCGAAGACCCAGGTTCAATTCCCAACATGGGTACAATGTGTGAAGTGCATTTCTTGTGTCCCCCACCATGATATTGCTGGAATATTGCTAAAAGCAGCATAAAACCATACTCACTCACTCAAACTCACTCCTGAATTTTTCTAGTCTCAGCCCAGCAGACTTTTGTTCATTTTGAAATCTGAAATCTCCATCTCTCACTGAATTGTTCCACTGAGTTTGAGTTTATAATTTCTTTTGTTACAGATTCCTGGGTTATGTAGATAAGATTGGTGTAGCATACGAGTCAACAACAATAGCCACTGGTTATGGAGCCTACATTGCTCAGGTAAGACATTCAACGATGATTGGCCCACAGATTCTCTCAGGATTTCATCTTATTTTTGTTCTTTGATATATTCTTGTCTCTCTAGCACTGAGATCAGCTGAAACAAGCCGTTGAATTCTTTTTGAAGTTTCATTATTTACTGTTGTCTACTTGAAACTGTTCTTTTGAAAGCCATTAACAGACAAGTTAGAGAACCACAGTCAAGTCTCGTTAATCCGACACTCGTTTATCCCTGCCAATCGGCTTTATCCGACACAAATGATGGGAACCGATTTAATCAGTGCTATTTAGACCCGTTAATCCAACAGTCTCGCACTCCGACTCCGACGCACCTAATTTGCAACGAAATGCTGAAATCACTCATTAATCTCGTTAATCCAACACAGTGATCAGCGTACTCCTTGGTCATCTGCCCGCGAGTACACAGACCCGTGTTTTGGTGCAAGAAGAGTCAGCGAGTAGCTGCATATTTCAACGGCTGCAGAGATAAACTTGCTTAACAATAAACAATTCATTTTTTAAATACACAAAACAGGATTAATCACATGCCTAGATTACCTCAATCTCATTAAAATCGGATACAAGTTCTTGCTACCGCTTAAGACACACCATTACAGGTTATGTCACAAAGACCTTTTGCGAACTTTTACCGACCAATGAAATTACTGACCAGATGTCCAATTTTCGATCACGAAAGTTGATACTACCTAACTTCGTTTATCCGACATACTCGTTAATCCGACATACTCGTTAATCCGACATAATCATATGCAACCAACAATGTCAGATTAACGGGACTTGACTGTATATTCATTTTCAGATCTTGTTTCTTTTTTTAACCAAAGGTTGCTTCTCAGATTTAGTTGAATACACATGTGGCTTGCAGTCAGCACTAAAATGGCCAGGGAGCAATATCAAATCAGTAGTTTCTTTACACAAGTAGGCCGCCTCCACAGTCTAGTGGTAGAGCGTCCTCCCGGTACTTGTTGCCCTGTCTGGAGCTTGGCACTGAGGGGCTAAAACAATGCCTGGTCGGCTCAGAGTCAGTACACTCTGTCTGACCTTCTAAGTCTTATATGACCTTTAGATATTAGGTTCATGACCTCTAGACTACTCTTGTTGGATTTCGGACTCTTCATATTCAGCATTAGAAATTTAGTGTGGGAAGGGAGTGGGTGTCTTTGAAGTTGATGTTTTTTCTGATCTAGTGTTTGAAGTCGAATATTTTCCCCTTACTCTTTATTTTCTAACACAAGGATTATTACAAGCACACATCACTTTACACAAACATATATCACATTGTTGACACTTCCAGCCTATCATGAGAGAGGCGTTGGAGAAGAAGCCCGACATCAGCCAGGAGGAGGCGGAGCAGCTGCTGGACCGATGTCTGCGCCTGCTGTACTACAGGGATGCCAGGTCTCTCAACAAGGTACATAGTACACTAGTGAGTGAGTGAGTGAGTTGGGTTTAACGCCGCTTTTAACAGTATTCCAGTTATATCACGGCGTGTCAGCTTAATGTTGGAGGAAAGCCCGAAGTGATGCAGGTCTCAGATGTTTACCACTTCGGTGAATCCCACGAGCACGAGTATGGTGCTGACAAACCTAGAAACATAATCGGGGGGAACCGGGATTCGAACCCACAATCATTGGTTTCTGGTGTTCCCAAGGGACGCAACTCTGCATAGCGAATTGCAGCGCCTTAGACGACTGGGCCACCCGTGCCCCCACATAGTACACTATGTGTAGTGGGGTTACATGTCTCGCTTAAAACACTGTGTTTCAGAGATAGATGGCCTCAGACTACTTACAGTGTATGCGTTTGCATCATCCCATATACAACATTACGCAATGAATAATACTGGGACCCCAAAAATAACCTACAAGAGTCCCCCTAATGTGTTAGAAATTATATTTCAATTTAAATAATGTTACCTCATGCATGAATTATTGTTTTTTTTGGGTTTTGATTCTCTCTGCTCAAGTCCCAAAAGCCGGGAAACAATCATCATTTCCCATCATGTTTCACTTCCATGTCTGTAACAGCATTGCTGATTGGCTTAGAAAATAGAAACATAAGACAATTGCAGAGCTTGTGACATTATGTTGTCAATGTCACGTCCATGTAACAGAAGATGCAAAAATTCAAGCAAAAGAATGAGATTAAACGCAAAATTTGGAAAGTGACAGTAATTTGGAAGGATGTAATTTACCAATCAGAAAGGTGTCTACATAAGTATTTTGGAAGAATCAAATTACTTTTGTGGATTTGAACTATAAAACAATTTGAGAACCAATACATGTGATACATGATATTTACGATTCAAAGAGGACGACTTCGCTCTTAACCTCTATTTCATTGCAGATATGGTAAGAGGCGACTAACGGGATCGGGTGGTCAGGCTCACTGACTTGGTTGATGCATGTCATCGATCCCAATTCCGTGGATCGATGCTCATGATATCAATCACTGGATTGTCTGGTCCAGACTCGATTATTTACAGGCCGCCATCGTATGGCTGGAATATTGCTGAGTGCGGCGTTAAACCACAAACAAACAAACAAACATTGCACATATGGAACTCAGTTCTTATTATGAGTGTGTTTTCTTTCAGTACCAAGTCGCCATTGTGACAAAGGACGGAGCTTCTATCAAGGGACCTATAGTATCACAGACCAACTGGGAGGTGGCTCATATGATCAAGTAAGTGTTGTTACAGATTTTAAAAGATGGTACTTGTTGTTACCCTGCCTGGCACTCAGCATTATGTGGGTAAATCAAGGACTGGTCGGCTCAGAGTCAGAATACTGTGTCTTAGTGGAATATTCATGTTAAACTGCCGTGGTATCTCAGTGGGCTACTATTATAAACTCTGCATTTGTCCGGACTAGTACTCGCACGCATGCACGCGCACACTCACTCACTCACACTTTGAACATTGGGGTTATGACAAGACCCCAAAACTTTCTTGGTTATTTTTAGAACACTGCCTTGTTTTAAATATTCTTAGGTGTTGTGAGTGTCCAGGACGGGAACAAGTAGGACTGATTGCTTGGAAGCTGTGATTGTGCAGTTTGTATTAGATATTTAAATGAAATAGGCACATTTTAGCTTTATTTAAAAAGGGCTAAAATAAGGTAGTGTTTCTGGTCTTTTGATTTACAATTGTCGTATTATTTAGGGAAAGTACATATATTTTTCTCTGCAAAAGATCCATGGAGACAATTGGCTTGTGGATTACAGAACTCTGTTTGGGGGCTTACTTGATGTAAAAAATTACAGTTGTCTTTGACATGTGAAGTCTTTCTATTAGAGAAATACATTATACCGCGGTAATCAAACTGTCATCATTTGGAATCATGTTTGTTATATTTTCAATATTTCCATGTCATTTGTTTTCCAATGTGTCATGTTTGTTTCAGGGGTTACGAATGAACTTCATGTGTCCCAGGGTTAAAATCTCATTGAGAAGAGAGAGGCTTGTTTAACTACACTTCACATTTCAACTAGAACCTGTTCAAGCAATGATAAGTTCTCCACGATCAAGGCCGATACAAATATTTGGACACTGCTCATCCCTTCATATGTAACAATACCATTCTACTTGGCGACATAAATATTTGTACTACATAATTTCCGTGTCTACCTATTGACATCATTAGTTGCATGTCTGCTGTATTGCAGGACATTTGAGACTTGTAAAAAAAAATCCATTTAAGTTAGAAACAATATTTTGGAAGTGCTCAGTGGCACCAGTTTTCATGAAAACCGGAGGTCAAAGAGGATGTGTCTAAAGATCGGATCCCAGTTGCTTAGGTGTACTGTAAGTCTCTTTTGTCATTCATGTCATGCTAATAAATTATCATTTGTTCATTTTTGTATTCGTGTTATTCTTCCAATGTTTGTTGTTTATCGCCACACTACGCAATATTCCAGCTATATGACAGCAGTCTGTAAAAAATCGAGTCTGGACCAGACAATCCAGTGATTGACATCATTAGCATGGATACAATGGTGTGCATCCAACAAGTCAGCGAGTCTGACCACCTAATGCTTACAACAAGCATGGGTAGCAGAAGACCAATTCTAACTGGACCATGCCCCAAAGTTAAAATGTTAAGTAGGCCGAAATATATGAAAAATGTTAGGTTCATCTTCCTGACACAAATGGCCGTTAAGATCATATCAGTGCTAAGATCGCTTTGTAGAACAGTCCCTGGATGAGATTCCCCAGCTGGGTACTTTGGGTGAATCCAAAATGTACCCAGTCTCACACTGAATTTGCTGTAATATTGCTAAAAGTGGCACACAAATGCAGACCCAGAAGATGATGACCATCTGACCCACTCATCCCAAGCAGGAGTTGGAACAGGAAAAGTTCTGGCCTTGCAACCCACAGGGGTGATCCATCATCAATGCTTAGGACTAAACCTAGGACTTCAGTGAAAAACTCCCTCCTTGACCAGTTGAACTGTTGGTTGGTTGGTTGGTTTGTTGTTTAACGCCGCATTCAGCAATATTCCAGCTATATGACGGCGGTCTTTAAATAATCAAGTCTGGACCAGACAATCCAGTGATTAATATCATGATCATCGATCCATGCAATTGGGATCGATGAGATGCATCATCCAAGTCAGCGAGCCTGACCACCCGATCCCGTTTATCGCCTTTTACGACAAGTATAGTCACCTTTTACGGCAAGCATGAGTGCTGAAGACCTATTCTACCCCGGAATCTTCACAGGTCCCAGTTGAACTATGTTAACACTGCTTTGACAAGTAGGTCCTAAGCTGAAGGAAGGCCAGATGTCACAGAGTTGACATGTTGACTGCCAACATACCCGGGAGCACAATCCTGGCACAACCAAGGGAAGCAACTGCAATGACTCAGACCACTGAGCCACCTACAGCTTTACCATATCAAAGAACAAAACATTTACACCAAAAAAACATTTATTCTCAGAATGAAAAAAGATGTCAGAAACATCATTTACAATAATGAAATGTACATGTAATTATCTTATATATTGTATTTGTAATAAATATCTCTGACAAGTTTACTATTTTGCACTCGTCAACATTTCTCCCAGTCATACCCTGACTATTCTGTCCAAGCATGCTTGAGATGTGATTTCGACCATTCACTGCATTTGATTGTTTCCATGGTTACTGATAACCAGCTTTCATTCAAGGTAGTGGAAAATGTCTTTGAGCCTGCTAGTACCAATTAAACCGGGTCTTTTTTAAAAAGGGGAAGTTCATTTTAAAAAAATAATTGAAGACGATGGCTTTTGCTTTTCTTGGAAAAAACTGTCCGTACAAGACAATGGTAGACGAACAGCTCCATGAATACTTGTCAGTTCGCCTTTAACTGGCTTTTCAGCCCGCATATCTTCACAATAATGGAGCATACTGACAAATGTGTGCTTGTAAATGAAAGTCATAATATTAAATTCTTTTGTTTGGAAACCATGCATATAACTTCTGTACGACGGTGATAATTTTTGCATGAGAATTACAAATGCTGCGCTTTAGAATGAACTCCACACAAGAATCTTCAATGTAAGCCCCTCACACAATCAAACATCAGCTGATCAACATTGGGAAATAACGGGATGAACCATTCTCACTCGTGTCATGACGGCCATGCATTTCATTTTTATCATCATGCCTGATTTATGAGAAAATCATAACTGCAACCGATATTACTTTCAGGTGTTGTTTTCGGGGATGTAAATCACAAAGAAAAGCATTCAGATATGTGAAACAGAAATATGGTAATTATTTAATTAATTTAATTATAGATATTTGATCTTATGATATAAAGGAAAAAATGTACATGTTTGTAAAATGCTCACCCAAATAATCATTACATGATGCATCTTAGGCTTAACATGCCAGACATAGGAGCAAAAGGCCCCCAATCCCATCTATCATGTCTATAGTAGTCAATCCATACATGTTACTTTGACAAAATGAATGAGAATTATCATTAAATACTAAGTTTTCCCTCCATATTCATAGCCTAGCAGTTGTCATTCGACAGAAACACATTTAGACTCCATGCAAGGTCTAATAATTTATGTTGACTTGAATTACTAAAAATAGAATAGGGATTACCCCAAATCTTGGCCAATCAGATGTCTCTATTTGTTGGCACCTAGTAACATTATTTTAGCTAACATAATTAGAAGAAACATGAAAAAACACATGTCTTAAATTGTGAAAAGGACATTTACCCGAACATGACTACTACAAGCAATGAAAATATCAATACCTTCCACAGAGACCATCAAAACTAAATAGCCACCCCAAAACATCACCCCTCAACATGGCAATGTACAAATGATACACGGTTGTCAGGCAAGATGCATATGGACAAACACAGCCCAGGCTTCAAATTCAAGAATTTCTTCGTGCCACAAACAAGATGGCCGACTGGACGTCCATGTTTTTCAGTGTGGATGGATTGTAGCTGCTTTTCCCCACCAACACTGGAAAGCACAGAAAATGATCATGTTATTTTCTTCAAGTTACTAGTATTTTGGTTTGTCAGCAACTATAAGTTATTTTCCTGGAAAGCAATATTTTCAACATGACAACAAAGGATAAGGATTGGTAAGGACTCTGACAGCGAGTTTAAATGTTATGACTTAAATATTGGAATGAAACTTAATGAAACTTATCAGATACCAGATTCGCCATAATAAGCGCTCAGATCTCAAATCATCTTCCCGAGACAAGAGAGTTAACTGACTTTAAAAGTCTAGTTTCCACCCTTGCCGAACTAGGCCGGAATTCCTGGGCTCGATCGTAGCGCCACCAGTGGCTATTACGAGTTATGTCCTTTCTATGCCTCTCCTATTGACCAATCAGATTCAACCTCTCGTATCACTTGCATTTGCTTCAAACAAAACGGTGGCGCCCAGACAAGACGGTCTGATCGATAATGAAGATTAATATTGTGATAAAACGAGTCTTACAACGCGAAGTGCATCAAATCATGTGAGCACTTTGATTAAAAACATGAAAATTTTTAGAAAATATCTGTTGACAACAAGTTAGCGGTGCACATGCTTTGCAAATCCTGCAGTCGACCGAAATCTGCGTGACACTTTACAAACCGGATTTCGATTTCGGTGCGTGACTTTGATTTGACTATGCATAGACTCGTTAGTCCAGCAAAAATGTAACTCCATAATACCAGCCTTGTTCGGCAAGGGTGGAACTTGGACTTTTATAGTCAGTTAACTCTCTTGCCTCGGGAAGATGATCTCAAATATGCCCATAATCTTTATAGGTGCCTAGTACTAACCCCCAAAATGTACATGACAATTCATATTTTCTTGCACATATTAGAGACTATTTTTACAGAAAACAGCAGTGCAGCAAGGGTATGTAACTGCCTTGTAACTCTTATGTCTTAGTTTCCTGGAGATTAGAACTAATTATGTTCTCTACCACTCAATCTGACAAACAAATTTAACTTGAGTACGGTACTAACAAGCAACCTCCTTTGTGAATATCCTAAGCAACCAGTATGCTTGTTACGGCCAATACAGTATGTCCAAATGCCCTACACCCTCTCCAAATTCAGCTTGGGTCAAAGACTTGATCATGTTCAAAGAACATTATGAGAACATTATGTTATGAGAAATATGCCTTCAAAAAACCTCTAAAAGTCCAAACATGCAAGTGTTGAAATGAAAAAAGTCTAGTTCTCACTTATATGAACACATCTGATCACTTTCACAATGAATAAATCATTTACTTCTTTGATAGGCATTTAGAAGTTGGAGTACTAAGTAAGGATAAGAATTTATGGATGAACAACTTCATTATTACAATTCAGAGCGCCGTTTCGGTGTAGGTTCTAACACTGTTAGTGCACCGTCTAACACTGTCACTTGCTTGATAACGATGTTAGAACCTACACCGAAACGTCGCTCTTAATAGTAATAAAGAAGTTGTTCATCCATAAATTCTTATCCTTACTTAATGAATGATTTGTAAGAGTTTTCCATATTTCTTAAATAATAAGGGTCATTATCATACCTTCTTCAAACTCCAATTTATGTTTTGGCCTAGAACTCGTCTCCTGAGATTGTGAGGGAATACACATACTATTTTCCAAATATGCGCCCAGTAAAGATCCGGGTTAGAGTAGGTCTTCAGCAACCAATGCTTGCTGTAACACTATGCTTGTCGTAAGAGGCAACTCACAGGATCGGTCAGGTTCGCTGACTTGGTTGATGCATGTCATCTTATCCAAATTGCATGGATCTATACTCATGACATCAATCACTGGATTTTCTAGTCCAGACTCGATTATTTACAGACTGCCATCATATAACTGGAATATTGCTGTGTGTGGCGTTAAACAAACCAAATATGCTTTTACCAGTTAACTGCATGGGTTCAATAGACGTTTTAGTATTTTTAAGACACACAGGTTTGTTTCTTGTTTAACACCTTACTCAACAATATTCCAGCTATATGATGGCGGTCTGTAAATAATCCAGTCTGGACCAGACAATCCAGTGATTGACATCATAAGAATCAACCACCACAATTGGAATACCGTAGGATACGATACGACATTTATTACCCAAGTCAGTGAGGCTGACCTTCTGATCCTGTCGCCTCTTGCAAGCATGGGTTGCTGAAGCCTAATTCTAACCTGTGTCTTCACAGGGGACACAAGTAGTAGGGGTGTCACGATCAATCAACATCTCGATATATTGCTATTGGTAAGCACTTAAAGTCAATAAATGAATTGTTAAATCAGTTTCCGATCAATAGTATCGATTTCAGTTAGGAATATCGATAGTTTTGATTGTATTTACCATATCAATAAAATACATGCAATGCTGTTCAAATTTGTTTTTCTTTTGATCATGAGTGGTAGTAATGTACATGTTGTATTTACCATATCAATAAAATACATGCAATGCTGTTCAAATTTGTTTTTCTTTTGATCATGAGTGGTAGTAATTTACATGTGGTAATGTGGAAGTTTCTTTTTCTTAAATCATTAGGGTAAAGGAAAAACAAATCAGTCATATCTCAAACTTAACTTTTTATTTGTTGTTATGGTTATCACATTCAAAGGACACTTCAGTTCCAAGTTTTAATTCAACTCTAAAATCCATCTAAAATGATACACTGAAAACTATTGATATTTATCGCAACAGTTTCTTTCAATATCAATAGTTATCGCAATAGTGATTTCCAGGCCAGTAGTCACCCCTAACAAGTAGCAACTCACCCATGAGAATTTTTTTCACATCCAGATTCCTTCAGTATTAATGTGGCTGATCCTGTCCTGAAATGATAAATACCATTTGTGACTACATTCATTCAAATTCTGCATCTTTTGTGCATTAACGGCAAAGTGAACCAGGGCAAGATGAGGTGAAATCCATTTAAACATGTGTTCGAGATTATTGTTCTAACATAGCTACGTACATGCATGCATGTGTGGCTGCTTGTACATAGATAGACACGGCAACTAACCCCAATTAAAATCTAGAGGAACTAGTTGTTTTGCCAAAGCCACTAGAAATGAACTGCGGATTGGTTGGACCGACAAATGGTGTCTTCCCTTGTACTAGGTGAGGTGAAATGGGGTTTAACGTCATGATTTTTGCACTCATACAGTGTGTGTGTATGTGTGTGTGTGTGTGTGTGTGTGTGTGTGTGTGTGTGTGTGTGTGTGTGTGTGTGTGTGTGTGTGTGTGTGTGTGTGTGTGTGTGTGTGTGTGTGTGTGTGTGTGTGTGTGTGTGTGTGTGTGTGTGTGTGTGTGTGTGTGTGTGTGTGTGTGTGTGTGTGTGTGTGTGTGTGTGTGTGTGTGTGTGTGTGTGTGTGTGTGTGTGTGTGTGTGTGTGTGTGTGTGTGTGTGTGTGTGTGTGTGTGTGTGTGTGTGTGTGTGTGTGTGTGTGTGTGTGTGTGTGTGTGTGTGTGTGTGTGTGTGTGTGTGTGTGTGTGTGTGTGTGTGTGTGTGTGTGTGTGTGTGTGTGTGTGTGTGTGTGTGTGTGTGTGTGTGTGTGTGTGTGTGTGTGTGTGTGTGTGTGTGTGTGTGTGTGTGTGTGTGTGTGTGTGTGTGTGTGTGTGTGTGTGTGTGTGTGTGTGTGTGTGTGTGTGTGTGTGTGTGTGTGTGTGTGTGTGTGTGTGTGTGTGTGTGTGTGTGTGTGTGTGTGTGTGTGTGTGTGTGTGTGTGTGTGTGTGTGTGTGTGTGTGTGTGTGTGTGTGTGTGTGTGTGTGTGTGTGTGTGTGTGTGTGTGTGTGTGTGTGTGTGCGTGCTTGTACCAGTGCAGATTAATGCCGATTTATAGTGCTAGCCCACTGAGATACCATGCCGCAGTTTTACATGAATACCCAACTCAGACACAGTATTCTCACTCCAACCCAACCAGTCCTTGTTTTAGCCCCTTAACGACGAGCGCCAGACAGGGTAACAACAAGTACCATCTTTTAACGTCTTTTGGTATGGCGTGGCCTTGGATCGAACCCCGGACCTTGCACTCTCCAGTCGTACGCTCTACCACTAGCCCCCTGTTGTACTAGCCTGGTCTAATGTCCACTAAGTTACCATGCCACAGTTTAATAAGCCACAGTTGGATACTCCACTCAGACACAGGATATCAACTCCGATCTGACAATTCTTTGTTCATGCCCTTAATACCGAATGCCAGGCCGGGTAACAATAAATAGCCTCATTTAATATCTTTTGGAAAGAGACTGCCGGGACCCACCGACCTTCCTCTCTCCGGGCTGAAGCTCCATGCACTGCACCAAGTAAGCCAGAGACTATTTTACAATTCTAGGCAGTAACACAACACCTTGTCGCGATAATACATTTCACGATAGTAAGCATGGTAAGGTGAGACACTGGATATTATACAAGACTGGATTCACCATTCCTTGTACTTGAATGTCTTTTAGGAGATAAATTTGATGTAGTCCCACTGTAGAGAAGATACCTCTTATTTTAATTTCGATCAAGCATTTTTCAATATCATGGTAGAATGACTGTTAAAATGATAAATCTTTAGACCAAAATATTTGTCTAAACCTCTGCTGGCTAGATAAATCTTTGGACCAGAATATTTGTCTAAACCTGTGCTGGCTAGATAAATCTTTGGACCAGAATATTTTTCTAAGCCTGTGTTAGCTAAATAAATCTGTAGACCAGAATATTTATCTAATTTTGTTTTGGCTAGATATATCTTTGGACCAGAATATTTATCTAGTTCTGTATTGGCTAGATAAATCTCTGGACCAGAATATTTATCTAATTCTGTATTGGCTAGAAAAATCTCTGTGGCAGACAAGAATATTTATCTAATCCTGTGCGGGCTGTATTATTCTTTGGACCAGAATATTTTCCTAAGCCTGTGTTAGCTAAATAAATCTGTGGACCAGAATATTTATCTAATTTTGTTTTGGCTAGATATATCTTTGGACCAGAATATTTATCTAATTCTGTATTGGCTAGATAAATCTCTGTGACAGACAGAATAACTGTCTAATCCTGTGTTAACAAGTCTTGAGGCTACCTTTCCCATCACAGGCCACGATCTTCACTTTGTCCACCTTGGCAATGTCCTGTACCGGTCCTTCTCTGAACTTGACGTTGTTCAAAACAAATGTCCATACATTGTCACAGAAGCGGTAAGTGTTCAGGGAGCCCTGCAAATAACACAAAAATCGTTAGCACAATGGTTGTAATATTAGTTTTGTTGGTTTGTTGTTCAACGCCATGCTCAGCAATATTCCAGCTATATGACGGCAGTCTGTAAATAATCGAGCCTCGACCACACAATCCAATGATTAATATCATGAGCATCGTTCCACACAATTAGCATCGATAACAAAATAATAGAGTCTGAATCAGACGATTCAGTGATATCACGAGCATCGATCTACGCAAATGGGATTCAATGCAATGCATCAAACCAAGTCAGCGAGCCTGACCACCCGATCCTGTTAGTCACCACTTAAGACAAGCATGGGTTGCTGAAGACCTATTCTACCCCAGTGCTTCAGGGGTCTAATTTGTATGTGATCTAAGCAATTGGGATACGATGACATGTGTCACCTGACCCTGACCCCCTATTCCCGTTAATTGCCTCTAATATCATATCTTTAATTCCAGTAAGTGAATTTTTATTAACATTTGCTGCAGACTTGAGGCCGATATTTGGCCTCTATGGATGCCTAGCTTCCTGTAAATCACTGAATATTTCCAATATGCAGTTTTTCATTAACGGGGTAAGAGTGGTCTGGGGCTGTATCGAACTGATTACTTTCTGGGACGCCACACCAACTGTGTGATTCGATATATATCATGATATCTAGCTCATGATCAAATATGTATCACTTGATATGATACTTGCATGTGCTCTTATCTATGGTGTGTAAGTCATCTTTTTCATACACAGGATGGACAAATACCTGGCACACTGTCGATCTACAGTTGGCAGTCTCAAGTATGGCACAATGGATGAAAATATTTATGTTTTCACAACACATTTTTACTAGTAATTAGTGTTTGGTGTAACATTTATTAAAGAAAACACTTAAGGTAAGAATTGATATTCTTAAGTTACTGCGAGATTTTGATCGATACTTGTAAGGAGAAATAAAACAATCCTGATCCACCATCCCACTATTATTACTTACCGAGAAGGATATCTTTGACTTGACTCTGTTAGCAAGAGCATTATTGATGGCTTTGTCAAACTGTAGCAAGACCTTGAGAGCTAGGCCTGGCGATATCTGACCACACTGCAAGAACAAGAACATGCTCACGTACTTGTATATCTAATATTGACATGTTAAAATCATGAGCTGGCATCATATGTTGTGGATTCGATGATGAATTTTAAAATAATAGCATATTTGAATAGCTAGAGATATCAACTGAGACCCAGAAATAGGAAGAATAAATCAATGTCGTAATTTTAAAACTGTGAGGAATACTGCAAATACCATATTCTACAAAATAGCGCCCAGGGCGCTCTCAAAATTAGAAATAGTAGGCTCTTATTAAAATATTATTTTGGTAAAAAATCATTGAAAGATCGTTAATTTCGTGGTTTATGCTGACAGCCTGAAATGTTTATATATATACGACAGATATATTTTTCCAGAATTTAATTGCCCATAATTACCAGGTAAGGGTGCATATAACACACGAGTGCATATCATAAACAAATAAATTTAAGTCTTGTGTACATTGATCAAGCGGAAGGGTTGCTAATTAGGATTGTTCACTTGCCAAATATCGCCGTGGGCATTATTAGAGCAGGTCGCTTATTACGTCGAATACGGTGTTAGGGTTTGGTAGCTCGTTCCGATCAAACACTTCACGATCCTTTGGGTTGGGCACCACTTGCCGATCAAACACCCCTTTACGATCCTTAGTTGTGCGGTAGTGTGTGGGTTAGCTATCTCTTTTAAAGAACTAAGCAATGTAATCTGAAGAAAATTTGTATAATTTTCATCAAGTCTCTTGGAAAATATGGATACTACACCTGAATTGGTATGTTTTACATCAATCGTAAATCACTGGTCACTGTGCCTGTAAACGGTTCAGTGATCGACACATATAACCAGCTGTTCATCTGCTGTTTAGTCAGTCTATCAGCCTCTCCGGTCGAAACACTGACTACTTTAAATTCGTAACATCCATTTGCCGTGTATTAGGCAATTTTAAAACTCTCATTGTTACTGTTGCTAGTGTTAGTGAATCTAAAAAACGTGGACGAAGACGAAAGGAATAGGACCACCGCGAATAGTTTTACCTGTATCAGCTCATCAAGACTCTCCTGCAGCGTGTGGCCAAGGGTTGTGTTTCTGTACAGCTGGTAACTCATACTTATACCATGTACAATCAATTGATGTATGAATCAACGGTCTAAAAGTCTTGCAATGCAACAATGGATAAGTGCTGGCTTTGAAAATGCTCTGTCAGAAACCTTGTTGTAACCGGAAATGCAGGTGTGCGAAAGCTCATTGACAGCGCGTGCTACTCACGCAGCGCGCCTTTTGATACAGTAAGGGAAAAGGAAATCAATGTTTGGAGTTTTAAAGACTTCCCTGATAATATTCCCCATACGAATATCATAGGATTTTCTGTATGCAAGGGGCATCTGTTGTAAAACTGTGTTTATTTTCTTAACAGGTTGATATAGCTGTGTCGAGTTTCTTACACAATCTTAGTATCAATGAACGAATTAAATGATGGACAAATGTGTGCGTGGAATGATATTTTGTACAAATAATATATACTGTTAAATGTTGCGTAAGGAAAGGTGTACGTGAATGTTTCGATGCAGCTTGTGCTAAAGTGTTGGATGACAATATATTTCATATCAAAAGTCATTCTATATTCTCAATACATACTCCCCACAAACAATGGATGGTGACAACATTTTCAGTAATTGTCTTTTGAGCAAACAGTTAATTGTTCTATTATTTTCATTGTTTGCAAAAAGGCCCAACCGGACGTGATATGAACCCATTGTCGCAAATAATTGAAGATGACGTAGCCCATTGTTCATGACGTCATAACCATTTCATGTGACGTCGTTCCAACAACAGAGTAACTGAGCTGATGTCACCATTTGCAATCAGGAAACCCACATTTTCAATAATTTCTCAGGCGGGTAATTCAGCGCATAACCTACTCGCAACTCTGAATTATCGATTATATGTGACCCACCTGGAGAACAGTGACCTTATGCGAACTGTAAAAAAAAAAATCGATTCTACTCTCGATAGTTCGTCATGTACTAAAAAACATCATTTCAAAACATTTCAATACATGTCTACTTTCAATTTATCCGACGTTATTTCTAAAAACAGCAGTTATTAAATTAACAGTTATAAGTCTGAAAATGGACCTTTGCAGAATATTAGTCCAAATGTTTGATGTCACGTGTCTCGGTAATAAATATGAATTGAGGCTTGTATTTTTGTGTTCCTAAGATCCCGTAGTTTTAAAATGTAATGAGAAGTCAAAATGTGATTTTTCATCCATAAGGTCCCTTATGTCATAGTTGGTCACACATGAAGCGATGTTGAAAGTTCCTCGCCAATGTTCGGAACTTGCAAAAACAATTCACTCGGGAAAGCCCGAAGTGATGCAGGTCTCAGATGTTTACTACTTCGGTGAAACCCACGAGCACGGGTATGGTGCTGACAAACCTAGGACCATAATCGGGGCGAACAGGGATTCGAACCCACCATCATAGATTTCTGACGTGCCAAGGGGACGCAACTCTGCACAGCGACTTGCGGCGCCTTAGACGACTGGGCCACCCGTGCCCCATCAGAAATAAGGATTCCTTTGAGCCACAATCACACAATCCCCAAACAAGTATACATCATTACAACTGTAACAAAATAAACGGCAATGCGAGCAAACCCAAGCGACAATATTCAAACTGTCCAGACCACTTCCGTGGTCTCGTGGTAGAGGAAGGTCCGAGATTCGATCCCCATACCAAAAGACGTTAAAAGATGGTACTTGTTGTTACCCTGTCTGGCGCTCGGCATTACAGGGACTGGTCGGCTCGGAGTCATTATACTGTGTCTGAGTGGGGTAATCATGTTATTCATGGTATCTCAGTGGGCTAGCACTATAAATAGGCATTAATCCGGACTGGCACACACACACACACACACACACACACACACACACACACACGTGCTACCACGGCGTTATATAAGTGCAATAATCCTGGACGCTACGTTAAACTTCATTTCACTTCAAACTGTTTGATGTAAGCTCGTGTTTCTTTGAATTATCTACCGGGGGTTCGGGAGCCCAGTGGTCTGAGGTGCCGCAATTTGCTGTGCAGAGTCGCGTCCCTTAGACGCGCAAGACACTTGTGATCGTGAGTTCTAAATCCGCCCCCTTGATTATGATTCTAAGTTTGTAAGCACTGTCCCGTGCTTAGGTGTTTCACTTCTGCTTTAATGTTTCTTCCTATGTCCAGCTGACACGTGGGGATATAACTGAGATGCGATTCAAAGCTGCGTTAAAACTCGCTCGCTCACTCACTCACTCGCTCGCGCACGCACGCACGCCATTGACACAAATTTTAACTTTATTGGAAATACCATACGTCCCCATGCAGTTATACGAAAAAGAACAATCGTGTTATCAGAATATACGTGTGAAACATCTTGTGGTACTACATAACCTGTGTGACGACTCTTTCTCGACAATATCATCGCATTAACAACATAAGTCAAAGTCAAACGATACTTCGGGCATGTTGTGTTAAACTGGCCGTTTCAGTGAGAAGAAGGTGTCATGAAGTCAACAAGAGACTTTCTCCGTTACATGATTGTCACCTGACTTGCATATAGTAGGTTTGTTAGTTGTTTGACGCCACAATCAGCAATTGTCTTTCCATAGAAAACAAGTTTTATTTGAATCAAGTTGGGGACAAGTGATACCCCGTCGAAAAGTTAATACTGCCATGTCACCGCTTTCGAAAAAAATGGGTTGCTGAGGACCAATTCTAACCCTGATCTTTACCAGCGTCTGTCTGTCTGACTTATAATAAATATTTTTATTTTAGACGTAATGACCAATAATTGAGTACCAAACATGTATGCTGAGGACCAATTCTAACCCTGATCTTTACCAGCGTCTGTCTGTCTGACTTATAATAAATATTTTTATTTTAGACGTAATGACCAATAATTGAGTACCAAACATGTACTCATTGATGTCGCACCAGGGATGTCTAATAAATAAATAAATAAATAAATAAATAAATAAATAAATAAATAAATAAATAAATAAATAAATAAATAAATAAATAAATAAATAAATAAATAAATAAAAAAAAAAAAAAAAAAAGGGAATTTACCCTGACACTGCTAGAAAGGGCAGTAAAACTTTTCATCATTTCTTTTCTGCTGACGCCCCTCTTTTTGTGAGTTGCCTCCCCTTTTTAACTCAAACATGGAGGTTACAATGTTTTGAAGAGGAAGAGTATATTGCCACAGCAATGTTGATTAAGTTATTTGTCATAGTAGTTGGCTTGTCCCAGGTGAGACACAATGATGTTCACGTACAACTGATATTCTTACAAACATGTTTTGTAAATAAGGCTCTTTCCTTTGGTCGATGACACGGATACAAAATTGAGCATCGGAAACGTTCAGTTTTCGTTCACTGACTTTCCATTTATCAATCATTATATATTGCCTTATATTAAATGATCGATAACAACAAAAAGACAACCTAACTGTTGATAAATGACATGGAGGAAGATTAGAGTTTACCGGGCGTAGCTTATAGCGCTAACTGGCCCCAGTAGTGGTTATCTTAGATCAGTTGTATTAGGATTACTCGGATTAGTGTTAGCATCTTCCGGAGGCAAGAGCGTCCACCAGCATTTTTATCAAGTCTTAATTGTTTCCACCCTTGCCACAACAAGCACACTTTTCTGTGGTAAATATGATTGCAATCAGAGAATGTTTCACAAAATCAACTCATACACCTTCGAAAATATCATAATTACAACCTACCAAATTTATGTGTATAAATTTTAGGCAGCTTCCTTGTTCGAGGAATGTATCCGTGAATATCCACACAAAGGAACAATATCCCACTCGTCTGCAGCTGTACAAAGAAACTTATTCGATGTTACGTGTCTCAGTAACAATCAAATATTTTAAAAGATATAAATCGTTTCGGGATATTATAATCTGTGTTCGTTTCTCAACTGATCACTTGGATTGTTTCAGGTGTTTTACATAGGTGTCAAGTCTCAATGGTCGGCTGAGAAAGCCCATGTGACAACTATTTTCATAACGTCCACGGTTCCTAAAAATTCCATTGAGTGATAGATAACAATGATCAATCAATCAACGTATTATTAGTTAACCCTTTGAACAAAGTATGTTGTTTTTACATCGGCACTTCGCGCCATGATGTGAGTGTATTCCCTTTGTTTTAGTAAACCTAGACATGTAAACACTCACTCTTGACATATCCACTGTGCAAGATAACAGTGATTAATCAATCAACGTATTTTCTGTTAATCCTTTGATGACTAGGAACGATCCGTTGATTTACAAAAAAAAGTAAATCAACTGATCATTCATCTCTTGCTGGGCTGCCACGTGCATATTACATAACACACATTTCACCTCACTTGAAACCTGGATTTAGATTGAATAATTACCCCAGACACAATAAATGCCAAATGGGAACCTTTGTCAGGTAATCTAAGTGGTGCTACCACTAATTGTACCTGTAATAAATTCATTAACTGAGCATCAAGTGAATGACGACAAATACACAAGTGTAGGGTTATACGAAAAAACGTGGATGACAACAAGGGAGTAGTAATCGTATTATCGACGCAAGCCGAAATCCGAAAATGCTTTCACTGCATGGATACTTTTTTTTTTTTATTAAACTATAACCATCTGGGGTATTTCCAAATGACGACATCCGATGAGCTCCCTTGTTCTTTTTGTCTGTTTGTTTAGGCTGAAGAAATTAATTAACATGCGCCCTTTGTCGAAATCTTTATAGATCACAGTTAACCAATCAGTGTTCAAAAATGCGTAAAACAAATATTGCCTCCAGCCTCCAAGTTTATTTAGCTGTCCTTGCAGACGGTACCCCAGTCTCTGGTCACGCTCAGTTGCATTGCGTATCATCCGGGTACTCACGGGGGGAAAACAATAACAAAGGCAACAACCAGTCCGTTAGATCAGTGCCCCTTTAACGCTGCCTGTCTTTGTTGACACAAATATATTTTTTCCTCTTTAAACCCTTAGAACGATTGCCTATGTCTTTGTGTCAGGGGTGAAATAGTGAATGTTTTCATTATCTGATCGACTAGATTGTTGCCCATGGTATTCGCCATCTTTGTGAAGCTACACGAGATAAGAACAGCGATCTGATTGGATATCACATTTCATTACAATGTGCACATATCGTGATCTACGCGAGGTGGCACCAGGGTCGAGTCGGAAAAAGTGGTCTTAATGTGGCAAGGACAGAAACTATGCTTTAATATAGGCTAGTGGACACACTTGCCTCAGGAAGATGTAATGTAGGTTACCCTGACAAGTTGGCCAGACTCTTTCCTTAACCCATGGATCCCCTATCTGATCAAGCAACCCTTGGGACACTGCAGTAGCGCGTCCTTATTTTTGGACTTCAGTTCACGAAGGATCCAACTAGCGTTTCCAGCTTGAAGCTCAGCTGGTCTAATGAGGATATTGACGGCTTTGGGTGTTTTTAAATCATCCATGAAATAATTTCTGAATGTGATGTCACACCTTTCATTCATGCACAGTTCAATTCTCAACAGATTTTCATCAGATTACATCTGATTTATTTGTTAAAGGTGATAGCTAACGCATACCCTACCTCACAACTAACCTAGACCCATGAAGATTCAGGGGTAGAATAGGTCTTCAGCAACCCATGCTTGCCGTAAAGGCGACTATGCTTGTCGTAAAAGGCGACTAACGGGATCGGGTGGTCAGGCTCGCTGACTTGTTTGATGCATGTCATCAATCCCAATTGCGTGGATCGTTGCTCATGATATCAATCACTTCATTGTCTGGTCCAGACTCTATTATTTACAGACCGCCGTCATATAGCTGGAATATTGCTGAGTGCGGCGTTAAACAACAAACAAACAAACAAACACAACTAACTAAGGAGCGAAAAGGGGTCTTTGATCGGAAAGGGGTATCTAACCCCTATGATTGTAGGGGTTTATCTTAAAAGAAAAGGGGATCCAAAGGTTAAAGACAGGGTTGGAGGTTAACATACCCTTATAGCTAATAACTAATCCTAAGGATCTATGAAGCACATGAGATCAGTGAAGCAAGAGCCACTGCTGGCAGTCTGAGCCAATTAGCCTACAAGCTGTGTCAAGTAAACCGCAGTGTTGCCTACACCTTCTTCATCTTTTGGGTCATGTGCCTTTTCTGATCAAATGCATGTTCATGATCCTGACAGTTGGGCACCCTTGCCAATCAAACACCCCATTATAATCCTTTTTATCATCCCAAACTGGCTCCCATGGGAGATATCGCCAGGGTATGATCATTGTAGATATCGCTGCAATGAAACTGCATCACAATGCTTTGCAGACCATTGTGACGTCATTGGTAACCATGACGTCACAAACAAATGACATCAGTAACAGCTCTGCTACTGAAGCTGTCAGCAGTACTTTTTACACTAAGACACTCCTTATTACTGTCTACAAACTGAAAAAGTTGGAAGATTGATGTTGGATGATAAATAGAATCTCAACCTTGTGTCTTTTGATGTCAAATATATCATCACTCATTGATATATTTGATCATGTTGATATAATAAGACACGAGGGTGAGATTTTCTCTATGTGCTTCAGGGTTAGTCCTGAAGAAGGGTATGGGTTAGCTAAGTCTACAACACGTACTCATTATGTGTGCAGGTTTTTTCAGTGTTTAGGTCAGGTGTGCTTATTGAATTAAAGTGCGTCAGACCCATGAAGATCCAGGTAGAGAATAGGTCTTCAGCAACACATGTTTGCCATAAGAAGATACTATGCTGGTCGTTAGAGGCGACTAATGGGATTGGGTGGTCAGGCCAATCTCATTCAAATCAGATCTTAGTTCTCGCTATGGCTAAACCAAGATCTGAGTACATCCCATTACGGGTCACGTCAGAACGACTTTTCATCTGACCAATCAAAGCGTCGTTTAGCAGATCATGAAAGTGACAGTCTGTTATAACCTAGCCCTCAGACTAGAGACAAAACCAGAGGCGTTGGGGAGAGACTTTTATTTGCCCGCCACATGGCCGGTCAATACGTCATAGCCGAGTGACAGCACGTGTGGACTACCTTCACAGGCATGTGAGGTATTCATACGCGTTACTCTCACAGTACATAGCTCTAGGGTACGTCGGGTAATATAGTACTTATCAAGATATTACATTCCTCCCTCTTTAGATGGAAACAGTTCTAAACCAAACATATCTACATTAAAGGTGCCAAGGTGCTTCTCAACATTTGTACACAAAGAAAGCAATCTACAAAAATCATTCTCTAGATTTAGTAGGTATCTGCCATAAGAGAAATATGTTAACTTCTACTGTTCAAGTAAACTTTACCTTAACCCAAAATAACATGAGTTCACTTGAATCTCATTAACCAATTACTTCCTAACAAAGTCCTCAAGATATCTTGGTTCACGTCGAGTCCTCTTAGAAGATCTACTCAGAATGGGAGATTTAACATTGCTATTGTCTGTTGATAGTACAATCTCTGAAGCAGGATCTTGTATCGTCTCTGACACGTGATCCTTCTCTGGATAGTCATTGATAGCAGGTATCTCGACACCGCACGTCTCTGGTAGAGCAGATTCTACCTGTTGATCTGATTGAGAGTCAGTATTGCCTCCGGGTACTTGGGTTTCTCGAGTACGCACATGATTCTGATGGCGCCTCACATTTCGACCATCAGACAGTTCTACCTAAACGATACTGGACCTGTCCTGTTCGAGACTGTACCAGGTAACCATTTCAGTCCATTTCCAAAGTTCTTAACATACACAGTGTCATGTTCCTTCATACTTCTGTCCTTCACATGTAGGTCATGTTGAATCTTCTGTCTCGATTGACTCTTCTTTACTGTCTGCTGTACAGAAGGATGCGTCAAGTCTAGATGTGTTCGTAGTCTCCGGTTCATCAGAAGTTCGGCTGGTGTTTGTCCAGTAGTTGTCTGGGGTGTTGTTCTATATCGTAACAAGAATCTGTCGAGACGAGTCTGAATATCCGGACCTTGTACCTTCTTCATCCCCTCCTTGAATGTACTCACTGACCTTTCAGCGAGACCGTTGGATGATGGGTGATATGGAGCTGTCTGCACATGGTGAATACCATTCTTATCCATGAATGCTTTGAATTCCTCACTAGTGAAACAGGTACCGTTGTCACTCACTAACATCTCGGGTAATCCATGGGTTGTGAACACTCTACGAAGAACTGCCACTGTAGCTGAAGATGTAGCTGAGAGCACAACAACAACATCTATCCATTTACTATATGCATCCACAATCACCAAGAACATTTGACCAAGGAATGGTCCGGCATAATCAATATGCACACGAGACCATGGTTGCTCAGGCCACTCCCACGGGTGTAGGGGTGCCTTAGCTGGTATCTGCTGCATTTGCTGACACACCTCACACTTTTTCACTGTTGACTCCAGAATTGAATCCATGCTAGGCCACCACATATAGCTACGAGCAAGTGCCTTCATCCTACTGATTCCAGGATGTGCCTCATGAAGTTCACGAATAATCCTATCCCGACCTGGCGGGGGAATCACTACACGGTTACCCCACAACACACAGCCATCCTGTACTGTCAGCTCATCACGGCGACAGTAGTATGCCTTCATTTCTCGGTTTTCACAGAAATTAGGCCATCCACACTGTACATATCTCAACACTGTTGACAACACAGGATCCTGGCACGTCCATGAACGAATATGTTTGGAGGTCACAGCTAGGTGTAGTATCCATCAGTTCCAGAAGCATGATGTATTCCGGAGGTACAGGTGTTTCTTGAATACTTGGTTTTTCTTTCGCAGGAAGTCGGCTCAGACAATCCGCATTGGCGATCTGTGATCCTGGTCTGTAGACAAGTTCATACTCATAAGCAGACAATGTTAGTGCCCACCTCTGAATCCGTGCTGATGCCATCATTGGTATCGCTTTGGTCTCAGCAAATAATCCCAACAATGGTTTGTGATCAGTCTCTATAGTGAAATGATTTCCTGCCAGGTACTGATGAAATTTCTTCACACCAAAGAGCATTGCTAAGCCTTCCTTTTCCAGTTACGAATAGTTTTTTTCAGCGGAGTTTAGGAAGCATGATGAATATCCAATGGGACGATCGCCTCCCTCTTCAGTACTATGAGACAGTACCGCACCAACTCCGTAGGGCGATGCATCACAACAGAGAATCAGTTCCTTCTTCGCATCATAATGAACGAGAACTTTATCAGAACACAGCAGTGACTTGGATTTCTCAAAAGCTGACTGTTGTCGGCTTCTCCACTTCCATGGTACTTCTTTCTGTAACAGTTTGTGTAACGGTGCCAGAGCAGTGGAAAGGTTTGGCATGAACCTTCCATAATAGTTCAGCATACCCAAATAGCTTTTCAGTTCTGTAACATTCTGCGGAGGTGACGCTTCCTTGATGGCCTCGACCTTTTCCGCGACTGGATGGGTGCCCTCTCTATCCAGACGGTATCCAAGATACACAACTTCTGTTGCCATGAAGCTGCACTTGTCCTTACGAACTCTCAGACCTGCTGCCGCTAGTCTCCTCAGAACTTCCTCTAAGAGTGTCAAGTGTTCATGCCTCGAACCGCCACCAATCAGAATATCATTAATCCTGACCAGAACTTGTTCAAGACCTTGTAGGGTATTCTCCATGATGCGCTGAAATATACCAGGAGCTGACGACACACCAAATGGCAGACGGTTATACCGAAAGAGTCCTTTATGTGTATTTATTGTGATGTACTGCTTGGAATGTTCGTCCAACAAGACCTGCTGGTAAGCTTGACTTAGGTCCAACTTAGAATAGAACTTTGCTCCTCATAATGTTGCGAACAGGTCATCTGTCTTTGGAATTGGGTATTTATCCAACTTGGACACTTTGTTCACAGTCACTTTATAGTCACCACAGACTCTAATACTCGAGTCGGACTTCACCACAGGTACTATTGGTGCTGCCCATTCAGAAAACTCTACAGCTTCTATTGTACCATTACTCTGTAGGTGATCAAGCTCATGTTCAATCTTCTGCTTCAATGCATATGGGACTGGTCTTGCTTTATGGAAGATCGGTTGGGCATTCTTGTCAACATATATCTTTGCTTTCGTTCCTTTGAACGTACCTAAACCATCCTTGAACACTTCAGGATGCATATCCAACACAGTTCTCAAACTGCTTTGCGAATCCTTAGCAGTCACATGTTTGATTATATTCCAATCAACATCAAACACATCAATCCAGTTACGTCCAAACAGACTAGCACGGTTCCCTCGGGCGACTAATAGGGGCAGACTCGCAGTCACTCCTTGAAAATCAACCTCCACCATCACCTGTCCCGCAAGATCAAGCTTATTTCCGGTGTATCCAAGGTATGATTTAGTCGTAGGTGTCACAGTCAAGTTCTCTACACTCTGTTGAAGATGTGACAAAGTCTTTTCACTCACAATGGATACCGCAGCCCCAGTGTCAAATTCCCTCTTCAACTCTTGACCGTTGACTTGTACTGGTACATAAACTGGTTTGTTCACTGAACCAGAAACCATGAACATCTCATATGCTTCACTCACATCCACAAATCCCTCAGAATCCTCCTGTGAATCATGTTCTTGAATGTAGTTCGCTCTATTTCCGTACTGTCTGTGATGTCTACCTCGGCGACCTTGACTCTATCTCCCACCTCGATGTGAAGTTCTCCTCTGACCATTTCCCCTCTTGTTGAGACATTTCTGTGATAAATGTCCAACAAGTCCACACGAGTAACACTCCTGATCTTTAAAACGGCATGTTGAAGGGTCATGTCTTCTGCCACAACGAAAACATGAAGAACTGTAGTTACCTCCCCTGGCTTGTTTCTTCGTAATAAAGTTGACGATACCAGTGTCACTGGATGTTGCAGTTTGTTTCTGAAGATCAGCAGAATTTTTATCAGCCGCTTCCATTGATGTTGCTATGGCAACGGCTTTGGTGAATGTCAAATTATCTTCTGACAGTAACCTGGATAACATTTTCTGTTTGTTTATACTGCAAACGAATGTGTCCCTCAGCATGTCGTCAAGGAATGCTCCATAATCACAAAATTCAGTCACTTTTCTCAATACAGCAACAAACTCACTGATGGTCTCGTTGGGCTTCCGTACTCTCGTGTTGAAGTTGTAGCGGTGCACAATCTTCGACGGTTGGAGGTTGTAATGGTCTTTCAACAATTTCACAAGTTCCTCAAAACTTTTTGACGTCGGCTTTTCGGGGCGAAGTAAGTCTCTTATTAATCCATAAGTTTTACCTCCCACGGAACTCAGCAAGGTCTGACTTTTGTGTTCAGTTATAGAATTTGCCTCGAAGAAGATCTCGGCTCGCTCCGCATATTGGCTCCAATCTTCGACTGTTTCGTTAAACTCGCCAAGATTCGCGTATACAGACGATGTGATCTCGACTGCGCTTCCAAACTTCGCAAAACTTCAGGTTTATACCTCGTCGCCTATTGTTATAACCTAGCCCTCAGACTAGAGACAAAACCAGAGGCGTTTGGGAGAGACTTTTATTTGCCCGCCACATGGCCGGTCAATACGTCATAGCCGAGTGACAGCACGTGCGGACTACCTTCACAGGCACGTGAGGTATCCATACGCGTTACTCTCACAGTACATAGCTCTAGGGTACGTCGGGTAATATAGTACTTATCAAGATATTACACAGTCGGAATGTGTTTTCTAATCATGCAACCTCGAAAACGTTAACACGGGGTATTCCAAATGATAGTTACTTCCCGTAAAACTGATTCCTTCAAAATTATTGTCTATCTCTCACTACTGTGGAATAAACATTTGAATGGAGGAGGTGTTGCACAGTACGTGGGTTGTTCTGTTTTCAAGACTTTAATCGAGAGCTGTGTCAACATATTTTTCAAGCGTAGTGTGAAATGGAAGTCGCCAGGTTGAAACGAGTGATGCAGAGCTCGAGAAAGCTGCTTTCTAATTGGCTGATGTCGACTTCTTGTTAGTTGTTTCAGTGGACGGTCAAAGTTCACGAAAGGTCGTTCTGTCGTGACCTGTAATTGGATGTCCTCAGATCTTTGTTTAGCTACAGCGGGAATTTAGATCTGAGTTTAATAAGATTCTGGTCAGGCTCACTTACTTGGTTGATGCATGTCATCATATCCCAATTGCGCAGATCGATGCTCATGATGTCAATCACTTGAATGTGTGGTCCAGACTCGATTATTTACAGACCACCTTCATATAGCTGGAATATTGCTGAGTGCGGCGTTCAACAACAAACAAACAATATAAAGTGTGACAACTAGAAAGATAAGTTTGATCCATCAACTGACATAGTGAATTTGATTTTAACCATGTCATTATCGTTTTAGCAGTGCCAGCAGCACTAAAATACAAGGGATTTCATACCCTGGACACTATATCCTGTTGCTTTTATGGTGCAGGTACTGGGGGAATATGGTGTTCTGAAAGTTCAAGCAGCAAGTGGAGCATCATCAAATTACTGCTTTGCTTACAATAAAGACTTCAAGACAATTCCTCCAGCACTCAACCAAACTGTGAGTACAGTAGAGTAGAAATATGACAAGTTGTACAACTGAAAGGAAAGCTTGTCACAATCTGATTGGTTGAAAAATGGTGGATAGGTCATTCACTGCCCAGAAATCTTCTGGGTATTTTACTATGCATTAAAACTTTTCTTGATGTGGATAAATATTTTTCTCTGTCTCAAATTTGAAAAAAACTATGTGGCTTTCAAAATGGTAATATGAGTTAGTCATTACTTATATTGAGTTTGATTGATTTTTACTGTTACTGGGTATATGTTTTAAATATTTGAAGGGCTCTTATCACACATGGTCATTCAAGTTTATTCCGGGGCCACGTGTACCCGGTCGTTTAAGGCATTGCAATTTACTGTGCAGAGTTGCTTCCCTTGGGCACGCCAGAAACCTATGATTGTGGGTTCGAATCCCGGTTCGCCCCGATTATGTTTCTAGGTTCAGCAGCACCATACCCGTGCTCGTGGGTTTCACCGAAGTGGTAAACATCTGAGACTTTGCTGCATAACTTTGGGCTGCCTTCCCACAACAAGCTGACACGCTGTTTTATGACTGGAATACTGTTAAAAAGCAGCGTTTAACCCAACTCACTCACTCACTTATAACTTGAGGAATTTTAATTCCCAATGTGCTGCATATCTGTGTACAATATGCTCAATAAATCGCCATGACCTAATTAATCCGGAGTTGCATGGTACCAATATACACATGAAAAGATCAAGAACCCCAAAAGTAGGACAGCACTGAGCCAGTGTGGGAAATTGGCTCCTGCCTGGTGGCCTGTAGCCCGAGGCTACTTTGGTTCCTACTTGGCTAGTGAAATTATAATCTAGTGAGTTATAATATATAAAACTCTCAATTCTATGGTATATGTCTTAAATGCTTGCTCTGCTACAGGAAAACCATCAGCTTGTACATCTTGGATCAAACGGCTGCAACGATTCTGACTGGACAATCGATGTGAGGGGCAAGGTGGTGACAGTAGCAAGAGGAAACTGCTCATTTGTGGAGAAGGCAACTTCAGCTCAGAAACACCAGGCGGTGGCCATATTGGTTGTGTCATTAAAAACTGACACCCAGCTGGTGAGAATATTTGGCCGAAAATAGTCTTGGTTCATTTTTATATTGCTTCAAGAATTTTCTAAGTGCACCATGATACAAGATGGAGACCATGATACAAGATGGAGACCATGATACAAGATGGTCACCATGATACAGGATGGTCACCATGATACGAGATGGTCACCATGATACAAGATGGAGACCATGATACAAGATGGTCACCATGATACAAGATGGTGACCATGATACAAGATGGTGACCATGATACAGGATGGAGACCATGATACAAGATGGTCACCATGATATAAGATGGTGACCATGATACAGGATGGAGACCATGATACAAGATGGTCACCATGATATAAGATGGTCACCATGATACAGGATGGAGACCATGATACAAGATGGTCACCATGATACAGGATGGAGACCATGATACAAGATGGTCACCATGATATAAGATGGTCTCCATGATACAAGATGGTGACCATGATACAGGATGGAGACCGTGATACAAGATGGTGACCATGATACAGGATGGAGACCATGATACAAGATGGTCACCATGATATAAGATGGTCTCCATGATACAAGATGAGACCATGATACAATATGGTCAATATGATACAAGATGGTCACCATGATACAAGATGGTCACCATGATACAAGATGGTCACCATGATACAAGATGGTCACCATGATACAAGATGGTCACCATGATACAAGATGGTCACCATGATATAAGATGGTCTCCATGATACAAGATGGTGACCATGATACAGGATGGTGACCATGATACAAGATGGTCACCATGATACAAGATGGAGACCATGATACAAGATGGTCACCATGATACAAGATGGAGACCATGATACAAGATGAGACCATGATACAAGATGGAGACCATGATACAAGATGGAGACCATGATACAAGATGGTCACCATGATATAAGATGGTCTCCATGATACAAGATGAGACCATGATACAATATGGTCAATATGATACAAGATGGTCACCATGATACAAGATGGTCACCATGATACAAGATGGAGACCATGATACAAGATGGTCACCATGATACAAGATGGAGACCATGATACAAGATGCTAATGCATGTTACAACTTAGTCTTTGGTTGATTGACAGGTTACACCAGGAGGAAATGCAAGTGAATACCAGAGCATCAACATCGTTGTTGGCTTCATCATGTGGAAGGACAACGGCAGCCTGGAGGTGAGTGTGAGTCAAGGCAGAATACTCCCCCTCTAGACCAACAGACTCTCAGCTAATCTGTGTCCTATAGCACCTTGTCCATTACTGGCGACCGCCTCCGTGGTCTAGTGGTAAAGCGTCCGCCTCCGTGGTCTAGTGGTAGAGCGTCCGCCTGGAGAGCGGAAGGTTCAGGGTTTGATCCCCGGAAGCATCATACCAAAAGACGTTAAAAGATGGCACTTGTTGTTACCCTGTCTGGCGCTCGGCATTAAGGGGCAAAAACAAGGACTGGTCGGCTCGGAGTCAGTATACTATGTCTGAGGGGTATTCATGTTAAACTGCGGCATGGTATCTCAGTGAGCTAGCACTATAGAACCGACATCAGTCCGGACTAGTACAAGCAGACACACACACACACGTGCATGCACATCGCTAAATACGTGCAATAATCTTCAACACAATGTTAAACCCAATTTCACCTCACCTTTACTAGCAGGAATTAGAAAATTAAACTTCCTATTCCATCCATGCATATAAGCTATCTGAGTGCAATAATCTGGAACGAGACTTTGAATCCCATTTCACCTCACCTCACCTCACCTCACCTCACCTCACCTCACCTCACCTCACCTATCCCATATTTTCAGTGAAATTGATAAGATCCCATTCAGTTTCTGTTTTCCCAGGTGTGTTTTGTGAATCCTACTGTGCCTTTAGAATGTTAAAAATACAGTAAACTACAGTTATAACGAACTCAAAGGTACCACTAATTTTAGTTTGTTAACTGTAGGTCATTACAAGCATATACACAGCATATATCAGAGCTCCAGATAACTTTTTGAGCAATTGAGTTTTTACTCTGGGGTTTCTCTTTTAATTGGGTTATAACATTTTTCTTTGGGTAACCAATATTATTTCACTCATCCATTCATCACTCTGTTGTTTTTTCCCCTAAATTAGTGAACATTTTGAGATTTAAATAAAATGAAATAATGTTTTAGATGTATATAACTGTTCTAAATATATAGGCTTGACTCAGAAAGTAAATTAGCTCATAATTGTGTTTCGGAAATTAGCTCCTTTGTACGCATGCTGAAAAAGCTTCATTGGGTATTAAGCGAGCTGTTTTTATACATTTGACTTTTTCCTTTAATGCACTCATTTTTGTATGCAAGATGCTTGAAAGTAATTGGGTTTTGAATATTTTGGGGGATTTACGCAAATACGCAGCTTATCTGTAGCTCTGTATATACAGCAAATGGACGGGACCCCAAAACAGTTTGGTATCCGTCAGTTCATCGCAAGGGACTTCGCTATAAACATACCGGTAGTTTACTGTAGTGTGTTCATTGTACATGTTTGTCCAGATTAGTGTGAAGAACATTTATCACTGGACTTGTGTAATATACAGTATCACAAGGTATTCTGGAAAAAGACATATGCCCCATCCTTGATTATCCCAAGTTTTGGTGATGAATGGGTCGAGGGAATGTATGATTATGGCATGAAGACTTAATACCCTGGATAATCGAAGATGTCCTTCAGGGCCCACTTGCACAAAGCGATCATAGCGCTAAGATGATAGTAACTCCCATACTTAAACATATGCTTGCAATAGTCTTAACGCTAAGATTGTCTTGTGCAAGTGGGCCCAGGTACCAGGAACTTATTTTAACTGTGCCATTAGGATTTTATCCAAGCAGAGACTTTAAAGACCTGCCCAGTGGTCGATACTCGGCCCCAAGTCTGCAGAAAATGTCATACAGTATTCCCAAATTCATGAAATAACTAATAACTAGTTTTATGGCATTGTAGAGATCACCTCTAACCAATAACAGGACCAATAAAGAGAAAGAGGTTTTAATGCTTGGTTTTCTATTATTGCATTGAATGCATTGACTACATTGTAAAATTACCTCTGAATTTAAGAAAATAAGAACTTTAAAAATCCTAATTTTGAATAAGATAACAATTTTCTTCCAAGATGCCTGTCAAGGGCACTTAGTTTGGAATCCTAGATAAATCCCTGTGATGCTATTCATAGAAGGAATTTGGAATCGTGGTTTTACTTTCTCAGCACCTTGCGGACGGAGGTCCCCTGTCGGCATGGATGTACAGTCCTGCTGACCCAAAGATTGACCCCAACATGGTTCTCATCTATGCAATAGCCTTGACCTGCATCATAGTCGGTGCCTACTGGTCCGGGACCACCAGATATGCGCTGTAAGTTGATTAGTCATCAGTATAATCAGATCTTTTATACTGATATGGTACCTCTCTCCATGAAGATCAGAGGACACCTCAATAGGAGGTCATGTCAGGTCAGCTTTATAATCAGCCAATCAGCATCGAGGCTTCTAAATTCACAATGCAATTGATTGAAACATTCAGAACAGCATATCTGATTTCTATCTCGAAAACGGACTTAAAGGGACAGCACGGAATGTAAATAATGAAGCCTGTGCTATTGTTTTGTGTGGATATTTTATAAACCCTTGTCTAATATGCCGCAATTTGTTGTGCAGAGTTGCGTCCCTTGTGCACACCAGAATCCTGTATGATTGTATGTTCATCTCGATTATGTTTCTAGGTACGTCAGTACCATACCCATGCTTTGGGTTTCACAAAAGTGGTAAACGTCTGTGACCTGCATCACTTCGAGCATTCCACCCACATTAAACTGACACACTGTGATAAAACTTGAATGCTGTTCAAAGCGGCGTTAAACTCACTCACTCACTTACTCACTTAGTTCGCACTACCACTATACAAAGATCTGAGGACAACCCATTGAAGGACACATCAGACCGACCTGTCACAAACTTTGACCGACCAATGGAATGACTATAAAGAAGTTGACATTAGATTGACATCTCGATTAAATATTTCAAAACTGAACAAAACAACATTCTCGAATGGCCAATAATGGCCTAGACTGTATGTATTCAGTCATACACCCCCTGTTAAACTTGCCGAGGCTGCATGATTAGAAAACACATTCCAAATTATCACTTTCATGATATGGTAAGTAATGTTCTGATTGGTCGGATGAAAGGTCGTTCTGACATAACCCGTAATGGGATGTCCTAAGATCTGTTTATCATCCAAAACTGGCTCCCACAAGTGATATCGCTTGGGTTAGAATAGCGATATCTACATTGTAGATATGGCTGCAATGAAATTGCATCACAATGCTTTGCAGACCATCATGATGTCATTGGTTACCATGATGTCACCATCAATGACATCACAATTGGCTCTGCTACTGAAGCTGTTAGCAGTACTTTTTACACTTCAGAAACTGCTAATTACTGTCTAGAAACTGAAAAAGTGGAAAGAATGATGTTTGATGATAAATAAAATCTCACCCTTGTGTCTTTTGATATCAAATATATCAACACTGGTTGATATATTTGATATCAAAAGACACTCGTTGAGATTCTCTATTTAGCGGTAGCGAGAACTAAGATCTGATTTCAATGAGATTGTAAAGCAACAAACAAACAAAGTTTCTCCCTTGACACAGTGCGGAGCGGAAGTCGCACCGACGGAAGGGCTCCGTGGACTCGTCACAGCCGGAGGACAAGCAGGATGAGGAACATCCCGAAACTCTCAGCATCAGCGTCGGCATCGTCTTCGTCCTCTTCATCTTCATCTGCACCATGATAGTGCTCCTGTACTTCTTCTACGACTACCTGGGTATGTACACTACACCAGAGCCCGGTCAGTGTTTTGTAGGGAAGACCACCTCGTGGCTTTGTGGCTGGCGATTCGACCCCAGTCCGCGTCACATTAAGAAATGTTAAGAGTTGGAACTTGTTGTTAACCTGCCTGGCAATCAGCGGGGATAAAACAAGACTGGTCAGCTCGGAGTCAGTATACTGTATGAGTGGGGTATCCATGTTAAAACCGTGTCAATTATTCACAGACCGCCACAATATAGCCGCAATATGGACGAGTAGGACGTTAAACAACAAACAACAGAAAAACTATCTTAAACATACAGTGTGTCTTAACTTTGTTTTGCTAGTTTATTTATATATTTGACTATCTTTAACTGTGGCTTAACTTTTCTGCGATGTTTGTTTCAGTGTATGGCGTTATCGGTCTATTCTGCCTGGCGGGCGCTGTGGGCTTGTACAGTTGCCTTCAGCCCCTGTGGGAGAGAGTGATCAAATCGGACTGCAGGTATATTGTTTGTCTCCACAGCCCGAGTCAGACTTCAAGTTGGCGACTCGGTGCTTTGACGTGGTGCAAATTTGTTAAGCTGAGTTGTGTCCCTTAGCTATTCTAGAATTCGTAGAACGTAGACTTGAAAAGCATGTGCCACTACAGATTGGTTAGTCACACTCAAGGACTTCAGCAGGAGAGTAACTCAGTGGTGTAACAAGTTGCAATTTCTTGTGCAGAGTTGCATCCCTTTAGAGTGGCAGGATTCGCTTGTTATGGGATGGAATCATACATGATCCATCAGAACCATATGCATACTCCTAGATTTCACAAAAGTGGTGAATGTCGACAACCTCCGTGATCAATAGGGATGTCATGATTCATTGAAATGTATTGGCGTAAGAAATCTTTTCCGAAATACATTATCATAGTGTGATGTTTCAAATCTCAACACTGTTGTTTTCAACTGTCCCAATGCATTAATAAGTTGCCTTAGGCTAAAAAAAATAAATGTCTTGGTTCTCAGGCACCGCCGGCATCATCATAAAGTTTGCCCCACATTTCATTTTTATTTCCAATTTAGATTCTTTTTTAGAAAAAAATCCTTAAATATTGCAAGTCAAATGGTAGTCAAATACTGTTTTCCATTACTATACTCATCAAGGAATACATTTATGTAGGGAGGCCCTTTCCCACAACTGTTTTAGGTTACAAACTAGTTTGAACAACCAGAAAAGAAAAAAAACACTGCCCGCCCGCACTATATTTTCAAAAGTCATTGCCTGAGATCCAATTATTTTATGTTTTTTTAGCCTTATATTGCAATACCAGAACCAGACGTTATTGTGATTTCAGAATTCCTCCCAACCGAGTTCCGATGTGTTCTGAGCAGCCAGAAATAAGGAACATAGTTCTAGGGCTACTGTGTCTGGGCTTCAGTGTTTTCTGGGCTGTGGAGAGGAAGGCAAGGTGGGTGTCAGTGAGTTTGCCTAAATTGGGGCTACTGTGTCTAGTCTTCAGTGTTTTCTGGGCTGTGGAGAGGAAGGCAAGGTGGGTGTCAGTGAGTTTGCCTAAATTGGGGCTACTGTGTCTGGGCGTCAGTGTCTTGTGGGCTGTGGAGAGGAAGGCAAGGTGGGTGTCAGTGAGTTTGCCTAAATTGGGACTACTGTGTCTGGGCGTCAGTGTTTTCTGGGCTGTGGAGAGGAAGGCAAGGTTGGTGTCAGTGAGTTTGCCTAAATTGGGGCTACTGTTTCTAGTCTTCAGTGTTTTCTGGGCTGTGGAGAGGAAGGCAAGGTGGGTGTCAGTGAGTTTGCCTAAATTGGGGCTACTGTTTCTAGTCTTCAGTGTTTTCTGGGCTGTGGAGAGGAAGGCAAGGTGGGTGTCAGCGAGTTTGCCTAAATTGGGGCTACTGTGTCTGGGCTTCAGTGTTTTCTGGGCTGTGGAGAGGAAGGCAAGGTGGGTGTCAGTGAGTTTGCCTAAATTGGGGCTACTGTGTCTAGTCTTCAGTGTTTTCTGGGCTGTGGAGAGGAAGGCAAGGTTGGTGTCAGAGAGTTTGCCTAAATTGGGGCTACTGTGTCTAGTCTTCAGTGTTTTCTGGGCTGTGGAGAGGAAGGCAAGGTTGGTGTCAGTGAGTTTGCCTAAATTGGGGCTTCTGTGTCTAGTCTTCAGTGTTTTCTGGGCTGTGGAGAGGAAGGCAAGGTGGGTGTCAGCGAGTTTGCCTAAATTGGGGCTACTGTGTCTAGTCTTCAGTGTCTTGTGGGCTGTGGAGAGGAAGGCAAGGTGGGTGTCAGCGAGTTTGCCTAAATTGGGGCTACTGTGTCTAGTCTTCAGTGTTTTCTGGGCTGTGGAGAGGAAGGCAAGGTGGGTGTCAGAGAGTTTGCCTAAATTGGGGCTACTGTGTCTAGTCTTCAGTGTCTTGTGGGCTGTGGAGCGGAAGGCAAGGTGGGTGTCAGCCAGTTTGCCTAAATTGGGGCTACTGTGTCTGGGTGTCAGTGTCTTGTGGGCTGTGGAAAGGAAAGCTAGGTGGGTGTCAGCCAGTTTGCCTAAATTGGGACTACCGTGTCTGGGTGTCAGTGTCTTGTGGGCTGTGGAGAGGAAGGCAAGGTGGGTGTCAGCGAGTTTGCCTAAATTGGGGCTACTGTGTCTAGTCTTCAGTGTCTTGTGAGGTGTGGAGAGGAAGGCAAGGTGGGTGTCAGCGAGTTTGCCTAAATTGGGGCTACTGTGTCTAGTCTTCAGTGTCTTGTGAGGTGTGGAGAGGAAGGCAAGGTGGGTGTCAGTGAGTTTGCCTAAATTGGGGCTACTGTGTCCAGTCTTCAGTGTCTTGTGAGGTGTGGAGAGGAAGGCAAGGTGGGTGTCAGAGAGTTTGCCTAAATTGGGGCTACTGTGTCTAGTCTTCAGTGTCTTGTGAGGTGTGGAGAGGAAGGCAAGGTGGGTGTCAGAGAGTTTGCCTAAATTGGGGCTACCGTGTCTAGTCTTCAGTGTCTTGTGAGGTGTGGAGAGGAAGGCAAGGTGGGTGTCAGTGAGTTTGCCTAAATTGGGGCTACTGTGTCTAGTCTTCAGTGTCTTGTGAGGTGTGGAGAGGAAGGCAAGGTGGGTGTCAGCGAGTTTGCCTAAATTGGGACTACTGTGTCTTGGCGTCAGTGTTTTCTGGGCTGTGGAGAGGAAGGCAAGGTGGGTGTCAGCGAGTTTGCCTAAATTGGGGCTACTGTGTCTGGGTGTCAGTGTCTTGTGGGCTGTGGAGAGGAAGGCAAGGTGGGTGTCAGTGAGTTTGCCTAAATTGGGGCTACTGTGTCTGGGCTTCAGTGTCTTGTGAGGTGTGGTGAGGAAGGCAAGGTGGGTGTCAGCGAGTTTGCCTAAATTGGGGCTACTGTCATTGGGACAGATGACTTATTGCATTTTGTTGGTTATTCTCAAATGTGTCATTCTACCGTCTCCCTGTGGGAGCTGGGTTAGAATAGGTCCACTTCACCCCTTGCTGGTGGCGGGAGATGATTAGTCTCAATGCTTTCATCCTCTGTACCTTGGCTGACTGCGTGGGTCATTGCTTATGGCTTCCCTGGTCTAGGTTTGGCCACTAAGTAATATTACCCTAAAGGTAGAATGATCCTGTGTAATAACGTTACAATGTTTGCATATGTGCATTTTTGCAATTCTCAATGCTGATTGGTCATTTGCAGCCTTATGACATCACAGTGCTTCATTGTTGAGAAACATACACTGTGATGTCATCCATTGTTCATGATGTCACAGATTGATTACATGACATCATCTGAACAATAGGGTGCCTTCAGTGAAGTTTCTCTGAAGGGTTGACATTTCATGCTTTTTTTGTTCATTCTCTCTTAAGATGTCAATGAGTAATATATAGAATAACTTACTTGAAATTCAGAATTCCGGATTATCTGTCCCTTGTGAATGAATTGTCAACATACCTCGGATACGCAAGTACCAGTATCACAAGTTGTGAGAACCAACTTTGAATGTGACATAGCGAGTCTGTTCGTGTGTCCGCCTTGCAGAGTCGACAAGCGCACATAGCCGTGTAATGTCATGTTGAGTGGCGTATATTAGATGCTATAGACGTAAGGAGTTCAGAGTTTTCAGGAAAGAGCAAAGACCTTTGCAAAGGCTTAGGATTTACACCATTCATTGACTCAGGAAAGATAGTTTGTAATTCCTCGTAGCTCAATGGCATTTCTCTGATTGCTGACAGGGCATAAGATTCGTGAAGATTCCGGGGTAGAAAAGGTCTTCAGCAACCCATACTTGCCGTAAAAGGCGACTATGCTTGTCGTAAAAGGCGACTAACAGGATCTGGTGGTCAAGCTCGCTGACTTGGTTGATGCATGTCATCGATCCCAATTGCGTGGATGGATGCTCATGATGTCAATCACTGGATTGTCTGGTCCAGACTCGATTATTTTACAGACCGCCGTCATAAAGCTGGAATATTGCTGAGTGCGGCGTTAAACAAACAAACAAACAAAACAAAACATGGCATAAAACAACGTTCACTCCCTAAAGACACCTTGTCTTTTTCCAGCTATGCATGGATAATACAGGACATCCTCGGGGTGGCTTTCTCTGTGAACATGATGAAAACAATACGTCTACCAAATTTCATGGTAAGGAAGTTTTTCTGTATCAAGCGTCATTTTTAGAACGTACCTTTGTGATGTCTGATATTTGTGGATAAGATTCGGGGAGCGCTTCATCATCTGAAATGTTGCAATACATGCGGTGTTGTACTAGCTAAGCTGGTGTCATCATGTTTTCGACCACTTCCATGGCCCAGTGGATAGAGCGTCTGCCCAGAAGTCATTGGTTCAATCCCTAACCATGCCATACCAATAGACATGGAAGATGGTACTTGTTACCCTGCCTGACGTTCGACATTAAGGGGATTAAGCACTCGGAGGCAGTGAGTTCGGTATTCAGGTTTAACTGCGGCATTGTATCTCAGTAGGCCAGAAATATTAAACTGGCATAAGACTAGTTCAAGCAGACAGGGGGACACGGGTGGCCCAGTCGTCTAAGGCACAGCGCCAGAAACCTAAGATTGTGGGTTCGAATCCCGGTTCGCCCCAATTATGTTTCTAGGTTTGTCAGCACCATACCCGTGCTTGGGGGTTTCACCGAAGTGGTAAACGTCTGAGACCTGCATCACTTTGGGCTTTCCTCCCACATTAAGCTGACACGCTGTGATATAACTGGAAAACTGTTAAAAGCAGCGTTAAACCAAACTCACTCACTGAAGCAGACAGACAGACAGACAGTCTGGGACTTAGGACAACACTAAATGCATATATTGGTGTGGATAGAATGTGCCTGAAAGGTTGACAATAACAACAGGTCATGGATAACAAGTATATACCTCTCATTGCTTGGTTGGAGTCACTCCTGCTTGATGACAGTGTAAGAATCTTCATCGAAATGTCGCAGCATGCAATATACCAATTGTTAACATAAATTGTATGTTTTTGTAATGAATATCTCTTGTGTTGTATTTTTCAGGCGTGCACGCTGTTACTGGTCCTGCTGTTCTTCTATGACATCTTCTTCGTCTTCATCACGCCGTACTTCACCAAGGTGACATAGCTTTGTGGCAGCTAGACCGCCTTATTAGCAAGGAATGTGCACAAGCCCCTTCCTGAGTAACGTTTATGAATGTTGGTAGTTTCCGGGCTAAAATAACAGGGTTTCAGGAATTGGATTTTTGTAGTTTCCGGCTTAAAATAACGGGGTTTCAGGAATTGGCCTTCCAACAATGACAGTGTCAGTTTGAGCTTCCCAAATTAATGAAAAATACTAAATGTTTGTTGAAATGTGGCCCCAGTGAATGCCACTGGTTAGGTTGCCACATGCCATTGTGGAACTTATATTTTCGAGTTATAGCTCTATGTTGATGTCCAGTTTGCTTTGTTTATGAATTTGTTTGATATTCAATATTGATGTTTAGTCATGTTAAGCAAACAAATGCAAGTTGAGTTACATTTTTGCATATTTTGCGCTTCATCGCCCCATTTTAACAATAGTTACTCTATCACGTGCTGCTTTTTGTAGGATCAAACAAACATGGTGGATAGGTACTGGGTTCTGCAGGTGTTTCGTTACTTGCATCAATATCATTCAGTGTCATTTAGGACATTGAGAGTCAAGAGTGAGTGAGTATGTGAGAATGGTTTTACGCCGCTTTTAGCAAAATTCCAGCAATATCACGGCGGGGGACACCAGAAATGGGCTTCACACATTGTACCCATGTTGGGAATCGAACCCGGGTCTTCGGCGTGACGAGTGAACGCTTTAACCACTAGGCTACCCGACCGCCCCTGAGAGCCAAGAAGTGGTGTCAAGTTATAGCCCTGAGTACAGACTTGTGTTTAGATTTACATCCAATCATTACTAGGGTTTACAGGACTTACAAAGTGTACGGTGTAAAAAGATCAGTATCGGTGACAATGATAATTTGAATTTACCTTGTTCCATTTTCATACTTATTGTCTACTTTGGAAAATTTACTTCCAGGGCCCAATTCCTCAAAGCCATCTAAGATTTAAAGGGCGGTCGGGTAGCCTAGTGGTTAGAGTGGTTTGCTCGTCACGCCGAAGGCCCGGGTTCGATTCCCGACATGGGTACAAAGTGTGAAGCCCATTTCTGGTGTCCCCCGCCGTGATATTGCTGGAATATTGCTAAAAGCAGCATAAAACCATACTCACTCACTCACTTAGATTTAAAACTGTAGCAATACTGTGATATGTAAATCTAAGTCTTGCATTGTGGATCTAATCGTCTTACATCTTCCAATGCAAGGGAGTTAATTGACTATAAAAGTCCAGTTTCCACCCTTCCCGAATGAAGTTTGAAATTATGGAGTTGGACTGACGAGTCTGTGTATAGTCCAATCAAAATCGCGTTACAAAATCAACATCCTGTTAATAAACTGTGTGCAGATCTCGGTCAATTGCAGGATCTGCAAAACATGTGTACCGTTAACTTAGCATTAACAGATATTTTCCAAATCTTTTCATGTTTTTAATAAAGTTGCTCACGTTATTTGATGCACTTCTCAAAGTAAGACCGGTTCTATTACAATATAGATCTTGATTATTGATCAGATTGTTTTTACTTGGCTGCCATTTTGTTAAAAACAAATGTAAGTGATATCAGAGATGGAATCTGATTGGTCAATAGGAGTGACATAGAAGGGACATAACTCGTAATAGTCATGGTTGGCACTACAATCGAACCCAGAAATTCGGCCTAATTCTGCAAGGGTTGAAACTGGATGGACTTTTACAGTCATTGAAGTCCCTTGCCTCGGGAAGATGATCGTCTTAATGCTTAGATCGCTTCCTGGCATGAGGCCCAGTTCATTTGAAGAGCAAACTTGGGATATAAGAGACTCATAACGATGGCTGCAAATTATTTGGCACTATTTAATAAATGGGGCAGTTTACTCATTGTATTCAAACACTGTTCCTAAAGTTACTATTGTGAATGGAAATATGTTGAAAACATATATATTATTTAAATAAAGATATTATATGATAAAGACATTATGCCCTTGTGTGCTTCCGTATTGTAAACGTCCTAAATAAGAAATAAATTATATGTATTATGCTCACCAATGACTCAAAATGTTTATTCCTATTATGTGATAAAATTTACACTACAGAAGCTATTAATCTCTATTTGTGTTATCCGTGTACAATGCTGTTTCTGTCCTACAGAATGGCAGTAGCATCATGGTGGATGTCGCCACCGGGGGCAAGAGTCACAGCGGGGAGCAGGTAACATCACATGGACTTTTTGTTGTTGTTGGGTTTGGTCTTTTGTGTGTGTGTGTATAGGGGGGTCTGTCTGTCTGTCTGTCTGTCTGTCTGTGTGTATGTCTGTCTCTGCGTATGTCTGTCTGTCTGTTTATGTATGTGTGTGTGTGTCAGTCTGTTTATGTATGTGTGTGTGTGTCAGTCTGTTTGTGTATGTGTGTGTGTGTGTCAGTCTGTTTGTGTATGTGTGTGTGTGCCAGTCCGTCTGTGTATGTGTGTGTGTGTGTGTGTGTGTGTGTGTGTGTGTGTGTGTGTGTGTGTGTGTGTGTGTGTGTGTGTGTGTCAGTCTGTGTGTGTATGTGTGTGTGTGTCAGTCTGTTTGTGTATGTGTGTCAGTCTGTCTGTGTATGTGTGTGTCAGTCTGTCTGTGTAAGTATAGGTTGACGTTGTTTTGACTTTGTTGTCTGTGTTCTGTGTCTGTGTGTGTCTGTGTATGTATAGATTGACTGTTTTCTGTGTGTTTGTATGGCTGTTGTGACTAGCAAACCGTTGCACGTACATATTGTGAGATATCCCTTGCATTACAATCAGGTATCCCTGTACTTGGTTAAATTCATAAGCTGCACTTAATAGGTTTTCAGTATAATTCTTGGAAGTCACGTGAAGTGAGCTACATGTCCCTGGCTAAGACCCCCACGTTCATACCTTGGACCCAAAAACATTATTACTGTGAGTCCCAAGGAAAATAGAGACTCAGGTATTTCCCTGTGCCCCTTAGTATACAGTAAGAATCTATTGTCTTACTTCAGCTTCCCATGGTGTTCAAAGTGCCGAGATTCCTGACCCCTCCTGATGCTGTGTGTTACTCAAGCCCCTACTCCCTGCTGGGGTTCGGAGATGTCATTGTACCAGGTGAGCTTCAGTGTGAGAGTGAATAAGCTGTGTTTTACTCAAGCCCCTACTCCCTGCTGGGGTTCGGAGATGTCATTGTACCAGGTGAGCTTCAGTGTGAGTGAGCGAATGAGCTGTGTTACACAAGCACCTACTCCCTGCTGGGGTTCGGTGATTTCGTTGTACCAGGTGAGCTTCAGTGTGAGTGAGTGAATGAGCTCTGTGTTACTCAAGCCTCTACTCCCTGCTTGGGTTCGGAGATGTCATTGTACCAGGTGAGCTTCAGTATGAGCGAGTGAATAAGCTGTGTGTTACTCAAGCCCCTACTCCCTGCTGGGGTTCGTTGATGTCATTGTACCAGGTGAGCTTAAGTGTGAGTGAGTGAATGAGCTGTGTGTTACTCAAGCCCCTACTCCCTGCTGGGGTTCGGAGATGTCATTGAACCAGGTGAGCTTCAGTGTGAGTGAGTGAATGAGCTGTGTGTTACTCAAGCCCCTACTCCCTGCTCGGGTTCGGAGATGTCATTGAACCAGGTGAGCTTCAGTGTGAATGAGTGAATGAGCTGTGTGTTACTCAAGCCCCTACACCCTGCTCGGGTTCAGAGATGTCATTGTACCAGGTGAGCTTCAGTGTGAATGAGCTGTGTGTTACTCAAGCCCCTACTCCCTGCTCGGGTTCAGAGATGTCATTGTACCAGGTGAGCTTCAGTGTGAGAGGGATTAAGCTCTGTGTTACTCAAGCCCCTACTCCCTTGCATGGGCAAACATCCCCATGTATTCATAATTCTGTGTTGGAGGAACATAGTGTATTCAGATCCGGGAAATATTGCCAGTATAATATTGTACGTCAATGTATTATTTTGTCAGTACCCTGCCTGTGGTTACACACAGTGGTAAAGACCTGCATCACACTGCATGATATTGGATGTTTCAGGTCTTCTCATATCTTTCAACCACGGCTTTGACTTGATCGTCAAGAGTAGGAGGATATACTTTATTGCTTCCACAATAGGTGAGTGTTCGCTGAATCTCTCAGTCCATATTCCGCTGGGTGCAGAAATAAACCTATCTTGCAGAAAATCACATTTTGTGCAGAACAAATTCTGCAGAATTTTAACATGTGAGTCAAAAGCTGGTGTTAAACATATAAACAGAAATTTACTTGGTTTTGAATCGAAGTTGACTTATTTACAGACCGCCGTCATATAGCTGGAATATTGCTGAGTGTGGCATTAAACAACAAACAAACAAACAAACATGAACTGTTTTGTGTTTTTTTCAACAGCCTATGCTGTTGGCCTGATAATCACATATGTTGCTCTGGCGTTGATGAAGACTGGCCAACCAGCATTGCTGTACCTTGTGCCTTGCACCTTACTTACAACTGTTGCGATTGGCTGCAAGCGGGGAGAACTACGCTACCTGTGGACAGGCCAGGAGGTGAGAAAATATGTTGATAAGGTTTTGGTTTAATATCATCTGTTTTTAAATATTTTTGTTTTGGGGTTAATACAAAACTGTGTTCGAAATATGAAGCAAGAATTAAAGCAGAATATTGCTGTTGAGGAAGACACATGAACAGAATTGATCTCCAGCAACCCACGTTTGTCATAAGAGGCTACCATGTTTGTCATAAGAGGTGACCATGTTTGTCATAAGAGGTGACCATGTTTGTCATAAGAGGCTACCATGTTTGTCATAAGAGGTGACCATGTTTGTCATGAGAGGGGACCATGTTTGTCATGAGAGGTGACCATGTTTGTCATGAGAGGTGACCATGTTTGTCATAAGAAGAGGGGACCATGTTTGTCATGAGAGGGGACCATGTTTGTCATGAGAGGTGACCATGTTTGTCATAAGAAGAGGGGACCATGTTTGTCATAAGAGGTGACCATGTTTGTCATAGAGGCGACTATGTTTGTCATAAGAAGAGGGGACCATGTTTGTCATAAGAAGAGGGGACCATGTTTGTCATAAGAAGAGGGGACCATGTTTGTCATAAGAGGGGACTATGTTTGTCATAAGAGGGGACTATGTTTGTCATAAGAGGGGACCATGTTTGTCATAAGAGGGGACCATGTTTGTCATAAGAGGGGACCATGTTTGTCATAAGAGGGGACTATGTTTGTCATAAGAGGGGACTATGTTTGTCATAAGAGGTGACCATGTTTGTCATAAGAGGGGACTATGTTTGTCATAAGAAGAGGGGACCATGTTTGTCATAAGAAGAGGGGACTATGTTTGTCATAAGAGGGGACTATGTTTGTCATAAGAGGGGACCATGTTTGTCATAAGAAGAGGGGACCATGTTTGTCATGAGAGGGGACTATGTTTGTCATAGAGGCGACTATGTTTGTCATAAGAGGGGACTATGTTTGTCATAAGAGGGGACTATACTTGTCATAAGAGGCGACCATGTTTGTCATAAGAGGTGACCATGTTTGTCATAAGAGGAGACCATGTTTGTCATAAGAGGGGACCATGTTTGTCATAAGAGGGGACCATGTTTGTCATAAGAGGGGACCATGTTTGTCATAAGAGGGGACCATGTTTGTCATAAGAGAGGACTATGTTTGTCATAAGAGGGGACTATGTTTGTCATCAGAGGGGACTATGTTTGTCATAAGAGAGGACTGTTTGTCATAAGAGAGGACTGTTTGTCATAAGAAGAGGGGACCATGTTTGTCATAAGAGGGGACCATGTTTGTCATAAGAGGGGACTATGTTTGTCATAAGAAGAGGGGACCATGTTTGTCATAAGAGGGGACTATGTTTGTCATAAGAGGGGACTATGTTTGTCATAAGAGGTGACCATGTTTGTCATAAGAGGGGACCATGTTTGTCATAAGAGGGGACCATGTTTGTCATAAGAGGCGACCATGTTTGTCATAAGAAGAGGGGACCATATTTGTCATTAGAGGCGACCATGTTTGTCATAAGAGGGGACCATGTTTGTCATCAGAGGGGACCATGTTTGTCATAAGAAGAGGACCATGTTTGTCATAAGAGGGGACCATGTTTGTCATAAGAGGGGACCATGTTTGTCATAAGAGGGGACCATGTTTGTCATAAGAGGGGACTATGTTTGTCATAAGAGGGGACCATGTTTGTCATAAGAGGGGACTATGTTTGTCATAAGAGGGGACTATGTTTGTCATAAGAGGGGACCTTGTCATAAGAGGGGACTATGTTTGTCATAAGAGGGGACCTTGTCATAAGAGGGGACCATGTTTGTCATAAGAGGGGACCATGTTTGTCATAAGAGGGGACTATGTTTGTCATAAGAGGGGACTATGTTTGTCATAAGAGGTGACCATGTTTGTCATAAGAGGGGACCATGTTTGTCATAAGAGGGGACCATGTTTGTCATAAGAGGCGACCATGTTTGTCATAAGAAGAGGGGACCATATTTGTCATTAGAGGCGACCATGTTTGTCATAAGAGGGGACCATGTTTGTCATCAGAGGGGACTATGTTGGTCATAAGAGGTGACCATGTTTGTCATAAGAAGAGGTGACCATGTTTGTCATAAGAGGGGACTATGTTTGTCATAGAGGTGACCATGTTTGTCATAAGAAGAGGTGACCATGTTTGTCATAAGAGGGGACCATGTTTGTCATAGAGGTGACCATGTTTGTCATAAGAGGGGACCATGTTTGTCATAAGAGGTGACCATGTTTGTCATAAGAAGAGGTGACCATGTTTGTCATAAGAGGGGACCATGTTTGTCATAAGAGGGGACTATGTTTGTCATAAGAGGGGACTATGTTTGTCATAAGAGGGGACCATGTTTGTCATAAGAGGGGACCATGTTTGTCATAAGAGGCGACTATGTTTGTCATCAGAGGGGACTATGTTTGTCATAAGAAAAAGGGACCATGTTTGTCATAAGAGGCGACTATGTTTGTCATCAGAGGGGACTATGTTTGTCATAAGAGGGGACCATGTTTGTCATAAGAAGAGGGGACCATGTTTGTCATAAGAGGGGACTATGTTTGTCATAAGAAGAGGGGACTATGTTCGTCATCAGAGGGGACTATGTTTGTCATAAGAGGGGACCATGTTTGTCATAGAGGCAACTATGTTCGTCATCAGAGGGGACTATGTTTGTCATAAGAGGGGACCATGTTTGTCATAAGAAGAGGGGACTATGTTTGTCATAAGAGGGGACCATGTTTGTCATAAGAGGGGACTATGTTTGTCATAAGAGGTGACTATGTTTGTCATAGAGGCAACTATGTTCGTCATCAGAGGGGACTATGTTTGTCATAAGAAGAGTGACCATGTTTGTCATAAGAAGGGACCATGTTTGTCATAAGTGGGGACGATGTTTGTCATAAGAGGGGACCATGTTTGTCATAAGAGGCGACTATGTTTGTCATCAGAGGGGACTATGTTTGTCATAAGAAAAAGGGACCATGTTTGTCATAAGAGGGGACCATGTTTGTCATAAGAAGAGGGACCATGTTTGTCATAAGAGGTGACTATGTTTGTCATAAGAGGGGACTATGTTTGTCATAAGAGAGGACTGTTTGTCATAAGAAGAGGGACCATGTTTGTCATAAGAGGGGACTATGTTTGTCATAAGAGGGGACTATGTTTGTCATAAGAGGGGACCATGTTTGTCATAAGAGGGGACTATGTTTGTCATAAGAGATGACCATGTTTGTCATAAGAAGAGGGGACCATGTTTGTCATAAGAAGAGGGGACTATGTTTGTCATAAGAGGGGACTATGTTTGTCATAAGAGGGGACCATGTTTGTCATAAGAGGTGACCATGTTTGTCATAAGGGGGACTATGTTTGTCATAAGAGGGGACCATGTTTGTCATAAGAGGGGACCATGTTTGTCATAAGAGGGGACTATGTTTGTCATAAGAGGGGACCATGTTTGTCATAAGAGATGACCATGTTTGTCATAAGAGAGGACTGTTTGTCATAAGAAGAGGGGACCATGTTTCATCATAAGAGGGGACTATTCTTATCGTAAGAGGTGACTATCAGGATCTGACGGTCAGTCAATTGTTTTGTTTGTTTGTTTGTTGTTTAAGGCTGCTCTCAGCATTGTTCCAGCTGTATAACGGTGGTCTGTAAATAATCAAGTATCGACCAGACAATCCATTGATTGATGTCATGAGCAACCATCTACACAATTGGGATATGATGACATGCATCAACCAAGTCAGCAAGCCTGACCACCCGATCCCATCAGTCGTCTCTCACTTCAAGCATGGGTTGCCGAAGACCTATTCTCTACCCAAATCTTAATTGGGCTCAGACAATTGTGTTACCTTTGAGTCATGTTAAAAGTTTAACATGAAAGTCAATGGGTCCTTGACCTAAACCTAATGTAAAAGTTAAAGATGTAGGGGACCCTAGATTATGAATACCAAATAGCAAATGTTAACATACCCAGGACCCCTCTCATTTTCTGACATTGTTTCATGAAGCTACCACTTCCTCTCACTCCTATTATATAAAATACTATTTCTCTCTTTCAGTGTCCAAAAAAGAATGACGATGTTCGTCCTCCTGGTCAGTGTGTGCGGTCAGCCCAGGAGGTGGAGTCTGACACGTCCAGCCTATCGAGTGACGGCGAGAGGCGGGGTCTCATCAATGCCTAGACTCCATGTTGTCAGCCAAACCCTGGCAAACTCTGTTCCTTGTCCTGATATGATGCAAATGTTTGTTGTGTGCTGGAGTTGATGCAGGTACAGAACAGGTTCTCATTACACAGTGTGTCATAATGCAATCTTATATATCAGGAAACATTCTTAATCATACTGAAATATATTTCCCATGGTACTGATACGTTTCTTGGTAAGGATATATATACACTGATGAAAAATGTTAAAATTTCAGCATACTATTCAGCTGTATCATGGCTGTGTTCAGACTTGTCATGGCTTTGTTCAGACTAGTCATGGCTTTGTTCAGACTAGTCATGGCTTTGTTCAGACTAGTCATGGCTTTGTTCAGACTAGTCATGGTTTTGTTCAAACTTGTCATTGCTTTGTTCAGACTTGTCATGGCTTTGTTCAGACTAGTCATGGCTTTGTTCAGACTAGTCATGGCTTTGTTCAGACTAGTCATGGCTTTGTTCAGACTAGTCATGGTTTTGTTCAGACTTGTCATGGCTTTGTTCAGACTTCTCATGGTTTTGTTCAGACTAGTCATGGCTTTGATCAGATTAGTTGAAAAAAACAATAGTATCGATCACACATTAACCAATTTCTGCAATCTGTCTCCAAACACTTGTAATTCCATGTACAAGGCTGAATTCTGTCGAATTGCGGAATCCTTCGGCGACAGATAGAACCCTGCTGATAAGTGAAGTGAACGAGCTGCAGTGGAGTTAAATTTTAGATGCAAAAACAGTTGAATTATTGTTGAATTTTAGACGTGTGTTTGTTCTAATCATGAAAAATAAATCTAACTTTGTTGCCATGAGTCGGCATGTTTACTTACGACCACAAATGTTGTTTTAACTTTAGAATTATGTTTACTTTATAATTATGTTTTCTCACATCGTCATAAACAAACTTCATCACAAACACCATGTTTGGGGAAAAGCATTCCTCATGCAACAGAAAAGTCCATTTCCAGTGAGCTTGGGACAGCGGCGTATTGTGACAGGTACACGTTGAGGTCAGTTACCAAATACTGACTCCACACGTGTCACAGAGGCCTGTGTGGCCCACTCATCTGAGATGGGTGGTGGGGTAGCCTTGTGGTTAAAGCGTTTGCTCGTCATGCGGAAGGCCCCGGTTCAATTCCCCTCATGAGCACCATTTTTGGTGTCCCCGACATGATATGGCGGAATATTGCTAAAGGGGCGTAAAACCATACTCATTAACCCGGTCATCAAAGGTGCCGCAGTTTCGCTGTGCAGAACTATGATCATGGGTTCGAATCCCAGTTCGTTTCCAGGTTTGTCAGGACCATGCCCACTCATAGGTTTGACCAAAGTGGTAAACTGAATACTGTTTAAAATGGTGTTAAACCCAACTCACTCACTCTCTCAATTCTGTCACAATGCATATTCGGCACTGTAAACTGAAACTGCTAGATTGGGGAAGTTGAATTTGGCATGTATGTTTCTCCTTCTGATGACATAATATTTTGTTCAAATCATAGGATTTTAGTGTTGTGTGTTTGAAGACCCCTCAATTAATGCAGAAAATATTTGAATATCAGTCCTAAATGTTTGCCTGACATTTTACAATGTTGACTTCTCAAGCAGGTGAGCTCCAGTGCCGTGGCATCATTTTTCTTGGGTTTGTTTAGCAGTACTTGTATATGTCCTACATGTCCTATGTATCAGATTAGTGTTGCAGGTTTTGTGTTTTATTGTTTGTTGTCCAGGAAACTGAGGTCAGTATCACCTTTGCTGCATACTGATGGGGAATTCTTTTTAGAATCCATTATTACTTGTATTATTATTATTATTATTATTATTATTATTATTATTATTATTATTATTATTATTATTATGATGATGTACAGATTAAAATAAAAAAGCAGCAAAGAAGGTTTGGGTGATCCCGGCACAGTCAGGCTGGTTAGGCTCATCATCAGCTCAGGGCCCTTGCCCCCTCTTCAGCCCAGACAGCAAATGTGTCCCTGCCTGATATTGCTGGAATATTGCTAACAGTGGCATCAAACATACCAACTCACATATGAACACTTGCTTCCTTTAATGTTTCAAGTGATTGCCATAATGCTTATTCCTTTGATTTCTTAATGGGGTTTAAGGTAGCCTAGCGGCTTAAGAATTTGCTCGCTACACTGAAGGGCGGGGTAGTCCCCCACAAGGTACACTAGGACTCACTGTGGGTATCTCTGGCAGTGATATGGAAAGATTAGTGCTGAGATCAACAAAAACTCTCTCACTCACTCATTCACTCACTCACTCACTCACTCAGTTGTCAATGTTAGTTCCAAAACTTTCAAATGTGGGTAGTAATGTAGCCAAGTGGTAAGAGCGCTAGCTCATCTTGCCAAAGGCCTGGGTTTGATTCCCAATACAAGCTCAATTTTGTCAGTGAAAACCATACACACTCAATCTCGAATTTAAGTTTCTTTGCTTGTAGTAGAATCGTGTTGAAGTCTCAGGGATTTCTCATAGATACAAATTAGGCCGTGCCAAATTTATTTTGTCTGTCAAAAGGAGATTCACCTGTGCAGTATAGAACTAAGCTTGTAAAATATTGTAATTATTCCACGTCATTGTTCAGGCCTCATATATCTGTCAACTTGTCAGGACATTTATTTATAATTCTTCATAGAAATTGTGGAATCATTACTTAATCAGTTCGAAGGATGTTGTTCTGAGGATTTAGTTCTAAGGATTTAGTTCTAAGGGTTTAGTTCTAAGGATTTAGTTCTAAGAATTTAATTCTAAGGATTTAGTTCTAAGAATTTAGTTCTAAGGGTTTAGTTCTGAGGCTTTAGTTCTAAGGATTTAGTTCTAAGAATATAGTTCTAAGGATTTACTTCTAAGGATTTAGTTCTAAGAATTTAGTTCTAAGGATTTACTTCTAAGGGTTTAGTTCTGAGGCTATAGTTCTAAGGAACTTAAGAAGACGAAGCTAGGATTTAAATTAATCATTTGCCTAAAGTGGATCATAAACTTTGATTTATCTGCACATTCCTCACGCATACAAATCTTACATATTTTTTGTTGTCATACTAATTAGTATGAAAGTCATCAATGTAGATTATCCACAATTTTTAAGTCATCTTTTGAAATTAACACATCATGCATTGAACGGTGGTATAGAGGGATGGTGTAAAATGAAACTGTATGTGGTTGCTTTATACACAATTTCGTTAAAGGTAGAGCTTAGTGCTTGCTACCACCACACACAGATCTGTGGACATCCCACGAAGTCTCATCCTTTTCAATTGTTTATCCCATTGAAGTGAGAGATAAACATTGATTTTGAAGGAATGAGTCAAACAGCCTGTGACAGTCGTTCAGAATACCACGCATTAACCTTTTCAAGGTTGCAGGATTGGAAAATACATCGTTTTTATTTTTGCGATCACATCACGTAAGCACTGCTCTGATTTGACAGATGAAAGGTCATTCTGTCGTGACCTTGGATGTCCTCAGATCTTTGTGTAGGGGTAGTGATACAAGATACAAGTTTATTCTTTGAATAACTTGTTTTTGTTGTTTTGATGTCTTTGGTATTATTGTAACTGTCTCTTCTGATGGATGTTAGGTCTTACATCGCCACATACAAAAATGGAGTTTGGAAACAATGTTTGCCAGGGAGTAAAACAGCTGTAGGAATCTCATGTCAAAGCTGTCATTACGTTGTTTTTCAGAAAGGTGAAATATGACTTGTTGTGTGACAAGAAATCACACACCCTCTATTAGCCTCTGTATCATACCTCCATTCTATTATGATACAGTCAAACCTTTTGACGAACTTGGGTGTTTCGAATTCATTTGGGAGTTACAAGTATCCAAATTAAGAATAAAGTCTCAAACCTGATGGAGCTGGTGATAACCTCTCGAAACAATGCTTTGTTGGCGAATGGGTCCAGGGTATTTAGTATATAAGAATGGAGGTAATACCCTGGATAATTGAGGATGGTAATCCTGTGTTTTCAAATAATCATCTTGACTAATATCAGCAATCATGTTTTGACAGATGTACAGTGTTTTCTTATTGCATAAAAATCTTTTATTTGATTGTTTTAATGAAGGGTTATGTACTATGTTAGAAGACTTATTCCGAGAGTGTAATGGTTTTTTATGTACTTATCATTATGGTGAATAAAGTGTACATATTTTTATGTATCTATTGTTTAAAATAAATTATGTTCAGAGCATGTGCAGCTTGTCGTGAATGTTTGAACAGTGCAAAGAATCTCCATGACTACCGTTCAAGTGTGAATACCAGGACTACAGGTTTTAGGCCACCCATTATGTAGCCCATGAGCTTAAAAATGGACAATCAAACGTTTTTAAGACCATGGGCTTTAAAAATAATTGAAAAAAATGAGTGACCTTCCTTGTCGGATGTTCTTCAACGTGTAGCAGGCTTCTATGTGGACAATTTGCACCAAGATTACACTTTAAGCACTGATTTCCACCTTTACAAGAGTGAGTGAGTGAGTTGGGTTTAAACAGTATTCCAGTTATCTCATGGTGTGTCAGCTTAATGTGGGAGGAAACCCCGAAATGATGCGGGGCTCAGACGTTTACCACTTTGGTGAAACCCACGAGCACGGGTATGGTGCTGACAAACCTAGAAACATAATCGGGGCGAACCAGGATTCGAACCCACAATCATAGGTTTCTGGCGTGCCCAAGGGACGCAACTCTGCACAGCGAATCGCGGCATTAGACAACTGGGCCATCCGTGCCCCAACCTATACAAGACACATTGAACTCCGAATATAGTTGGCATTCTGAATGCCTAGTATGACAATAGAATTGCATATATAACAGACACAGTGCTGGTAGTGGATTGTAACATCGCTGTAGGTCATGTCCCTGTTCAACAGAGTAAATTGTGCAACTACATTCTTTTATATGGAGGTGTAACTTAAGTAGAAATCTCTCACATAAACCAAGACATTCTAATCTACAACAAGGTTGTCTTGAAGTGCCTGCACGTTTAATGTTAACTGATAGGCATTTTGATAATGTTTATATTCTCTAACTTTATACAGGAAATAACTGTTAAATTCTGATGCCTTATCGTCAAGGAAATCATTTAAGTCATTTCAATTTTGAACATGTCCTTGACTTATGATTTTCAAATTTGAAAAAGAAAATAATTTATTTTAAAGTGTTCTCACATTCCATTTGTGACTATTGCTTCATTAAATTTGGCATGTGCATTCTTCGTATCATGTTTTTATCCTTTTTTCGTTTTTAAGCCCTGGGCGTAAATTTAGATAAAATGTTACTCTAAAACTGACAAAATATTTAATTAAGCTCAGGGCTTACACACAGAAAGAAGTTCCGCACGGTTTACTATATATTTCCATATCAAATAATCAAATTTTTAATCAGATCCTGCTTTTGTTCACAAACCTATCTGCTCATTATGGTAGGAAAGCCCGACGTGATGCAGGTCACAGATGTTTCCCACTTTGGTGAAACGCACGAGCACAGGTATGGATATGCTATGACAAACCTAGAAACATAATCGGGGCGAACAGAGATCCGAACCCATAATGAAAGGTTTCTGGCCTTCAGGCCAAGTGACGCAACTCTGCACAGTGAAATGTGACGCCTTAGACGACTGGGCCCCTGGCACCATTTGGGGAAAAAACATGCAGTTGAGATTTTGCTGAGGTAAAAGTGTAATCTTAAGACATTTTTTAAAATGGTATTAATGTCACATGTAAATATTTCCAAAAGATCTGCAGCTGTTTCGAAATATATAAGAGAAGAGTTGATGGTTATTATTTTTTTAGCCAAGTATTTATCTGACACACTACTGGGGGTTACAAACTGGCCGCTTCAAAAGAGTGCTTCTTTATCTTCTTTAATTTTTTTAAAACTGTGCATGCCTTAACCACTTCCCCCTGAATACTTTGAGACACGTAAAGATCCGGGGTAGAATAGATCTTCAGCAACCCATGCTTGCCGTAAAAGGCGACTATGCTTGTCATAAGAGGCGACTAACGGGATCGGGTGGTGAGGCTCGCTGATGCATGGTTGATGCATGTCATCGTGTCCCAATTGCGTGGATCGATGCTCATGTAGTCAAGACTCGATTATTTACAGACCGCCGTCCTATTGCGGGTATATTGCTGAGTGCATCTTCCCGAGCCGAAGCAAGAGAGTTAAAAAACAACCAACCAACCAACATATAATTTGATTACATATATCAGATTTAAAAACGTAAACCAGCACTGGTTTTGGAAAAGGACATGGCAGCCCTAAAAAACGGGTACGGGATTCCACGTTTAATCTGGAATCCTTAGTCTAACCTCCTCTACAGTTTGTATTTTTCTTGCATTTGGGGACCTACGATATATCTTTGCAGTCCGTCCAGTGAATTATTGTTTTTCAGTATTTTCTTAAACACGAAGAGGCCAATAAAGCAAACCCGTTGATACTTTTATTTAAGTTCATACGAAATCCCTTTCACAGATGAAACCCATTCCAGTTGTATGTGCAGAGATGGACCACTGCCACCCCACAAAGGTGGGGTACTTTATTGGGTTGTGAAGCACAACTCTTTGGTTATAATCGCTGGTGGACGGTTGCCCTGGCCCCCAGTTTGTGAAGGACGCTTTGGTCATGTCCACCCATATCCATGACTTGGTAGCTGTCACGTACACCCCACCCGTCCAGTAGCCCTGAGTCGGGTGGTATGTGGCTGCAATGGGAAACATGACATGGGAAGCATGGCAGAAGAAGGCGAACGTCAAACATGTCCACTATACATTCATTGCTGCCAGTACACCCCACCCGTCCAGTAGCTCTGAGTCGGGTGGTATGTGGCTGCAATGGGAAACATGACATGGGAAGCATGGCAGAAGAAGGCGAACGTTAAACATGTCCACTATACATTCATTGCTGCCAGTACACCCCAACCGTCCAGCAGCCCTGAGTAGGGTGGTATGTGGCTGCAATGGGAACCATGAAATGGGAAGCATGGCAGAAGAAGGCGAACGTTAAACATGTCCACTATACATTCATTGCTGCCAGTACACCCCAACCGTCCAGTAGCCCTGAGTAGGGTGGTATGTGGCTGCAATGGGAAACATGACATGGGAAGCATGGCAGAAGAAGGCGAACGTTAAACATGTCCACTATACATTCATTGCTGCCAGTATACCCCACCCGTCCAGTAGCTCTGAGTCGGGTGGTATGTGGCTGCAATGGGAAACATGACATGGGAAGCATGGCAGAAGAAGGCGAACGCCAAACATGTCCACTATACATTCATTGCTGCCAGTAGCTCTGAGTCGGGTGGTATGTGGCTGCAATGGGAAACATGACATGGGAAGCATGGCAGAAGAAGGCGAACGTTAAACATGTCCACTATACATTCATTGCTGCCAGTAGCTCTGAGTCGGGTGGTATGTGGCTGCAATGGGAAACATGACATGGGAAGCATAACATGTGAGGTGAAATGGGGTTTAACGTCGCGTCCAAGATTATTGAACTTATATAGCGGCGTGCATGTACGTGTGTGTGTGTGTGTGTGTGTGTGTCTGCTTGTACTAGTCCGGACTGATGGCGATTTATAGTGCTAGTATCACTGAGATACCAAGCCGCAGTTTAACATGAATACCCCACTCAGACACAGTATACTGACCCCGAGTCGACCAGTCCTTGTTTTAGCCCCTTAATGCCGAGCGCCAGACAGGGTAACAACAAGTACCATCTTTTAACGTCTTTTGGTATGACGCGGTCGGGGATCGAACCCCGGACCTTCCGCTCTCCGGGAGGAGGCTCTACCATTGGACAACGGAAGCGGTCGGAAGCATAACAGAAGAAGGTGAACATGACAATATTCACCCGTCACAAACACATGCAAAGGCAGAAGCTATCACCTATACAAAATAGAGAAGTGCATCTGATATCATTTGTCCTAAACATACCTAAACTTTACTCAGGCCTGATCAACCAGCCTTTGAGCAGAGTTGATGTCTCTCTTTGAAATATTGGAAGTTAGGTGAGGTGGGGTGAAATGGGGATTAACGCAGCGTTCAAGATTATAGCACTTATATAGCGACGTTTGTGTGTGTATGTGTGTGTGAGATAGAGAGAGAGAGAGAGAGGGGGGGGGGGGGGGAGGAGGAGGAGGCAGGGAAACAACAAGTACCATCTTAAATGTCTTTTGGTACGACGCGACCGGGATTGGTACCACCGATCTTTCACTCTCCAGACAGATGCTCTAGCCACTTGACAAGGGAGGCGGTCCCTTGCTGGAAAGCACGATCGTTTGTAACCTAAAGACACCTGCAGCATACTCACCTTCAGTTTCATTGAGGAGGTTGGCCAGAAAGGTCTGCTCCTGTCTGGAGTGGATGGCCGCCAGGTCTGACCCTCGTCTTGCACAGTCCAGCCGAGCTGTCTCCCAGTTCACGGTCCAGTTGGCGACGTAGTAACAGCTGGTGGGCCCGGTAACAAATGTGGGCGGACAGGCTGGTCAAACACATATACATATACATAAACATATGTAATACTCACAACAGAAAGGTGACGTAGTCAAACAAACATACCCAGGGTTGAGAAACACACACCAGAAAGGTGACGTGGTCCAACCCACATACCCAAGGTTGTAGTACACACACCAGAACACATACACCCAGGGTTGTAATACTCACACCAGAAGACATACACCCAGGGTTGTAATACTCACACCAGAACACATGAACCCAGGGTTGTAATACTCACACCAGAACACATGAACCCAGTGTTGTCATACACACACCAGAACACATGAACCCAGGGTTGTAATACTCACACCAGAACACATGAACCCAGGGTTGTAATACTCACACCAGAACACATGAACCCAGTGTTGTAATACTCACACCAGAACACATGAACCCAGGGTTGTAATACACACACCAGAACACATACACCCAGGGTTGTAATACTCACACCAGAACACACGAACCCAGGGTTGTAATACACACACCAGAACACATGAACCCAGGGTTGTAATACTCACACCAGAACACATGAACCCAGGGTTGTAATACTCACACCAGAACACATGAACCCAGGGTTGTAATACTCACACCAGAACACATGAACCCAGGGTTGTAATACACACACCAGAACACATGAACCTAGGGTTGTAGTACACACACCAGAACACATACACCCAGGGTTGTAATACACACACCAGAACACATACACCCAGGGTTGTAATACTCACACCAGAACACATACACCCAGGGTTGTTATACACACACCAGAACACATGAACCCAGGGTTGTAATACACACACCAGAACACATGAACCCAGGGTTGTAATACACACACCTGAACACATGAACCCAGGGTTGTAATACACACACCAGAACAAATACAACCAGGGTTGTAATACATACACCAGAACACATGAACCCAGTGTTGTAATACACACATCAGAACACATGAACCCAAGGTTGTAGTACACACACCAGAACACATACACCCAGGGTTGTAATACACACACCAGAACACATGAACCCAGGGTTGTAATACTCACACCAGAACACATGAACCCAGGGTTGTAATACACACACCAGAACACATGAACCCAGGGTTGTAATACTCACACCAGAACACATGAACCCAGGGTTGTAATACACACACCAGAACACATGAACCCAGGGTTGTAATACACACACCAGAACACATGAACCCAGGGTTGTAATACACACACCAGAACACATGAACCCAGGGTTGTAATACACACACCAGAACACATGAACCCAGGGTTGTAATACTCACACCAGAAAGGTGATGTGGTCAAACACATATACCCAGGGTTGTAATACTCACACCAGAAAGGTGACGTGGTCAAAAACATACAACCAGGGTTGTAATACTAACAACAGAAAGGTGATGTGGTCAAAAACATACACCCAGGGTTGTAATACACACACCAGAACACATGAACCCAGGGTTGTAATACTCACACCAGAACACATGAACCCAGGGTTGTAATACACACACCAGAACACATGAACCCAGGGTTGTAATACTCACACCAGAACACATGAACCCAGGGTTGTAATACACACACCAGAACACATGAACCCAGGGTTGTAATACACACACCAGAACACATGAACCCAGGGTTGTAATACACACACCAGAACACATGAACCCAGGGTTGTAATACTCACACCAGAACACATGAACCCAGGGTTGTAATACACACACCAGAACACATGAACCCAGGGTTGTAATACACACACCAGAACACATGAACCCAGGGTTGTAATACACACACCAGAACACATGAACCCAGGGTTGTAATACACACACCAGAACACATGAACCCAGGGTTGTAATACTCACACCAGAACACATGAACCCAGGGTTGTAATACACACACCAGAACACATGAACCCAGGGTTGTAATACACACACCAGAACACATGAACCTAGGGTTGTAATACTCACACCAGAACACATATACCCAGGGTTGTAATACACACACCAGAACACATGAACCCAGGGTTGTAATACTCACACCAGAAAGGTGATGTGGTCAAACACATATACCCAGGGTTGTAATACTCACACCAGAAAGGTGACGTGGTCAAAAACATACAACCAGGGTTGTAATACTAACAACAGAAAGGTGATGTGGTCAAACACATATACCCAGGGTTGTAATACTCACACCAGAAAGGTGGTGTAGTCAAAAACATACAACCAGGGTTGTAATACTCACAACAGAAAGGTGATGTGGTCAACCACATATACCCAGGGTTGTAATACTCACACCAGAAAGGTAACGTGGTCAAAAACATACAACCAGGGTTGTAATACACACATCAGAAAGGTGATGTGGTCAAACATATATACCCAGGGTTGTAATACACACACCAGAAAGGTGGTGTGGTCAAAAACATACAACCAGGGTTGTAATACTCACAACAGAAAGGTGATGTGGTCAAAAACATACAACCAGGGTTGTAATACACACACCAGAAAGGTGACGTGGTCAAAAACATACAACCAGGGTTGTAATACACACATCAGAAAGGTGATGTGGTCAAACATATATACCCGGGGTTGTAATACACACACCAGAACACATGAACCCAGGGTTGTAATACACACACCAGAAAGGTGATGTGGTCAAACACATATACCCAGGGTTGTAATACTCACACCAGAAAGGTGACGTGGTCAAAAACATACAACCAGGGTTGTAATACACACATCAGAAAGGTGATGTGGTCAAACACATATACCCAGGGTTGTAATACGCACACCAGAACACATGAACCCAGGGTTGTAATACTCACACCAGAACACATGAACCCAGGGTTGTAATACACACACCAGAACACATGAACCCAGGCTTGTGATACTCACACCAGAACACATGAACCCAGGGTTGTAATACACACACCAGAACACATGAACCCAGGGTTGTAATACTCACACCGGAACACATGAACCCAGGGTTGTAATACACACACCAGAACACATATACCCAGGGTTGTAATACTCACACCAGAAAGGTGATGTGGTCAAACACATATACCCAGGGTTGTAATACTCACACCGGAAAGGTGACGTGGTCAAAAACATACAACCAGGGTTGTAATACACACATCAGAAAGGTGATGTGGTCAAACATATATACCCAGGGTTGTAATACTCACACCAGAAAGGTGGTGTGGTCAAAAACATACAACCAGGGTTGTAATACTCACAACAGAAAGGTGATGTGGTCAAACACATATACCCAGGGTTGTAATACACACACCAGATCACATGAACCCAGGGTTGTAATACTCACACCAGAAAAGTGATGTGGTCAAACACATATACCCTGGGTTGTAATACTCACACCAGAAAGGTGACGTGGTCAAACACATATACCCAGGGTTGTAATACACACACCAGAAAGGTGACGTGGTCAAACACATACACCCAGAGTTGTAATACACTCACCAGAAAGGTGACGTGGTCAAACACATACACCCAGAGTTGTAATACACACACCAGAAAGGTGACGTGGTCAAACACATATACCCAGGGTTGTAATGCACACACCAGAAAGGTGACATGGTCAAACACCAAATGGACGTCCCATCAAGTTGATGTTCGTTTGTTTTTTGTCCCTGCGTATCCCTTCTTTATTCGTACATTTTCGGTTGTGTCGAACTTCTGATAATTCGAAGTATTTGCGCAGGCACCTTCAACTTCGACACAGAGGTGTTTGACTGTATAACACACTTGACTTGCATGTTGACCAATTTGTTTTTTAAAACACGGAGCTCATTAAAGGGTGACTAAGAAATGTCAATATTCTATAAAACACTAAAAAGAGGAGTTCTGTCTTGTTTATCTCTCATTATAACGAGAAGGATTTTGATCCCGTGGACACCTACACACGCTGCCCCTTTATCTTCACAGAGCTATTATTGCCTAACTACACACATCTTTTTGACCGTTCTGCTTTTACCGCTGCGATAGGGTAGCCTAGTTATTAAAGCATTCGTCCGTCAGACCGAAATCGCTGGTTCGATTCCCCACAAACTTAAGAGCACAATGTGTGTAAACCATTCTTGGTATTCCCGCCATGTTACATCTGAATGTTTTCCTAAAAGCGGCATCAAACCACACTCATTCACTCGCTGTATATTTTAACGAATGCAGAAGTGACTTACAAGAATGAGACCCGGATTTGATGGTAGGAGTTAATCCGCCTGTGAAGCCAGCACACAATCTCGCGTTACAGTCGTTCTGTGGGCAACACTGGTAGCACTTCTCTGGAGGAAGAGGATCTAAGTCGTTCTCATTAGTAACCTCAAGGTCGTCTGTTTCTCGTTTCCCAATTAATATCTTGGCATTAATGAACAACTCACATCTCTGAAAGGACACAAGTATGCTGATAAAATAAAACTGTCTATAGAATGTACACATGTCTACCATCTTCACGAGGCAAGGGAGTTAACTGACTATAAAAGTGCAGTTTCCACCCTTGCCGAACTAGGCTGGCATTAAGGAGTTATATTTTGGCTGGAATAACGAATCTATGCATAGTCCAATCAAAATCGCGCAACGAAATCGCAATCCGGTTCTTAAACTGTCGTGCAGATTTCGGTCGATTGCCGGATTTGCAAAACATGTTCACCGCCAACTCTTTGTCAACAGATAGTTTGCAAATGTTTTCATGTTTTAATCAAGGTGCTCACGTGATTTGATGCATTTCGCGATGTAAGGCCCGTTTTATCACAATGTAGATTTCGCCCTGACTGGGCGCCGCCATTTTGTTTGAAGCAAGTGGAATCTGATTAGTCCATTGGAGAGGCTTGGAAGGGACATAACTCGTAATAGCCACTAGGGGCACTACGATCGAGCCCAGAAATTCCAGCCTAGTTCGGCAAGGGTGGAAACTGGACTTTTAAAGCCAGTAAACTCCCTTGCCTCGGGAAGATGCATGTCTACGGGCAGAGCATGTACATGGTATGAAAAGCCATTATCCCAAAAGGTCAAGGTCAAGGTCATCAATTTCTCGTTTCCAGTTTACGCCTTAGCGTTAATGAACAATTCATATCTTAGAAACGACACATATGAAAATGAATTCTAATCTATTTATTTGCAGGGAACGCATGGCATATGGATTTATTTACAGTCTTCAAAAAAAGAAACGCATAGTTAAAAAATAAGGTGAGGTGAGGTGAAATTGGGTTTAACGTGGCGTCCAAGATTATTGCACTTATATAGCGACGTGCATGTACGAGTATGTGTTTGTGTGGCTGCTTGTACCAGTCCGGACTGATGCCGATTTATAGTGCTAGCTCACTGAGATACCATGCCGCAGTTTAACATGAATACCCCACTCAGACACAGTATACTGACTCCGAGCCGACCAAGTCCTTGTTTTAGCCCCTTAATGCCGAGCGCCAGACAGGGTAACAACAAGTACCATCTTTTAACGTCTTTTGGTATGACGCGGCCGGGGATCTAACCCCGGACCTTCCGCTCTCCGGGCGGACGCTCTACCACAGGACCACGGAGGCGGTCCAAAAAAATTGGGATATTTATTAAGCGGATGTAAATGTATCTACACAGAATATGCATGAACACAATTAAAGGAAATTAGACACAGTGATCGACACAAGATCGTAATGAACTGATGAAATTTGTACGGTCTTTTATAGTCAGTTCTCTACTCTTGTTTCCAACACTTTGCACGTGCATTTTGCTGAAAACATTTTCTGAAAGCAATTTCCATGCATCCTTTGCATTTTTGCTGATAAACGTTTACAAAAGAACATTTGAGATGTGTTTGCGCCAAATGCACAACAAACATGACATGATTAAACGGGAATCAAACATAAGAATTGCTGGGGAAAAAATCTAATTGGAATTACCAAAACACCTATGCGTTTCTTTTTTTGAAGAGTGTATATAATCAGCCTCATTTTGTGTTCTTCTCCCACCCAACTGTCACCGTGAGATGCTGTTTACAGCGAGGTATTTGGTGTAGCCTTGTGGTTAAAGCGTGCGCTCGTCATACCGATGGTCCGGGTTCGATTCTCCACATTTTCCGTGCCATTGCCGGAATATTGCTAAAAGCGGCGTAACACCAAATTAACACTGTTCGCATCGGCGTTAAAGCTAATCTCAAGGTAGGACTTAATTTGACACGTCACCGTTTTGTCCTCGCAGCCCATATTGTAAGCCCTGTCTCCGTTGTGGTCGATATACTCTCTGGCGTAACAGATCTGTAAGGAAACGATTATACCATTGGATAATGCTTTTCACAAGGCACTTATAGGGTCGGTTAGGTGGGCTAGTGGTTAATGCATTGTCTCGTGACCTTGAACGTTCGTTTCCCGTCATGGTTACATTGTGTGTCCCCGGCCATGTTCCATTCACTAAATGAATGATGATGGCATTACATTAAAATAACCCCGGTAAAGTTTTTTCAGCTCCTTGAGGAGGATACAACCCAACTGCTTGTGAGGCGCTTGATGGTTAACAGTCATTACCGTCTCATTCTACCGGGTACCCACCTCTTTGATGAACAGAGGCAGAATTCGGACAAGGGCTCTTGCCTGAGAAGACAATGTGAACCAATGTACCACGTGAATGTCTAGAAACTCTCAGGACAAAAGCTGCCAAACTCGGTCGCCCACGGTGTACATCCCGCGACCAACGTTGCTTCTCTTCGCCTGTTCTGTGACCTCGTGCCAAAACGTAAACAGTCCTTACCTCTCCTCGTCCACACTGCGCCCAATTGTCACAGACCGTTGGAGATTTTGCCTGCGGACACTCTAAGCACCGAATTGTTCCTGTGTATGAATATAAATAAGATGACGTTGAAAATGTGTAGCTTAAACTACATTATACAGCCATTGATATGGACAAAAAAAAGGCAAACATCGATGATGATGGTGATGGTGGTGATGGTGATGATGGTGATGGCGGTGGTTGTTAAGGCGATGATGATGATGATAATGACGATGATGATGGTGATGATAATGGGGTAATGATGATGTTATTATAATGGTGGTGGTGATGATGATGATGATGATGATGATGATGGTGATGATAATGGGGTAATGATGATGTTATTATAATGGTGGTGGTGATGATGATGATGATGATGATGATGATGATGATGATGATGATGATGGTGATGATAATGACGATGATGATGGTGATGATAATGGGGTAATGATGATGTTATTATAATGGTGGTGGTGATGATGATGATGATGATGATGATGGTGATGATGATGATGATGATGATGATGGTGGTGGTGGTGGTGGTGATGATGATAATGGGGCAATGATGATGTGATTATAATGGTGGTGATGACGATGATGCATATACTGTAAACACGTGAAACATCGTTTGAAGTCGACAGGAAAGTGGTTCTGCCGATGACAGATGGCCCAAACACGAAACAGTCGTAACGACGTGGAACATTTGCGATGAAGACATCATTGGTGATGATGAAGTCGGTGATGCCAACATCTATGAATGACCTACCCATATTGTTTTGTCCCTGGGACGCAGTTAGGCCAGCCAGCAGCAGGGGCATCCAGACACTCCTCCATACCACCTACAACAGAGCACAGAATACGTCATCACTAGAACCACCTACAACAGAGCACAGAATACGTCATCACTAGACTCTCTACAACAGAGCACAGAATACGTCATCAATAGAACCACCTACAACAGAGCACAGAATACGTCATCACTAGACTCTCTACAACAGAGCACAGAATACGTCATCACTAAACTCTCTACAACAGAGCACAGAATACGTCATCACTAGAACTCCCTACAACAGAGCACAGAATACCTCATCACTAGAACTCCCTACAACAGAGCACAGAATACGTCATCAGTAAACTCCCTACAACAGAGCACAGAATACGTCATCACTAGAACTCCCTACAACCGAGCATAGAATACGTCATCACTAGATCTCCCTACAACAGAGCACAGAATACGTCATCACTAGAACTCCCTACAACAGAGCACAGAATACGTCATCACTAGAACTCCCTACAACAGAGCACAGAATACGTCATCACTAGAACTCCCTACAACAGATCACAGAATACGTCATCACTAGAACTCCCTACAACAGAGCACAGAATACGGCATCACTAGAACTCCCTACAACAGAGCACAGAATACGTCATCACTAGAACTCCCTACAACAGAGCACAGAATACGTCATAACTAGAACTCCCTACAACAGAGCACAAAATACGTCAACAGTAGAACTCCCTACAACAAAACACAGAATACGTCATGACTAGAACTCCCAACAGAGCACAGAATACGTCATCACTAGAACTCCCTACAACAGAGCACAGAATACGTCATAACTAGAACTCCCTACAACAGAGCACAGAATACGTCATCGCTAGAACTCTCTACAACAGAGCACAGAGTACGTCATCCCTAGAAATCCCGACATCCGAGCACAGAATACGCCATCACTAGAACTCCCTACAACAGAGCACAGAATACGTCATCACTAGAACTCCCTACAACAGAGCACAGAATACGTCATCACTAGAATTCCCTACAACAGAGCACAGAATACGTCATCACTAGAACTCCCTACAACCGAGCACAGAATACGTCATCACTAGATCTCCGTACAACAGAGCACAGAATACGTCATCACTAGAACTCCCTACAACAGAGCACAGAATACGTCATCACTAGAACTCCCTACAACAGAGCACAGAATACGTCATCCCTAGAACTCTCTACAACAGATCACAGAATACGTCATCACTAGAACCCCCTACAACAGAGCACAGAATACGTCAACAGTAGAACTCCCTACAACAGAGCACAGAATACGTCAACAGTAGAACTCCCTACAACAGAGCACAGAATACGTCATCACTAGAACTCCCTACAACAGAGCACAGAATACGTCATCACTAGAACTCCCTACAACAGAGCACAGAATACGTCATCACTAGAACTCCCTACAACAGAGCACAGAATACGTCAACAGTAGAACTCCCTACAACAGAACACAGAATACGTCATCACTAGAACTCCCAACAGAGCACAGAATACGTCATCACTAGAACTCCCTACAACAGAGCACAGAATACGTCATAACTAGAACTCCCTACAACAGAGCACAGAATACGTCATCGCTAGAACTCCCTACAACAGAGCACAGAGTACGTCATCCCTAGAAATCCCGACATCGGAGCACAGAATACGCCATCACTAGAACTCCCTACAACAGAGCATAGAATACGTCATCACTAGAACTCCCTACAACAGAGCACAGAATACGTCAACAGTAGAACTCCCTGCAACAGAGCACAGAATACGTCATCACTAGAACTCCCTACAACAGAGCACAGAATACGTCATCACTAGAACTCCCTACAACAGAGCACCGAATACGTCATCACTAGAACTCCCAACAGAGCACAGAATACGGAATGATTAGGAATACCCTTCAACAGAACATAGGGTAATTATAAGATGTCATGTATACTAATTTATATCTACTGATAGCGACAGTAATCTTTTTATCAAAAAACATTTTTCTAATTTCTGATCGGTGAAATATAGTAAACACTGCTTTTCCTTCTCATTTTGTCATATTATGTGGTTTTCGGCGGATTCTTAAGCCATAAGTCTGGCCGCATAATGCATACTTATTATACAGTAATTAGGTTTTCACACACAGCTCTAATTAGAAAATCTAGACCTAGACCTAGACTAAAAAGACGTTTTAATCGTGGAGCACTGACCCTTGTGTTATATCTACAGGTCTATCACCGCACAGTGTCAATTGTGGTGACGCAGAAAACTGGTTGGGCGCCTTTTGCCCTACATCTAGTCAAAATGGTGCTACACATGTCTTAATCCGTGTTTACAATACTTCTATTGCTGGCAAATGAGTACATGGTCGTGTTTGATTTATAAGTTCTGAAGACATCAATTCTGTAGTCAATAAAGTACCAGTAGTTGTACCACCTACCGGTTTGTTCATAATGACGGTCGGTGTGGGAGAGTCCCAGGTGGTTATCGGAAGTCGTGTGTTTCAAAATACACATGGAAATCTCAAATCCCCATGGTTTGACAATTACGTCTGTAAACGATAACATTTTATTTTCCCTGAAGGGTTGCCGGTATTTTGCCGTTCAGGGTTGCGTCCCTTCCCCGTGCCAGGATCCGCAAGGGAGTTAATTGACTGTAAACTGCCCTTTAACAACCTTGCCTCACTAGGATGGAATTATTACATTTTGGCTGTACTAACGAGACTATATATAGTCCAATCAAAATCCGCGTAACGAATTCAACATATAGTTTGTGAACTGCCGTGCCGATTTCTGCCGATTGCAGAATTTGCAATGCATGTGTACCGTCAACTTTGCGTCAACAGGTATTTTCCCAAAAAATTCATGTTTTAATCAAGATGCGCACGTGATTCGATTAGCTGCGCGAAGTAAGACCCGTTTTATTACAATATAGGTCTTGATTATCGATCAGATCGTTTTCACCGGGCGCCGCCATTTTGTTGTAAATGTTAGTGATATGAGAAGTGGAATCTGATTCGGCAATAGGAGGGACAAAGGCGGGGGATAACTCGTAATAGCCACTGGTGGAAACTGGACCTTTACAGTTGTGACTAACACACTGTTCTATGTGGCGTTAATCTCATACACACAAAAAACATTCCACTCTTATGGTATTCATTCGTCGTCAATCATTTTCCCGAGGCAAGAGAGTTAACTGACTATAAAAGTCCATTTTCCGCCCTTGCCGAACTAGGCTGGAATTACTGGGCTCGAGCGTAGCGCCACCAGTGGCTATTACGAGTTGTGTTCCTCCTAAGCCTCTCCTATGGACTAATCAGATTCCACCTCTCGTATCACCTGCGTTTGCTTCAAACAAATGGGAGACATGTTAGGGCGATCAAGATCGATAATCAAGATCTATATTGTGTTAAAACGGGTCTTACATCGCGAAATGCATCAAATCACGTGAGCACCTTGATTAAAAACATGAAAAAGGGAACATATCTGTTGACAACGAGTTGGCGGTGCACTTGCTTTGCAAATCCTGCTATCGACCGAAATCTGCACGACAGTTTACAAACCAGATTCCGATTTCGTTACGCGATTTTGATTGGACTATGCATAGATTCGTTAGTCCAGGCAAAATGAATCTCCATAATACTAGCCTTGTTCGGCAGTGGTGGAAACTGGACTTTAATAGTCAGTTGACTCTCTTGCTTCGGGAAGATGTCGTCAATTCACATGAGTTTCCTTTTTGTATTACTGCCCATATGTAAGTCAGCAAGCTTTCAGTTAAACAGAACACGTCAACACTAGAGAATAGCCACCGAAACAGATTCCATTGGTCATAAAACGCAAAATAGCAGTGGAAATTATATGAGTGGATCACTGAATATCAGTAATGACGCCAAGCTTTCGCGAAATTGGGAAGTAAAACACCAGCCTTGAACTCAGTTGCATGTGGTATGTGTAAGTATATTTCTCAAAATTTACTCCCTAACAGTTTACTTGTTGACTCTCCCTAAACATCGTTGGCAGGTTTTTATATAGGTGAGTGAGTGAGTGAGTGAGTTAATATTTAACGTCACATCGGCAATATTGCAGCCATATCGTGACGAGAGAAAATGTGACTTTAATAACATATATGTAAACTGTATAAAAATCTGTCGACGAAGGACAGTAAAACAACTAGATTATCACAGATATATGTTTAAAACTAGTACAGAACCATAAAATATGACAATTCATAACATTACAATAGGTAAAATTGGGCTATATATCACCAGCAACTAAAGTGAGGACACCATACTGAGGACCATGGGGACTTACAGTACCTTTGCTACCTGCATGGACCCCAGCAGGATTTTTACACAATCCCTTTAGTCACTGGCGACCGTTGACAGGGTTTAGCCGGAGATTTAAAACCAACAAATATGCTACGATTAAAACACTGGCAGATATAAAATTACTTTGATTTATGTGGGCTTACATATCCTCTGAGGGGGAGAATAATGTTACGCTACTTCAACCCCCTTCGAGGATATAGCCACTAACAATCTCTGTTAATTATCATATTCTACCACTTTATAAAATATATATCTTTGTACATCAAAATTTATTAATTAATTCTATTTCCTTTAAAAAAACGAGGATTAAATGAGCATGTACTTGATTAAAAAGATCCTTTACAGATAACACTTTGAAATATTTATCCCTTGTGATGGAAAAATCAATACAGTCAAGCAGGACATGCTTGACCGTGATTCTTTCATCACAAGGGATACAAAACGGAGGATCCTCACCTTGTAATAAATATTCGTGCGTATATCTGCTGTGGCCAATACGACATCGTCGCATAATGACCTCTTCAAATCTGGACTGACAGCCCAAGTAGGCTTAATTGCATGTAATTTATTGATACCTACTTGAGCGTCCCACTTCTGCTGCATTAAATCTCGGATGTAAGATCTAATCGCGGGTTTGAAATCAGTGTATGGGATCAGAAGTGGCGTCACAGATTTGTTGAGTGCTGCTTTTGCAGCAGCATTAGCCATTGTGTTACCAGTGATACCAACATGGCTTGGTAACCAACAAACACGATGTCATATTGGCCAGTAGCAAGATCATTAAATAATTCAAGAATCTTGATTAAAAGTGGATGTTTGCAAGATATATTTTTAATCGCCTGAAGGCACGATAGAGAATCTGAAAAAATAATGAATTGTTTACGTTTAGATTGGTTTTTGATATATTGTAGTGCGGTAAAAATGGCGTTTGCTTCTGCTGTAAAGATAGAACTGTTATCTGGTAATCGCGAAGATATTGTCCTGGATCCAATGACAGTGGCACTAGCAACAGCACCACCATCCTTGGAACCATCAGTAAATATAGATTTATAAGTGTTATAAGTGGTTCTTAATTGATTGTATTCTTGTTGGTAAATTAATTGGTTAGTATCTGATTTCTTTAAGTTGGTTAATGTGAGGTCAACCTCTGGCCTTACCATTTGCCAAGGAGGTGATGAAAACAGTTGAAAGGGAGCAATATCATGCAATTTAATATTAGAAGCAAACATGGCAGACTGGATTCTTATTCCGAGTGGTGGAACGAGAGATGATTTTTTATTGTAGATATCTTGGTAGAGAGGATTAAAGACGCAATTAAAAGCTGGATTTGACTGATTTGAATATAATTTAGTGACATATTGTAAAGATAATTTCAGACGGCGTTGTTTAAGAGAAGGTTCATCTGCTTCTACATACAGACTGTGAATTGGAGACGTTCGAAAAGCTCCAAGGCAAAGCCTCAGGCCCTGATGATGGATAGTATCTAGTTTTTTTAAGTTACTTTTGCAGGCTCCACCATAGACGATGGAGCCGTAGTCAAGTTTTGAACGGATCAGGGACCTGTACAAGTGCAATAGTGTTGTCTGATCCCCTCCCCACTTCGAATTAGAAACGACTTTTAACAAATCAAGTGCCTTCAGGCATTTAGCTTTAAGGTATTTAATGTGTGGTAAAAATGTTAAATGGCTATCGAAAATAAGTCCCAAGAACTTGGCCTCCTTCACAACTTTGATAGGGGTGCCATTTAGAAAAAGCTCCGGATCTTTATGCGGTTTATATTTCCTGCAAAAATGTATGCAGTTAGTTTTTGATTTGGAAAACTTAAACCCGTTCTCTAGACACCACTTGTGAATTTTATTGAGACATAATTGTAATTGCCTTTCTATTGTGTGCATATTTTTACCACGACAAGATATATTAAAATCATCCACAAAAAGGGATCCATCAACTGAATCATTTAAAACTTTTGACAAACTGTTAATTTTTATACTGAATAGAGTGACAGACAAAATACTGCCTTGTGGGACACCCTGATCCTGATTATAATGATCAGACAGGGTTGTACCCACTCGGACTTGAAATTGCCTGTCTGTTAAAAACTGAGATATAAAATGAGGTAAACGACCTCTCAAGCCAAAATCATGTAAATCCTTCAGAATGCCATGCTTCCAGGTAGTATTGTATGCCTTCTCAAGATCAAAGAAAATGGATACCACGTGTTGTTTATTAACAATAGCATTTTTAACAAAGGATTCTAACCGTACTAAATGATCAATAGTACTTCTATTTTTCCGGAAACCACACTGAATATTTGTGAGAAGGTTATTGGTTTACAGATACCAAACTAATCTATTATTCACCATTCGCTCCATGGTTTTGCAAACACAACTGGTTAACGATATAGGGCGATAATTTGAGGGATCTGTATGATCCCGGCCAGGTTTTGGGATGGGGACTACAATGGCATTATGCCACGAAGGAGGAAAATGACCTGAAGTCCATATTTGGTCAAAGATATTTAAAAGTGTCTCAAGACATGATTCAGGCAAATGCTTCAATAACTGATAATGGATATTATCAGCACCCGCTGCAGTATCATGAGCTTGCTCAAGATCGGTATGTAGCTCATGCAATGAAAATACTTCATTGTAATCTTCACCATTAGTAGAATCAAAATTAACTTTTTTCTTTTCCTGTTGTTTCTGATATTTCTGAAACTCAGGGACATAATTTGTTGATGAAGAATTTTTGGCAAGAGTTTCGCCAAGTTTATTTGCAATATCTAATTTATCAGTTATTAATCTGTCACCTTCTTTTAGATGATGTACAGAAGATTTTGAACCTTTGCCTTTTATTCTTTGAACCATGTTCCACACCTTGGAAATGGGTGTACGTGAATTAAGTTTTGAGACATAGTTCCTCCAAGATTGACGCTTATTTTGTTTATAAGCACGTCGTGCCTTGGCATTAGTAATTTTAACAGTATTCAAGTTGTGAACTGTTGGATGTCGGCGAAAATATTTTTCCGCTTTCTTCCTACACTTTCTTGCTTGTTTGCAATCATAGTTAAACCATGGTTTACGAAGATGAGGAGTTGCAGAGGACTTAGGAATTGTTTTGTCAGCAATAGCATTGAGTTGATTCGAAAATAACTGGATGGGATCAGGTACATGTATGAAGTTGTCAGGTT